ATATCATCCCTTTTCTGCATGCACACCAAAGTGTGAGTATCGTGTGCATAGATTTGTGCTTGAAAACCAACATTTTAGTTTCAAATGAGCGAAATTTGTATTTTCTTTACATTCTAATGTCACAATGCAAGTTCTCTGCTACCGCTGGGATAGGTGTTAGTTTATTTCATGTTGACAAAAGGAGTGATTTTGGGGTGAATTAGTCTTTGCATTCTCAAAGTTTTAATCACCGTGTGTCACATGTTGATTTATTGCAATACGACTGTTTCATGTCAGGTGCAATTTGGAGGCCTAGTTCACTACACGGCCGTACACTGGCCAGGCGTTCGGGGAACCTGATTAAAATATTAGAACCAAGAATATTAGGAACCGGAGAATCTTATGAACCTCACTTTGAATCTGGGAACTTTAGTAATACAAACTTTGTGATTTAATATATTTTATCATTGGCAACTGTGTCACAATTTATAGAGCTAGAAACTGATCTATTATCTTATCAATACTTTTGTAACAGTTTTTTTGTGAGTTCAAATTGAGATTATGTGTTAATTTAAACTATTGTAATCGATTTTTGTGAACAAGTTCATGAGACCAAGCATAATTTGACTCCTGTTTTGATTTGTTTCTGTTTGTCTTGATTTGTCCTTGGCGTCCTTGAATCTAATCATTTGAGCGGACCTCCTTAATGGCGTACCGCTACAATAGGTCTATTGACTTTTAATTTATATGTGACCGGACCACAACACTGCTCATAAATAGGTGATACAGCACATCTACAATTAATGTATGAAGTCCATTAAAAGTAAGTTCACATGCATAAAATTGATCAGATTGGCTTTGTAAGATTGGATCCGGAGTTCAGGAATTTATAATTGAGACTGACAACGAGTGAACAAGTACATTGTGTGGGAGACTCGTTTTGCACGCTACAGTACAATGGTTTATTAAAACTGTTGATGACATCTGTGTAGAATAATTTAAAACTTTACACATGAATAACAAGCTGGTTTGCTTGTTTGAAATAAATGTCATTTGAACACCAAACCTTGGCATTGTTTGCTAGCAACTTTACCAAATCTGCCTGCAAATCCAGTACGCTGCAGTGGGCGCTACAGCACTATATTGAGCACATGTGAAGTGACAGGGTTCTACAGGGTGAGTAAAACAAACGAAACCCAGATGTCGGGACCATTGTTTTAGTCCTTTTCAAGTTACAGAATTTTAAACACAACCACCGTTTTATGGTTCTGTCCACGGATCACAAAAAAGGTGTGCGCTCTTTCAGCAAAACGAAAACAATTCACACACATCCATATGTGATTTGCTTTCGTTTTGCTGAAAGAACACTTACCTTTTTGTGATCCGTGGACAGAACGTTAAAACGGTGGTTGTTTACATTCTGTAACTTGAAAAGTACATGAGTGATTTGAATGATTCTTGTACTAAAAGAAAGCTTATGAATTGGGCTTTCATATCCTAGATTTTGAAAGTGCTACAGGCAGAACTTCACTAAACCAATAGTCCTGATATTTGGGTCATGCTTTTTTTTTTTACTCACCCTGTATAGGGGTGATATGACTTGATTCCCCAGGAAGTGTATTCACAGTCAACATGAAAGGGCCCCATTTCACTCACACCCACCAACCTTCTATCGAATGGCGCCAGTGATCTCTATTTCTTTGACTTCTCTTTGGATGGATTTATTTTCCTCGTGAACAGAGGTTAACTCTTGTGTGTGTGTGTGCTACCCATAGTGGTGATCGACCCACAATGCTTTGCAACATTTCCGTTTCCCTCCATAAAATTGTCAAAAGAAAAGCTACATGTATTAGGTAAAAAAAAATTGTGTTGCCCTCGCATGAATAATGTAAGGAGGGTCGGTCGGTCAGGAAATTTTTTTTTGGTCGAGGGGAGGAGGGGGGAGGGGAGATATACATAGTTCACATATAGAACTACTCTTTCTTCTTCAGTTCCCCTCTACCAACATACACGAAACGTCTAGGCTAAATGTACTGCATGCGTCAACTATACTGTGCTGTGCATGTAGATGTACTTGATTGCGATACAATGTACATGTACAGTACATGTATACAATATATGCAGTACATCACACCACATGCCCCAAACCTCTGCCTCATTTACATGCACAAAATACAGTATATTCACACCGTTCTACCATTTACCTAGGTCTGTTTTGTAACGAACTGAAAACAATTATGGCATTATACAAAGAAAATGTAACGGTAAGGTTAAAGTTTTTCAAGTGAAAAAAAAGAAAAAAGAAAAAGGACAGGAGATTTCAGATGTTTCGGCTGTTGGATGAGGGCAACACAACCATTTTTTTGGCCTTACCCACGCCCCTTGGATATGGCGATGGGGTATAAGTCTAGGGCTACGTGGGATGTACCCATCAGCATATAGCATTTCACTATTAATATTTAGCAAAATATGTATTGCATAGCTCCATCGTCGACTTTCACTTAACACTTCAAACACTTCAAACACATGAAATCAATGTTATGTTAAGGATATAGATAGCTTGTACTACTGCCACCATAATTACATCTGTCTGAATATTTGTCTGTATTTCTCTCTTTTCTTTACTAACTCCTCGGGTGAATTAAGCCTTGAATGCATGTTATTATTCATAAAAACAGAAAAAATTAGTTTTTTTTCTTAGAAGTAAGACAAACTTCTTCGTGTTTCCACTACATAAGAAGCATTTGAAGGAGTAATTACTAACTTCATGAACTTCTTGTTTCAATCTTCCCAAAACAGTCTTATTTTCGAAAACATCAAATTATATACACGTGAGTTTTAATATATACAAAATGTAGGAATGACAGCAAACATGCTGAAAAATATATTTTCATCTCCATTAAATGATTTTCCTTTCCTCAAATGAGTACAGCACTAAAACGAAGTGTCCACCACAGATTAAAAAGATGAAACATTCTCAAAATTGTCATCTATGAGCATGCTGAAACTTTAGGCAAAATCACATTTTGATTCTTGAATACAACTTGCAGCAAATCTAGCATCAGCCTGAGTGTGGAACCAACTCCCTCTGGCTATCAAATCATCTCCATCCATCACAACATTTAAGACAAACATAAAATCTCACCTGTACAGACAAGCTTACTCTCACAACGCACAATCCTAACTTGACTTTTTCCTCAAGCGCCATGATCGCCTTTATAGGCTGATACCGGCAGGTTTTCAAATATTTTGTTTATTATTATTACTATTATAATTCTCTTCTAAAGCTCATATATTCTAATTCTTGTTGGTTCTTTAAGTTTACAGTAAACAAATCACAGACAATAAAAAATATAAACAAATAAACAATCTGAGTACTTTTTAAACTGCATGTATAAGATGTTAGAAAAAACAAACAATGCTTAATTTCATGACAAACTTTAACGAGAAAGGAAAAATGAACCCCTTTCATTTATCTACATACACTTTCAGACATGTGCAGTGTAAATTAATCATTAACCTGCAGCTGCTGTAAACAAAAAAAAATTGTAAGAAACTACTAAAAAGGTCAAATGTCATTCCATCAAGGAAATTGATCCCTAAATTACATATGTTGCTGGAAGGAAATTGACCGAATTCTAACGTTCATTTCCTGTTTTGCAATCTGTCATTTGTGCCATGTATTATTAGCTGGCTTCATATGCAAAAGTCAAGGTATGAGGAAACAACCTGAAATTTTAAACTGAGTGTTCAGTGTTCTGCTTTTAGATGTTCTTTGTCAGTTTCCATTTGAATTTAAAGTTAAAATAAAACATTAGAAAACATCAAACAAAACTACTAAATTATGATGAAATACCTTACTTGAGTGTAAGTGCATAACAGTCTGCAGCATCCTGTGAAATGTCATTTTCAAAAAAAGAGAATTTTCTTTATCAATTTCCAACAATGGTCGGCCGACCATCGTTGGGAAAACATCTATTTTCAAATACTGCCCCCAATTTACCAAATTCAGTTAGTCCACATTTTGTTTGCAATCGGTAAACATGTCTGCAAATAGGTGCAAGCCATGCAGCTAGTCTGGTTCCCTGACTTGACAATTCACAGACGACTATAAATTGCTCTGTTTCATCTAAAGTAGGGTCAGGAAACCAGACTATAAGCACAACATTTTTCTTGGGTTTCCCACCATCTACATGTATGAATACAAAACTTTGAACAAGTCGACGTATACAATATCTGCTATAAAATACTAACTCCCAAATCCATCCATTCCTGACAATTACATCAAAAGGGAATGTTGTATATTACAATGCATATTTACTGGACAGGGTAAAAAAGAAATTGGAATATAGTAGTTTCAAACTCACCATTAACTTTATTATACAGGGTGACCCCAAAAAATGCAACCCTAAAACATTTGCTTTTAAATAAAAAAAGGGATCGGTGGATTTATGTTTTGGGAATCAGATTAGAGCTGAGAGCTTTTTCTTTCAAATACTAAAAAAAAACCATGAAAATAACACTTTGGGTTGCTGAGAAAATGCAAATTATGTAAAAGTAGTCATTTTTCATCCTTTACACAACTTCAAACAGTGAAACATTTTACTGTAAGCCTACTGTGCAATTATCCTTCATTTGGGCAATTTCTTTAATATTCTGACATATTTATGATGCTGAAAAAGTTTAAAATTGGACTAAAAAGGCTGAGATACCTGTTCAGGTGGAAAATATAAGGTATTTCCATCAAATTCATTTGTAATCTTGTCATATTATGTGTGCTGTGTAGTTTGTAAGGATTAGAACATGCAGAAATAGGTACAGTGAAAATCTCTTACTGTGGTAATTGTTTGTGTACAGGATGAAAAATGACTACTTTTACATAATGGACATTTTCTTAGCAACCCCAAGTGCTATTTACATTAATTTTTTACAGTATTTGAAACAAAAAGCTCTCAGCTTTAACGATCCCTTTGTTTATTAAAAGGCAAATGTTTTAGGGTTGCATTTTTTGGGGTCCACCCTGTATACATATTTTTCTAAGGCATTAACAATTTAATTGCAGGTTTCTGCTGATAACTGACCTTAATGCTAAGCTCAACCCCTCCAAAACTAATAACCCCTCTCTTGTTGAGTAAACTCCTAACCCTGCATAATCACCTGAAAGGAAGCATTTTTGTGATGATGTTTCTTAAATATTCACTGACAATTTAGCAAAGTGTACCTCAATGAACCAAATGTATGACAATTTCAAATGAAATCATTTCCACAAAAAAAGTTACCCGAAAAATGCGTAACCCCTTAAGCAACCTATTTTGTATATTTCTTAACCTCCAACAGTAACTTACGTGCATGTAAGCCGGTCATACCCAAATCCTCCTTCAAAACTGAATCGTCAAGAGTGACCAGTAATGCACCATCCACCGCTTCTTCTCTGAACTTCTCCACGTACTTACCCAAGTTGAGCTGCCGCAGTATGTCTGACACACCTTCAATGTCGGCGCGAGACATCAAGACCTTCTCGGACAGCAGATCGTGAGGGCTGTTATAGATGACCGCACCGGGACTAGTCGGCAGGGTTGGTAGGGGCCTCTCGGTGGGAATAAGGAAGTCGTACATGTCGCCATCGTTTCTGGCCAACATACGATCAATCTCAGCCTGAAGCCGGTTGATCTCATCAACGTTTTTGAAGTTGGACACTCGTATCTCCCTCTTTTCTTTTTCGAGTTTCTAACGGAATACAAAAGAAACCGAAATTAGTATTAGGATATTCACATCAGGTTTTTTTTTTTTGGGGGGGGGGGATGTCTGACATAGTAACGGTTGAATCTGTAAAGCTAAAATGGCCACAAGACAAAAACTGAAGTATGTTGATTCTATTCGTATTTCATTGGTATCTTTTTTTATTCCACTTGATGCTCACCAACATTGCAGCCAAAAATGTTCTGAATTAATCTTTAAACAAGATAATTTGACACTTATACTATAAATATCAGAACAAGTAAATTGCGATATACATGTATATCATATCATGTGCAATAATTATATCATACATAATTTACTTGCTTTGTAGGTACAGCCGTTAATGATGGTTATTCAATTGTACAAACCTCGCATTTCTCCTTCAGTTGTTCATTTTCTTCCTTCAGTGAGGCTATTTTCTGCAATGGAATATTTTGCAAGATGTTTGTTTACCACAGGTTCCAAGGTTTCAGATGGATAGTGCCTTAGTTTGTTTTAAAGGTAGAGTAGATCATTTGTCATTTGTCATTTGTTTCGTTTGAAGCAACAAAAGTGCTCAAAATCTAAAGACGGGTGCTTAACAACTAACCTGATGAAGTTTTAGCTCTGTGAATGCTGTATGTTCCGAGAAACTATTATTCTAGGATCTCGATTTCAATTCAAAAGTTGCCGAGTCATATTTAAATTGTGCCCGAAATCAGCATCCGGAACACGTTCTCATTCAGCTGACTGCAGCTACGCGATGTCAAGCACTGAACCGACGAATAGTATCAAAGACGCATGTGTGTGCGTTGTGTCGTCGCTTGCACGCACCCATTCACGGATTTGGCCAATTACAAAGCAACTACTAGCGGAAATTTCCAAAAAAAGCGTCACTTGACTCACCTTTGAAAATGACCTTTTATTGTTTTCTTCAAAATGACAGCATGCCAGAAGGACTAATTTCACAGGGAGTTTAGTGCCACTACTATCTTGAAACCAAGTAAGCTTTTTAAAAATAATTTGGTTATAGCTGCAAATGATCTACTCTAACTTTAATGGGATCTAAACTTTGGAAAATGAGCAATTAAAAGTAAAAGCCAAGCAGACTTGAGATAGACTTCCAAGATTTCATGCCCGACAGAACACAGATTTTGATGATGAAAAAAAAAGCAGTTTATTGAGTGAGCATCACAGTATGAACCCAAAATATTTACTGTATTAAAAGTATGTATCTCAATTTTCTTGGTGTTTACTACAGAAACAAAGAATACTCTAGACTTTTCATGGACTAAATTTCTTCTGAACGAATTTTGCATGATAAGTAACCTTTTCCTTCTGTTGCAGTATGTTCTTCAGCTCTTGAGTGGTTACATCCAGAGGTTTTGTAGGGTCGTTTACATCGGGTACAACTTCATATTCATCACCTTCCTCCTCCTCTATATCACTGTCCCAAAAAAGAAAACCCAAAAGGATCATCAAGATTTGTAAACCAAAACTTTTGTATAAGCAACTTTATTGGAGTGGGACACTCCTTTGAGTCCAGAAACAAACAAAAACGTCTTTGGTTGCTTTTGTTCGGGATTATATTACAGAGCCAACAGCATGGGAGATGAGAAGATGTATGCATTTGTTTTCCACGCACAACTCTTTAAAATATAGCATCCATCTTCCATTATATCACATAGGAAGATCCATAAAAGCTTGGGAATAACCCAGGATTCGGTGGTCAGTGATATTGCTGCCATGACTCACCTGCCTACATATACACCAGGAACCTCATAACCATCATCAGTACTGACTCTACGCTTGTTCAACACCTTGGAGTCACTGGGCTGCTTCGGCGCAGTGAAGCTACGAGGTTTGGGCTTAGGGGTCAATTTGGGCTTTGGGGAACAAACAACAGGCTTCATGTCAGGTTTTGCAGGGAGAGACCTGTACGTTAACGGTTTGGTAGGGGGTCTTGGCGGTGCCACAGGCTTGTCACGAGTCGGGATGAGTGGTTTGTCGACCTGATCCAGGCAGGCAATTCTGTTGGTCAGGTCCTTGGTGTAGTTGGTCATCTCCTTGAGATCCTGTATCAAGTCTTCCTTGGAGACTTTGGCCACTTTGCAAACACGCTCCTTTCCTAAAAATGAATGAAGAAAAAAACATGAACTGAAGTCATTCAAACCAGCCAGTTATGTCAGTGCTCTTCCTTTGGGGGGGGGGGGGGGTGTAAAAGCCTTTTCCAAAGTATGAAGGTTTCCAGACTGCAGATTGACACGATTGTCTTGTTTCCAAGCAAGCCACTTGACTGAAATTGCTCCATTGTACAATGTTAAGGAGAATGTTGAGATCGAAGAGAATTCAGGGTTCTAGACTGAAAGTTCGAAGTGGATGATGTTACTTTTGTGGAGGGTAACGGACTTGATCTTCAGCAGTAATTGTACGTTTGTTTGTGACATTTTGTTTGGACGATGTCCGGATAAAGAAAATGTGTTGAAATGGTTCACTGAACTGTATATCTTTAATATCAGACAGTATTCCTTAAATCTACGTGAGCTTGAATATGAATACCAAGCAAAATTTCTAATCCCTAAGTTTAGCTCAAACCTGTTATCGACCAATTTACCTTCAAAGCTTTCCAGCCATCCACGGAGTGGTTCGGGCAGGGGCTGGCTAATTTCTCTGAGCGGTTCGGGCAGAGTGGGCCTGCCGAACTCCCGGACACCCCAGGTGAGATTGACAGGGGGAAACAAGGGCGGAAGACAGGATTGGACAGTCTTGTCCTAAAGATAGATTTAAAAAAAGGAGCCATTCGATCATGTCCTCCAAGAAGAAACTCATGGAGATGCTAATTACATAAAATTTGTTCAGTAAAAAAGAAGAGCTGAGCAGCAACAGGTTACCAGCTAAGACGCCATGCCATATAGATTGCTTGTGACTTGTTCTCAGACAATCTGTGCTTAAAGCAATATACATGTATTTTGCTTAGCAGTTCCACGAAATTGACCTATCGCCGTTTGTTATGGGAGTTAGCCACGCCCCTTAGACAACCCTATGGAATTTGTCTACGCTAAGTTTTGTTTGTCTCAGATGTTGCGCATTCCGCGTCCATTTGAATATCATGTAATTGGACATTATTCACAAGCTGCGTTGACGCGATTCTAACGCAATTCTACTGCCATAGGTTAATTCGGATCAGGTGTGATGTATGGTTGAATTTGCCATCAAAATATTTCACCTTACTGAAATTGCTGAATTTGTCGAAATAAAAAAAAAAGTACAAAATTGTTAAAGTTTGTACACCTTACGAAATACAAAACAAATCTGAACGTTGGTACAGAGGAATTTGATGAAATACCTTGAAAGAAGTTGTGTTGAGGGAAATAGGCACAGAGAGTGGAATTGAGAGCAGGCCTGGCTTCCTGGATCGCGTGGCAATCACCTGCAGGTCATTCTTAAAAGACAACAACTTGAAGACCTTCTCTTCCTTGGGTTTGCGCTTCTCAAAGTTGGTTTCCTCAACTACACGCACTCGCTGCAAAGGAACACAAATTCAAAGGTGTGTCTAAAATAAAATGCAAACAAACTATAACGTAGTGCTAGACCTAGAATGTGTATTCAACATAGATAAAATCGGTATGGTTTGAAAGATACACTTTTCCACTTTAAAATGAGACAGCAAACGTTCAAATCTGAAATTTTTTTTGACAGAGTTAGTTATGAGTAATTTTCAAAGAGAGGTCAAATTGACCATGGGACCAAGTTTTCAATTTTAGGCATTGGGACAAAGGTAGCCTAATTGCCTCTATGTGGATAATTGCCTGGCCTACAAAAAAAATGTGTTAAGCGAGTAAACACTCTTTTAAACACATCATGTTTACATGCTAAACATGTTTAGCACTGAGAGACAATGTCGCCAGAGGGAGGGCATGTTGAGGTGAGAATGGATGTAATCGCCGACAGTTCAGCCACATTGCAACACTTACACATCCAAACAAAATCGATTATCACTGCATTTAAAAACTTGGTCCCGTGGTCAATTTGACCTCTCTTGAGAAATGACACATAATTCGGTCAAAAATTATCAGATTAATTTGAACTTTTGGTGTCTCATTTTAAAGTGGAAAGGTGGATCTTTTAAACCATTCTACGTCTGGCATTCTGTTATATTTTGTTTGCATTTTTTTAGACAGACTGTATTAATTAATACTAATGGTACAAAGATCTCTCTGGTAGTAATTTATTCTCTTTATTTTTCACCTGTGGGAAATCCAGCCCAATGAGTTCGGACATGTGCAGGAACAGTGCGGACATCATGGTGGTGAAGTGGGCACAATCCATGTCTTTGTGGAGCTCAAGTCGGTGACCTACCTGATTTTGCGCAATCAGAATCTATGGGGAAATCAAGAGAATGAATCCAAGACTTAAATTTGGTCATTATGGTCTTTGCTATTTTAAACGGTTTGTTTAATCTTATAACCGTTACCAGACCTACATTTTAGAAACATACCCCAGGGCTATGGCAGCCCCTATGCCTAATATTCTTATACCAGCCCCTGTTCCCAATCCGGCCTTATCCCAACAAACCTGCATCCCAGCTCAGGCCCTATCCATCTTATTTAATCTTGACAAACCCTTTACCTGATAACTGAGAATAGACTGTATCCCCTTTCCCTGATAACAGACTGTACCCGTCCTATCCATGATAACCCTACTCAGGGCCCATTGCTGATAATCCAATACCACAGCCTATATCAAGGGATGTAAACTCTACCCCAGCTCCTGCACCCTACCCATCAGCTACCCAACACAACCCTACCCCAGCCACGGAAGCCCATTCATGCTGTATCGCTGACACCCTTATAATTACCCCACCGGAGCCTCTGTGTCAACCCCTCATCGTCTGTATTCCCCTTCTCCGTCAGCCCCGATCCACCACCCAAGACCTCATAAATATCCAAAGCTGATCTCAGATCATCCCCGATACTACCGTTTATCCCAACTCAACCCCAACTGATAACTCCACCCCATCTCAGACCCTATCCATGATTCCCTCTCTATTCTGAATAATCCTACCCTCTCTGCCCCTATCTCTGTTACCCCAACTCTAAACCAAACCCAGACATAATGACACGCACTCTTTCTTTGCTATATCTTCGAACTTTCTCCTCTATGTGGCTGATGCGTATGACGTCCTCTTGATCCACGCATTCTGCGTAATCAGACCCACTATAGCCTTCCAGTACGCGTACAATACACGGCATGGGGTTGCTGTTCATCATGGCAGTGACCCCCGTGTATAGTTTGTCATCCAGACGAGGATCTAGAAAGACAAATAATGTAGACTTAAAATTACCACCATTTGTATTTCCAATTCCCACTGAAGCCTACAGGGGCGCATAAGGTAGTTTGAGGACCGTTTTGGGGGTAAAATCTGAAGATTTTGATTGGGGGTACGAGTGAAAATGGTCCAAAAAATTAGTAGTAGCCGCAATAGGGCCATCGATCTTGGACTTTACTATCGCCCGACCATGTCCAAATGTTAAAAAGGCGATCTGTAGAGTCCTAGTTACTCGGACTATCTGATTCCGAGGGTTTTCCCAGAATATTCTTTTGGGCTTTTCCTCCCACCTCTAAAACTGTAATTTCTTCCCATTGTCTCCTCTCTTTAGGTTTCGTCAGGCTTTCGGGCTATAGTGCATTGAAATAGCGCGCAGCAGCAGCATTTTGTTCATGACATGTGTACTCCGTAGTATATTCAATTTTGGGATCGGGCAACGTGGACATTTTCACCAATAGAAAATAAAGTGGTTATAATACGTGGTCTGTATTTGTCCACTCGCTATCGTATTAATAAAGAAATACTCAGAATTAAGTCCTATGCATGAAAATTATATGAACAGATCAGTTGAACACATTTTGAAAATTGCGGGGAACGACCCAAATTGAAGTCGGAAGTTCAAAAAGTGTATCCTTTAAAACCAGGAAAAGTGTGTAAAAAAATTAATGAAGTGTCAACATAACCCTGTATAATGTAATCGTATGTCATTGCTCTGATTTTAGACTCTTTGTGCTTGAAAATTCATTCCTATCAAAAGTTTTTAAAAAATGTTATAGGCGTAATTATGCCTATATAGCTTGCATAACTTTATGATGGAAAGCTTGAATCAAAATTTAAAGTTGAGCACATTTTCTGTCGCATTAACGACCACAGGTATAAAAATGCATTTCTATCACAAAATCTCCCCCCCCCCAAAAAAAATAACCATAGAAACAAACAACAACAAAATATCTCTTATTGTTTAAATCGATGCGATTCATCATCATCAGATGGCATGCGGTTGTTGGCGTTTTTTTAATAGTAAATCTAGACATTATATAAAAAAAAATCAGAGAGCATGACATTTTGACCCTGGGACATTCTCAAAAATGTAAAATGCAATCTTTAAAATGAATATTTATCCTACCCATCGGAAGTGTCTCGTACAACTGTTCGGCGTGCACAGGTAGCCATACTTCTTTCCCACTCGTAGTATCCACGGCATGCACCCGAGGTAGCTCCGCTACGAAGAGAAGCAACAGCGATTCTCCCTTCTGCAACTGCACGTCGTTCCCTTTCACCGAGAACTTCTCCCCAACCTTGACCATCTGCGGCAGCTCGTGCAGGGCATCGCTGCAGATCCGGGCCAGGTCCGTGTCCCTATCCTCGGCCTCCAACTTGAGAGTCAGCTTGGCGGGGAACTCCTCCGGAGGCTTGGGAGGACCCGGGGGCTCTGGGTCGGGTTGCTCCCGCCTCTCGTTATAACTGGAATAGCCTGGAGGCATATGGTTCGCCGGAGGCGGAGTCCAATTCTTCAAGAAACCGTGACCCATGCTCGGTCCCGCGCTCGGCTGATTGCTGGCCATGGTCCGCGGCCCCGGTGGTGTGTACTCCTTCACGTCAGATCTCGTCCGTCTGACCGGGGGTCGGGGAACGCTGCTCATTTGAACAACCGCAACAAGTTCAGTACTGCTCGCATATAATTAGTTTCCCCCTGAGGAACGTGAATGTGACGTTCTGGCGGAACCTCTATACTTTCAACTCAAATAAAACGCACACATTTTGTTTCCGCCTTGTATTGCGTAGCAGTTAATATGGCGACGCTCCACTGAAACATATACTACATGTAGTGTGGCGTATAATAACAATACACTAACCCTTGTTCCCTGTCTTTTGTCATTTTGTGTTCCGTACACATCACACAAAAATAACTAGACTTTGTGATGCAGTGAACCTGACGTACACTCAAACTTCACAGTTGGAAAAAATCACATGACATGTGCAGGCTGCTATAATAATGTAGTGCTTATTATATTGCGGCGTTGGGACTAAGGTCTGAAAGCGCTTCACAATTACTATGTACCCAGGCTACTCGTCAGGCCGCGAGACCAGCTTTCTGCAGCAGCTATATATATTAACAAGAGAGCTGTGCATTCAGATCTCTATCCTCAAAAGTATACCCATTTAGGCTCCTGGGTTTAAAGAGGCAATTGTTGTAAAGTATCTTGCCAAAGAACACAAGCACCATGTTCCCCGACTGGGCTCGAACGATCACACATGAGCCGCGAGCACCATAACTGTGATCATGGCACTCCAACCAAACCAACTGTACTTTTCAGGGAGACACTCCCCGGCACGGACAAACGAGAGAAACCCCCACAAGCTAGGACCTCCACTGGGTATTCAGCCTTTTGTTGTTTATCCAATTATAGTAAGGCTTTATATAAAGAAACGCTTGATAGAAAACTATAAGAGGGGGCACTCTAGTATCTGCCCTCCCTGGCGGATTTTTTTCACAACATTTTAAGTTTAGCAATTATTTCAATATAATGGTCAGAGAGTTCTGACATCAATCCCAAAAAGAAAATCTGCTCAAAAACCATTACAATGCGCCGTGAAAATGGTTATAATATAGTTTGCACTAGCATAAGAATGGTCAGTTGTGAAGAGCGCCCCCATTTGGAAGGTGCCAAGTGTCCGGAAAAAAAACAACAACACATGTCTACATTTCGGATGTGTGGTTGCCCCCCCCCCCAAAAAAAAACATCCAAAGCTGGATACGTACTCCATCACGGGCACAGTGAGTTGAAGTTGTGACTGTACGTGTGCTGTACTTAATTAAAATGCTGACCATTAGTTGGAAGTCGTTTGGACGGTAATAATCAAGTCTTCAAAACCAATAACTATATGGACAGATAGACGGGATCAGGATCGTCACGCTACGCTAGCAGTGCCATATCAAACCGAGACGGTCGTGGGTGCACCCGCAGCGCACTGAAAAGCTGTTCATTTTATGTGCGCTGTATGCATGGCTTTCCGGTGCGTGACCTCGTTTTGAATACTTAATGAGCTGTCGACGACGCATGGAATTTGGTCCGAAATATCCATTTTATTTGTCAACTATCAACATTATGTATATTTTCTTTTAGATAGAGATCCATTCTGTTATATTATCAATTCAGATTGGAAATTACGTGAAATTTAAAGGGAGAAATTTGTAACGGAAAAAAACCTTCCAATCTCAAGGAATTGGCCTTCAAAAAACGACGGTATTCTCCATCTTCTGACAGCGGCCACAGCTCAATTTCACACCAACGTCAGAGATAATGCTATATTTTATCCAAAAATTGTCGATTTCGCTTTGATCTTTAGCTAGTCTAGTCAGGGCGCAGAAAATTCTAACGATCTTCAAAAACCCAACAACGAAACATCCCGCCATGACAGTGCGTCGTTTTCCTGTGCCCTCATTGGCCAAAAATGACGTCATCGCGAAAGATTTAATAATAACGTGTAGTTCATGTATCCATGTTACAATACGCACGTGGAATTTTGTGCAGGGACTTATGGTAGGTTTTGAACTATTTTGTTGTCGCTGTAGAACCCTTCGGAATTTTTTTAATGTGTCCAGGGCCAATGTAAGTTAACACTTAATATAGACGTTTTTTCCCCTTCAAAATTGTATCCCCTTTATCAAATAATAAAATCCAAAATATAAAAACTGTACATGTGACAAAGTTGAAGTTATTTAGGGATATTTGTTTTCTGTATTTATTGAAGACAATTTTCAAAACACAACTTATAAAAATCCTATAAACTTTGAATTTATTTTATGAACTGTTTTATATAAGAACTGTATATTTTCATATAAAATGCCTGTTGTTTTTTTTATTCTAAATTTTAATTTTTAATTGGGCTGACTCATCTTTGATGACAATTCCTACAAACGTTTGTCTTGACCAGGACACTTTACTTTTATTTTTAAATAGATTTTAAATTATTGTCCAAAGATTTTTATAATAAAAAAAAAGAAAAATAAACAAACTTACATGTACATGTTCTTGCAAGCATTAACATACTAGATCAGTTTTGTATAATATTGTTACACCATCACATCCTTGCTTTGAAACACTTATAGAAAACTCAGATAGCTTCTTTTCATGACATCTCACATCACAAATTGCAAATACATGTGTTAATAATACCCATGTTTCCAGCCAGAATAAAAATCAGCTTGCATAAGGAAGGGAAAGCATTTTTTAAAATGAGTTTTGGCATACATGTCTGACAACATCTGTCTTTGGATAAGAAATAAACGTCAACAAAAATCAAAAGCAAAAATATCATCAACTCTCCTACAATCTAAAAACTGCTAAAATCTGGTAGTAACCTGTTCAATTTAAACAATTTACAGTGAAGTGAAGATGATAACAATAACCACAGTTTTGGCATAGTGTCACTAATCACGATTATGTACATGAAGCAATGTTTACATGTAGTACATTTTAGATAATCTTTGGTTGGTGTCTTTGGCATGGTATCTGTGGCATGACTTAAATAAACCGTGTTTAACATGGCAACAACAAATGGTGATGATGTTGTTTGCACAACGCAGTACATATAAAGGCCGGATCATACTCTGCGAATGCAAATTCAAATTGTTGACGTCACGGCACTGCAATTTCACAAAAGTTAAGCATGTTTCAATTCCGGCAGATTTGAAGCGAAGGTTTCACGATGTCAATGTCGCTTTCCATTCGTAGTCTTGAGAAATTTCCAAGTATATGAACCGGCCTTTACACTGAAGTACAAAAATCATAAAATCTGCACACAGGAACTTAATACTGCATGAATCTGAGTCTCAGAAAACATTCTTGTGTGAGAGATGATAGATTGTCAATGTCAACGACATAAAATGAGGACCATGCCAACCAAGCCACTGAAGTGAACGTGACAGTTCCTGTGTTGGAGGCGATGAAACTGTCAACGACAACTGATGACCGAGGCATTGAACTGGCTGGAACAGGTTCCTGTATTGATAGTGAAAGAAAAAATATGAGAATTGTAAATTTATCGAAAGGATTTTCTTCACGACTTTTCTTTGTATGACCAAAAGAAAATTAGTGTATAGCGTAAATGCACCGTGTGTTGTATAGTTTTCCCAGGGAATTTTCCAAAATTAACTGAACAAAAACCGTTTCGGTAGCATTAACAAAAAAAATCTGACATTATTTGTAAATTATTTAAAAACAACTAACTATCTTCATGCAAATCAGACATCCATACACATGATAGAAGTTGATAGAAATGGATTTTGGAGTAAATAGCTTGGCAGCTGAACAAAATTTTATGATCCCATTTTGTAATAAATTGAAAAATTGTAAATAAACAAATTTGCATAGGCCTAAATTGTAAAAAAATGAGAAAAATGTACATAAAAAAATTTAACATGCATGACGAATTGACTAGATCAGCCACCCCCAACATGCCCAACATGCCCTAAAATGCCAAAAATCCCTAAAAAATAAATGTGCTCGTGTGCACGATCCGCATGTACAAGCCGAAAGAAATGGCCGAAAAACTTCAAATCTCGCGCACGAAAAGTGTCGCAGAAAAAACTACAAACATGTCGCCACAAGCTAAAATACATATCAAACGAAAGCTCATTGCTTCCTTAATCGATGTGTGGTGATCATTTTCGTCATTATTACCTAGTCCAGTCAGGGCGCAGGAACTAAAAACACAACAAAAATAGTCCTCAAAATCACACCCCAACTTCGAGTGAACAAAATTCCGCCAAAAACTTACTGAATCTCGACATATTTTATATCATTCGATTCGGAAAAACGTTCGCTTTCGACTTACCACGCCATCTTGGAGACCCGCTACTTCATTTGCAACATGTAGTTCATGGAAAATAAGCTGCCAAACTCTCGCAATAACACGTGTAAGTCTCGTGGCCGATTCGTGACGTAGCCCGTGCACATAAAGTTCGGGATTTGACCTCATTATCGCGTGCGCTGCGGACTGACTGCACCGAGAGGACACACACGGCAACTGTGTCAGGTAAGAATCGATGATGACAATGGGATCAGAGTATTTTGTGGGAAATTTTTGAGCGTGGGCGTACCATTGTAATGAAATAAAGGCCTTTATAAGTTTCAGAAAATAGAGGGCGCTCACAAAGATTTATAATGCTGTTGCGCCAGATTCCCCCCATCACTTTTATTACGCTTTATGTTGCATGTTGCAAACCCTGGTTGTGTACAAGTTGCAATTATGCTCAGTCAAGTCTTGACGTTTTTGTGCCGGATTATGGTTGCTGTATATAGGTGAGTAATAATGAAGTTTCATTTCTCAGCTTGCTATGACTGCCATTGTGTTCATCTTGCTCATTCCATGTTGCTATTTTGGTCTTCACTGTCTCTTTTCCAAGTACGTTTTTTCACAGTGTTGTCCTTTAGTCTATGAAATAGACCTTTAATTGCGCAAAGGTCATTGACATTAATTTGAGCGGATTCGACAAATAATAAGCAAAATAATTCTTACATGATTACAAAACCATATGGCAGTAAATGAAAAGAAAACAAAAAAGGATCACTGGTATTGAGTGGAGAGGTGGGTTACAAATATATCCAAACTACTCTCTAGTCAGTTCTTGTGGTTAACGATTTATGATCATTTTTTTTCTCTTCAGTACAAGAAATCGGGGCAAAAACTAGTATACAAAATTAACAAAAATATTCTGACTAGAATCAGCCCACAGTCAACGTATTTCTATACCTCGCTTGACGTTTTGAAGACTTCTTTTCACTTTCATAACAGAACAGTATCCTCTATTGCAACCCAAACAGAAAGCGATATTGCCAGACACGATCTGAACAAAGGTCTGGTTGCCTAAGATGATTATTTTACATACTGAATGCAAGGCCTTCACCGAGTTAATAAATACACTGAAAAGAAGGAGGCGGTCACACCGGTGATGGGCTGAGATTGGTTTTATTTTAAATGGGTACTTGGCCTGGTCTGGTCCTAGTATAAGCCTGTGTGGTCTGTGTAGTATGTGAGGTCTGTGTAGTCTGTGGTCCTACAAGAAGAAATAAACACAAAGGGAACTAATAAATACGTGCACATGCCTAGGAAATCCTAATCATATCATAAACATTAACAACATAAACGTATGTCACTATAATCAGCCCAGCAATATACACAACATGTTTACATAAACCCAAATATATGGAGGTAAGGGCCAAAACACTTATAAATTAACACTGGATTTACAAAAGGGTCCCTAAATATCCCCAGCGAAGAATTAACCCCATGCAAATGTGTGTAGGTATGACATGGCATGTGATTCCAATATAAATCAGTACAATGAACATTACAACCCAAATCTAACAATAAACATGATAAACGTGAAGTGAAATCCCTCCAAATATCGTATCAAGATTAACCAAAATTATACTCACTTTCAGTAATTCACGCACAGGGGGTATTTATAATTAACCTGGTGATTGGATTATAAAGGCAAATGATGATTTGGAGTCATTAACAAGGATTTTACGGACTAAGAATTATCTGGAAACAACGTGATTCGACAAGGATTTGGCAATTATAACAGTCAGTCACAAGAGGGCGCTGTTGTGCACTCCAGTGGCGAAGACGCTTTCGCACAGCCGCCCCTAAATTTGGGCACTAAATTTATGGAATAGAAAGCATCGGAGCCACTACAGTTCTCACTCAGAGTCCATTAGGGCTGGATCTTTGTCGTTTTCCTGGTCATCCTTGACACCTTCATTGGTGACTTCTGGGAGTCGTATCAGGCGGGCAACAGGGCGAGTGTAGTTCTTCTTCCTCACTCTCACGCTGGCAGTGCGCACACGACCATCTGGTCCAGGAAAGGTGTCGACGACTCGTCCGATGGGCCACTGAGCCCGGCTAAGTGCAGGATCAACGATCATGACAACATCATCAGGCTTCATCTCTGCACCGTCTCGTTGCCACTTCTGTCGTATCTGCAGAGAGGGTAGGTACAGCCCGATGAAGCGCGACCAAAAGTGATCTGCTAACACCTGGCTGTGTTTCCAGTGTCGTCGGCTGAGTAGGTCCCTTGCTGGGTAGACAACTTGTGGCAGCGCTGCATCATGTCGTCCCATCAAGAGGAGGTTCGGGGTAACTGGATCTGGGTCGGCGATGTCTGAAGAAACATAACCCAGCGGTTTGGAATTAAGAATACCCTCAATTTCTATCAGAACGGTGCGCAGGACTGGTTCGGGTACAGCCTGACTGAGGACGACTCTCAGGCCAGCTTTGACAGACTTTATCTCCCTCTCCCACACGCCACCAAAGTGTGGGGCCTTCGGTGGGTTGAAGACAAACTTGACTTGTTGTTTGGAGAGCTCTTCTTTCAGTCTGGGTTCCATGGTAGAGAATGCCTCATGTAACTCTGAAGCTCCGCCCTTAAAGTTGGTACCACAGTCGGACAGTATCTCGAAGGGCTTCCCTCTTCTGGACACAAACCGTCTAACGGCCATCAGGTAGGCGTCAGCACTGAGACTTTCTAGCAGGTCAAGGTGCACCGCTCTGGTAGTCATACATTTAAAGATAATGCCCCAGCGCTTCTCGGTGCGTCTCCCTGTCTTGATTGTCATTGGCCCAAAACAGTCAACGCCTGTGGAAAAGAATGGCGGCTTGTACAGTCGCAGGCGTGCTGGTGGCAAATCTCCCATCTTTGGTACGTCAGGATTGGCTCGCCATCGTTGACATCCAAAGCATTTGCGCTGATGCTTGCGAATGGCCTCTCGTCCTCGCAGAACCCAAAACTTACGTCTCATCTCTGCAAGCACACGCTCAGGCCCGTAGTGAAGTAGTTTCTCATCATATTCTCGGATCAGAAGTTTGGTAATAGGATGTGCTGGATCCATGACGATGGGATGACGGGAATCTTTGGGGATGTCTTCCGCTTGCCGTAGACGCCCACCAACATGGATGAGACCAGTGAAATCATCATACTCTGGAGCTAACTGGAGGAGCTTGCTATCTCGAGGAAGATCCCTTCCAGCCTGAAGAGCAGCTAAGTCATCAGGAAAACTTCCTTGCTGAGCACGGCGGTACAGTAGCAGCTCGATGTTGGCTCGATCTTCAGCACCCAACTCAGGTGGGTCACCAGTGTCGGCCGCCCCATCACGATGCTCCTTGGTAGCCATGATGAGGTCTTCCCACGTGTCACATTTGGAAAGGTCGGGAGGATCTTCAGGATCCACAGCCACGGCACCACAGAAGGTTGACTTCTTGTACTCAGAAACATCTTCTGGTGGTGTGGCCGGGTGGACAGGCCACTGGTCAGGAGGTGACAAGAGGAATGGGGGTCCGTCTCGCCATCTGGACTCTTGGGCAAGCTCCATCAGGGTCTTGCCTCTGGTGAGGTCATCAGCCGGATTGTTCTTGGTATTGACGTAGCGCCACTGTTTGACATCAGTGAGGGTCTGGATCTCCGCGACTCGAGTGCCGACGAAGACCTTATAGCGACAGGATTCAGACTTCAGCCAGGTGAGGACAGTTGTCGAGTCGCTCCAAAGGACAACATACTTTACAGGTAAACTCAACTCTCTCTTGAGTAGCTGGCACAGCTGAGCACCAGCCAAGGCAGCCGATAGCTCCAAGCGTGGCATGGATAGCTGTCGTTTGGGGGCAACCCGGGACCTGGCCATGACGAAGCTGACATGGATATGATGGTGTTTATCTTCTGCTCGAAGGTAGGCTACAGCACCATAAGCTCTCTCTGATGCATCGCAGAAGATGTGGAGTTGGTAGCTTGATGGCTTAACATCTACCGCTAAGGGTGTGTAGCATCTATCCAACTGGATGTCGGTCAGTGCTGGTAGCTCCATTTCCCAGGCCTGCCATTGGTCTCTGATGGCACCAGGCTCTAGAACGTCGTCCCAGTTGCACTTGGTTTTCCACAAGTCTTGGACGATCACTCTGGCTCGGGTAGTGAACGGAGTGAGATAGCCGATGGGATCATACTGGCTTGCCAATATTTTGTACATGTTCCTCATGTTAAGGGACTCGTAGTCGACTGTTCGGTGGCGGTACTGCAGGTTGTCTGTGCTGCAATCCCACTGCAGTCCAAGGGTGGCCTCAAGGGAGTCAGTGTCACCGTAGGTCAACCAAAGTTCACAGCCATTGGACCGAGCATCTGGTGGGAGATCCTCAACTACCGTAGGGTCGTTACTGGCCCACTGACGTATCTCGAACCCGGCATCGGCCAGTAGGTTTCGCATCTGATGGACCAGGTGCTTGGCTTCTCTGGATGAGGGTAAGCTGTCCAAGCAGTTGTCGACGTAGAAGGACTTGTCGACCGATTCTGCTACTTCAGGATACTGCTCCTTGTGGTCGCTGGCATGCTTCCTGAGTGCGAAGGTCGCACAGCACGGACTACATGTGGAGCCGAAAGGGAGGACCTGCCATTCGTGTATCTGTGGTTCTGCTTCCACCTTCAGGTTTCGCCACAGAAAGCGAAAGAGGGGCCTATCTTCTGGTAGAAGTCGCACCTGGTGGAACATCGCTTTGATGTCTCCGGAGATGGCTATGGCGTGTTGCCGGAAACGTAGAAGCACGCCGATGAGGGAAGCACCCAGTTGTGGTCCGGGAAGGAGATGCTCGTTGAGCACTTGGTTATTGTACTGAAAAGAACAATTGAAGACCAGTCGGTACTTCCCATTGTGATGAACAGTGTGGTGAGGAATGAACCAAGATTCATCAGACATTGCGGCTTCATCATCGGGTAGAACTCGCACATGACCTGAGTCGACCAGCTTTGTGATAAGCTCGTTGTGCTTTTTCGCCAGTTGTGGGTGCTTCTGTAACCGCTTCTCTGCTCTCCTTAGTGTAGGAAGAACTGCATCTTTCGTTACCTGGAATCTGTCTCCATCCTTGGTTCTCAGGAGGGGCGTGGCATAACGTTGCACACCATCAAGGCTGACACGGGTGGTTTTAGACTCCAGCATCTTAAGAGCATACTGGTCTTGTTTGGATCGGGTGACTTCCTTATCATTGGCGTAAGGGAGCACATCTGCCTGCCATAACATCTGCACATGCTGCAGGAGGTCATTTGTAACCGGGAATGTGGATGTCTTGAAGACTCGTTGCTCCAGCTGTAGATCATGATTCCCAGTGGGTCCTTGGAGGGTCCAGCCAAGCCTTGTGTAGATAGCAACTGCTGCACCACGGGGTCCAGATCTTATTGGGCATTGGGGGATGATAAGATCTGTTTGGTCAGCTCCAAGGAGTAACATCGGCGATGCCTGGTTAATCACTGGTAGCGGCAGGTGACGGAGATGGTTATACCGCTGCTGGAGAGCCTTTACTGGATATGTGTACACCGAGAGACACAGATTGCTGGCAGAGAAGGCTCCATTGATGGTGTACTTAATGTGGGGCTTTCCCTTGGGTGACACCTGCAGAGACATAGCCGAACCTTGGCATTCGACTATGTCATCACGGACAGTTCTAAGGAGGACCGTCTCTGGCTGGCCTTTAAGCTGTAACTTCTCGGCTGCTGTCTGGATTAGCATACTTCTCTCAGAACCGTCGTCCAGGATAGCATATGTCTCAATGGTGCCAGCGGGGCCATGAAGGAGAACTGGCACAACCTTTAACATCACACCATGCGGACGGATTGGCCTGTCAACATAGACATTCAGACTTGATGTCTGCACTCTGAAGACATGACTGGTAGTCTTGTGAGCGGCATCATGAAGTACAGTTAAGTGTACTTGTTTGCAGGTGTGACATGGTTTCTTGAGGGTACACTCATCGGGCTTATGTGCACGACCGCACTTCCAACATCGTCCCTTGTCCTGGATCCAACTGACGATCTGATCAGTGTTCAGCTTCTTGAGTTGTGGACATCCACCCAGGTAGTGTTCCTTATTATCACAAAAGGGACAATAAGGCTGGGGTTTGTACTTCGGCTTTGGTACTGTCATGAGTACTGCTGTTGGGGTATCCTTCCTGGATATTCGCTGCTCCTGGTATCGCTGCGGTCTTGGGTTACTCAAAGTATGCCCGGACACTGCTCTACTGGCAAAGCTGTGTGACTGAGATTTCCTACGGAGCCAACTTGCAAACTGGGGTAGGGTGTAGGTTTGACTACAGTTCGACTTCAAGATGCCCTCCTTCAGGCAGTGCTCCATGAAACTCGTCCTGTGGCTGGGGGCAACCTTGCTGAGAAGACGGTCGACGTGCGAGCCACAACGGAGTTCAATGCCGTCAGGACCTTCCAGGGATTGTAGCATCCCCACAAGGGAGAGGACATCCAGGGAGAACTCCTCAAATGCTTCAGTATCACCATACTTGATGGCAGGGGTGGCCATTATGGCTGCGATCTCGCACTGGACGAGCTGTCGGGGTTGGCCGTACTTGTCGGTAAGAGCAGCTAGGGCCTCAGTGTAGGGCTGACGAGTGTACATGAAGGACTTGGCAAGTTTCAATGCTCTACCACCAAGTCGGTCGAGCATCACCTGGAACTTGTATTGTTCTGTGAGGTGTGGATGGACGTTGATAAGGTTGTCCAAGGCCATGCGGAGTAAGGCAAATTCCTTCTCTCTTCCATCGGAAAATCTTGGCAGAGCCGGCTTGGGAATTCCATAGGACGAAGCTACAAGGAGGTCAATGGCTGTTGCACCGGGTACCATCGGAGGGGGACCGGTGGGAACAGGTTGAGCTTGATGTGCTGAGTGTGGTGACATGCGACTGGTTGTCATGGGTGCATGTCCATCAGCACACAATGGTGTGGGGTGGCCACTGACTAGTGTTGTCATCGAAGGAATCTGTGACACTGCAAAGGTTGTAAGACTTGGGATGGCTCGAAGAGATGTATCTGGTACGGTACGGTTCTCTACGGGAGATGTAGAGGGCACAGGTTGTGCAGAAGTACACACGGGGATTGTACCCTGGCTTGTCGTAGTAATGGTGACATCTGTCAGCGTTGTATCATCACTGATCATGGCGCTGATGGCTTCAGCTTCGACTAGCTCCTGTTGAGCCTGACGCAATCTGCGTTGACGTGACAAATTTGTAGATATGGCTTCACGCTCTCTCAAAGCCTGACGCTCTATTTCTTCAGCCTTGAGTCGAGCTTGTCGAGCTTGGTCATCAATACGATGGAGTGCTTGGTCTGCAGCCTCTTCTTCCTCTAACTGGTGCTGCAACTCCTCAACTCGAATCTTCTTTCGAAGGGTCCGCATCTTTGCTGCGTATTTGTCACTCAGACCAGATAGGTGGGAAGCGACGGAACTATTAGACCGGTTGCTGCGATGGGAGGAGTGTTCGCTGTTGGCCATAGCCACATCACCTGTATGGCCAATGGTCGGTTGACCGAGAACGTCATCTTGTGGTTGAGACATTCTGGAGGTTGAAATGGTGATCCAAGGGTCGCTGGTTGTAGGATCCCGGGTTTCGGCACCATGGAAGGAAGGAGGCGGTCACACCGGTGATGGGCTGAGATTGGTTTTATTTTAAATGGGTACTTGGCCTGGTCTGGTCCTAGTATAAGCCTGTGTGGTCTGTGTAGTATGTGAGGTCTGTGTAGTCTGTGGTCCTACAAGAAGAAATAAACACAAAGGGAACTAATAAATACGTGCACATGCCTAGGAAATCCTAATCATATCATAAACATTAACAACATAAACGTATGTCACTATAATCAGCCCAGCAATATACACAACATGTTTACATAAACCCAAATATATGGAGGTAAGGGCCAAAACACTTATAAATTAACACTGGATTTACAAAAGGGTCCCTAAATATCCCCAGCGAAGAATTAACCCCATGCAAATGTGTGTAGGTATGACATGGCATGTGATTCCAATATAAATCAGTACAATGAACATTACAACCCAAATCTAACAATAAACATGATAAACGTGAAGTGAAATCCCTCCAAATATCGTATCAAGATTAACCAAAATTATACTCACTTTCAGTAATTCACGCACAGGGGGTATTTATAATTAACCTGGTGATTGGATTATAAAGGCAAATGATGATTTGGAGTCATTAACAAGGATTTTACGGACTAAGAATTATCTGGAAACAACGTGATTCGACAAGGATTTGGCAATTATAACAGTCAGTCACAAGAGGGCGCTGTTGTGCACTCCAGTGGCGAAGACGCTTTCGCACATACACTACCCATGCATGAAAGACTCTGAAGTTGAGAAATCACCGACGTTAAGGCTATTCGGGTCATTTTAATTAACAGAAAGATAGTTTTAAAATAAAAAAGCCGACAAGGAATGTTATATCAAGCGATCGCATATACAGGTATTCTGGTCTTTTTAATAGAGTAGTATCTAAAAAAGAAAAACAGAATTCAATGTTATTCAAGCCCAGATATAACAAAAAGTTTTGTAATCGCACAAAAAATAACAAAACGCCGACAAAAATAAGTGTTTGTTTTTCAAAATCGAAAGGACTTTTTTTTACACTCAATGTACCCTCGATTCAACTGCGAAAATGTACTTAATAAAACACCGGGATAAGAGCTTCAACACATACACATTTTACATATAATTCTACTAAAGTAGAGTAATCTTTCATTTCCCCAACATTCGCCATTCGTTTATGCGTTAAGGTGAAAGTATAAAGTCCGAATCCAACTTGACACATACTAATGGGTCCGAGTCTTCCAGTTTACTTTATTGGTATGTCAACAAGTATACTTCAATAATAAGCTTTTTCAATGACAGCCATCTCATGAAATAATAAGATTCACCAATTCATGAAATAACAGTCAATTGAACAAAACGTTACAAATGTATCTCTGAGCAAAGAAATGGGATAATTATTGCAAAAGCCGGGACATTACGTAAATTTGGAAACATACTAACCCTCGATCCAGTCAATTTCTCACTCTTCAACTTTAGAATTATATCCACCTAGTCCATTCCCTCTCTGCTTTATTTGACAATAAAAAAAAAATTCAACATCTGGGCTGGTATTAGAGAATTTCATATTTCAAAAAAGAAATGCATATTAGTAATTTTAAAGACTGTAAATACAAGGTATCCCAGAAAAGTTGTGCAAGCAGATTTCCTATAATTTCTCAAAACAACTAACATGATTATTTCATCTTGAAGGAGACATTTCTGATATTCTGTGTATATTCAGTAAAAATGCCATGGAAATCCGTTCATGCAAACCAGACATCTAACAGATCGTAAAAGGCTATGGGTTTTTCACCCATTCCAATGGGATGGGATTTACACAGTTAAATTAAAATGCCCATAGCCATCCGATGCACTGATATCTCTGACTGCGCACATCCCATTGGAATGGGTGAAAAACCCATAGCCTTTTACAATCTATTATAAATCTCTGGTCTGCATGAACGCATTTCCATGGCATTTTCACTAATTATACACAAGTGTATAATTAATATGCTCCATCAAGATGAAATACTCATGTTAAGTAGTTTTTGAGACATTTAATGATACCTGCTTGCTCAGCTTTTTGGGGGACACCCCTTATAATTCACAATGACATTGTTTAACAAAATAAAGCAACTGGCAATTTCATCAATTGAATTTTGATAAAATAAAGGGAAATCGACTGCTTACACATCACCATACCAGAAGCTTACTTTATTCTACTATTCCGCGAGCTATACATGTATAATATAAATGTGTATAAAATAATACCATCTCAATCACATTATGTACTCACTTATGGTAATCCACTGACCGAATGCTAATCTATTCCATAATGTATTCAATAGGGGTTTTGGCCTTTCGTGTGATTTTGACCACTGTCGAGGAAACATTTGACTAAACTAAAAACTCACTGACTACAGATCTATCATTGACACATTGTGATGTAAATGAAGAGAAAAACAGATCATACAAAAGGTCTGTGAAGTATATACACTTGTACATGTTTATGTATATCCAACCAGTTAATATGAAAAAAATCTAACCCAATCCTTCCCAACATTTCGACTTGGTGCCCGACAGTGTTTCACGCTAGCTTCCCATTTACTTTTGAAATAAAAAGTAAACATGCAGGAATACTGTATTTTTTTTGGGAAAAGCCAACTTTAGCGATCTTTTTGGTCAACAGTTTGTTGTGAGCAAGCGTAAGCAACATGGCTAATGAAATAGCTGAACGCACGAATGAACTACAGCATTTACTTGAATTAAGGGCGATTTGGACTTATGTATGGAAAGAGTGGTAGAATATTGCAACAGCTCTTACACCGTTGTCCAAAATGGTAGGCTTTGCCAACTTATTGAATGCTTATTGAATGAAAATCTGTTTTCTTTACCTACAGCTGTTTGTATTTTTACACACATATTTTCGTGACAGAGAAGGTACGTATAATTGCTGCAACACAAATTAACAGCAGAGACATTTTACACATTGCGTAAGCCTATAGATCACATCCAAACAAATAACAGTGTAACTTTTATGCACAAATCAGTGAAGACACAAAAAGACCTATTGCTTCTAACTTTGTTCTGCAACCTATAAACTTATCTTCATAAAAATGGTGAAGGTTACATTTCTGTTGCTATTCAACACTTGTTAATATCAATTTCAAGATCTCACATTTCATTTCACATTATGTATTTCAAAAGAAAGCACATGTATTTGGAAATTCCTCACAATGTCTCCTGATAGTGTTCTGCTTAAAGGGCATTGTCAGGAGAAGAGAAATCTGGAAATCACATGATACAAAGAGAGAAACTTTACCATCTCTTTGGAACTTTCAGACAGTTTTCCCTTTTTATAAAAGAGTCAACTAATTATATATATCAGGTATAAGTTGCGAAAGAGTTGATACCCAACAGGCCGATTGTGTTGGTTATTTGCTGCATGATTCTGAACAACTTCCCTTGAATCTTCCTGCAATAATGTTATCATTAATACATGCTCTATTTACTTCAATAACTTCATTGTGGTGGAAAGATACCAGGTCAATTGTTCAGAATTCTACAATGGGATCATAGACACATTCCTTTTCTCCAACTTATCCCAATTTTAAAGAGATAACTCCAATCTTAAACTGTTCCCTCAGAATGCAGAACCTTTAATTTGCCTTTGTCTCAGCAACTCTCAGCCCAGACACAGAGGTAAAAAAAAAAACCTTTAATACTCTTTCACATTTTTACTACAACCCTTTCTTAAACTTCCAAGACCAACCATTATTCTAGTAACTCAACTATACCTGGCATATATTTTCCCTTGGAAGTGGCATAAAGCCGGTCACCTTCCCAAATCCTACAAAATACTCCAAATTGTTTTGGTGGATTTTTAAGGATCTGGATGGGTGGGGTTAATATACCTAAAAAAGAAATCAGCAAATGTCATCGATATATTTAGAGTGTTCAAAATTCTGGTTTTTTTTCTACTGAGACAACTGCAAAAAAAGTAGCGCTGGTTGACTGATGAAGCATATAATTTCCAACAATACCAAACATAATGTCATTCACAAATCGAAGTTTGAACAAACAAAGTCTTAGACAAACACTGAACATCCATGTTTGAAAGCAATAAACGAAATAACAGCTTGCTATGATGAAAGGACTAGTATCATGTCTATAACATACTGCAAAAAGTGTCAAAGTGAGGGCGCCATACAACTTGTACCACCATGTCTGAAACAACTATTCATAAGATGGAATTTGCGTTGGGGTGATGTAAATTCAACAATAGGTTTCGCCCTCTTTTGACGTATTTTATAAGCACTGTATACTCAGTGTTGTCCCGAGTGAATGTGAGAAAAAAAATCACTCGGGTGGGACTCGAACCCATGACCTCCTGCTTACTAGTGCAGACGTCTTACCACTGAGCTTGCCGGCACCGGCTGGCTGGTTCGAATCAGAAATAGCAACGGGTACTGCAACCAAACTATTCATGAGATGGAATTTGCGTCGGGGTGATGTATATAATATTAATAATAATGATTTCAGAGGCTAATCATCCTTACTCACCGCTGAGAAGCTGAATTGCAAAGGACGTGGCTACGTGGTCGAGCCGCTGGCATGTAATGTCATCTCTGGCAGCCAGCCACATCGACCCATAAATGACCACTGAGCACAGCCTGAGATCAAAAGTGGTTTTTTTCCGGAGGGAGGAAAACCCAGAGGGTCCGAAGAAAAAGCTTTGTGGCACAGGAGAGAACCAACGCACAACTCTACTCACCTATGGCATGTATGGTCCGCGGTCGGGATTCAAACCAGGGCCACAGTGGTGAGAGGCGAGCGCTTTAAGCACACTAAAAAATGTATTCTCAGTGTTGTCCCGAGTGATTGCGTTAAAACATCAGTCCGGTGGGACTCGAACCCACGACCTTGTGCTTACTCCAGTTTTTTTTCGGGACAACACCGAGTGTACAGCGTTTATAGAAATACGTTGGTGAAGGGCACATCCCAATACTGAATGTCTGAAACAGAGTGTTTGTATACAGCTTTGGATATCTACTGGGTTTGTCAATGACAAAAACCAGAAACCGTAGCTCCCAACAGCTGCATCATATGCAACTCAAAAATGAAGCAATTATGATAAATTGTCCTTTTGTCAATATTCTTTACCCTAAAGCTGTTTTCCACAGAATAAATGAATTTTAAACAAAATTGAAATTCAGAAGAAAAAAATAACAGTGTGCTGTGTTTTTTTTTTAGTGGCAACGTAAATTACATCATGCACACAATGTACAAAACTTTCCCTTATATCAAATGGTGTTAACTAAATCAAAACCTTTTTAGGCTTGGAATCGATACAAAGAATATTTAAATGCTTAGCCAAAAATTAAACATATACTTTTGTTTTAACGGCATAAAATCTGAAAGATGGCATTAGGTATTTTCAAGACACCAACTTGGCCCAAAATAATAGGCTTTTGGTGTGCTGAAGGCAAATTTTAATTGCTGTCGTACGGCAAATCGAAAGAATTTGGACAAATGTTCATGGTTACAAGTTGAGATGTTCAGGATTATTAAAACATATCTGACACTGTCACCTTAGTCTGGCTCCCTTAGCAAGACCAAGCAGTAAACACCGATTGCTGTGCACAGGTGATAGCTACCAGACTTAATTTTCTACAAGCACCACTGGCTTTGCACTTATTTGGTGCCAAATAAAATATACATGCAGATACCTGATAGTCCTTTTCTTTTCATGGATTGAAATTACGATTTTTATCAAACACATTTAATAAACCATATGTTGGACTGAGATCGTATGACAGCAATTAACTAGAGCCTTGAAACGTCCAAGTAAATGATCTTGACCTATTCGGTATGTATACATACAAGATGGAGGATTATGTACAATGAAATACCTATGTTAAAGTTACTGGAGTCTTTGTTGACCCTTGACCCGCGACCTCTGTACTTGACCCCTTCTATGGTGCTAGTGACTGCCCCCTGACTTGGAATGTTGTATCAACCATTGCAGTGTTATGTCTGGAAAATAAGAGAAATAAAGGACAGGTAATTATAAACAGAGTTTAACACCGACAATGCAAGGGACTTTTCATTTTAACTATTTGAGATATCAATTACTCTCAAAAGTCTTTCCCTTGAAGTGCTTACCTTTTTCCTGCTACTGCACAATAAAAATATATCATTCTGTACCTTCACTGACACTACAAACTAACATTATCAGTATTGTACAGTAGGCCTGTGTCATTTCATAGTATCAGTGACAATACAGTTTATAGGCAATTTCATGATTCTCTCAGTCACCAAAATCACACTGTAAAGCTCAATTGTACTCAGCATGTGGGAAACATTACTACTACAAGGTATCCACTGTACGTAGAACCTAGCACCTAGTTTTACCTAGGTAGCACCTAGTTTTACCTAGGTAGCACCTAGTTTCACCTAGGTAGCACCTAGTTTCACCTAGGTAGCACCTAGTTTTACCTAGGTAGCACCTAGTTTCACCTAGGTAGCACCTAGTTTCACCTAGTTTCACCTAGGTAGCACCTAGTTTCTGAATAACTGATACAGTCGGTCTGATCAATGGCAAGCGGATCAAGCCACTGTTGTGGGTGTTATCAACAAGATAAATCAAATCCAGTCTTGGGAACTTTGGCGCTTGGACCCAAGAAAGTCGCAGCATACCTCATGTGCAATATATTCAAGCTATTGTGCAGGCATGAGGTGTCAAAGTTCCCAAGGCTTGGTCTTAGTGCAAGCCCCCTCTACCATCCCTCGCTTGAAGGCCTGGATGCATTAGGAGAACAAAATACATATCCAGCCTTGAACCAAGACTAGGTGGTGGCTTACCTATGTTTTCTTTCTCTTTACATGAGATGGAGTAGCAACAGATCTCTCTGTCTTGAATGGCTGAGAGATTCATCTTCTCAATCAGCTGTTTCTCGTCCAGGGCATTGGGCAAGTCTCGCTTGTTGCCCAGCACTAATACCTGCAGTCAAGATAGGGAGGGGAAACAATCTTAACCCTTGCTCTGCCACCCCTTCCAATTTGGGCTATTCACAATGCATTGCACCACCACGAGTTTGCCATGGATAGTCCATTTCTCAAGTCGACAAAACGGCCCATTTGAATGAGTGTCAGTAGACAACTTGAGCTAATATGTTATAGATTGGGGCAGGGCGTTCTGCCGCCTTACAAAAAAACACCATTTTGATAAAACAAAAAGAAAACGGCAAACAGATCCTTGAATCATACGCTTACGGAATTACTGACAATTTTTTTTTTAACATTCCAATGCCTGCCATTGAAAATTGAAAAACACTGTACAATATCTTCTGAAGCTTTGGAATTTCCTCTGTTTGTGTCCTAAGTTGCATGCTTGAAAATACGGCAGCTTGAGTACATTTGTATGTCCAACTGAGATGGGCTACATTACCCAAAAATAGCCAAGGGTCTAAGTAGGCTTTGGTACTTTGTAGATGGATATGTACAGGAACCAAGTTTCCTAAAATGACAATCAGTGGAACTATGATAAAGATAAGCATGGATATCCAGCAACTTTTTTAATTGCCTTAAAATACAGGTCTATTTTTCCAACATGAGCGTTCATGAGTATGGAGAACTCTAAATATTAGCATTCAGAGACTTCATTTTTGTTCAAATGAACAGACGTTTGCATCAATTGATGTAACCCCACCAGTCTGTAGAATATTTTCTAATTAGATCTAATGCTATGTACATTACATTCGAACCGGCCAACTGATCCCGTTAGCTCGGTGGTCGAGAGGTAAGACATCTGCACTAGAAAGCAGGAGGTCGTGGGTTCGAGTCCCACCCGAGTGATTTTTTCCAACTTTCACTCGGGAGGTAACACACTGAGTATACAGTGTATATATGTCGGTGAGGGGCAAAACCTAATTTGATTATTTTCATGGTCGTAATATCGTGATTAACTTACTGGAATTCCTTGTAACTGTGGCTTGTCCAGGAGATTATGCAACTCGTTCGTGGAAGCTTCCAGTTTGTCATGGTCTGCCGCATCTACCATGTATCTGTACGAGAAAATCAAACAGGAAAACTTTAACATACATACTTTTTTATTCATATTTAAACCAGTGATTAGTTGAAAGCGGGAGCCTATAGGAAAATCCCAAATGCTTTGCTGGACTTATAACCTGGGATGGTTCCTTTCTCAAAAAGTACTCAGTGCAAGTCACATAAGCCCTGGCTCTTCACTGTGTTGGAATATTCTTTGCATATCAATTTTGAAGGGGTAACTTGAAAACTTGATGGATTTTGAAAGATTTGGGAGGGCTATTTTTCCTGACAGCAGAATAGTGGAATTTTTGTATGCATTTTAAACGATGGTTGGCTGACCATTGTTACAAATTTTAAATTGTTTCTCTTCAAAACTGCCCCCTATTTACCAAATTAGTTACATGTAGTCCACATTTTGTTTGCATTCGGTTATACATTAATGATTGGGTGTAAGCCAGCTAGTCTGGTTCCTGGTTGCTCCGTTTCGTCTGGAGTACATGTAGGGTCAGGGAACCAGACTACAAGAACAACTTTTTTTTCTCTTGGTTTGTCCAGCACTCCACACAGGTCAGTGTAACAATATTTGCGATAAAATACCAACCCCCTGAAAAGCACAGCCAAAGCAAATGTTGTACATAACATTTAACTCACTGTGCTCGTAATTCTGTGCAGTTTTGATCACTACATGACATTTTGATCAGCTTGGTTGGACATTTACAAAAAGCAGATTAAAAAAAATTACATACACTCTTATTTTTTTCGATGGCCAGCCTGACACTACATGTATCAAGGAAAACAAGAAACTTCACTGTGGCTATTGAAGCTTTATCAAAAGCCAACTTACACAATACAGTTGACCCCTCTGCAGTATCTTTCCCACATGCTTCTGAATCTGGGCTGGCCTCCAATGTCCCACAACTAGCAGCAGAACAAAGAATGGTAACAAAAAAAACATGAATTTCTTAGACTAAATCAAATACGCAATACAATTCAACCCAATCACTGAGTGTAACTTTATGATTGATACACTGTGCAAGTAATTACGAACGACAAAGACATGTAAATTGATAACAAGAAAAATATTACCAATCATACCTTGATTGTGACATTTCCCTTGGTCAGTTTCCTCATGTTAAAGCCTACTGTTGGGATCATGTCTTCATTGAACTGACCAGACTGCAGTGGAAGAAAGAGAGTCCATTAATTCATTAGATTGGCAAAACAATTCCTAAATAAGATATTGTACTTTTACTGTTCAAGTAATTCAACTGGCAAAAATGCAAAAAAATGAATGGCGTCGATATTTTTTTCAATTTTCAGACTACACATGATAAAAATCCAGTATAAAATTGTAGAATAAAAGTGTTTATAAGAAAAACAATTGGCATCTATTATTTTCATGAATACAAAACTTGAAACTCTCATGGCCTTTTTCTTTAAGTATTTTACTTCGTAGACATGTCGATAAATGCAAACTTTAAATTAACAGCCGTAACTTGTCAACGAATTGTCTGACCGAAGTGCAACAAACAGTATAGTCAATACTCAATCATAATACCCAGAAACCCTCATTTCGACCTCTGCCCAGTTTTGTCTCATTTTGCCAGAATGCCACATAAATGCCTTTGCTACACCCAAACTAGACTATGATCCCAACTTCAGCTGGGACAGTACAGTCCCAACTTATGTGCTCCAGTTGGAACACTTTAGTGGGGATGGGCCCAGCTTAAGTTGGGACAAATTTTGGACCGATGGTCAACAGACTACCAAATGTCTGATGCACTCGACATCTCTACCGTCTCAATAGATGGTTCCATCATAATTATTTATGTTATGTTGCACACAATGACTCCAAGGGGAGATGATTTGTGCACAAGTCCGTACCAAATGGTTAAATTATTACCAGATGTTTGGGTTTAGGACGTTCATTCTTCCCTGTTTTGAAGTGGCTACAAGAATTCTAAATACAAAATGTAATACAAGCCAGTAAACGTACTAACTACTGATCAGTAACCTGTTCTTCGATACAAGGAACAATTCCCATCTCTCCGTCACAGAATTTTGTAAAATTACTAACACTGTTTTAATTTTGTTTTGTTTAAAAATCACAAAGCATGAAAAATATAGTTTGTCACTGTGAATGCCTTTTGAGTGTGTTGATTTAAAAAGTATTCAAAGAGTGGCATATCCTATGATTCCATACCCGACATTGTAAAAGGAGACAAAATAGGTAGAGTTTCTTCTACATATTTAACATCAAAGATGTTGACGTAATGTCAAAAGCATGCATGTCAAATTTTGATAAATCAAACCCAACAAGAATGTTAACGTACATGTAGGCTTTCTCTGATTGGTTCATATATAATTGCTGCGCCGGCTTTCTTTTAGTAAACTTCAGTTTTCTGGGGTTGAATTTAAACCTCCAGCAAACTAGCATTTACTAAAAGGAATCCGGCACTGGTCAGCTAAATATCCACTGCCTTTTATTCAACTGTCACTTGCCTATTATCAGATAACCTAAAATGAAGGTTTACAGTCAACTCAACCGTTTGCCAACTCAACTCGAACCAACTCGACCGTTTGGCCAACTGAACTGTTGTGCCAACTCGACCATTCACTGTCTACAACTCGACTTAAAACGTTGAGCCAACTTGACCGTCCAACAAACGTCTGGGTTGCACGATTACCTTCGATTCCTCTAATTTGAGCTGCGTTTGTAAGCGTGCTAGCTAGAGACATTGATGTAGCACCTCTAGCGGGCGGCGCGGTAAAGCTGGCATCCTAAAATCAAACAGGGGCGCAGGTCTGGTTCATGGTTTAGAAGTTAGATTCAGTGTCCACTTTTTTATTAATATCATACCCAGTCCTGCAAATTTTCAGCCTCGTAACCTGGCCTTTTTACCCATCAAACACCATGCAGCACCATGCTTTACAAATGAATAACAATCCAGTGCAGTGGTGTAGACACAAACCACGTCCATCCGTGTATAGGATGTCACTGCGGACGAGTTGTACAAAGGATTCTTCGGGTCGGACATCCAGGAACCTCGTTGATCTTCGCATAGTTTAATTATGCAGTTGCCGCGAAGGGGAAAATTTGAGGTTTATTTTGCTATCGTGTCATGGCCCTAATTTTAAAATTCCCTGCGGTTATAACTGTTCGCATTTTAATAGAGTATTTTTTTTAGCATTCAGCATGCACTTGGTTTGCGACAATGTGTCTTTGTTACAAGCAAACCTAAAGTTGTGGCCGTGTTTAATATATATTACAAAAATAAAATTAATCAGCTCATACTTTAAACCTTGCGTTTTTTTCCCCTGAAATATTTTATCAATTGTATTTGATCAGTCCGGGCAATGTCCTTTAAAAACTTCCTGTATTTTGCAAAGTTACCACGACTGTGTAGATTTTGGCTTGCCCCTTCGTGACTTCATTCCGACTGCGAAAGTGAGTTGGCAAACGTTATGGTCATGATGGTCTGACCATGGAGGAATAACCTCCATGGTCTGACAGTCCAGTTGGCTGGTTGGTTCGGGTTCAGTTGGCAACCAGTCGAGTTGACTGGATACCAAAATAAATATTAGAGCTTACATTCAAATGCAGTGAATGTTACGTTTGTAGTATAACCTTGACCTTGAAAATGGCTACAATAATTGGAAGAATGTTGCAACCTGACGCTACTCCAGCGGTTGTGTACAAAGTCTATGGAGAGTCAAGATTTTTTTTAAAGTATTTCCTAACAAAATTGGAAATGTTTCTCAGTCCCAGATTCACGTCTTATCATCATTTTTTGCAACCTTCATTGAGATGATAATTGATATGTGAAGAAAAAAGCAGCGTCAGGTTGCAACATTCTTTCCCAATAATTTTGTAAATTCAAGGAATCAACAACTACAACTTACAAGCATGACAAGGAAAATTGTCTGCTTTGTCCTTTTTGTTTTTGAATCAACCACCACTATAACATTAACATTGCATTATTATATCTCTATTTCTAACAGTTTTCACTGTTCGTGATTGACTCACCGATATAACATTCACAAATGTTGTCTTTCCCGAGTACTGAAGCCCAACTAATGTCAACTCCATCTCTTCTTTCCAAAACAGGCTTTTCAGCCAGTCCAAAAACCTGTTCAACGCCGCAAGCATGTTTCTGATCTTGCTGCTAGTGCTATTTTCTCAAGAACATAAATTCAGTTTGTGCATACAGGCGGGCCAGACCCGTCGGGCTTCTGAAGAAAGGAGAGAAGATGGGCTTTCGTAGCGATTGTTTTCGTCAAAAAATTGAGCAATTATGACCAGAGGGAGTAACAGTTTGGAGCATATCGTGTTTTAAAACCCGATGACTAAATTTACATTATGTGCAGAAACATCCTTCCATTTGTAGGTCAATGACCTTTACCCTTTCCTCGTGACGGGACGTCATGGTTCATCGGGGGACACACAGTGGTATACAGTACGGGATATAGCTACTCGTATTCGTGATGACATTTTACTTTTAAGTTCGCAATGACTCATATAATTGTGGTTTTTGCATGTTCAAGAAATAACTTTCGAAATGAAAATGAAATGTTTATGAGCTGAAGATAACCACTTATGTTTTTTGTGTGTAAAACTGAACCCAACGAAATATGTTTTCAGTTATTTAATCGTGTAATTTTACCCTTGAAAGTGACGGGGTTTAATGTAGTTATTATATTATCTGTGAGATCGGTTTGCGGTCCAACAAAATTTATTCAGCTCCCTTTGTGCTAATAATATGCCCCCTTCATTGTTAGGCCTGCTTGAGGTTAAAATTGTATTCATTTTTCTCGTAGATGTACGTGTCTATAGTCTTCTCACCGGTCCAAGATTCTTGTCATTTTTAGTGAAATATTTAATTTTATAATTAACCAGTTCATATTCCAAGAAATATTTTTGTTTCTATGTCTATTTCTCAGGTGATATAGCCCTCATAAATTTACAATAAAATAAAAAATAAAATAGAAATTCCATTTAAAATTCTTCCAAAAGAGTCAATCCAAAATATAAGGCTAAATAAAAAAAACCCAGTTGATCGTCCGGTTTGAGGAGGATGAGGGCCTTTAAATTTTGTTATATTTTTTTTTGGAAAATGGGCTACAATAGCCTAGTTGTAGTTAGCTTAATTTATACACGAGGCCTTTTTTAATTGATAGTTTTGGGTAGTTGTAGTAATAACTTTCTTTACCTAAAAACCTTATGCGATTAAAGTTGGAGCTGTTGTCGTTTACGTATAAGCTGCTGTATTTTTCTCAGTCAAAATACGTACACTAAAAACAAAGATGTAAAATTCCAACGTGTGCATACGTTTAATATTTAAGCTAACACCCGAGGGCGCTATTGCAATTTAACGGTCTCGCCACAAATCAGCAATACCTCAAACAAAAGAGGGCGCTATTGCAACTTGGCGGTCACCGAATAAACTAAAGCCAACAAACGAGGGCGCTGTTGCAACCTACTGGTCTCCGATAACAAAAGAGGGCGCTATTGCAATTTTGTCTATGGCGTGCCTAATGTTGCAATATTCACATTTTACAATATCTGTGTGTACTATGGCGTGCCAAATGCTGCAATTATGATGTTTTAAAATATTTGTGCATACTAAGTTTTACAATGCGTGTTCAACATTATTGAAAATATAGAAGCAATATTAAAATATTTGTTTCATGTCCCACAATAAACATGCTCATGTACAATGTTGAGTATGTACAATGTTGAATATGGGATTGCAATATACACTGTCGAGGTCACGCGTTGCGGCCTGGGGTCCAAACAGTTAGACATGGCATTTTATAGCGATACGTGTACTGTGACCTCTTTTTTTTCATCAATTTTTTCATCAATTTTTGCATCCGTTGGAAAAGAAAAATAACGGCATCCTTCACGTGCAGCGCTACGCATGAAGCACAGTCCCATTTCGCAGACTTATTTATTCTTTAATGTGTACAAAGATTAACAAGAAATTCGAAAATGTTCATCTTAATCACCTCCTTCAAATTGAACGGTCAAATCAGTGGCAGACAAGACATCATTGTTTTAGACACATCACGATTTCAGATGACCCCGCATGACCTCATACTTCCAGGGTGTATTGTAAAACACCATAAAAAAAAACATGGCAAAGGTACATATTGTAGAACACTGTACATCGCATATTATTTTGCAAATGACAGAAGAAAATGGAACTGGAAGGTCATACCCCTACCCCCCCCCCCCCCCCCCCAAAAGAAGAAGAAGAAAGATGATCTTTCCTAAAGTACTACTAGGCTATCAATAACATCAAACGTCAAGAACATAATTTCATAGTTAACAGTGGTGGCAGAAAACACAGCATGTCTATTGCGTGCGTCATTTTTAACATTAGCCTAAAATTAACATGATGTTAACAACAGAAAAGGACCGGTGCGTTTGCTGGCATCTCAAAAGTCTATGCATCCAAAAATTGAGACCATTATTTTAATACAGCGCCCTCAATCATAAACTGGTCTAGTACGACCACAGCGCGTGCTCACCATTAATTGGCTATAGCGCCCTCATTCGTGGACCTCATCTTTGAAATGGCGACTCCGTTGTTTCGCTCGTACCCCCCGCCCTGCAAATAAACAGGACGCTGGGATACTCTGATGAATTTACGCTCTGATTGGTTGGATTTTGCGTGAGCAGTGACCTGCGCGTCATCAAGGTCATGACTCTGCAAGGTTTGAAACCATTGATCTCCATATACACAGGGAGATCAATGTTTGAAACGGCCGTTAAGACTGATTCATTACCATTTTATTCCAGTTCAGAGATGTTTTTTTCTCGTTGAAAAGCGTAATAATGTAGGAAATTTTGTAAAACTTATCTGTGTTGTAAATTTACAATTCCTTTATCACTTATTCAGGCTCCGTTTTGAATCACGAACGGTCGGATTGCATTATGCGACGCTCAAAGTTTGTCCACATGGTCCGCAATGAAACAGAAATCACATCCAGTATAGAATGCGCGCAATTCTATGAGAATTTTCGGATAGCATTTGCGCACATTGTCTAACTGCGGTCTTGAACAGCTGCAGCCAGATGCTTTAAACATAGGTCATAGGCCACTTCCTTCACAAGATTCTGTGAAGCTCACCAGAGTATCCCAGCGTCCTGTTTGCAGGACGGGGGTACGAGCGAACTCCGTTGTTTGGATTTTATTTCAAATTTCAACAAAATCGATAGACCATTAATTTGGTCGAGCGCCCTCAGTCGTTTGGATCGGCACAAGCCCCCGCGCACAAACGAACCTGTTTTTACCTCAGCTCGCCCGTTCCAAAGTTACTTGTGATGGCAAATGCACAAGTATAGCCGACAGAAATTACAGAATAGCTTAAAGCTTTAGAGATCTAGTATTTTGAGGCAACAACAGCTCCCCAATCACTGATCTACGACGATCTAAAATCATGCTGTAAAGTTTAAATGGCGCCCTCTATTAGCTAAAGAAAATTCAAACGGCAACAATTGATATGCCGTCCACTAATTTGCCATAGCGCCCTCTATACGTACATTTTTTACGCCTTAATCAATAATGCATCCACCTTTTCTGGGAGGGGGGGGGGATAATGTTATATATATTTCATTATATATTTATCTTTTATCTTTTCAGAACCACACATACTCACAAAAGAGATTTTATTGTTATTTTATTATTATTAAACAATAAAAAAAATAGGATAAGCTAAAGGAATTTACTTGAATTACATGCATAATTTGCGAGACCAATCCCGATAATTTGACATGCATTTGTGGATCAAAATAACGAAGAATCATAACGTTTGATTAATTTGATACCAGTCAGTGCAAAACCTAGTCTGAGCATCACCCGTTATCCACGGAGCAAGACTCCTGTATGTGTCTACTACATATTATGCAAAACCTGGGGTGGCATCCAAACTGAAAATATTCATTTTTAAATTGCATTTTTCATTCAACCTTCTTTGAGTACTGACAAAAAGAAATCAAATCGGAGATATCGGACGAACATGAAAATCGTTAAACCATAAGTCCAAGATTAATTAAGTTTTCAATGTCAGGAGTCAGCGGCCCTCTAGCTAGTATTATAAAAGTAACCAACAAGTTTCAGTAGAGTAAGTACTTTGTCCTTCAATAAAATTACAGGTTTTGCTCCATAGTTAATTTTTAGGGGGGGGGGGGGTTGAAACCCCCACACCATTATTAGCGACGACTGTGGAAAAGGTTCAGTTTATGAAACATAATTTTGACAGGCAATCAGCTTGAGTGTTCTTCAGAGGCTATCGTAGTGTTGGACCTGCACTTTTAAGTTGCCCCAGATCAGAATGATTGTGCGTTCTGATTATTTTGTTTACTTACAGAAACTTCCTCATTGGTCACACTTGTCATTGATGTCGTATCCTTTGTGCAAACAAAACATACAAGGCAACAAAGGTTGTTTTTCTGGCATGCATGACAACAGCGCGGGTTATGCTAGTCTGGTCTTTTGTGTACTTTTTTTTGATAACAATGGTCTATTAAAAGCGGGACGAAGCGGGGGAATTCCCTTTACAGGACAATAATAGTAATCGTCAGGCATCTCGCAAATAATTCTTTTTTCTTCGTGTCAGACAAAATCGAAGTTTTTCAATGCTTTGGGGAAAAATCGGTAAATCACCTACAGCGTATCAATTAGTATAGGCATACATATTAGAAGTACAACTAACTTGGAATCCATTCGGACGTGTCCCGGCTGCAGTAACTTGAACGAGGAAGTTAGATGACAACAATCCAAAAGAAGTGCTGCATCATTTTTCAATGTTCACAGGAACTAAGTGGCAACAAAAACAGACTCCAGATTCAAGGATGAACAAGATACAGTTTCCCAACAGTTTATAGCAATTCGTTAGAATAATATCATGAAATTTGCCTTTCGTTGGAGTTGCCCAGAACAAATTAATTGCCTGTATAAAATTGCCTTGTGTGTCATGGCCCTAATGTTAAAATTCCCTGCGGTTATAACTGTTCGCATTTTAATAGAGTATTTTTTTTAGCATTCAGCGTGCACTTGGTTTGCGACAATGTGTCTTTGTTACAAGCAAACCTAAAGTTGTGGCCGTGTTTAATATATATTACAAAAATAAAATTAATCAGCTCATACTTTAAACCTCGCGTTTTTTCCCCTGAAATATTTTATCAATTGTATTTGATCAGTTCGGGCACTGTCCTTTAAAAGCTTCCTGTATTTTGCAAAGTTCACTACCACGACTGTGTGGATTTTGACGGTCATAATTCAAAGAAATTTACAATGTGTTTAATTTTTTAGTTGTAATGTTCTTATACTGGGAGCATGTGGTAAAACAATTATCAGTCGTCACTTCTGGTATTTTTTCACGATATAGTTTCCGTTTCCACTTATTTTATTGGAAATGCCACACGAATAGAAGTGCATTGTGATTTTGCGAAAGGTCATTTTGAATGAATTCCATTTCGGCTGTATCTTAAGGGATAATTAGACGATAGGCCGGGACGGGTGAACCTGGTGTCAGCCCAATGCCCCCCCCCCCCAAGGGGGGAGGGGCAGAATGTGAATCATTGTGTGTGAATAATGAGAATTACAGCCAATCATGGAATTAAGTAATGAGTTAAAACACATTGCATGGCCTTAGCAAACCAACAAAATCGATTGTTTCGGTGACTTTGAACATATAACCACCACCCTAACAAAGGGGGAAAGGTAAATGGTTTAGCTAGGTGACAAAATGATGCTTCTCCCACTTCAAATTTAGGTTTGGTGTTGTCTTTTTCGTGCTATATAATTATCTTCACTATGGGCCTAGGCTGGGCGGAACCAGTGGCCCAGGAAGGGTACCGGGGGGGGGGGGGGAGCTGGCATGGGCTTTTTGTTTCTCCACCCCCCCCCCCATGTTTGTGCTCCCGGGGGAGCGGGGGGGGGGGGGGTGACCTCCTTTCCATCCCTGTAGATCCCTGATTCACTACTGGTTGTATAGACGTATACGTAAACGCAAAGGCTGCAGCACGGGTTGGGCCGCTTCCTCATATTAATTTGATAACAATGAAGGGGAAAAAGACATTGAATCCCTTTAAATGTGTTATTTTTTTACAAGCATCCATAACATCGTTTCAAGACTCATTTCATCATCGAAACCAGGATTTGGAACATGGCTTCCATTTATAACAAACAGTTTAGTTGGGTTTTAATAGTTTCGAGTATTTTGATACCGAATGATTTTTGATTGGTTTTATTTTCATATTGTCATTAGCACTACATGCAAGTTGGCCAGTGGGTTTAAAAAATAAACTGAAGTGGGTTTCAAAAACCACAGTATGAATTCAGGTATGATATAAATGCGTTGTTTTGCCCCCTCAGTCAATATACTCGACCAAATTCCAATGTTATGAGAGTCAAAATTAAACAAATAAAATGGTCCTATGTATCATGAGCCCACGTTAACATTTTGACATCAACAGTTTTTTTCTCTTCCATGTAGCTAGCTATGTACACAACATAACAAGTATTACAGACTGTACCATTGTTCCACTAGGGGCTACCACTTGGCAATAATTGTATTGGAAACGCGTACAATTTGGAAACTGATAGAAATATCATAAATGTAAGGACTAAAAGTCCTTACAATAATTACACCATTCCTATTTCTTGATTACTTTTAATCAAAAATGAAATTAATTCCGTGCAGTAATTAACAGCATGTTGTCGATGTCCATGAAGATACCCAGATAAAAGTAGACGATTTTAAAAGTTCCTTCCTGGTCCGGTTAAGTTCACGGTGTACTTGCAGCTAGCTAGTTGCCAGTGTACTCCTAAACTGTGTAGTGAGTGGAGGATGCATCTTTTCCGTTTATATACTCACACACAGTGCTTCCGAAGTCGAAACTCATCCGTTGGCCATTTTCGATAATACCACAGCTAGTACAGTTTGAAACTTACGGGAAAGGAGGAAAACATACTGCCTGATTTGTATAACTGTGGTAAGTTGTTTCAGACAGCAAGCATGTGAATATTTTCCACAATAAAAACACGATGACGGCCAGCATTCACTATTGACGTGTGTACATTGTACACGCAGTGTGGAAATGCAGTGAATAAAAACTTGCAGTTGCACGTCAGAATTGCTGCATTACTAGCCCCATAAATGTGGCCTATTTACTGGACTACCTTCGTAAACATAGGCCACACATCCACATACATACGTACAAAAACGTGTCGCACTTTGCCAAATTTTGATTTTCACATTTAGGCATAGTTTGTAGTTTATTTTTGCTTTAGAAGCATACTCACCCTCTATAGGCTAATCAGAAAGTGCTGCCTTTTTCAGATGTCTATTTTTCGTGAAATTTCCAGATTCATTTGCACACGTTTGCGTATCAAAATTTCAACATGAAATTTCACAAAAATTAGACATCTGAAAAAGGCTGCTGCGTCGCTCATGGTGGATGGCGGACGGCCATAACAGTATTTTCCAGGTTTCCCTATCTTGTACAGACCAGCTAGGTCTGTCCCGATATTACCAATACGATCATCAACTGAGTATTGAAATAGCTTTTTGCCACTTTAAAGGGAAGATACAACATTTGCAAACATCAAAAAACAAAATGATCAAATTATCACGAAGTACCTTACTGGATTGTTTGTGAATGACAGTCTAAAGCACCCTGTAAAATCGTGGCTCCTGGTGTGCTGACATTTTCAAGAAAAATTGTATTTTTCCAACGCTGGTCGGTCGACCAGTATTGGAGAAAACTGGCTTATTTTCAAAAACTGCTTTTAATTGTTCATATTTAGTTATTTCGCATTTTCTTTGCAATTGATTACACACCTGTGAAGAGGTACAAGCCTGCTAGAGTGATTCTCTGACCTTACAATTCCCCAAAGTCTACAATTGCTCCGTTTCATCTTAAGTTGGGTCAGGGAACCAGACTGCAAGAACATGATTGGTTTTCTTGGTTTTTCTAGCATCTACAAGCCCAAAACCTGAAACGAGTCAGTTTAAATGCATTTATTTCCCAAAATTGCAGCAAAAGCAAATGTTGTAAATTCCCTTTAAATGTTCGAAAAACAAACAACTACACACGTACACACACGACTGTGATGTTACTTTATCATAAAGTTGCGCCGTTTTATTGTCAGGTGCTATTTGTTTTAGTTGATGGTAACATTTGTGTCGACGGCGGTTCATTGTTTCTATCCTTATAGCAGGTTAAAGCCCTTGATAGTTATAAAATGCTTACTGGAGAGCACTCCATAACAATTGCCGCACGCAACTTTTAACTGGCGCGCTCTGCATGCAACTTTTGACCGGCGCAGCATGCAGTTGCAGATGGCAGTTTCTTATATCCGAATATTCAGTCGACACAGTTTCGAGTAATCAAATACTGAATTATTTGAAAATGAACAGCCCTAAGCCCAGCTAATCTCATCCGGACTCAGAGGAATGTATCTGCGCTCTAATTGGACGAGATACATGATTTAGTAAAGCCAGTTACCTGTCGTTGGCACTGCTTAAGACGCAAGGCCTGTACAAGAAATATTTATAGCAAGTGCAAACCAACGGTGAGTTTGAGTCACTGTTTCTGTGTAAGGCATCAGCAGTCACCAACACCCTTGGATAGAGGGACAGGCTAGATGTTAACTGGTCCTTTAACTGCCTCCATTTGGAACGGGAGACTTTTTGAGATACCGGACCTTTTCAATTGTTTGAGTCATATAGTGTAATGTACGCATATTCAAAATGATGCAAACAATGGAATCAGAGTGATGTGTTTGTTGCCACGAGTACCTCAAAAGTCTCCCATTGATTAGAATACTGGCCGGCAGATTTTTGTTACACATGGTTTGAACCTCTTGGCGATGAGTCAAGCTTGCTTAATGCTTTAGCAGACATTTCTGTACTGTACTGGGTACTAACACGATGGAGTCTTCGTGAGATCAGTTGATCGGGGTCCAACCCATGTAATCTCAGAGTCTTGGAGGTTGTTGCTTTTCCGTTTATCATTGAGGTGAAGTTGCAGGTTGGGTTTCCTACCAGATGACTTCCGGCTGTGACTTTTGAGAGAAGTTGTTGATTATAAGTGTCGGTGAAGAGGAAGTAATTCACACATATAATAGCCACATCGCATCATTTCAACATGTTAAAGTGAAGGGCTGAATTTCATGTAGCTGTTCAACAGAAAAGAAATTGCTGAGCAAAAACCAATGTAAACATGTCTGTGGTAATAACCTGATAACATGTTGTAAACCATTTTTGTGAGAGCACATGTAGTTATTTCTTACTCTTAGCAGAAAATCGAATCCTTCTCGTCTCACAGTGGTTTTGCTTTGACAGTTAGTACTGGTACTAACTGTCAAAGCAAAACCACTGGTAGTGTGTGTTACTTGTGAAGTTTAAGTAAAAGAAAGTAAAAGTGCAATTGTGCAAGTAGGAGATACTACACAATGTCAAGTGTACATGTAGCCAAACCAATTAAACAGTAGGATAAAAAAAAATGGAAATCTGAAACTGAAACAATTACAAACAATATTTGTATCATGTGTGTTGGATGTACAGTATGTCCCCAAAAAGTGTCTGTTAAAAGATTTTTGAAATAACAAAACCGCTACGTAAATTGAGTCATCATTAGCCCTTGAGCATTAAACTGAGGTCTTGCCATGATGACTGATAGCCAGGCAAATGATTCCAATCCCAACTGCAGCCCTTTTCACAATATGCGGGATTTTACACAGCTTACATAAAAACAAAGCACTGAAATTGATTAAGGCAAGGAACTTGGTCACAGTGTCCAAAAATATTGTTTTAGTCAATCGACCGTTGTGCAGTGAGGCGCGAAGGAAATTAAATAAACTTCATAGGGATTGAGGGCAAGGATTGAGAGTATCTGCACAATAAAAAAAAACAATGCAAATTTACTTCCTGGTTGTTCTTGTTATTTCAAAAATATTAAGGCGGACACTTTTTGGGGGGATATAGGGACTACTGTATTGTTTGTTTGAATAAGTAACACAGTTTAACAACATCCATCACCAGTTTGTATTGGGAATTTCTTTCTAAGTTATTTTCAGTTGTGTTTATAGAAAAAAAAATAAATGGACCTGGTTTTGTATACATGAACATGGGGTGCAGATAGGCAGAAAATAACAGTTTTACCCTTATCATGACGAACTTGTGTAATTTACAACTATGTACAGTTGTCTGCAATGCTAGCCTGAGAACTGAAAATTACAAAATGGAACTGTTTATTTTCTAGAAAAGCAGTAGCCTAGAACACAAGCATCTGTAACAGATTACCACTAAAAATAAGTCCACTTCATACTTCACTTGAATGTGAATGTGTGTCCATGAAACATTCATGATAGAAATTGACCGGACTTGGAATGTTTCCAACTTTGAAATTTGACTGTGAGAATACTTGCCATGATGTCTCAAAGTTGCTTGTGCATTGCATTCACATCACTGAGTAGGAACAGGCCTAGGGCTTTCCTGTTAAAGCAAAGATATTAAGTTTGCATAAAAGCGCCACCTTTCTAAAATATATTTTGCCTATTTTATGGCATAGCCCCTGAAAGAAACCTGTTCTTATTAACTATGAATTGGTTTGTACTGTATTTTTTCTTTTCTGCAGAGACTACTGTCTTCTGAGCACTATGGAGTCCTGTAGGAGACACACCACCCTGTTGTGGGCAGTCTGTCTGATTTTGAGCATCATCTGCGTTAATGTTCGTATAGCATCAGCAGAGCGGCTTGGCGATCTGTCAGACTATGAGTTAGCCAGCTTTGACAATCCGGACATTTTGGGTGAAAATGAAAGACGTGCATCAAAGTTCAACCATTTCACCTTAAGTGATCATGGTGATGTCTATGTTGGAGCTGTCAATTGGTTGTACTGGTTGAACGGTAGTTTGGGAGAGATACAGAATGTTACAACCTGTAATGCCAGCAAACCGGATAGTATGCCCTGCCACCTTACAAACAACTACAACAAGATACTGGTAGTTGACAGTACTCGGCCAGACAGTTTGATAACCTGTGGTGGTGTGTATGATGGTATCTGTCAGTCACGACAGTTACACAATATTAGTAACATGACGATGGAGTCTGTGACATACGTTGCAGGGTATGAGGATGCATCTACTGTTAGTGTGATTGCTCCAGGAAGAGATGGAAACCAAATGCTTTATGTAGCTGTTACATTCACTGGTGAAAATAAAGCCCCAACAAATTTTCCAGCAGTCGCAAGAAGAACCCTTGCAAATCCTTTATTATCAGCAACAAATCTATTTAATACCGTCCCGTTTGATCTTCCTGCCCTTCAGATGAGGTTTGTCATTAAGTATTTCCTAACATTTGCCTACCGTGGATTCACATACTTTGTCACCTCGCAGAAGGAAGATTTGACGGATTCTGCCCAGTTTGTTTCTAAGATGAGCAGAGTCTGTCAAACTGGTCCAAACCTAGACGCATACACAGAAATTACCCTACAGTGCAGTGGATCAGGGGACAGTGTGTACAGCTTGGTGCAAGCAGCTCACTTTGGACCAGCAGGACCTGATCTAGCGGCATCATTGGGTCTCCATGCAGACGAGCAGGTGCTGTATGCTGTGTTTGCCAGGAACCAAGGAGCTCCGGGTACCAGTGATGTACCCATCGATCACTCAGCATTGTGTGTGTACAGGATGACGGATATCTTGGCTGCCTTCAAAGAAGCAGTGCGGGGATGTATTCAGCCACCCATGCCTCAACCTGAGCCATACAAAGTTGACTATTTGGCGGGTTCTTTCTGTAGTAGCTTTTCGGTAAGTCAATAGTCGAAACCTATTTCCTTTGTTAGATTCACATGTTACTTTTCCAAGAGAGAGTTGACCAGCCAGTCCGCAGTGCACGCGATAATGAGGTCAAATCCCGAAGTTTCTTTGCACGGCCTACGTCACGAATCGGCCGCGAGATTTGCACGCGTTTTTGCGGGAGTTCGACCGATGTCATGAAACGAACTACACGTTCTAAAAGAAGCAGTGGGCTTCCAAGATGGCGTGGTAAGTAGACGGTGCACGTTTTTCCGAGTCGAATGATATAAAATTTGTCAAGTTTTAGAAGGTTTTTTGCTGTTTTTTTTTACTTGTAAGTCGAGGTATGATTTTGTAGACGGTTTGAGTTGTGATTTTATTTGCTGCGCCCTGACCCAGCTAGAAAATATTAGAGAAAAAGACCACTGCAAATCGAAAGAAAAAGCGATGATCTTTCGTATGGTACAGAGTTTAGCTTGTGGCGACATCGAGTTTTGTTTTCTTGAGCCACTTATTCCGAGCGAGATGTCGCTTTTTTGGCGGATTTTAAAGGGGGTTTCCACATTTGCGCATGCGCTATGCATATGTACATGTACGTGTACGTTTACACATGTACATATGTATGCCCCATAATTTTTAAAAATTAATACATTTCATCATGAAAAAAATATTATTTGTCAGGCATGTCTGGAGTGGAAATGTAAATTTTGTGTTTTATTGTTCAGCCTTCAGATTTATTGGCTAGTTTTGGCCATTTTGGTAGATTAGCGGGTACATTTAACAATTTATGAACATGCACAAGTACATGATCATGCATGCAAAATTTGAAAGACAGTTATGGTTATACTAAGTATTAGGCCTACTACTAGGGTATGCCTACTAATAATTACTATAAATATATACACCACGTAGGCCTAGGCCTTCATGTATTTATGAAACAGGCAGACATGACAAATTTTTGTGTACATGATTTATTTAAAGGTTAGGCCAATGCACTTACATGTACCTTCCTTTTTTTCTGTTATTGTTTCATGAATGTAGGTCAGGCCGTCCACCACCATGGCCAATTCCACCACGGCCACCAACACCAAGTTTTAAGCCCACTCGTGCAGTAAAGGCACTTATTATTGGAGATTCGTTGAGCAAATTTTTAGCCGAGAATGTCTCGTCTCCATTGGTTGAGGTCGAAGTGATCACTCGTCGCGGAGCAACAATATCCAGTCTGAGTAAGTTTTTACAACAGCACCGAGACAACTTCGAAGCTGCTCCCGATATTGTTGCCGTCCATGTTGGGACCAATGACCTCCCTTTGGGATTTTTGCACAGCAACATTCGACAGTTTCGTGACCTGATTGCTGCATTGCATGACGTTTTTCCAACATCGAAGTTGGCAGTCAGTGCAATACTTCCCCGCAAGGACAATGACGGTCTTGATGTTTCCCGTATTTACCACAACATCAAGTTTGGTAATGTCTGTGCCGAGCTGCACTGTCATTTCTTTGACATTGGTGAAGAGCTACGGGACTGGCACTTTGCTAGAGATGGCCTGCACCTCAATTGGGATGGCAACTCTCTTTTTGGTGAAATTTTTCAAGCCCATCTTGAGAGATTGTCCAGGAATCTACTATCTTCGTGTACGTCACGGAAGGCCGGGCCCGTTTCTACCCCTTCCTCTGCAATGTTTGTTCCTCCGGAACTGAAGAAGCTTGTACAGTCGCCGAGACGAGTCAAGAAAACAAAGTCAGAAGATCCACCTCCTCTACCTCCTCCACTACCTCCACCTCCTCATCCCCCAAATCCACCGGAGCCAAGAAGAATGAAGATGCCGTCCGCTGCAGCAGTAAAAAAGAGGCTGAAACGTATTGATGTTCACATCCAAGGTGAAGATTTCAAGCTTCGTGGACTAGTTCCATTCCATGCATCCGTCATCAAGCCAAAGCCTTCTGTGGGCAAAATTTCATACATCAGGGTCCCATCAGCTCACCGGTCCAAGGAGGTGGAGAGTCACGTGGCCTTCCCAAAGCCAGCGTCTCCCTACATTGCAGCCCGGAAGAGAGCTCAACGTAGAGGGGTAACTGCGAGGAGGATACGGAAACGGAGGCGACGGCGAAAACGCAAGGTTTGAATACAATACCATAGTTTTTGTTTAAGTGTTCAGTACTCTTCCATAAATTATCTCCAAAAAAAGTTCCTTTAGAGTACAGTCAATAATATCTGAGATGAGCATGGGTAGGTTTTAATGTGAGTTGGAAGAAATTAAAAAATCATTGCAGTGACAAAGTGTGCTTGTGATTGTTGTTGATAATCAGTTTTACATTAAATTTGCAAGTCAAACCAAATTAGCACTTTATGTTGCCGATTAAGTATTTTCCAAAAAAAACAGAAAGAACCAATTTGAAATCTGTGCTAATTATCTTAACAAACCAATGACAGTTATGTGTATCATTCTTTTATATTGCGATACAGTTTGTTTTGTGAAAAGAACTGTCGTTACCTTGTGGCAATAACTGGCAATAATATACCATGCTATGAGTTTTTTCCTTTCGTATTTGTTTTCACACACAGCTTGGGTGTCAGATATTTCAGACCACATGTGCATCTCGACTGGGCTTCTGTCAACTGCCGGCTGATCAAACATGTAGTACTGCGGAGTCTTCCAATATGGTAAATGTAAACGAAAAATTGCAGGGGTAAAAAAAAGTAACGGGGGAAAAGCCAAACGGAGCAGACCCCCATGCAAGAAAGAACAATGTGGTCCTTGCCAAATTTGTGGGAAAATAAGCACAAGATGGACTCACTTGTCAACATTAAAAAATGACACACTTAAGCAGTTTGTACTTCAAGTATTGCCACATCTGTCATTACATGATTGTATATGTAATGCTTGTCATCACAAATATTCTAGGAAATCAAAAAATCCAGTGTATACACCTGAAAAAACACGTGTCAAAAAAAGACCAATATGTTATTTAAACAGTTTTAACATGTGCTATTCGATGTCTACAGTAGACTCTTCATTTTCATTAGAACAGATTCAGTCTTGTTTTCAAGTGCTGTTACATGTAACACATGCTTCTGAAATTCCCAATTTAATCCCATTATGCGGTGCACACAAATCACAGTTATATAATTTTCACTCAAATGCAAAGTGTGGGGTTTGTGGCATCTTTTTTTCATCTAGGTCCAGACGGTATCTATGTACAAAGTTAGATATAGATAATGCTTATTTCCAACTTAAAGTAAACAAGGAGGAAACGGCTATAACTGTGACGAGTTGTTTGTGCTACAATTGCTACTGTGTGGCAAAAAGGGACACAGCACCTGACATAACTTTAGATGATGTGCGACAAGGTTTAGACTTCACTGAATTCGATGAAGAATTGAATCATACTGCTTATGCACTCAGTAATACATGTAAGGATATTTGTAGGGGCTGCAGTTCTGAAGCTTTCCTCCTTGCGGATCTTTATGACCAGTTTCTTATTAATCTTGAACTTCAGTGCAAAAAGGATTCCTCATCTCCTGGTACATGTTATGATTCATGTAAAAAAGCTTGCAATAGCAGATGGTTACTTTCTGGAATTCTTAACAGGTTCAGTAATTTACTAGAAGTACACAAGATGATTGCCCGCAAGCAAAGCATTTTATTAATTTACTCTAATCTGGATATAAGAGTTGCACTTCATATGTCTTATTCAAAGTTGCGGCATCAACGACGTAAAACTGAAAAGGAAGCTCCCATGGATCAGAGCGATAAACAGTTTTTTACCTCTCCGGGTGATATTGTCTCAATGGCGCAGTATGTCCTTCCCCAGATTAATGAAAAGCTGAAACAGCAGTCAAGAGAAATAATGGAACATTTCACGCAGTTTCCTACCCAAATTGCTGCATTTGATTTTAATTCCCTTCTTGAAATGATTGATCCGCTGGTGTGGAATTGTGTATCTGTACTAACTGCAAATGTTGATGAGCTGAAGTTCATTCACAGTAATGAATTAGTTTGGGATAGCAAAAAGGTCATGTTCCCTTCATATTCCAAATCACATGGACTGCAGCGTAGAAACAGAAGGATTGTCCTGGTGATGTCAATGCAGTTTGTTTTAAGCGAATCAAACAATTACCCATTCCACATCATCATTGCTAACTGTGTCAAGAGATTGTCTCATTCATCCAAACTTATCAGGTTACTGAATCACTCAGGATTGTGCACATCTGAAGATACTCTTGATAGATTCTTAGAGAATATTAAACAGCTTCGCCAGGAGGCAGGACTTCTGTCTACCATTGAACCCACCTCTTTTACAGTAGTAAGCATTGATAATATTGATGTACTTGCCAGTCATGCTGCAATTACTTCAACCGGTTCTGGAAGGAGCTGGCATGGAACCTCTGTCATGGCACAACAACCAAAACCAGTCACAGAAAAATTAAGTCCTCTTGGGGAGTTAATTGAAAAATCACCAACGTCATCAATTCCAGATTTTCAAATTGTTCCCATTTTTGGGGATGGACGCTGTCTTTATAGGTGCATTGCATCATTTAGCAGATCCGACATCTTATTTTGTGGCAGGAATGAAGTTGGTATACCAATTGACAGTGTTTGTTTTCAGGAAGAGCAACAGTTGGCGGATCAAATTAGACGCAGTGTGTGTATGTTTTTAGAACAACACATAAATTCCTTGGAAGGACTGCCTGAAGGAATTCAGCATGTTCTTTTGGAGTCCTCGAGTAATGAATTTTATTCATCATTTGCAGAGAGAATTAGTGACAACAAAAATCCCAGTACATATGCTGGTCATTTGGAAATGTGTGCCCTTGCATGTATCCTGCAGACTGATGTTCATGTCTATCAAAGAACTGTCCAGGGAATGAAATTGGTAGCAAGGTATCCTAATGAGCAGATGTCACATTATCACATATGTTTACTATATCGCCCTGGTTCTAATTCCTTGACTGCCCATTTTGATTTGCTCTACTGTGCAAACTGCAGACCCAGTATTGAAGTTCTACTTGACATGCACAACATTCATCATGATACGCCTTCTGTGAATGTGCTTGACACAGTTTTTGAAAAATGGCAAGCAGCCGTTCCTGTTCTGCACAAACCAAACTTCATTAACCTTGTGTCAGGTGGTATGTCTGGAACCAGATCAGTTAAGTCATGTCCAGAACACCTGCAGCATCACGAAAGTATTGCAGAAACATTGGTTACATCTGCAAAAGGTAGTACATCTTGTGACACTAAAAAAGAGAAAGCAGAAGCAAGTCACAAACCTTCTAAAAGGAGACAAGTTGGGAGTTCAGCTTTACCTGTGCCAGAAAAATCTCATTTTTCAATTCCACTTTTCAAAACATTCATTCGTCAAAACTTGTCACTTGAAAACTTTTTCCCTTCAGATGAGGAAAAGCTTCAGGAAAAGCAACTTCATTATGATGTATTTATGCATGTTGCAGAGAGATATGTTTCTGTTACAGCCAAAACTGAGCATACAGTTCCAGGTCTGAAATGTAACCTGATGTTACACTCAAGTCCCCGCTGTGAGAAGTCCAAATTTTCTTACATTTATGTGCTGAACGAAAAGGCGGATTGCGCTGGAACTGTAAAATCTGTTGTTGGCCTTCTGTATGACCTCTTCAAAATCTCAAAATCAGTTAACCATCTTGTTCTTGCAGGAGATGGTGCAACAGTAAAGATTTTGCTGGATGTGAAAAAAGAATATGGTGAAATGCTAGACTGGGTTGTGCCTTATTTAGGTGATTGGCATATCTTGAAAAATTTCCAAGAAGTTTTAATGAAAATATTTTGGGATGCTGGGTTAAAAGATATTGCCAAAACAACCCACAAAAGCAAAACACTCAACAACTTGAAAACTTGCAGTAATTTTAAGAGAACTCATCGATTTATATTGCAAGTTTATGAGGCCATTTACATTCATCAATTGAAATCTTTTTTAGATTTCAGAGTTGACAAAGACAGCACATCCTGTTCAATTAGCAATTCATCACTCCATGATACCCTCATAAGCACTGTAGAGCAAGTGCATATTCAAGGGGATTTTTGTAATTACTTGGGAATGGAGGAATTCATTTCAAAGGTACATAGCAACCTTCATGAATTTTTGCCGAATTTTCTTGAGGAGTTCACCGAGTATTGTACCGAGATGTCAACAAAATTTGAAACTTTCAAGTTCTGGAATAATTTTCTGAAGGTGGATTGCTTTTGCTATATACAGTTGTGGACAGCCATGCGAACTGCTAACTGGGATATGCGACTTGTTGCCTTGAAAAGGATGGGCCCGTTGTTCCATGCATTCGACAGGCAGAATTATTCCAAAATGATTCCTATCCATCTTTGTCAAATGCATGGTCTGCCAAGCTACATCTTGGATCACTTCAAAAATGGTGCATTTGTCTCGAGTATTAAGGGGGTCAACTTTTCCTCGGTTGGACTAGATGAGGCTCATGAAATGCTGATCAACAAAGATTGCAAAACAGCTTTGTCTCGAAGCCTGCCGACAAACATGGAGAAAATTGCTGGTACATTAGAGTTCCAGGTTCTTCTTATAGACAATTTCCAGAATCAACTGTCTTTTTCTTCATTGTGTGGTGTTCTTCAAAGAGACTTTGCCTCATCAGTCATTAAGTGTGAACTTCAAAATGTGAAGAGTTACTTTGCCAAGGTTTCTGAAAGTACAATGTTTCAGGGCGATCAACTACAGAATCTTTCTCATGCTTTTGATCATACACCCGCCACGAAAGCACAGCAAAAAGCACTTTTGACCTACAGAGAAATTGGAAATTCTTCATATGATACATATGTGCGTTTTAACGTTTTGCATGAGTCCAGTGTTGCAAAACCTGTTGTAAGAAGGCATCGACTTTCAACATTTGCCAAGGAGAAAATTACAAAGAGGAAAATCAGTTACCTTGAAAAGGAAAAAAAATTGATTACTCTTTGTTACAAGAGGACAATAGCGTATTCAGAAAAGCACAACCAGCCAGTCCATCAATTATTTCAGTTCATAGAAACTCCACGCGCAATTTGTACACCCTCTGGGTTGCCGAACAAAGGCGCAAAATATATAACGTATGACTTGTTTGGCAAGAGGTATGCTCAATCATATTCACCAATTACAGATGCTCATGCTTTTCCTCCGGGAACCTGTCTGATTGCAGAGGGGATGAACATAATTTACACTAATCCTCTTTCAGGTTTTAGATTTTTCAAAGAATACGCTTTTCTGATTGTATCAAGGTGGGTGACACCATTTTTCAAGAGAAAATACAAGGAGGTGCGTATCTTGTTCGATCAGGTGTGTTCACAGGGAATTTCGCCTAAAGGTTTTGAACGGGAGAGACGTGATGCTGGACAAGATGACGAAGTGGAAGTTTTTGAGAACATTGAAGACCAAACACCTCTACCACTGAACTGGTCTAAATTTCTGAAAGTTCGTCAGAATAAACGTAAACTTTGTCAGTATTTGTCACAGAAACTGGTGGAGATTGTGCCGTCTTCTTTGCAGTCCTCTGATCAAATGTTTGTAACTTCAGGAGGATTTCCAAGCCTTGCACTGGAAAGGTCTGAATGGACTGGAATGTGTGTTTCATTGGCTGGTGTATTTCCCCATAGCATTGTTCATAATCATGAGGAAACAGACACACAGATATGGCTACATGTTGAAGATACAACATGCTTATCTGTGCACATTTACTCCATTGATCGTGACATAGGTATGATTGGTTTACCGCTATGTTTTGGTGAAAAAACAGTTGTAATTCAGTATAAAGCATCCGGAACAGTGGAAAAGTACCTGAAGCTCAACACGTTAAGGTCGGCCCTTAGTAGTAATGATTCAGATTTAGCCCCCTTAGTGAAGCGTGGTTGTGATGTTAACAAGATTATCCAAGTGTTTTATATTTGTACCGGTTGTGATTTTGTATCATACTTTGCAAGACTTGGCAAAAGCACATTCCTGAAGGTGTTTCTTCAGTTTGCTGAATTTATTTCAGGATGTTTTGTTCCTGAAACAGATGGCCAGTTGTCTTATACGGAACTAGATGTTAACCATGAGCTCGGTCTATTATCATTTTTCCGATTAGTTGGGTGTGTTTACTTTCAAGCTAATCGTGCATCTCTGCACCAGCATGCCAGCACGCCTATTGAACTGTTTAACAGTATCAATGCTTCTACGGTACTTGATCATCATTCAAAGTTTCTTTCTATTATTCGTAAAGCTTCTTGGCAAGGTGTTTATGAAGACTCTCTGCTTCCTTCAGACTCTGCATTATCTTTTCACTGGCTTAGATCATGCTGGGTAAGCAATGTTTGGGGCCAAGCGCTCAAGCCACTGTTTCAATATCCTGACTTAAATCTGTATGCTTGGGAATGTATTAGCGATTCTGGTGAAGTGAAAATAGTGTGGGATTCACTGACAAACATGGAACAGATTCGTAAAAATGTAATACACTTGACCAGAGGTTGCTCATGTGCGAAGAGTAAGTGTTTAAACAGGCAGTGTAAATGCAGAAAAATAAACGAAGCATGTGGACCAGGATGCACCTGTAGAGATTGTGAGAATTTGCCTGCTCAAGCTGGAATAGATTTGACAGAACCAGTAGATGCAGAAACTTTTTCTGATGATGAATCACAAACATCATCTTTCTGTCCGTCGGATACTGAGTTGGCCTTTAACGGTAGTGATTATGAAAATGCTGAGGATGAAGTTGAAATGGACACACCCTTACAAGTCGGGCAAGAAGCACAAATTGTTTCTGAGGCTTCTTTATCAGACGACAGTTTGTCAGAAAATGAGGTGTAGAACGTGCTTATTATGGTCAGTACCTATATATTGGATGGGTGCAATAAAGTGCTTAGTGTGCATATATATATTCTTCCTGTGCATGCTGAAATAATGTTACTGCTGAAAATAGGTTTATTCTGTTATTTATATTTCAATATGAGGGAGGGGAAATTCTGCTGAGAAGAATAATGCCATTTTACTTTGAAGAAACATATTTATGTTAATGTTTGCCACAACCCATGTATATCTATGCCATAACTGTTTGCCAAGTAAAGTTTGGTTTGTGAAGAAATATTGGTATGTTTATTTGTAGTTGCAACATTTTTCACATGCAGCTTATGAATCCCAATAAACTATCTCGGGTATATTTTTGAGATATGAAATGTGATGGTTGAAAGTTTGGGGAAAAGTCCATTAGGCTGGTAAATTATCTCTTCAGCAATGGAAAGCATGTTTGTAAAATGGTGTTTATGTGGTAGTCATAGTCAGTGATAAGTTAATTGTGCTGTATTAAAGTAAGAACGACTGTAAATAACGTAATATTGTGTTCTCTGTATTGCCAAAGAAACCGTATTGGTTGCTCAGGCTAAACGTTTTATGTATTTTTATGTTAGGGTTATGTTTCTTCCATAATAATATATCTCAATATGAGGGTGGGGAAATATGGTACAAAGTCTACTGAGAAGAATAATGCCATTCTATTGTGAAGAAACATATTTATGTTAATGTTTGCCACAACACATGTATATCAATGCCATAACTGTTTGCCAAGGAAAACGAGGTTTAAGAAAAACTATTTTTAAAAACATGTTTGTAGTTGCAATATTGTTCACAGGCAGCTTATGATTTCAAAACTAGCAAGTAAACCATCTTTGGTATTTTTGAAATATGATATTTGATGGTTTAAAGGATTGAAACAGTGCATTATAGCTCATTAATGATCTTTTCATCAAAGGAAATTTAATTGTTGTAAAATTGTGTTTTTGTGGTAGTCATAGTCAGTGATATGTTAAATGTGCTGTAATTAAGGTATTATTGGTTCTCTGTATTGCCAAAGAAACCATATTCAGTTATTCACTGCTCAGGCTAAATGTTGGTTTTTTTTTTTAAGTTTAGGGTGTTGCAGTATTTGATGTTTGTCAATCTACATGAACTTGCCAATACATTTGCTCATTTTGATATTTTAAGATGTGCCATTGGGTAAAGTGTCTTTCTAAGGTGCCTTTTATTCTGATACATTCAAGTATTTTGTTACGCAATGCACTTTCTTGCAATTAAACTTTTCCAAAAATATACAACTGAACTTCTATCGGTGGTGCCTTACACGATGCAAGTATTATTTTTTACTTTTATTATGCCAATACATCATATTATATATATGTGTGAATCTTTATATGTGTAAATCTTTATATTTTTATGGTTTATGTGTCACGTTTAATTTAAACTACCTCAATGTTGATGTGTTTTATGCAGTTTTTCAGCTTGCATAACATAAACAGAGTTAATAAAACATGTTAAGTTTCATGTATTCAGCGTCTGTTTGGAATGTTGCTGTTACTTTTTTGTTACTAGGGAAAGTTTCTGAAAATAATTTCAATCACAAACTACCCTCCATTGCACAGTTCTAGCCACCCAGTAAATCAAGTAATGGTGTATCATTTTCAATTAAGTTCAATTCAAGAACATTTATTTCCATTTATCGCAAAATTAAAAAAAAAAAACATTCTGTGAAAATGTATCATTTTCAATTTAATTCAATTCAAGAACATTTATTTCCATTTATAGCAAAAAAATTATAAAACAAAATCATTCTGTGAAAATGAATTGAAAAGCTCCATGTCAAAACTAATATTGTAACATTTTATTTGGATTGAAACCAACAAGAATATTGGAACGAAACTTATTGTACCATATAGCATAAAGCACAACAAAATCCGTGTCCGAAATCTGGGCCGCGCCGGCTTGTTTACAAGTACATCCGGGTATGTGCAATACTCGCCATCCACCAATCACAAGCCTAGAAATCCATGTGCAAAGATGGCGGTTGTACCGTTTCAGTCTGCCGGTAGTTCGTGGCGAAAACCTTGCGCCCTGACCCAGCTAGACAAAATTGCGAGTATAAAGGTACATTTTCATGTAGAATATGAAGTAACCTGTTTGTCTAGTGAAAATTTGGGCTGTGGGCACACACAAAAAAGAGAGATTTTAACGTATTTTCTATCGCGATTATTTTCTTTTTTGAACCAAAATTCGTCCCAAAATTTCTCATTTTAATCGATACAAAATCTTATTCAAACTTCAACAGTTTGAAAGATATACTCTTCATCTGTGATTTTATATCAACAAAGTGATCATACATGCCAAAAAAAACCGAGTATTTTCCCACATTCCACAGGCTATTCCAGCTCATTAAATATGCAAGGCGAGGTCACGCACGGGAATTCATGAATACGTTGCAAAGAAAAGGAAGCACTTTCGCGTGCACTGCGGACTGGCTGTGACAGCACAGCACCTCTTATTGTAATCAATGTCCACCAATATTTGCGTGAATTAGGTGATATAGACCATTATCATGTTGAGGCCATGTTGATTTTTCCCCATTCAAATCAATGTAACCAAAGTGAGGCTAGAAGGAAAAATAATCTGGTTCCTTTTGCACAAAAAAACAGGATCATTCAGTAGTGTTATTGGATACAGGGAACATGACTGAAATGGTGGCAGCATGATAAAGGTCTATAAGCCACTATGCCTGAGACATTTCTTGGTGCGATCAGCTCTCTTTGAACCAGCACCAACAGGACTGGAACTAGTGGCATGGTTCTCCTTGTAGATTGTGTTTGCCCAAAGACGAAGCTTCAACATTCAGGTAAATGAGCTTGGGCAGAAATCCCATGTCTGGATTCAAAGTGACTCAAATAGCACTGTTGCACATCAAATTATTGGGATTTTTAAAACTGATAATTTGTTTCTCTGCCTTTATACCTGTACTGTAAGACCAACATATTCTATACTTGCATAAATAAATGGAAGTTACAAATGACACGCACTAAAATTCCAGTAAATATTACATTTAATAGCAAGTTGTGCTTGTTTACAATCCACAGATTCCCATCTTAGACCGATACTTTTGCATTCCTGTAACGGCTGATTCTAATGAGACGCCACTGTTCAAGTATGCCAAGGGCATCGCTCTAGAGCCATCTACAGCTGTGCTGGAATTACCAGGTAAACTTTATTCCACTGATTTGTTAAAACATTTTTTTTTAACAGTTGGTCATGACTGATGAAATACATACTGGTATTAATATTCTTCAGATACTCTGATGTCGTCCATCATCACCAGCATTGAAGTCAACCATACTGTGGCTTTCATTGGAACATCGACTGGAGATCTACTGAAGGTAAAACATTTTTAAAATGGTGTGTTGTGGTACACATTGAATGTACTAGACTTTCTTAATGCCTTGGGATGAATATGGGGGAGGGTGCATTTTGTCATTTAAAGGGAATATACATCATTTGCTTTTGCTGTAATTTTCAGAAATGGATGGAATTGGGGGGTTGGAAATATATAGCAAATATAGTTACACTGACTTTGTTGAGGTTTTGGGTTCGAAAATGCTATAAAAACCAAGAAAAACAATCATTTTCCTGTAGTCTAGTTCCCTGACTCCATATAAGAAGAAACAGAGCAGTTTACAGACATTGGGGAATTGTAAGGTCAGGGAACCAGTCTAGCTGGCTCGTACCCGTTCATAGGTGTGTAATCTATTGCAAACAAGTGCGACGGTCAATTTGGGCCAGTATTTGAAAAAAAAGCCAGTTTTTTCCAACACTGGTCGGCCGACCAGCGTTGGAAATTGATACAAAAATGCCACTTTTCTTGAAAATGACAGTATACCAGGTGCCATGATTTTACAGGATGCTTTACACTGTCATTCACTAACAGTCCAGCAAGGTATTTCAAAATGATTTGGTAGTTTTATATTTTGATGTTTGCAAATGTTGTATTTTCCCTTTAAATAAAGATTGTTTATTTGCCAAAAGTTAAAATGTCAGGAAGACTAAGTTACACAAATACTAAATGACAAGTCTGATTTGAGGAAAAAAATTCCAAAAAGACACAGTCAGCTTTGAGTGTGGAATGCTTGATAATATCAAACCTGTTCATTTGTCAAGTGGGCAGTGTTTTCAGCTGAAATATCAGCTGTCTGTACTCAAAAGAGTAATTAGGAAAACTCTTTTTGTTTTAAGTTTGATGGTTATTCAGCCTGTGAGTAAATGTTTTGCGTATTTTTTTGTCTTCCTGATTCAGGTTCACATTGAAAATAGTACTGCTGCCAGATTGTATGAGAGAGTTTCTCTAGACACCAGTCCAGTACTGACGGACATCAAGATCAATGACACAAGTGGTATGATGCATGTACTCACTGAACAAAAGGTAGGCTGAACAAGAATTATAAACAATATTTTCCACATTTCTGGGGAAAAGGAATCAAAATGTGATGTCTTTTCCTTTTAAATTGAACCATAGCACAAAGTGGCAAAGGGTAAATTTGAAATGTAGTCAGAAATCAAATAAACAGCTGCTAAAAGAAAATCTCAGCCTACCAAATGATGGCCATAAATATTTTGTGACTAAACAAATAATAGATAATTCTGTGTCTGAATAATGATAATAACAATGCTCCCTGTGCACATAATGTGTGAAGACCAAAATTTGATGTGGTCATGTGATACTGACTTTCAACAAACTGCTCTATTCCTCAGTGCATGGATTTCTCTTCAAAACTTGAATGGTTTGAAAGTGTTGACATATAACTGTTTAATGTGGGGAAAATGCTGTAAGAGAGAGATGCTTGGTTGTCTGTTTTGCCTGTTGATTGCCTCTCGGCATGTCATCACAGACGGCAAATGGAGTCCAGTCATAAATCTTTTAAGAAAAGACTTCTTTAGACTTGAGGTGCGATTCTTCCCTGTACAGTTGGTCAAGATGCGTGCTGAGAATTGTGGTCAGTACACAACCTGTGAGACGTGTATTGGGACTGATGCAGGGAATGATGGAGACCCATACTGTGGATGGTGCACTCTGGAAAGGAGGTGAGTCACATACAGGCGATGTCAATATCCATCATTTGTCGGTTGGTCAGTTGGTCGGTTTGTCAGTTGGTTGATAAACGTTGGCTATCATCCTTAACCCTTGTTGCGCACTTGATTTAATTCTATGTGGATTTTAGGAATTGTGGTAGGGCTGTGCATTGGAACCGGGTAACCGAGTACCCGACCGTTGATGTCAGGAAGCAGTTCTAGATTATGGGATCGGGTACCCACAACCAACCGTACAAATTACTTAGTAACTTCTGATACTATGAAACGGAAAGGTTTTGAATATATATGAAAACCAGGCTACATGGGAAAACGAAACAAATGTCTAATGTTATGGTGCTTGCGAAGTTTCAGTTTACAATGTCAAGCTATAAGCTCACTGTACGCATTGTATCTTGCTGTATTGACACATTGACACATGTGGTAGTATTTTCGTACGGACCCTTAGAAATAATCTGAACATCAACTTATTTGAATATTTGGGTTGTGTTTCTTGTAAGTTCTATTAGGTACCCGGCTCCGTATTTATCCCTAAATGCACACCCCTAAGTTGTGGTACTTTTGTTGCAAATTGCACACTGTGGAAAAAAAACACTAATAAATGTCAGGCCAAGATTATTAATGATAAATATCTTAAGGTTATTCGTATTTACCAAACATACAAGATTTACAATTTGCCTTTTCAACTACATGTACTACCAAATTTCATCCAAAACAGATACCACTTGATTTCACTTTGTTGGATATCTCTCCACCGTGTTCATTTGTAAACATTGGATTATTCTCTTAGATGCACAAGATATTCAAACTGTTCATCACCAGATGTATCGAGTCGTTGGTTGGCCTACAATGCTGCTCATTGCATCGATATTACCGATGTAGCTCCTTATGACAACCTGCCAATGACTGTCACAGAGCAACAGGTGAGAGCCAGCATCTGGTTTATGGAGCTTCTAAGCTAATACTACTAACCATTTTTGTTTGCGTTTAGCATGTAAATGTTGACAAACCAAGCAGTGTATATCACATGACATTTTGAACATTTTGATAACATTATTTTACTAAGCAAATATTTCTGCTTTTAGCTTAAAAAATATTGCCTCAGATTATTAGGTTTGGATATGAAGAGTTTATTTCGAAAACGTGACATATCCATGTGAAAAAGGTGAATGTTTTGCACGGTTATTAAACTTGGTTACGGTTATGGTTATGGTTATGGTCATGGTTATGGTTATGGTCATGGTTATGGTTATGGTTATGGTTATGGTTATGGTTATGGTTATGGTCATGGTTATGGTTATGGTTATGAAGCTGTTTGTAAACTAGTTTGCTTTAGTGTATTTAATTTGTGTTTAAGTATATTACAGCCATTGAAATTGCTATTGGTTAGCCAGGAGAGATCAAGATTCTAAAAAGGACTAAAACGGCAGATAATCTCGTTTTTGAAATAAAGTTTTGATATACATGTGTTTTTTTGGAAGAGGAAAGTAAAAAGTCCATAAAAGGCCATTGGGATGAGGCGTTTTTTAAATGTCTCTTTTTCCTTGAACCCTGAAAATGGAAAACCATCTAGATATGATTTTGCATCCAAGACCATGTGGGTTGTGGTTTTGTACAAATGTATAAAAGTACTCAACTTCCTCATAATAAAATGCTTGCGATGGATTTGTACAGTACTTTTTAAAGATTCATTTCCTTCAAGGTCGAAGGCTCCTTTGTCTTTTTCAACTAATATTTACAGATTGAGTCAGTGAATTGGGTTCAGGAAATTGGTGCTTTTACTAACAAAAATATTGGAGAATTAACTAATTAAATAACATTTATAGAGACCTTTGCAATAAAAACTTGGCGTCATATGTTCATTGAGCATGTATGAACTGTCAGTAAAAATCGAGTATGTTTGGATTTCTTTGGATGGAAATAACTTTTTGTTCATTGACTGTGTTCATGTTTATCTGCATTTTCCCCATCACTTTCAAAGATTCGCTCAGTGTACAAATTAAAATCATGGATGAACCTACACGTGTGTAGTTTCAATTTCGTCATTTTCACAGTGAGTTTACAGTATCTATATTGATGGACTTGGGGACTTGTCTTGAGACAGCTTAGTATAAACGAAATCAAGTATCTCTACAATCATTACCTGTTCTGGCTTTTATTTGTAGATAACCCTGACTGTACAGCAGTTACCCGACCTAGGAACTGGCCAGAGTTATGAGTGTCACTTTGGCTCGTTTGAATCTCCAGCTACAAAGAATGGTGAAATGCTTGAGTGTACGTCACCTCCTAGTGATGGCATACCAGCCATACCACAAGGAGGTATGTAATAATAATATAATAGTGGATATTTATAAAGCGCACATATCCACCAGGTACTGGTGCTCAAGGCGCTACATCATTATTACCCCTGCTCATTGGGCCCATGAAACATTTCAAATACCATCTCAGCTCCCTGGGGAGTATACAAGCTTGATGCAGCCTGTTAGGCGCAAGGAAGCTAATTCCATCACACAAACCATCCCTGCCCTCACATGTACCCATTTACTCCTGGGTGGAGAGAAGCAATGAATGACAAAGTGCCTTGCCCAAGGGCACACGCACCGTGACCCCGCCAGGACTCGAACCCACAACCCGCAGCTTTACCCACAAACCACGAATCAGTGCCCTTAACCATGAGGCCAGAGCACTCCACATGTCATGCATGTACCATAAAGACGTGTGCAAACTGATTTGTGAGAAAATAATCAAACAGTTGTAGACCCCTAACTTTTATTTTATTTTTGTTATCAATTGTTGGTAGAAATGTTGATGCTTCTGTGAAGGTTTTTTGATTATAAAAAAGCCGTTTTAAAAAATTAGTTGGAGCCCATCTGAACTTGTTTATATGCAAGTAACCTCTCATAATAAAGTAATATTGTGACCAGAAACAAGTGTATCACATGATTACATCAGGAAAAATGATTCAAATCCACAAGTTTCTAGGAGTATTTTAATAAAATAATAATGATAAAAATATCTGTTAAAAGGATTCGCTATTATATTTTTCTATCTTTAATTTTGCTTATCAATTCCTGATAGAAATATTGATGTTTGTGTAAAATTTTCGTGATTATAAAAAAGATTGTTTTCTGTTCTTCCGATTTAGTCCTTAAAATCTGATGGAGACAATGTGAACATGTTTATGCTAGTTGCATCTCTTAAAAAAAGTGACATTGTGAGCATATACAAGATAATGATTAGTATCTTTGAATTTGTAAAATAATAATAGTGATAAAATATCTGTAAAAAATACTCATCGTTGATTATATTGTTATATCTTTTACTTAGATGATGCAGTCCGTGTCGATTTGGCTGTTGAGTCTTCTGAAACTTCAGTTCAGTTTGTTGACACCGACTTTTACTTCTACGAGTGTTCAACTCATACCTCGTGAGTAGTTAAATTCCTAACCCTTTTTTGTATAGTTTAATTTTGATCATTTGGAATTTCTTTGAAAATTTTGTAATTTATTAGATTTTTTTTCTTTTTCCTTGTGGCTCATGTGCATGTGTTTCCTTTCTGTGTTCCTTTTCCTGTATTTAGATTTTTGCAACATGCTTTTACTAATATTTGGTTTCCGTTTGTTGTTTGGCGTAGTTGTGTATCCTGCGTTGGCAGTCGCTGGGCCTGTGATTGGTGCGTGTTTGACAACAGATGTACTCATGAAAGCTCCACATGCACACGAACCAATGAAATCATCATAATTGGAGATAATGTAAGAACAAACAAATTATTTCAACAAATCTCAGGAACAATCTTAATCAATCTGATTATCTAAAGTTAATTCATTTAAATCATTTGTGCCTAAGTGCCTTGAGCATTGGAAAGTGCAATTTCAACACCAATTGGGGTACAGTGAAATTTACACCTGTCCACTTAAATTACCTATGGCCATATGTGATGCGATCAAGCTACATGAGTCGTTTGTCGACCCTGGTCAAAAACATTTTTAGTACAAATTTCAAAAGAGCCCAATCGTGGCATTGCTGCTGTGAAAACCGCATGCTGATACCATCTTTAGTTCAAAAATTATGGAAGTCGGAACACCAAGAGATGTGATGAAGTGATGTGATGAAGTGGCCCTATTTTGGCCTGAATCTTTTGAGTGAATGTTTTTTGGGTGAAGTTTTTAGTGTCTTTTTTTTTTTATAGAATCCATTTGCTTCTGCTACGAAAGGACCTGAGTTTTGCCCTCAGCTGCTGAACCAGACTGCTGAAGTTCTGCTTCCTAATAACATTATGAGGAACATCACTGTCATAACTACAAACCTGCCAGACGAAGCTGAGGTTGGTTTATTTGTTATTGTGATAACCCCCCTGATAATCTCTTGAAGGTTTAATTTGGGGTTAAAATATTTTGAAATGTTTTTGTTAGTATTAAAGTTTGCCTTACATAAGTGTAATTTCAAAAGGATTGTATACTCAATGCTGTTCAAGGGATTGTGAGAAAAATGCAGGCTAGGATTCCAACCAACAGGCGTGCAACTTTTCCTCAAATCCGCTGATTTCCTTGTTTTTTTACTTCTCATGAATGCCATTACAAATTGAAAAAAACACTGTACAAAGTGTTTGTGTGGTTTGGAGTTTCCTTGTTTTTTTTCCTAAATTCCCAGTTGCATGCTTGAACCCATGAACTCCTGCTTACTAGTCCAGTCACCCTACCACTCGACCACCAAGCTTGCCAGGGTTGGCTGGCTGGTTTGAATCTAATATAGCAGCAGGTGTCGCTATCAATTACTTTTTTTGTTTAATGGATTTTACAAGTGAGGGAAATGTTAAGTCATTATTCAAGTATTCAAGTGCTACCACTTCTTGCTAAGCAAATATGACTGAACACTCCTTGCTAAGCAAATATGACTTAGAAGTGTGACGTCTCGCGGTGTCTTCTCCAACATCATGCCACACAATGTCGCGTCTGCCAGTTTTACCATAGGAATTAGAAGGGAGATTTAGGTGAACATTTTTAAAAACAAATTCTCAGACGTTAAGAATAAATAAGACTGGAATGGGACAGTAGATATCCCTCAGAACGTGACCGATTCATTATTTTTCTTTTGCAACGGATACAAAAAGATGATGCAAAATGGGCACCGTGCGTATCCCTGCGTAAGTCTAGGTTTGTGTAACCCTGGGCAATGATGTAACCACCTCTACGGCGTATTGACATTTCTGTGGAACATTAATCTTTCTGAAAGTTGATTAGAAACCTGGTGTGTCCATGAACAAAGTGACTCCTGAATCCTTGTCTTGGAGAAATGGCAGAGGCGAGAATGTTTGCCATCCAGACGTCATGCTGAATAGAGTTTGAGATTTGCATTCAACCAGGAGCTCAGTTCTGATTGGTAATTAAATACAGGCCCAAGCTTGAGCCTTGCTGGACCCAATTTACATCAAATTAACAGACTAGCTTACCAGTGTCACTTTTTCACTTCCTGACACCTTTGATGATTTTATTGTGTTTTTTTTCATTATTTCACATTTGCAGATTTCTGGAACACAACGACCAGCCAGTGCCACTTTTGCACTTCTCTTACATCTTAAATTGAAATAGGAGATAACATTGGGGGTTTATGGTCTCTTTTGTTTTTCATTTTCTAGATTTCTAACTTTCAGTGCAGCTTGGATGTAGAGGGATCACCGCAGGCTGTAAATGCAGAACGTAATGGAGATAGAATCACATGCCAACAGAAGGCTGTAAGTATTGATGTGTTTTTGATTTTGAATTTTGTTTCTTATAATAAACTGTCTTTTGGGGAAAAAAATAAATGTGGAATGAAAGTGGTGTGTAGTTTTTGGTGAAGAAAGTGCTGCAAAATTCTTTCAATATATGTTTTTCTGTTGAACAGTACACGTATCTTTCGAATGATGAGCCCGAACTTGAAGTGAGACTGAGTGTTTCGTGGACGGATACGAGTGGTGTTGCGCACATCCTGGACGACATACATGGATTTGATGGTAAGTAACAAATCGAAGCAAAAATCAGTCAAATTTATTAACAAATTTATCAACTGTTTGCATTATATCAGTGTCATGTAAATTTTCTTGGATGCTGTTTCAATTTTAAACTTCTTCTTTCAAACAGCCACACTTTACAAGTGTGAAGTCCAGAAGCCAGACTGCAGTCGATGCATTACAGCCCGCCCTGCTCTTGGGTGCGTCTGGTGTGGTGCCATGCCGACTAGTGTATGCAAACTGAGCGAAAGTTGCCGTGAAAATGTTATGATTTTAATCAACGGACTGAACTGCCCTGATCCAGTTCTTAGCAAGGTATTAATTACTTGGTTCTCTTTTCTTGTGAAAAAGTAGCGACCAAAGTTATATGAAAAAAGTTCCCGATTAGTTGTCTGTTGCATTGAACTCAAGATCGTTTGGGTAATTGTGCAGGTTGTGGGTACAAGTTCAGCCTGTAGGGTTGTGTTGCATGCTTGCTTGTGCAAGACACTTTGTCACTAATTGGATTCTCCCTACTAAATGGGTACAGATTGTGAGGGCAGATTGTGTTTAATTTAGCTGTTTGTGTCTATATGGCAGCATCGAGCTGTATACTCCCCAGGGAGCTGAGATGATCTTTAGATGGTCTTGAGATGAGTTTTTAATTGCCTGATTTGCAGGGGTAATAATAATTTAATGATGTTTGTCTTTGTGAGTACCTATTGGATGGACATGTGCGTTTTATTACTCGGTATTATTAATTAAAAATGCAGTTGTCACAAATATGATAATATACCGGAGTCCTATATAGCGCACGTATCTATCAGCAAGTAGGTACTCAAGGCGCTGGAAAATGAAGTTTCTGAGAAATATGAGACCCATTATGTAGCACTTTATAAGGGTTTACAAGCTGCTGCGGGGCATATTGAAACACCCAGAAACACCAGGACCACACCCCCCCCCCCCCTTAGTGATAAGTGTTACTGGGTTCTTTAACGTGCATTACACAATACACGGGACCTACGGCTTTGCGTCCCATCTGAAGGACGAAGCAATAATGGTAAAGTACATTGCTCAAGAGCACAAGCACCATGTTCCCACGGTCAGGATTCGAACCCATGTACCACGGCACACGAGTCGAACACTGTAACCATTGGACCACAGCGCCCAACAAATAGTGTAGGTTCTCATAAATGTTAAATTTGCAAGGAATGGATCTTGATATCGTGTAGCGTTTATTAGGCATTGAAGAACATTTCATTACTTTGTATATCCTCCATGATGAATCTGTGAAACCATACAGTGCTTGGGCATTTGGGGGCGGTTTCATTACACTGTATTACATTTCATTACATTGTATTACATTTCATTACATTGTATTCACATTTCATTACATTGTATTCACATATCATTACATTGTGTATCCTCCATGATGAATCTGTGAAACCATACAGTGCTTGGGCGGTTTGGGGCGGTTTCATTACAGTGTTTTACATTTCATTACATTGTACTGTATTAACATATCATTACATTGTATTACATTGCATTACATTGTATTCACATTTCATTACATTGTGTATCCTCCATGATGAATCTGTGAAACCATGCGGTGCTTGGGCGGTTTGGGGCGGTTTCATTACATTGTATTACATTTCATTACATTATATTCACATTTCATTACATTGTATTACATTGTATGACATTGTATTCACATTTCATTACATTGTGTATCGTCCATGATGAATCTGTGAAACCATGCAGTGCCTGGGCAGTTTGGGGCGGTTTCAACACAATGTTTTACATTTCATTACATTGTATTCACATTTCATTACATTGTATTACATTGTATTCACATTTCATTACATTGGCAGGATGGTTTGGGGTTTTACAAGGACGAATGGAAATGCATCATAACATTGTATTTTGCTGTTGATCAGTTATTTGTTGTCTTCTGAATCACATGACAGGTGTTTCCCTTGACCGGACCGATTGAAGGCAACACAGTCATAGATGTGATGGGAACTGACATTGGTCTGCGATTTGAGGATGTCGTGTCAGTGATGGTTGGCAATCAATCTTGCGATCTGGCTGGATTGAACTCAGACTATCAAATTGGATTAAGGTGAGATATCATCTCAAGTTATGACAAGGCTAATTTCATCAGGTTTTTGTTTATCATTTTAACTTGTTCTGAAAATCTATTTTTCTTCGTTTTTTTTATTTTTTTTATTAAGGCAATGCAGACTTTTATCTAAAAAAACTGCCCCTAAGAGTATTGTGTAGGATGGCTTGTTGAATAGTTTTCTAAAATTTACTCTTAGAATTTATCAACATGGCTTTTGAATTTTTTTTTTATAAATAATGAACCGATTGTTGCATTTAAATATTCACACAGAGTACTTACTGAGTTGTCAATGTGTAAAGCTTAAATAAATAATATTAACAGAGTCTTATATAGCGCACGTATTTACCAACAATTAGGTACTCAAGGCGCTGGAAATTATGTCAATTATTAAAGAAAGGCAAATAAAGTTTATGAGAAAAATGAGACCCATTATGTAGCACCTTATAAGGGTTTACAAGGTGCTGCGGCGCATATTGCAGCCACTGCCAGAAACACCGGGGCAAACCCCTTCTCTTAGCGATAAGTGTCACTGTGTTCTTCAACGTGCATTACACAACACACGGGACCTACGGCTTCACGTCCCATCCGAAGGACGAAGCAATAATGGTAAAGTGCCTTGCTCAAGAGCACAAGCACCATGTTCCCATGGTCAGGATTCGAACCCATGCACCACAGCACACGAGTCGAACACCATCAAAAGATTAGTCAAAAGACTTGCAGTATTTGGGGGGGGGGGGGTTGGCTTGAAGGGAGCAGTTTTACACCCTGGTTTTAACAGGTTTTTTGTTCTAATGAATGTAATGAACAAGTTAAAATAGTTGTAGTTTTTGATTTTTGCTGAATATAATAATAACTGCCACCAATTTTTTTTTTGCAGTGTCAGCTGCAAAACAGGAGCAGGGAGTGTAGGAGCTGAGTTGATAACATTGACAGTCATGGGTGCTGATGGTACTACACTGCAGCACAGCTCAGGAACAGTCAACTTTAACTTCACAGTAAGTAATGTAACACCCAGATAGTGAAACAAGAATAATTTCATGACATTATTTTGCCATTATTTTGCCATTTTAACATTAAATTAAATATTTTGAGAAAGGTGGGATCAGAAGAAAAAAGATGGACCATATTTCAACTTATTTTCCAAAATTTTGAGGAAATCTTTTAAAATGTGTTGCAAATATTTATCGGCACTCAGAAACTTATGCTTTCTGTTTTATTTTTATTTCGTCCTGTATATATTTTAAGATGATCAGCTCTTCCTAGCTCCATTATCAATGTATATGCCCTGCTCTGTTCCAGTAAATGTCAGATGTATAGCATTCAAGTGAAGTAGAATAATGCCAAAATTAATCCAAAGTTGTATCAGTGATATATCCAAGCTCAGCTTTGAAAAAAAAATGCTTGTACTTGCCCTTTCTGATGTTAAAATGGGTCTGCAAAAAAGCATGATTTAGTCGACAAGCATTGTTTCTCATTATTTTGGCTGCGGTCCAACATAATGCAGCGCACCACGGACAGAAAAGCATTCCAGACTGGTTTCTTCATAGCCGTGTAACAAAAAGAATTTCCACAAAGACATCAAGCACAGACATGAAAAGGCTTAGTTGGAAGAGGTCAGCAAAGGTCGGCTATGTGTGCGTCACATAAAAAGTACCACTCTGTGCCTGATGATTACAGTGTTACGGAACATATTTGGTAAAAACTTGTGATAGTACAAGGTTCATGTATGTACAGCTCAGTACTATTGTGTTGACTCCAATCTAAATTTAGAAAGAAAATTGTTGGATTGGTATGTGCAATGAATTGTTGGATGGTGATCTCTTAAGGACATGTTTTCTCGATAAACTTTTTTAGCTTTCACTTGGTAAATTGAAAAGAATAAACTGTAAATAGCAAAAATAGTTGTAATGGTCAGCTAGCTGTGAAAATGATTTTGGAGTAGGATGAACAAGTAATTTAGTATTTATAGAACAGCACTCAATTATACTAACACAATAAACCCAAACTACATCATTGGGTAGTTTTAAAAAATCAGTCCCTGTACTGCTCTGAACCAGCCTGCTTGTTATTACTCTCTGTACTGCCCCAAACTGCCCAAGCCCCAAACGGGTCTGTTCTCGTTACGAAATAAAGACAATGTAATAAAATGTAATACTGTACAGGTGCTAATGGGTAATTTGGGAATATGGGTGCATGAAAATAAATTCTTGCACATGATGCCGTGTTTCATTACCAGGATCCAGCAATTACAGATTTCCAACCCCGCCTTGGCCCAGAAGCTGGTGGAACTGCAGTGAGTGTGAATGGTACAGCCCTCAACACAGGACGGGATATCGAAGCATTCATTGGTGACCGCCGTTGCGAGATAATAGGGTATTTTGCCGTTTTGCTTACTTTTACATCAGTGGGTTAATATAGTTGATTATATGGCAAGTGTCACGGTATTGTGTTAGATTTTGTGTGGGTAATGTTAGATAATTTCATATTTTTATCTTGGCACAATTTTAATCACTTAGTAAAACTGGTTTTTATGCTACAAATTAAAAAAAAATGTTCCCTCCAATTTTGTGCAGCCAACCAGTTGAATCTAGGTTAGAATGCACGACCACTGCTGCCCAAGTTGAATATCATGGTCTTGTGAAAGTCTCCTTTGATGGGGCCATGAGAACCTCATCAGATATGTACACCTACACTGAAAATCCTACCATCACCGAGGTGTCTCCTCTGAAAAGCATCCTTTCGTGAGTCTTGTCTGCTGTGTCATCTTTGGAATTTAATTTAATTTTCATGTTACTAGTAATTTGTGACCTGTTCTGTCAAAATCAGACTTTTTCTGGGCGTAAGGTCAAAAATGAGATTTTTGCATGTTGTTAAAATATGTGCTTTTTCCTTTTAATAGGTGGTTTGATTTTTAAAACTGGTCATTCCTGGGCAGAGTTATGCTATTTTGAAGTTCATTGTGCAAAAAGTAGAAAACAGAAAAAATGGCCTCTAATGTCACAAAACAGTCATTTCTTTAACTGATACCTTAACAAATCATCAAAAATACTATATCTAGAGTTCAAATTGGGGTTTCAAACTTTTATAGTATATTTTAGACATGTTCAGGATTACCAATATGCACAAATTTGAAAATCGAAAAAAATCACCCCTACAGCATTTTTTGGCCCTATCTCAATTTCAACCTCTGCCCAGAAGCGTCTGCTTTTGACAGAACAGGTCACATTTCTTCAAGGCAAATTACTGTTTTTCAAATTTAAAAACTACAAAACCGAACAAATCATGAAAATCGCAAATTGAAAAGTCTTGCACTAATCAATGTCTCCATTATTACTAGATAGACTTTCAGAGTTACAAGTTTGCGGTAATTTGTTCTTAGATGTAGTCTTTAGAGAAGTAAAGTTACTGTGTTGCTGATATTCATATGAGATGAAGGAAAAAAAGGCATTTTTTTCATAATTCAAAATTGTTCACATTTTAAAAAAGGTTTTCTTAGAGTAGAGCTGGAATTTTCGTTATTAAGTTACACATGCATGTGTATTTCTTTTTTTCCCCATAAAAGTTACTACACTACAAATTTACAAGTTGCTCTATCTGTCAGTGTTATTTTGTGTTTCAATTTTTTTGATTTTATTTATTACTTTGTCATTTTTCTGATTGTTAGTGGCGGACGTGTGCTGACGGTTGTAGGCACTAATCTACACACCAGCGTGACACGTCAAATTGTTGTCACCGACGGACAGGATAATCGTAAAATTGAGGTGAGAGATATCAAACAGTTTAGTCTTTGTTGAAACATTCTTTCCAATCCCCTGTCCCCATCCAGCAACCCTTTCCCCCCACTTTGTACCCATCGTGACCTTACAAACTTGTGCAATCCAGTCTCAACCTAGCTGCACTTATTAGCTCGAAACTCAACTCCTGATGATTGCTGAAATAAAAAAATAGCCAAATGTGCAGGATGTGTTTTGATGACAGCCATGAAGACAGTGTGGAAGTCGAGACCATTACAAGACCAGAAACAAGACCAGATACAAGACACAGGGCACGAACAATGACAAAGGAATGCCTTTGTTTCAGTTCATTTGAATAGCTTGTGACTTGAATTGAGACTCAAAGGTCTTGTGATGGTCTTGCAAGGTCTCAGATGCCAACAAAACTTGTTTGGTTTGATGACAATGGAATTTATGTTAAGCATGGGTTTCAGTTGATTGGCCAGTGGTGGATCCAGGCAGTGCGGAGGGGGTGCCCCCCCCCCCACCCCAATCCGCTAACCCCAACCCCAACCCCAACCTCCCGCAGCGACTGAAATTTCTCAAATGAGGCAATTTTTCACTTAATTGAGAGAGCCTTCTGCTCCCCCCCAAGAGGTAATTTTTCACTTTAGAGAGCCCCTCTGCCACGCCCCCCCCCCTGCAGTACCCTCATTGGATCTGCCCCAGCTGGCCCTTGCAAATCATGCAAATGAAAACGAATTTGATGTGGTGAAACATTCATGATGAATTTCCAAAGTTGAAATGCATTCGACTTTTGCCAACTCGCAGAGTGAATACTTCAGAATGTCACTGTTGTGTTTGCCTCTGTGCTGGCCTTAAGGAGAACATTTGTTGCATTTTTTAAAATCCTGTATATTGAGAGGGAAGGGGGGGGGGGCGCAAAAGGGAGGAGCAATGTTGTTTAATTGACATTTGAAAAATGCTGGGTTTTTTTCAGGAATGTCAAGGTGAATCCGAAACAACCATGCGGTGCCCATCTCCTAACATAACAGGCTTCAACTCGGCAACGCTCATGAGCAAGGAAAACCTGACGTTTGGCTTCATCATGGACGGGTTCACCCAACTACTGACATGGTCGCAGGACAATGATGCCAACTTGGAGTATTTCCAAGATCCAGAATATTATGAATTTGAAGATGTTGAAGAGAAAGATGGAGAATCACTGGCAATCATGGTTCGTGAGGGTTCTTTGTCTGTATATTTTTTTATTATTATCATTATTTTTATTATTATTATTTATTTGGCATTAACAAACACATACAAAATAAAATTCACAAAATATTATAACAAAAATAGAGGAAAACAAAAACGAAAGCCAGAGGCATATGCTCAGAATTAAAAAAAAGTTTACCTAAAAATTGTGTCCCGAAGGCCTTCAATTCCAATCCCTCTGGCAAAATATGTGGTGTTTCCTTAATGTGCATGTTATAGTTGTGGGTATGGGGGTTGGTGGCTTTAAAGTACATGTCGAGAAAGGCATTCAGTGGCTAAAATAATGATTTGCATTGTATTGTTTTTGTTTTCTTCCTCATGTGTAATTCAGATTCAACCTATGAAGTAAAAACCTTTTCGCTCTTATGCTCGGACAACATGGTCTTGCTATATTTCAAAATTTGGGAAAATTACTACATGTACACAAATACCTGAAAAAAATAAGAGGAGCTAACGAGAAATTGAAATAATAAGAAATTGCAGCGGTCAGTGGAGCAAAAGTCCTGACAAAATGTTTGCATAAATATAAAGGAAATACAGAGAAAAAGATAATACCTTTTATCCTCAAGTAAACTTGAATCCCCGATCCTGATTGGTCGATCCATGGCAACAAGCGGTGCTACATGTAACCATGTAGCACGGCCACGGTCCATACCGCACTCTGCGTATTGTGCTATTCTAAGATGCGTGCCCCATTCCGTACAACATGCACATGTAATAGAATAACCGCTGAAAGGTTCGTGCACTGCGTGCGTGTTCAATCATTGAAGTTCGTCAAGTTTGCTTGAAGATAAATTCGTTATCACGCTTGCGCTCGTGGAACACGGAAAATGTAGTGCGTCTGTGTCCCACATACCGTGAGGCCGAAGCAGACACACTACATTATTCCGTGTTCCACTCGCGCTCGCGGGATAACTACAGTCGACTCTCGTTAGTACAAATTCTGTTAATACAAAATTCTGGTTATAACAAACATAAAGCCTTGCTGGTCCTGACTGTGCATCTATGTACACAATGAATGGGACTGATGTTCCTCTTAATACAAAATTCTGATATTACAAACAATTTAGCTAGGGCCGAACGAGTTTGTATTAACGAGACTTGACCGTAATAGTATGTGGATGTTATATGGGTATCAGGCTGATTCTGTCAGTTTTGCCCACATTTATTGCTAGAGAGATATAATCCTTCCTTAAACCAGAGTGAAAACGATTTACCTATTCATCCCTCTTACAGGGAGAGCGGATTGATAGCGCAATCACAGCTGATGAACTCAAAGTATGGATTGGAACCGAGAGGTGTCCTGTCATCGTGTTAGCTGAAATACTCGTGCGGTGTACATTGCCTGAGGACCAACCCAAAGCAGGTAACTTCTTGGGAGGAGACGTAGTTGGAAATCTACCTGAGGTGTGGGTAAGTAATACAAAAAATAGTTATTCATTACATGGAACATGTGCACACATGTAGAGCAATGTAATCTGAACATATTCACAGAATTTAATTATTTCAAGGGAATGTACCACATTAACTTTTGCTGCAATTTTCAGTAATAAATGGATTTGGAGGATAAGTGTGTTATAGCAAATATTGTTCCACTGACTTTTTTCACGTTTTGGGTTCGTAGATGCTGGAAAAATCAAGAAAACCAATCATATTCTTGTAGTCTGGTTCCCTGACCTCACTTAAGATAAAACAGAGCAATTTATGGACTTTGCAGGCTTGTACAAGATAAAACGGAGCAATTTATGGACTTTGCAGGCTTGTACAATTGTAAAGAAAATGCAGACGAACTAAATATGAAAAATAAGGAGCACTTTTTGAAAAAAAGCCAGTTTTCTCCAACGCTGGTCGGCCGACCAGCGTTGGAAAAATACAATTTTTCTTGAAAATGTCAGCCCACCAGGAGCCACAACTTTACAGGATGCTTCAGACTGTCATTCCTAACAATCCAGTAAGATATTTCGTGATAATTTGATCATTTCATTTTTTGATGTTTGCAAATGTTGTATCTTGCCTTTAAGTTGCTAGTTGACACACTGTTGCCACAGCAAACTGTACTGTCCATGTGTTGTATATGGGGAAATGCTTCCGTGGTGGCCCGCCTCATATAATGGCGCGCAGTGCAGTGACCCTAAGGTCAATTTGTTAACAAATTTGGCATCAAAATGTATGCCAGACTTGAAGCTAGTAAGTTATGAAGGCTCACTGCAAGAAACACGCGTTAAATATAATCTGTTGAAAATTTCCACCAAACTTTAGGCCAAAAAAAAAAAAAGTCGGTCTCTGGGCAGCGCGCGTGTCGATTTTAATCATGCACGTCAATTTTTTTTTCCCAGAATGTTCCGCGGCAGCTCCAACAACGCCCTCTATTGCCGCACCTGCTCAATTTTTTTTACCAAAGAGCACAAAGGAATGGGAAATTGCACCACGGCAAATGATCCAGAGCACCAAGGCAAATTATGGAGGACACCAATGTACATGAGGACACCAAAAAAGCAAAATAGTACCCCACCTTGTCTGTACAATCCAACCTGGAAGAAAAAAAAAAAAAGCCGCGTCCCTGCGTCAATTCCGGAACTTTGGTCTGACCAGAGACTAATTTTTTTTGTTGGCCTTACATCAAGTTTCACTGCATAGATTATGATGTATTTTTTTCGGATTGTTTTGGATTTGTGTTTTTGTTTCAATTTTCAGGTGGAACATAGTAATCTGCAGGTGCGAATTGGTGAAATTCGGTATCCCGCTTCTAACCCGGTTCCCATTGTTGTAGCGTCAATCAGTGGAGCGGTCCTGGTGTGCATTCTCTTTGTTGTGATATGTTTCGGAGCTCAGGTGTATGGAGCTAAACGAGAGGCCAAGCTGATCGTGGAAGACATGAGAGCTTTAGAAGCAGATCTGGCTGATGAGGTCAAGGCAGGTATGTACTTGGGTCTATTCGGGAAAATCGCAATGTAGTGCGCCACCAAGAGTTTGCTATAGAGAGTCCATTTTTCAATTTACCATGTTTACGGTCGACAAAACATGCCCCTTTTGAGCGAGTGTTAGAAGACAACTTGAGCTAATATGTTATAAATTGGGGCATAGCGTTTAGCCGCCTTACAAAAACAACCATATTGATCAAAAGAACAGAAAAGGGAAAACAGATCCCCGAATCATACACTTACGAAACTACTGACTGGAAAAACTAACAATTTCAAATGTCCCGCGCTGCGAATTTGTCAACTATCTCCCACAATGCACTGGGACAAATTAACTCGTTCAGCCGCCTTACAAAAAAACATATTGATCAAAAGAACAGAAAAGGGAAAACAGATCCCTGAATCTTACACTCACGAAACCACTGATCGGAAAAACTAACAATTTCAAATGTCCTGCTCTGCGAATTTGTCAACTATCTCCCACAATGCACTGGGACAAATTAACTCTCCGTGGCAAACTCTGGGTGGCCCACTGCAGTGTGAGTCACCCGAATTGTGCACAGTCAAATTGTGTATAGTCAAGTGAAATCGATTGTGAATGCTTTTCACTATATCCTAACAAACCGTTGCGCAAACCATTTTTGCAAATGTGAATTTTTTGGCACTTCTTTGGTTTTTGTCTTGCAGCCTTTGCTGAGCTTCAGACCGACATGACCGATCTGACCAGCGACTTGGAAGGGATCGGCATGCCCTTTGTCAGTCATCGCGACTATGCCACCAACATGCTGTTCATTGGCCAGGAGATGAAACCAAGTACTACGGATGAAGAGGTACGCAAAGAAAATTTCTCTATAATGTTTCTTGTTTAGTTGATTTGTAGTGGATAGGATTGGTTATATAGCTACTTTCCATAGATACATGTGGTACTGCTAGCTTTGGCTAAGTAATTCAGACGCTGTCTCACTGTGTAGGAGGAGTTAACTGTTCATAATTTGCGGGTGGCGTAGGTGGCTAGTGCGTAGAGCGCTCGTCTCTCACCACTGTTGCTCTGGTTCGATTCCCGGCGAGGACCATCTGTGAGTAGAGTTGTGCGTTGGTTCTCTCCTGTGCCACAAGGTTTTTATCTTGGCCCTCCGGTTTTCCTCTTTCCGAAAAAAAAATCAAACACTTTGGATCTCTGGCTGTGGTCCGTGGTCATATATGGGTCGTATGGCTGGCTACCAAAGGCGCCTTTACATGCTAGCGGCTTGACCAAGTTGTAGCCGCGTCCTTCGCAATTCGGCTTCTTAGCTGCGAGTGAGGCTGATTAGCCTCCCAAATTATTATCAATTATTGAATATAAATATTCCTGGGAAACTTTTCCTTGTATTCCTCAGAAACAATCAAGTAAAAGCCCTTTCTAACAGCAGATGAAAAGGAATTGCTTTCATACTTGCAATGTTCTTGAATTTTATCTTTAAAGTAGAGCATCAGTAACGGAATTTGTTTTATTTCATTTTGGTGTTTAAGAGTGGATGGTGCCAGATTTGAGAAGTTTGTACAAAGGCAAGTAGCAAAATAAGGGTACTGCTGCCTTGAAGACTGAAGTGTAATTAATGTAAATAAACAAGAACTGAATCAGAAAGTTCCCGTTTCCTGCTTTCTCTAGTACCCCAATGAGGAAGTGGAGAGGGCCATGATCAAGTTCTCTCAGCTGCTAAGCAACAAGAACTTCCTCCTGCTCTTCATCCAGACACTGGATGCAGAAAGCAGCTCCAAGTTGTCCATCCGAGAAAAGTAAGACGACTTAATGTTCCTTCCAAATTCGTATTTCATATGCCCTTTGCAACCACCTTCTGGGTTGAAGGTTGTAATACACGTTTGGGCCGTCTTTAACATTTCTGTGATTGATTTTTATTTCAGGCAGTCCATTGCATCTCTGCTGACTGTCATCATGATTCTTGAGAATAAACTGGTCTACATGACTGAGTAAGTGACTTCTGGCAATGTCAGAAATTATGGTGACTTTTCAAAAAGAAGCCTGACTCATTATACCACAAGTCTGCAAACTATTTGATACACATATGTGTCAATATCGATAATATTAGGGTAGCACCATGTGACAAATCTCTTTTGTGAGTTTATGAGATTCTGAAAAGAATCGGGGGGAAACTGTCTGTTTCGGACGGTATGCTCTGCCCGTCGTCAGAGTCCGACGCGTTCAGTTTCCCCAGTTCTTTTCAGAACCTCACCAACTCACAAAAGAGATTCGTCAGATGACGCTACTGTAATCTGTACCTATTGCTATTTTCACCATGCAAACCTTCAAATCTTGCATGTGTCAAACTGATGATACTCTCCATGCAGTATTTTTAGTTTTTGTATTTCACTTCAAGTACCCAAGATGTTTCAGTAATTTTGTCTTTCAATAATGTCGGATTTTTAATAAAATTGCAATTTTTCTCTGCTTTGTAGCATCATGATAACACTGATGACCCAGTTGATTGAGAACGCTGCAGATTCCAACCGCACCCGCCAGCTGTTCTGCCGGTGAGAAAGTCTCTTCTCAATTTCAATTTATAGAATTTACAACTTTGATAATCTGATGTTCATTTCTGATAAAAGAATAAACTCTAATGTTGGGCCCACGCTTGTACTTCTACAGAACAGAGAGTATTCTGGAGAAGCTGTTGTCAAACTGGGTTGCTCTTTGTCTATATGATCAGCTAAAGGTAAGACTTCAATATCAAATCTCTTCTAAAGATATAACTAATTCCACTGTCTTTTTTTTAGCAACTCATGGTTGCAGTTTCACCTCCAAGCTTACTCACAGTACATATTTTGAAATGCCATCCCAAAATTCTGTACATCTGTGGACATTTGTGACCGGCTCCAAAAGAAAAGGGTATATGTCACAAAAAAAGTATTGAGTTATATACATAGTTGGAAAGCCCACAATGTCAGCTTTCATTTGGTATATAATAGAGCTCCATAGCCCCTCCTGTTCTGGAGATATGACGTATTTGCATATTAATTACTTCCTTGGAGTTCAAATAAAACAACTGATAAAACAGGCTTTGAAATAGCTGGCTTTGTTGTAGAACAACAGAACGATGCACACAAAATGGTTGCTTTTTCCACTTTGTTCATCAAAATCAACATTTCTGCGAGTGAAAGTTGGAACTGCACGACTTAAAGATGTCATTCATGACTGAAAATGAAAATCAACATTTTCACCCTCTCAATGTTGAGTGGGCCATCACACAATAATTCTCAGCGCGACTTACTCTGTTTTGTGGAGCTGGTCACATTTGCTCCTTTTGTGCTGAAATTTTCTTTATCCATTACAATTGCAAATTGTCTTCCACCAGTTTTGCATAACAGAAACCAATATCGTGTTATCCTGGATATTAGGCTGATTGACTATAAGATTCTCTTTTCTATTTTCTTGGTCCAGAATCACACAGCCTATCCCCTGTTTGTGCTGTACCGAGCCATCAAGTATCGCAGTGAGCATGGTCCCATCGATCTTATCACCGGCCGCTCTCGTTTCTCCTTGAACTACGACAAACTTCTTCAAGAGGATGTGAAATACAGCCCAATCGTGAGTCCTTTTTTTTTCTGGAATTCTCTTCAAACTGATGCACCAAATAACACTCATGACTGTTTGCAGGTGTTGTCGTGATCATTTCCTTCACATTAAAGTGGTTACTTCAGTTTTGGAGAAAAAAAACCTTTGTTTTCCACGATGCGTCCTCCATTTTCACCAATTCATCCTCCATTTTAAGCAATCCGTCATCATTTAGCCTTGCCATAATTGAGAAATTATCTAAAAATCAGCTGCCTTTTCATGGTTGGTATTTTTCAAATTATTTGGGCAGGGTCAGTTTTGTAAAATATTTGTTGTAAATTACTTTCACAAGAAAGGATATTTTTCCCAGGCCTGATGTCCCTGATAAGCAATAGATTCTAACTTTCTGATAATTTTCTTTCTTTAGACTCTTGTTGTTCTCATCGATGAGAAGATGCATGTCACCAAAGAAGTCAAGGTGCTAGACGTGGACACCATCTCCCAAGTCAAGGAGAAGATCTTAGATGTGGTCTATGGCAACCAGCCTTACTCCAGTAGGCCTAGCGCCAACGAAGTCAGCCTTGGTATGTTAAAAATTTATGTCCAAAATGAAACCTGGCATGTGGGATAATTACGGAAAATGAAATGTCATGTTTTGCTACACATTATGGTCTTGTGTTCTCAAGCAGGATATTTTATCACAATTGTTTTTCTTTTCTCTGGAGTATAGGCATATGTATCGTTTTTTTTGTATAAATGTTACTAATAACCCTCCTATGCAAACATACATTCTGTGTTAAGTTGTCCTTTCAGTCAAAATCAATCATGTGACTGTTTTTAACAGTTTTAAGAGCTCCCACCCTACATAATTTAAAGCAGGATTGACTGGCTGTGACTGCTTGGGTCACTTGACGCAGCTGTGCTTTGACTGTAGGTGATTGATGAGATAGCTGTGCCTACAAGTTGCCTGCTTTTGTCTGTTGTCTGTCAGAATGCTTGTTTAAAATACGATCTTACTAGCCTACAGGTGTAAAAGGCATGACAGGGGAAGTTGATGGAAATTTTTGACTGTTTGTGACTGTTTTAACAGTAGGAGGGTAAAACCATACATTTTTCATGTTAGTAATACACCCTTTTTCTCCCGTGGATCAACCCAGAGTGGCGCCAAGGAAAGAGTGGTAAACTTATTCTTACCGATGAGGACACGAGACCATTGACGGACAAATGGCGCCGAGTCAACACGCTCCAAGTCTTCTGTGTAAGTATTGCCCCAGGACACTGATTGCCTTTGTGAGACTCGTTTACACTTCTCAATTGAAAAATGGAAAGAAAAGGCAAAAATGCCAAAGAAGTCTGTGCCCTGGAGTAGGGCTGTGCATCGGACCCAGGTTCCTGAGTACCCGACTGTCAATGTAAGCAACTAGTTCCAGATTATGGAATCGAGTACCCCTTAAACAACCTTTAGAAATTATACTCAGTAACTTCGCAGAAAATGAAAAAGAACAGCTTTGAACGTCTCTGATAGAGAAATTTCAAAATGAAAAACAGACGATGTGGAAAACAAAATCAATTCCACGTTTACGATGATCGTGATAGTTGCAGTTTGTATCATAAAGCTAAAGAGCTCACCGTATACATTTGTAACTACATTTAAAACTTACACACTGGCGCACTAATAAGGGGTAGTATTAGCATGCAGACCTTTATGAACAATCCGAACAGCAACTTCCGAGATTTTCATTTTGAAGGTTGGGTTTACCGGTTACCCGGGTACCAGTATTTTTTCTAGAGGGTACCCACTTCCTGTACTGCCCTTAAATACACACCCCTACCCTGGAGCTTCAACCGTAGAATTGTCAAGTAGTCTGAGAGTCTGTTCTTTGGTTTAAACTGATCGACTGCTATTTTGCCCTGTCTATTACCCGCAGGTTAGAGACAATGATTTGGTTGCCCTGGTGGAGAAACAAGATGTGCCAAATGCCCGATTCTCAGACTCAATCCTCACAGCACAGGGAGCGTCCTACAGTAAGAACTTTTTGTTATAACAATTTCAAAGATTACCCTATAAAGGCAGCTATTTCCTTGTTCCGTCTTGTGGCAGTGTTTAGGGAATAATTCACAGTTTAAAGTATGAAAAATCCATCATTTTCATTTTGATAGCAAAACAGATTCTTTTTAGGAAAATTTTAAAGTTCACAATTTATTACACCGAGAATGAAGAATACTGACTCATAAGCAAAATGGAATTTTTTTTATTTTTTTTTTATTGCCCTTGCCCTTTAGTTTTGAATGCCATAAATACTTGAATGTTTGCCAACTGCACACACGCACATGATGTTCGCCTGGAAACTAAATTCCATATTTGTCCCTACGCATTAACTTCTTTTGTCGCGTTTCGTGGGAAAGTCTGGCTTCGCTCCCAATACAATACCACAGAGGTCAAAAGGTCAACCAAAATCAATCACAATACTGCCTGCCCTGATGGTATTGCAATTGCTGACAATAGCACAAGGAAGTACATAGAGAAAATAATACTGCATCGTGGCATGCATTTCAGTCTGCTATTTACACACTACGAATGGGGGATTTTCCCTGTGAATATTTAAATAAAAAAAGGAATTTTTTTTTCAGATTGGGGGAAAGTTCACCGTGCCTTAACCATTGTTATTACCAGTGTGCCTTACCATTTAAAAGCCATTGAATAGAAGACAAATATTTAAAGAAGGAAAAGAACTGAAAAATCAGGGGTACAAGTGATTGATTGCCTCCACAAAAATAAAATAAGGAAAACAAGTAGAAGAAAACAACTTGTAAAATGTAAAAATTAGATTGTAAATACATGTATAGAGAAAAAAATGACTGAAAATATGTACAGGGGTAGAAGTAATTTATTACCTCAAAAAAAACCCCCAAAAAACAGATTAGCTGGAGTAGTAATAAATAGCATGTGTGCCCCCCCCCCTCCTAAGTTTTTTCTTCCATTCATATGGACCTTATTCAAGTGGAAGCCATATAGGATCGTGTTCCCTGAATCCATTTTATAAATTGTAAGCAGTTGAATAGGATGGTGCCAGACTATTTCATGATTGGAGTGCGTTCCAAGCCTCACTTTTAATTTTTTTTTAAAATGTGGCTTAAAACATCGGGGTATGTTTAATCGCAGATTTTAAATTATTCATCAGAGCAGACTGGTATAAAATTTGTAATGAACTGTTATTTCATTGCTTTCATTTCCACTCGTAAGTTCCAAAAATCAAGAGTTTACCTCGGTTTCAATTTAATATGGCCGACATGTGAACAAAGTCTGTTCTTCCATTTCTCGTATGAACATTTGCGTTATGATTGTTTTTATGGGTGTGTGGCATTAACAAGAATGTATACCCATGATACTTAAGCTATTGGTCTTGGGTTCACATCCCACCCATGTATAAAAGCTTAAGTTTCCTTCTCGCTGGCTCTTTGGCACCACAAAGCATGCACATGTATCAGAACATTTTTTTTAATGTTCTTTTATTTATAAAACAACCATAGCTGTTAACTAAAACATTCAAGGTTCCACTGAAAACAGGGTACATTCAAACATAAGGGGCCATCCATGAAGAACATACGCACAAAATGTCGTCTTTTTAGATCTCCCTGTATGCATGGCATATGCAGTAGTTCCAATCCAATTGATACAGTTAAGAAAGTTAATGGTACATGTACACTGTAAGTTTCTGGTGTACAAAGCATTATGCTTTAAGTGTTTTTAAAATTTTTTATTAAGTAATGTTGCAGTCTCTGAAGTTTAATGACCTCTATAAGTGGCACTGTGGTAAAGTATTATAAAAAAAATTAGATGCGGGTATTAAATATGAGAAAGTACATTAATGTCATGACAATTATTAAAACCAAATTATTGCTTTGTGTATGCATGCATTGGACCCCCCTCCCTTGCACGCATGGTGTATGCAGTATTAAAAACTCTCCCCCCTTCATATGTACGTGCTTTATAGATGGCCCCTTGATAGCCATAGCAAGGCTCAATTTCAAGAAAGTTTTAGGGCTTTATTATTTCACTTATTTTTCATAACAGTAAATTGGGCAGCTGTTGTATTTTATATTACTGGACAAACATTATTTTGAAAGAGTAGTGTCAGATCAAAAGAGCAAATATCATGAAAAATCTTCAAGTTGCTCCACCTATGTAGAAGAAGTTTGTCTTAATTCTTTATTTACTCTCTCCCATCATCAGTGAATGTAGCCTTTGATGATGAGAAGAGCAAGCACAGAAAGAGCACCAAGAAGGGCTACACGGCCGCTGAGGTGGAGGCTCAAGAAGGAATCATGGACTGGCATCTTGTAAGGAATTATCCAAGAAACTCCTTTATACTCCTCAAAATAGAGAAGAGTGGCTCAGTTTATTGTCTGCTATATGCAGCCTTGATGTTCAGATTTGGCAATTGGAAGTCAATAGGAACATGACCACAAAATTATTATGGTGCTCTGAAAATTAGCCATAAGAAATCAGGGAATCATTGACTTTAATAAATGTAGTACAAATGTAGTTAGGGAGGGGGGGGGGGGAAGCAACATGACCTGTAAAGGTTGAAGGGGGGTTGATTGTCATTAGGGAAGGGACACAGGGAAATGAATATGACTAGCACCACAGAAGCATCTAGAAATTCAATCGCATCATAAAAATAATCGTCTTAAAACAAGTTTGCATCCCCTTTCCTACAAAGGATTCATGGCCTAACAGAAAGAAAGCAAAGATAACAAAGAGTACCCTGTAGTGTTATATGAGGTCTTAACTTCCCCTTTTTAAAATTAGGTGATTAGTCAGCCTCTTCCAACAAATCCTGGGAGGTGTACCATTGTCTCTTTTTCTCCCCCCCCCCCCCCCTCCACGAACCAAAAACAATCTGCTTCTGGATCCACCAGCGTAGCAGTTGAGAGTCGGCCTAACTTTCCCCTTATGCTTCACAGGTTACTTGTGTAGTGACTCAGTAGTCCCAAGAGACTTTAGAAGAAACTGTTTAAGAAGGGTTGTCCATGTTATTGAATTGACAGTCGCAGGAGGAGGAGGAGTGGTCTACGGAAGAGGAAGGACAGAGGCGGAGAAAACGAGGAGGTTGCATCTCACTGGATGCTGTCACCTTCAGGAATAAGGTTTCTCGTCACAGGATCAAAGAGATCTCGTTCCCTAGACTTCTCTCCACGAAGGTAAACCTCGCAACGCAAAACTTGTAAATCATGTTTAACAACAGCAACAACCTTCAGAAACTAACAGTTTGAAGAAAGTACTGTGTAGTGGCTATAATTATACAAAGTTTGCTGTCACAGTTTCTACATTCCCTTACAATATGGTTGACAACTAAAATACATGTAAAAAAAAAAAATTGCGTCGAGGACAAGTAAATCTTATATTTGGTTTTGCCCTTCGCCAAGGCATTTTTATAAACTTTGTGTATTCAGTTTGTCCATACCCCTGTCTTAAAGAGTTGGATATTAAGAACATCAAAAAGGGGTGAACATTTTGGACAATTCTTTTACAAAAATGGGTAGTTTTATGTGTGCACATAGGTTTTCAAAGCATTGTTATAATCATTTCCTTTCCCTTACATGTATAATTTAACCTGGGGGAGGGAGAAACAACTTCTTGCGAAGTGTCTTGCCCATGGACACTTGCACAGCCATGCTGCAGACTTGACTCAAACCAGTAATCTATGGCATTCACCGAGAAAAAAGACTGAATAATCTTCGTTTCAAGGCCCTCTTTCAAATGGAATCCTCATGACAATTAACTTTCAATTAACTTTCGTCCCCATTGACTTTGAACGTTTTTTATGTTGGCAGCAAAACAAATTCTGTCATGATGTGTTTCCTAAATTCAGGCTCAGGCTAGGTAGTTGGTTATGGCTGTCAATAATACAAGCCTCTGTGGGTAGTGGCTTCAGCTACACCCATAGGTGCATGTGTAATTACAAGCCGTAGCCCAGTAATACGGACATGGCTTTTGTAGACGAACTAAAAATATCCACTGCATTTTGTTACATTTTGGTGAAACACAGGGCATCGTGCAGGATTATGTGGACAGCATGTTCCAGGCGATACTGTCAGCGAAGAGCGCCCCCAAGGCCATCAAGTACCTGTTTGATTTCTTTGACAGTCAAGCCTACCGACATGACTTGTCCACCGCGGATCCTGACCTGGTCCACATCTGGAAGAGCAACATGTAAGTGACCTGTTTGTAAATTGGCTCAAATTTTGTGAAGACCGTCTTTCCTTTTGGCCAGTTTTCGATTTTTGGTTTTTTTCCCTTGGAAGTTTTTATTGCCCTTCTTTCTTGTTACTTTTGACACCCTTACAAAAAATGCGTTTTGCTTATTTATTTTAGCATCAGATAAGTACACACCAATGAACTCGCCAACATTAAGCAGATGAGTCATGAGTTAGAAGTGGCCCAATTTGCGCATTTATAATGTATTTCTGTCTTAAACCTAGCATATATGGAACTTTTTCTGTCGGAAAACTAAAAATAGAAAAGATGTCAGTTTTTTTTAATTTATTTAAAAATATGATTTCCTTCCTAAATTTGTTTGAATTTGGAAAATCATTAAAATGGAATTTTTAAGCAGCCCACAGACAATTGGAAATGTTGATCACATTCAAATTAGTTCTGGTATTTTGGTCGCAGTCTGCCACTGCGTTTCTGGGCAAACGCCATCAAGCACCCAGACTACATCTTTGACATCCGCCCATCTCGCACTGTGGAGGCCAGCCTGGATGTCATCGCACAGTTGTTCCATGATGCGCACGATACCAAGACCCACAAACTTGGCCGGGTACGTCAAATTGAAAGACAAACCCTCGAGCTTATTCTGTATCGTTCTCGTCACACGTACAGCTAGAGTAGAACACTTCAAGTGGGTTTATGAATCGTGCAGTCATAAATAAATTGCGATGACTAAGTGTCTTCGAGCACGTTTTGGTTCTAACGCAATGGAACGGGGCATAGTGGACACCTTGTTTAACAAGAGTTTTGAGAATTTGCAATACATTACTATAATCAGGGCTTTACAACACGAATACGTCCTAATATTACGTTATAATGTTTGGAAGATAACTGGACAACCAAAGGCACAGTTACATTTTTATTTTTTTGTAAAATTGTCCCACAAGCTTCATTAAAAGCAGATTCTATCTATTTTTCATTAAAAGCAGAATCTATCTGGAATTTTCAAATGACAAAACTTTCCCAATCCAACAAATTGTCCGTCACAGGAAACCTCCATCAACAAGTTATTGTATGGCAAAGAGAAGACAGCGTACCGCAATAAGGTCGTCTCCTTCTTCGAAGAAGTTGAGCAGTTGCCTCCGGTTCCCACCCAAGAACTGAACAAGGAGCTGTACAAAGCATGCGAGGTAAAACTCATTTACAAGCAAGACACAGATTCAGCTGGGAGTTGTTTTCCACTTATTTTAGTCTGCAACATTTAGCTAAGGAATCACTGTAACAAGTTCCCGGAATAAACACACGACCCTTGAAACAGGATTTCAAACTTTAAATGGACAGCACCTTTTTTTCAACAATAAGTGTCAGTTTAACATCGCTAGGACATCCTTGAGACCACTTCATGGATAAAAATTAAAAGATGAATGCCTAACTTCTCCGATCGTGTTCCTAAACTCTATTAAATGAATCTTGTTCAAAAGAGATCTAATTGATAAAATTACAGTTTAAGTTTAGTATCAAGTCACTACAAATGTATTAAACATGAATAAATTTGGTTGTACTTTTTTCCCCAGAACTTCTCTGGCTTGTTCAGTAAGCTGAGTACTCTGGATCAACTCTGGAAAATTGTGCGACGGTTCAAGCAGAAGGTGGGATATACAGATTTTCCTTCTTTATACTAAGAATGACAAGATTAAGGAAATTATTTCTATCACATTTAATGAACAGCACAAACAGTATTCAAAGGCATTCAATTTTGATTTGATTAACTAGACACAATGATATTGCCTTATTATGATAAGTTTGCTGGGATTTTATTTTGTAGTTCTAATGGATTTGATTTGCCAGTGCCAAAAAAATGAGTTTTGCTTGATGTTTGCAAGACTTGACTCCTAAGTCATGAATCCTTTCTACTGTCTTTTCATAGCTTCTGGATGAAATCGAGGACAACGAGCGATGCAAGGATGAGAATCTGGATGGATTGTTGGAGGAGATTGACAACATTCTGTCTGAAGAGTCTGATGTTGCTGAAGAATGTGTCTAAGATGCTGACAGTTTGGCGACGGACTAATCATGAATGTCAGAAAACAAGCTCAGTCCAAATGTTGTGGTTTACAAATAAGTACACTTGAATAAAGAAGAATTAAGAATTTATGCAAATTTGAAATCGATGGTTTTAAATTTTTTTGGGGTGGGAGGGGGAATGTGGCTGCATTATTTTGAGCAAATATTGTACAGTATTAAGGGTTTTTTTCCCGACTAACTGCATGGGAACCGACACAGTTTAATGCAAATAAAGAAGTGTTGCATAGGAACTCTGAAATCATTTATCACACAGAAAATGTAGATTTGTTTGGTATGTTTACATTGCCTATGAAACAAGTACAACCAGCGTTTTACAAGCATTTATTTGCAAGCATTCATTTATGTGTTGCTTGTTCACGTCATCATCTTATCAGAGGTCCCAATTTTGTGGTGCTTATTAGCCAAAAATGGTTAAACCCATAACTTCAATCGTCAGAAAACCAGTATCATACAGAACACATGGCTTTTAGCTGGCAAATGTTTTTTACTTAGCAACTTTTTATGTTCAAGAAATGTTTGTGCCAATTATGTACCTGCAGTAATTTTATGCTGAAAGAAATTGATTGTCTTGATGAGATGATTTTATTTTACGCAGACATATGTATGGTCATATGAAGTTATGTTATTTCACGTAAAATTGTCACAAGTACTTGTTTAATGCTTTCAGCTGACAAATGGTTTTTATTTAGCAACTTTTTTTTATGTTCAAGAAATGTTTGTGCCAATGATCTGGCAACAGTAATTATATGCTTTAAGAAATTGATTGATTTGATAAGATGATTTTATTTTACACAGATATGTTTAAATAAAGTTATGTTATTTTTCGTAAAATGACTACAAGTACTTGTTTAATGCTGGTATATTATGGATGCTTGCCTTGGTGCTTAAAATGTATATATTTGCAAAATTGTAAAGCCATTAGATTTTATTGTGTTAAGACAGATTTCTTTTTATATTCTGTTTCAACTATTTTTGATAAACTGAAATTTGAAATGATCACAGAGCACATCGAAATTTAACCTTGAATTATTTTCCAGCTTATTAACAAAATGTATAAAAGGCTGTTTTATAATATGTATCTACTAAAGGTATCGTACATTTCATTTTTAAATTTTTTTAATTCTATCAAGATTACAAATTAAATCCATGGAACTTTGTACAAAATCTTTTGAAAACGTACGTGCGAAATGTTTATGCCATAAATGCGAAATGTTTATACGCAATTATTGCTTATAAACTATTTTTGCATCAAGATATTGTACGGCGTGTATCTGTACTCCGAGTATATTTTTAAACAGATATAGTTTTATCGCATGCATCTATTATATTGCTATTGTGAATGGAGTCACGTAAATTTATATTTGGAATCTGGAAACAGGATTTAAATGTATATATTTGAAATAGAAAGATGTGTGTCGGATATAATCCAAATTTGGTGACGGAATTATGACCTTAAACTTTAAGCACCTAAATTTTATACGATTCCTTTTTTTCTACCTACATATGCTTTATTTTTGTAATACACAGAATACATGGTTTTGTATGTTCAGAATTTGAATAGTACTTTAATGAAAATCCAGCTTCGGCCATTTGCCAATTATATAACAATGTGTAAGTTGTTTACACAGATACAATTAATGATTGATGATATTACATTTAATGTAAGTGCTTTACTTCTTATGGTAATTTACACATTTGTCTTGTTTAGAGTAGATAACTTAATACTCTACAGAGAATGCAATTTTCTTTATGCGCAGAAAGAATACCAGATGCTATTTAAGCACAAAAAGAAAATACCATCTGCTTCAGTATTAGGAGTACAAGGATTACACACATGCACGCAAGCACTCTCAAATTTGTATCCTTGTGGAGACAATGTGGGTAAAATAACACGCAAAGGATGCTTAAAATGTTTGGTTTGCCCTCGGTCGTTCGGTGGTTTATGACATCACAGGGTTCATGGTCTGTAGTACTGCAGTTGTTATCGTAACCTTTGGTTGTTGACTGTTACAGGTAACGGGATATGTACGCGATGGATATTTTCAGTTACAATGCGCCGACTCAAATTGGAAATGCAATAAATGAATTGGAGTACATATGTCGAAACATGAGATAGATGTTTTTTGCCATTGAATTATTATAATTTGTTTTTTAAGACAAAGGTCAGAACTCGGATAAGTAGGCTCTACTCAGGGTGAGCTACAGACCAAATCGGGCTGAAAATTTTATTTGAAGTACATGTATCAACAAAAATTGTGTATGTTTGTCAAGGTTTTGTAATTAATACGCCCACACTGCATTAGAGGCCTCGGCTAGTTCAGGAGAGGTTGGGAGATATGTTTGAAAACAAAAGCAGCAATGGATAACGATATTCGGTATCGAAACCATCAAATTGAAACACTTTGGGATCGATTTTCACCACGCCTGTACTCGACCAATCAGCTTCTACGCGTGTTTTTGTCATCAACAAGTCACGCGATTTAGACATTCAACCTCGTTCTCTCTAGTAGAAAAATCCATTGGCAACTCATAATCATGCCCACCGCCATATTCAAGGACACTGATGACCTCTGTTTTTGGTTTAGCTCTCATTGATTCTCTTTGATCCGTGACCTGGTTCAGTACTTCCGCGTGCTTGGGACAGGTTCGCACGGAATGCTTCTGTACAGCGCGTCCCAAAATACCCGCAATTTGTTTTTGCGAGGCTCTATCGTCGGCACAGAAACACGTACCGCCATTATTTGTATACCATTTTAAAGCTTGGAATCTTAACTTTATCCCTGGCGAGCATTGGTTTGATATTTAAAAGAGTTTGATAATTAATAAAGGCATGTCGAAAACAAGCTCAACCGATTTCAAGGAAAATCGATGATGCTGTACATCAAATGTAAACTCGAGTCACACTTTGAGCGCGATTTTTGAATAGGTACGTACTTGCACGTGAATTTCAAAAGTGACTCAGAATAACAAAGAACAATATTGTTAATTTGAAAAACAGAAAGTAAAAGGCAACGAGATTGTCACATCATGAACATGATGAAGCATTTACACATTAGAACAAATGCGCATGACTGATTTTCCTTTAAATCGGTTGAGTTTGTTTGTGACATGCCTTTATGTGAACACGAATAATTTCAAAATCCTTTTGGAAATCAAACCATTACTTACCAGGGATAGCGTTAAGATTCCAAGCTTCAAAATGGTATGAAAAATAATGGCGGTAGAGCCTCGCAAAAATGTTGCGAGTATTTTTGGACGCGCTGTATTGATCGACTTACAATGCTTTGCGAAAATCATTTCCTTCACCAAAACAATGTTAGGGCGGCGGGAGCCAGTGCTAGCCAACTGCTGGTACGTTCCAGGGACGAGGTTGGCGTGTGCGCGCGCATACACATTTTAAAGTTGGCCAACAATCTTGCTTGATTAGAAAACTGCAGCTGCAGATACAAAATCGATTAATTGTTTTAAACTGAGCCCAGATGCTACAGTATGGTGTGCCTAGCCTGGGATAATTGAAAAAAATCAAACGCGTGTTTCAGCCACGTATTGAAAAAACTAAACGCTTTTTAAAAATCACAGTATTGTGTCGGGGATTTCTTTTTAAAGCGTTGTGAATTAAAATGGTAAACAAAGAAGGTTTGGCGCCCCTGCGAATATCATCGTAGTTCGGCCTATTTGTGATTTGCTTGGTGAAATTTGATTGCTTGTCTGATTACTTTAGGCCCCGGTGAGTCTCAGCTGAATCTCCCGTTGAACCTTTTCTTCGGAAATGTTAATAGTGCAACTTGTCCATCCTGTCCATCGACCATCCATGATTAACCCAATGGCAAGTTATATTACCTTTGTATCAACTGCATGCTGCCATGGAGCTTATTTACCGTCACAAAATCTTATTGGTTCCCAATTTTTGGTAGGCGGGTACAAAATTGAGTCACCAACATGGTGAGGTGAATTGTGATTGGTTGATAAGCTCGCTGCATACTGTGAATATTATGTGCATTGCAATCGTGTCCACAGACTGGCGCATATGCGTGCCAAAAAGAGCGGGAAAATGAAGTCTTTTCCCCTCCTTGGCTCGTTGCAGTCGAAATGCCGCAAGTTGAAGTCAAACGGTGAAGAAGACGCAAGGGTACATGAAGTTCACTTAAAGATGGAGAGTGGACGACAAGGAGTTTGGTTGACAGCACGCTGATCGAGATGTAAGTAGTAAAGTCGCATGCCGGCTGCATATGCCTTCGACGACAACCCGGTTTCACGACGTCAGTCTCACTAGGGGGCGAGTCTCACTAGGGAGCTGAACCTACAGTTGTTCACAATCATGGAGACCCTGATGATCTTGGCTTGCCTCGGGATATCGAACAGTCGAAACCGAATCGACATGAGTAGACTCTGCACTGGGATCAAGCTCGACTGAAGACGGCCATTCGAATTTCCACAGATAGGAACCGGCAAATACCACTGACGGCACTGTCTGGCAAAATAGGCCTGATACAGTGGCCAAGATGCCGACATGAAGCAACTTGGTGGAAGTATGGAAGCATGGTAATTGTTATTGTATGATTCATAAGCACCTATTAACCTTCACGGCATGATGCAGTCTGGAGAAGTAAAGGCGAAGTAGAGACGACAACAAAGTGGATATGACCGCACCGGTAAGCTTGAAACGGCAATTGTTTCAAACCAGTTGTGGATGCCTTGGTGAATAGACAACTAAACAGACGAGGCAGTGTGATACAATGTTTTGATACAGTTATGTAAGCAACGTTCTCAGCAATTTAAGTCCAGTGCAGTTAATTTAATAACTGGTTACCACGAAGAAGAAGGCAAGCATTTCAGCAGTCTGTTTGAAAAGTTAAGCATGTAAAATATTATATTCTTTCAGGGTCTTGAGAGACGGCCAGGTGTAACTATGAGCAAGAAGATGCAGACCAGGAAAACAAGTCTTAAATGTAAATCGGTGAGGTTGACATGCACTGCGCACGCTGAATGAGGTGGTAAATGATTGACATAAACGTATTCAGACAGAACTTTCAGTGCTCATCCTTTGTCTATAGTATGTCGTTATTGAAAAGGTAAGTGTTGGAGAAAGAGTCTACAGTGGATGCAGACTGGTAGTGTCCAGAGCTGACTATAACTGAGATTTGAAATTATGAATCAAGCTAATGAAAAGAAATACATTATGACATCAAGTTGCGATATTTGTGTTTCACTATTTCATGTTTCAGTGGTTGCTTATGCACCGACCAAGTTGCAAGTACGGGAAAAGAATTAAAGGTAAGGGAAACGTGCCTTGAGATACCAAAGAAGCTTTCCGCATGGTAACAATGTCTGTGGATATAGGTGCAGGCAACTGCCTTCAAAGCCGTCATAGACCAGACCAAGATGAAAGTCATGGCTTAGAAGAGAGAGCATGGTGATGACACCACGTCTTCAAGATGGAGTAATATCAACAAGATAAATTGCCAACAGTGTATGAAACAGCAGTTAATTATCCAGAATATAATGACAATCACCAGGAAAAATTAGACTTCGTAATGTATTGTCGGAGACGTTTTCCTGGGCATTATATATAACCGAAAAAAGAATGCTAAATCGTATTTGCCATCAAACTTAAACCAATGAAACAATAAAACAACGGGTAACTTTATAGAACCATAACTTTATAGAACCATTAGCGTGATCATAGATTATGAAGAACGAGGAACATTGCTTTCGATCAGTCTGAATTTTTTAACAATGATATCCATGTTGATTTATTCTTATCACAGCAAACCTTTAAACCCTTGCGCAGAGTGACCTGCTGCCTTTTGGGCCCCAGGTAACCGAATTTTTTGGAAAAAAAAAATTGAGGGCCAATGACGGTCACCTTCCATCTAATCCTCATTCGACCCTTGCCAAATCAGCTGGTTCAATGAACTTTGCAGCCAGGGCTACACCCAGGCCGTGTCAACAAACTTTCGACCAGGCCTCCTGCCAAGTCTCATTGAAACATCAACAAAGACCTGTAACTTGACACAGTCATCTCCCTTCATAACTGCATACCACAGCCGCCAGTCAATTATCTTTCCAGCGCACTGTCCGGCAACTGTCTGGACACTGTCTGGCACGTGGCTTTTTGTTGTATTGCTATGAATAGGGTCTTGCGTAGTGCGGGAAAGTACCTGGACGAGTTGTTGGAAAGTTTTTTCGTAAACGCTGCGCAAGGTTGGGTATACATAGTGATAGGTTTGTGAAATTGGCCAAGTAGGCCTTCATTATAAACGATGGGCCACCATATGCATTCTATTTCATCTCAAACCTACATTCGGGATACTAAACGTAAGACTACAAAGGGTAAAGCTTGGCTTCATTAACAAGTTCAAATAAATTGTACGGGTCCATTCTTGCCTATTCAAAGAAAAAGCCTATCGCTATGCTTATAGACAGAAGCAAACGTCCATTACCTCACCGGTCAGCAGCATACATTGGCTACATCAGATGTTTAGTTCTTTTACCTTTCCAATGAAGGTACTAACTTAGCAGATTAACCTTGTGAATAACAAGGGTTAACGTGTCCAAGCATATACCACTTACTACAAAATCCTCCACAGCTATAGAGCAGACTGAGAGCCAAAGTCAGCCCAACAAGGTCAACAGATATCGTCCAGTGACAGATGATAATACTCACTGGTAACTGGTTTTCGACCGATATTAAAAGATCGTTCAAAAGTGCAAATTGTGCCACCATCTGACCGGCTGTTTGACCGACTATCAACGCCGTGACTGATGAAAATTTTGCCTGACTGATCAGAATGGTACCTCATGAAATAACAAGCCTCGTTGGGCGAATTGGCAGTGTGATTCGAGATCGTTTACAGGTAAATTGAATTTTTCTTTTTATCATACGTTTTTGCTGTTTAAGTTTGTTGGTGTCGATAAAATGTTACAGTGGAAATGAATGAAAGAGGTAACATAAAATTTTTATATAACCTACCTTATCATTGGCCAGACACGCAGCAGAACTACTCATCGAATGCAGAAAACTGGTTCAACACTTTCCGTACATACAGCGTAAGCAGTATGGTCTAATGGCGAGAGATGTACTTCGATGAAGAACGTGCAACAGGGCAATATAGGTGCAATTATTTTTTAGGTAGATGCGTTATGACGTACTCCTAGCTCAATCACCAACAGCAAATTTAAGGTTCCGATTGGCTCAAATTGTTGAGAAGGCGTGAACGATCTCTCGTAGTAGTATTACTCGTAAGTCACCTACATGGTAAATGTGGATTATTATTGGTCGATGGACCTGATGTATTTTTATGCTAGACGTACAACGTGCAAGCGACGTTAGGTAGAGTGATTTAGAAATACATGTATAGCCTATGTGTATAAAAGTAAACGCAGAATTTATCAAAATCCATTTCGTTTCCTTCTTGATTCAGTTCGGAAAGAAGCAACTGCATGACCGTGTTCAGTTATTTGCTTGTTACAAGAAGGTGATCAACTCGGATTGTAAACTGCAATGTAGGAAAGAGGTGACATCGACTCACTCTGATACCAGTAGATAGTCGAATCTTTGGAAATCACTGCTCTGTCCACTCACTGGATTGATCTATACTCTATGGATCTGTGGTTGGATCGTCACTAATGTGTGAACGCTTGTGATCTTGCCTCACGTTGGATTGGTGTATTTTGAATACATCCGTGGACCAAAGAAGCTGCAGGTTGGCTTGCAACGTACCAAATTCTGGTAAGATTCTTTTCTGTGTGTCGAACAAAAAATCGCATCGGTAGGTTGTTATGAAGTGGATGTAATTTTAGCTCTATATGAAAAATCAGGTGTGCAACAATGGCCCTAAACACTATATACATATTTTATTTTCAAATTAACCACACAGAGAAACTTACTAGGTGAATTATAACTTAGCCGCATAAAATAAAAAAAAAGCTGTATCCTCTCCAAGTGATCCCGTTTGCTATTTTCCAGTTCTGTACCGTGACTTTGGAAAGGGCAGATCCAGAACACAATTTGTTTTTCTTTGGGGGGGGGGGCAAAAACAAATTGGTCCACAAAAAGTGTGTCAAAAAAGACAAAGGACTGTGTGGGGTTCGGGGCCCGCTTAAGGGAACCGATTTTTTTTTTGATTCTGGATGCTCTGTGGTGCGATCTGAGGCAATTTCTGACCACTTTAACCCGATTTTTTTGAGACAAAGATGGTGGTGTATGCAGTGCCTGTCTTTATTGCGACGTCACTTGGACTTTGACTTGATCCCTGGCTGTATGGCATACTGGTTTATGGCTTCTGACTAGCGCCCATTGAACAAAGATATTGACTTATTGGGGAAACCGCCAACATAGGGCTGGATAGCTCAGTGGAAAAGAGCACCGGAACGGTTATCCAGAGGTCATATATAGGTTCAAGGCCCGCTCCAGTCAATTTATTTGTTCAACTGTTCAACTTTACTTATTTTAAATCACACAAATGGGAAATTGAAAACATCCAACCCATCAATACATGCAAATGAGATTGAACTGAGTTAGTCATAGGTCATTCTTGGTGCAATTTAAATGTATTATATATTTGATATATAATACCGTACGAATGCATCAATGCAGACAGTAACAGTTTTGACCGCTTTGTGTAAACTGTAGGGGGCGCTCTAGCCTCCAAAAATAATGTTTGTTCCCCTATCTGTGGATTGATCTACATTTTGTACCCTTAAGTTGAACAGTGGGTCATCCTTACTTAATTGTAGGTTCATATATTGAGCGATTGAGATCTTGCTAGGTGACTAATACCTAGCAATTCCATTCATGCATCAACATACTAGAACCCACTCTATTAGATGCTTGCATGAACTATAAATACCGCTCGAGCCTATATCATATCATACATGATTGCACAACAACACTGAGCGGATAGCGGGTACACAACAATGTGAACGCGACCTCGAGGTGCTGAAAATGTATAGTGTTCTTGAAAAGACACCATTCCGTCGTTTATTCTTTCAATCGTATTGGTTCACATGTGTAAACGTTGTGGTTCACTTTAAACGATGCAGACCACGTTGAAGCATGATATTTCAAAAACACCATGATAAGTGTAGGCCTATACAAAATGCACTCTTACGATTCCTGTCTGCCGCGCAATGTCATTAATGCTGATACACTTCTGTTCAGACGTTTGAAATGTACTGCCTTGCTATTTTTGAGTAGGACTATTACCCCCCGAAATCCATTTCCTTTCTTTTTCTTCAATTTAACTTTTTTTTTGGTGATGAAAACAAATAAGTTTACTATCAGCATTACTATCAGCAAGCCGGAAAGACGATTCGGTTTTTTTTTTCAGTAACCCAGCCAGGTCTGCAATGTTCTCCATAAAGCATGTTAAAACATTTGAATATGGTGGGTTTATATACTTTGTTGCCTCGCAGAAAATGGATTTAAATTCTGCCCAGTTTGTTTCTAAGATAAGTAGAGTCTGTCACAGTGGTCCAAGGGCACGGACATTATCTTTTGTGATAATTATCAAACACGTAAATTACATTGCGTGGTATAACGATCATGTTCAGACAAATTTTAAACACGATGTTTTTCCGGATTAATAACTCTCGTGGCAGGGAGACCTGTATGCGGCAGGCACAGTCGCACCTCTTATTATATCCCCACGCCCACGACACACTTTTCACGTTGTAAATGTGTCGTCCGTTCACCTTCCCGCCCACCCGTCCGTCCGTTTGTGTTTATTTTTCAAGACATATGATTTTTTTGTTGTAAGTTCTTGTTGTGCGTGCCTTCTGTATTAGGGGTAGTTTGTGTCGATAATCGTACAATTTAACCAACTGAAATAAAATAAATAATCGTTTCCCCTTCGTATTATACAGACTGTTCAGGCATAGAATCCACCAGGACCAAGCTCGTCGACTCCAACAAGAACATCTGTGAATTTTATGAGAATTATGGAGTCCCATGGGCTGAGACATAACGCCTTTCTGCTGTTAGTCTGTCTGTCTTTGAGCATCACCTGTATGAGTGTTTGTATGGCATCTGCTGAGTGGTCTGGGGATCTGTCAGACTATGAGTTGGCAAGCTTTGACAATCCGGACATTTTGGGTGAAAATGAAAGACGTGGATCAAAGTTCAACCATTTTACCTTGAGTGACCATGGTGATGTCTATGTTGGAGCTGTCAATTGGTTGTACAGGTTGGATAGCAGTTTGGGAGAGATAGAGAATGTTACAACCTGTGATGCCAGCAGGCCAGATAGTGTGATGCCCTGTCACCTTACAAACAACTACAACAAGATACTGGTGGTTGACAGTACTCGGCCAGACAGTCTGATAACCTGTGGTGGTGTGTATGATGGTATTTGTCAGTTACGACAGTTACAGGATATTAGTAATGTGATGATGGAGTCGGTTCCTTATGTTGCAGGATTTGAGGATGCAACTACTGTTAGCGTGATAGCTCCAGGAAGTGATGGGGGGAAATGGCTTTATGTTGTAGTAACATATACTGGTAAAAATCTTGATAATTCAGGAAATTTTCGGCCGATCATAAGAAGGGGCCTACAAATGAATCCTTTTTTATCAGCATCAGATGATGAGAATGCCGTCCTTTTTAGTCTCGGTGCCAACGTGGCGATGTTTTCCATTAATTATGTATTAACATTTGCCGACGGTGGATTCACATATGTTGTTGCCTCACAGAAAGAGGACTTGAATTCTGTCCAGTATGTTTCTAAGATAAGCAGAGTCTGTCATGACCATACAAACCTAGACGCATACACAGAAATCACTCTACAGTGCAGTGGATCAGATGGCAGTGTGTACAGCTTGGTGCAAGCAGCTCACTTTGGACCAGCAGGACCTGATCTAGCGGCATCATTGGGTATCCCTGCAGACGAGCAGGTGCTGTATGCTGTGTTTGCCAAGAACCAAGGAGCTCCGGGTACCAGTGATGTACCCATCGATCACTCAGCATTGTGTGTGTACAGGATGACGGATATCTTGGATGCATGCAAAGCCGCAGTCACTGGCTGTATTAAGAATGGAAATGCATACTTGGTGGACTATTTGCAGGGCTCTCTCTGTAATAACTATGATGTAAGTCAATAGGCTAAACCTATTTTCTTTGTTAGATTCACATTCAGCGTCGTAGCTAAGGTTCAAGCCCCCCCCCCCCACAAAAAATGTCGTACCCCAATCACCCCCCCCCCTGGAAATTTGGCATTGCCAAAATCACAAAACCATGATTAGCTAGCGGATTTAACGTAAAGTGCCATTTTTAACATTTTTGATTTATTTTTTGGCGAAAACCCTGTTTTTTCGTGATTGGCTGTTTATTTTCGTGATTGGCTGTTTATTATAACATCCCATGGAACGGGTATAGTTATACCTTTTGTCTGGCAATGACCATGAGTTTGCCCCCCATTGAAAGAGATGTCCAGCCCCCCCCCCCCCCCCCCCCATTTTTGATTTTACGGAGGCCCAGTGTCCGGTGAACAGAACCTGTCAACCATTGAGCACGGATGAAATTAGGGGCCTCTCCACTGTTACATCCAGCCTTCCCCCTCACTCGCCCCCCCCCCCCCCCAGGATGAGAATCCTGGTGGAGGGGCGCCCAATTTCATCGGTGCTCAAAGGTAGAAGGGTTTTGTTCACTGGACACTTTGCACCAGCACCGGTGGGATTGGAACTAATGTTATGGGATTCTTCCATCTCCCATGTTAAAAAATCTATGCAGCTATATATATTCCTGTAGAGTATTCACAAAGAAATAAAAAAGAGGTCTGTTCCGGATCAAATGATTGATTAATGATATTTATTTCAGCTGTAACCCTTTTCTAAACCTTTGACATAGAATCAAACTATGCAAACTTCCAGACTTTCATCAGTGAATGGTATTAAAACTGACAAATAATCGTTATCATCATTCACAATCCACAGATTCCCATCTTAGACCCATACCTTTGCAATCCTGAAGCGAATCTACCACTGTACAAGTATGCCAAGGGCATCGCTCCAGTGCCATCTACAGCTGTGCTGGAACTTCCAGGTAAATGTCTTCACTTGCTGTAGCAAATGGCTATTATTAATAGGCCTTCAATAATTAGTGAAGTTTTTACAAATGTTTGCAAAGGGTAAATGTACATTTAAAAACTTTGTATATTTTTCAGGGAATCTTGCATCTTCCATCGTCACGAGCATTGAAGTCAACCACACTGTGGCTTTCATTGGAACATTGCCTGGAGATCTACTAAAGGTAAGAATTTATTAATATATTTGCATATGTGAGAGTTGCGTAATGCCTTTACATTTAAACATCATCCACTATTAGGAAGATGTTTAATTAACCTTCTCGGAAATAAATAGGCATGCATACTCGGAATTTTTTTTTGTTTTTGTTTTGCTGTAACCTTTGTGTGTTCTTAAAGCCAAAAATTAACTCTTAAAAAAATACACAAGAGAAAGCGCAATTGAAGAGCACAAAAAGAAACCCCTCAACACATATTGACTCTTTTCAATTCAAGCGGGCACTATCTCAAGTCGATATAACAGCTGGCTGTACACCAAGGGTAATTTCGAAACTCCTTATGTTTCAAGTTAATCCATCCTGTCAGTGTTAAAATGTATTGGGTATGTCTTGTGTTTCCTAATTCAGGTTCACATTGAAAGTAATACTACAGCCAGATTGTATGAGAGCGTTTCTCTAGATACCAGTCCAGTACTGACAGATATCAAGATTGATGACCAAACTAGAGTGATGCATGTACTCACTGAACAAAAGGTATGTTCAAAAAGTATATGGTGCATAATATTGTCTTAGAAAATATTTGACAAACAGTTTGTAGACTAAACTAAAAGTTTGAAAGTCTAATTTGAAATTACAATCAATTAATTCACTGAAAAAAACCCCAAATTGCTGTTAAAGGCATTGTTAATCACAAAAAGGATTGCTGAGTTATAAATGGAGCGGATGACAATGCTTTGTGTATACACACACATGTGGCCAATTTGTTATAGTAAAGGTCATTCGGGACTCATTGTTTTTCCTTTCAGTTGATCAAGATGCGTGCTGAGAATTGTGGTCAGTACACAACCTGTGAGACGTGTATTGGGACTGATGCAGGGAATGATGGAGACCCATACTGTGGATGGTGCACTCTGGAAAGGAGGTTAGCATATTGATTAGTCAGCATCCAAGAAAGGTCGTTTATGGATTGTCCCAATAAATTATTATTTTTTTGCCAAGGTAATTGGTTATCATTTTGTCTGTATTATCTTGTTTAAAGTGTGGGCGTATTAATCGCGAAATTTGTGCATTCGTAGGAAAATTAATATTTCGTTTACTGCAAATGTTACACCAGAATAAAACAACTGTAAGAAAAGAATGTTGAAGGAAATGACTGAAATGATGTCAAATAGATCAAAACCATTGACTCATAAGACTTCATGCACTGTAGGATTATCACACTTGATGTCAGTTTATCCTAAATTGTTTTAATATCTCACCACCATTTTAACATAAAATTATTCTCCTAGATGCTCAAGATACTCAGACTGTCCACTACCAGATGTGTCTTCTCGTTGGTTGGCCTACAATGCTGCTCAGTGCATCAATATTACCGATGTAGCTCCCTATGACAACCTGCCAATTACCGTCACAGAGCAACAGGTGAAAAGTCGGGCTTTTCCGGTATACTGAGGGCGTAAGAGGGTTCAAATTTGACAATGCCATAAGTTACAGTCGAAGTGTGCGTTTCGGTTATTTACCGGAGGTCATTCAATTAATTTTTTTTTATAAAAACATTCGGATATTTGAGTGTGATATGCGATCTTTTCAATAATTTTGGTTTGTTATGATGTAATGGCTTATTTGTTCGAGATACAACTTCAAAGTTGAACAAAATTTATAAATCTCGCTTTCTGTGTTGTTCTTTCCTGTAGATAACCCTGACTGTGCAGCAGTTACCCGATCTAGGAACTGGTCAGAATTATTCATGTCACTTTGGGTCGTCCGAATCTCCAGCTACAAAGAATGGTGAAGTACTTGAGTGTACGTCACCTCCGAGTGATGGCATACCAGCCATACCACAAGGAGGTATGTATCAAAAACACGTGTATAAACATAGAATTCTATGTTTTCTTGTTAATTCATGATAGCAAATAGCGAATAAGAAGTTGTGTTTTGAATTTTAGTGCCCTTCAGCACTATTGTATGTGATCAATCGGAACAAACTTTGTTAGTCGGTCATTATAGTGTGATCAACTTGTGATTACTGAATTACTAGGCATGTCTTACATTTTCACGAGCACTTTTTTTTGTTTACATCCTTTGCCTAGATGATGCAGTACACGTTGATTTGGGTGTTAAGTCTTCTGAAACTTCAGTTGAGTTCATTGACACCGACTTTTACTTCTACGAGTGTTCAACTCATACCTCGTGAGTAGCCTACTGGTATTTTCCTTGGTGTATTTCGACTATTGTTTCCTTCTGTTGAAGGGTTTGAAATGTGCTTTAAAAAAAATATATATATTTGTTCCCCTTTATCATTTTGTGCCTCATTTTTGTGTTGTATTAGTAGGCATATATATTTCTGTTATTTGGTTTACTTTCGTTGTTTTGCATAGTTGTGTATCCTGTGTTGGTAGTCGCTGGGCCTGTGATTGGTGCGTGTTTGAGAACAGATGTACTCATGAAAGCTCCACATGCACACGAGCCAATGAAATCATCATAACTGGAGATAATGTAAGAACAAACAAATGAAGTAAAACAAGACAGTCTGAAAATTAATAAGCGTCTGAACCATGTGTCCACATCATAAGTCTGAATTGGAGAGCACGTAAAATAATGTTTGTCTTGTCTTCTTTTTTTCAATCGCAGAATCCAACTGCTTTTGCAGTGAAAGGACCCAAGTTTTGCCCTCAGCTGCTGAATCAGACTGCTGAAGTTCTGCTTCCTAATAACATTATGAGGAACATCACTGTCATAACTACAAACCTGCCAGACAAAGCTGAGGTTGGTGTATCTGCTATGCGATTCAAAAACGTGCTGATCTCTTTAAAAGTAGTACCACTACTGTGCTTCAGTGAGATAGAGATTTTTTCGTCTTTCTTTCTAGAGATATTTGCTTGCGTTATCTTCATGAGAGTGCATTTGACACCAGTTGTTTCAAATAGCTTGGTGAACATAATACTCTCAATGTCTATCCTTGAGTGGGTCGGAGTCAAACTAATAGCCCATTTAATATATATAATTATATTATGTGAAAAGGTTCTGTCTGAAATCAAGTGAGGTATAAAAGAATGGAACAAATTCAAGAACTTCCTGATGCCTAACCTCATAACCCTTTTGCAGATTTCTAGCTATCAGTGCAGCTTGGATGTAGAGGGATCACCGCAGGCTGTGAATGCAGATCGTAATGGAGATAGAATCACATGCCAAGAGAAGGCTGTAAGTATTTTTTTTTTTCGATTTTGTATTGTCGTTCTCTTTTTACGAACAAGAAACAATGAAAAATTAAAGTAGTGTGTATAATATTGTTTGTTGAGAAAGTGCTGCAAAATGTATTCAATATATTTTTTTCCGTTCAACAGTACACATATCTTTCGAATGATGAGCCCGAACTTGAAGTGAAACTGAGTGTTTCATGGACAGACACGAGTGGTGTTGCGCACATCCTGGACGACATACATGGATTTGATGGTAATAGGAATCAGGACCTTTGCCTAGTATTACATGGCCAAGGGCCATGTTTATCGTCCAATTAGATTCAATACCAAAATTGAAAAAAAAATGTATGTGCAACAATTATGTCTTTATCGATTTACCATTAAAATGATTTGAATGTGTTATTCTTATTTTTCTTCTGACAGTTACCCTTTACAAGTGTGAAGTCCAGAAGCCAGACTGCAGTCGATGTGTAACAGCCCGCCCTGCGCTTGAGTGTGTTTGGTGTGGTGCCATGCCATCTGAGTCTGGTGTTTGCAAACTGAACGAAGTCTGCAGAGAAAACATGATTACTTTGGACAATGGATTGAACTGTCCTAACCCAGTCCTTAGCGAGGTGGGTGTGATGATCGATCCACTTTTGTTGAATTTTAAGAATCGAATGTTCAGCCAGATGACGCTTGCGCAATGCATTCATTGATTTTTATACCTGAACAGTCTTTAGATACTCAAACCGTCGATTTCTTATATTATAGGTTTTCCCGTTTATAACAATTGAAATTAACAATAAAGCGAAAAAAAGAAGACAAAACAAAACAAAATCAATATTGATCGTTCCCATAGGATTCAAAATGTGAGTGCTAACGGGAAAACCATTAAATCAGGAGATTAATGAGTACAGAGATTTCATGTCTTTCATACGTTGGCCATATTGCTTATTGATGTTTTGCTTGTTAACTTGATCTCATGTTGAAGGTATTTCCCTTGACTGGACCGATTGAAGGCAACACAGTCATAGATGTGATGGGAACTGAGATCGGTCGGAGATTCGAGGATGTTGTGTCAGTGATGGTTGGCAATCAGCCATGTGATCTAGCTGGATTGGACTCAGACTATGAAATTGGAGCAAGGTAAGAAATTAAATCAAATTACTTTCTTTATTAACAAATAATATGGAATTGCTCTCATTTTTCAGTATTTGTGCTATCTCAATTTTCATATGAATTACTGATCATTTTTTTGAACAATTCCAGTCCCGAAGCATTCATCAACTATGAGTTTACAAAATAAACTATTTACTGTTTTTAAATCTTTTTTGGTCATTTTCGATTTTAATCGGTAAGTTTCACTGGGACAATTGATATAATGTCATTTTAGATCAGATAATGGTTTGTAAAAATGCAAAGCCATGTTGAATTGCTATTTTAGTTTCGCCTCATTGCTACAGTAAATCTTCTGTGTGAGAGTTAATTTGGTAATAATCTGGAAATTTAAATGAAAGTCACACATTTCTTGCAGTGTCAGCTGCAGAACACGAGCAGAGAGTGAAGGAGCTGAGTTGCTTACATTGACAGTCACAGGTGCAGATGGTACAATGCAGCACAGCTCAGGAACAGTCAACTTTAACTTTAAGGTCAGCACATGTACTGATGATGGTGATTTTTCCAATGGTAAAATAATTATAGATGCGACCTGGCTAATAGGGTTGCAGGCATCTGCTCTCAATTAAGGTGCTCCGTCAAAAAGGTTTTCTTGATAGAATCCAGAGATAACATACAAAGTCCACAGTAAATACTTAACATAATGTTTTTACGATAGGAAATTGATTGCACGGGTTAGCCATACTAGTCAAGCTACCTGATTCTTTTGCAAGTATGTGTTGTTACCATTCAGGATCCAGCTATTACATCTTTCCAACCCCGCCTTGGCCCAGAAGCTGGTGGAACTGCAGTGAGTGTGAATGGTACAGCCCTCAACACAGGACGGAATATCGAAGCATTCATTGGTGACAATCCTTGCAATAAAACAGGGTATCTTTGCTTCTCTTTTTTTCGGATCGGTTTCGTAATTTCTTGTATGCAAGTTTGGAAATCACCTCGCTATTTGGCAGTGATTATGTTTATTGTCTTTTATCCCTAGCTAGTTTGAAAGTGGATGAGAAAAGATTTTTCTTGTCTTCCGGAAAGTACATTTATATTCGTGGTGGAGGGATATCGCCACATCTGTACTATTATTGGTTGTATATAACTAATTGATATTCTTAGAAGTGGTTATAATGGATATAACACTATGAACAACCTTGATATTTTCGTTCGTGCCACAAAAGCTACGACATGACTTTGTGTTTAGAAATTATTGGGATGCCAGCGATCCTAGCCTTTATGTTCATTAATTGTGTTTTCATTTCTCTCCGTGATTTCCAAGCAAACCAGTTGAATCTATGTTAGAGTGCACGACCACTGCTGGCCAAGTTGGATATAAAGGTGTTGTGAAAGTCTCCTTTGATGGGGCCATGAGAAACTCAGCAGATATATACACCTACACTGAAAATCCTACCATCACCAAGGTGTCTCCACTCAAAAGCATCGTTTCGTGAGTCTATGTCATTTGCAATTTCCATTTTTCCCCAGAAATTGACACTGTCAGCATTAAGTGAATCACACTGTTTTAAATTCACCGAAAAAAGTAAGGAAAATGCAATAATACTCACGAAATGCTTAAGTAAAGCAATCAAACTTTTTGTGTGACTTGTTTATGTAGTCATGCTGTTTACCTTTCGATATTTGCATGCTGTCTCTAATTTTGCGAGATTGGATTGAATAATGAGTATGAAAAATTTTATGTGCTGTGTTGTTACGTATTACATAAAGGGGTGGCCGAATACTGACTGTCACCGGGACATTCTTGAACACCTCCCGGAATCGTCAGATTTTGGTTGGAGACGGGAGTGAGACATATAATGAGGTAAAAGCAACACTGACATCAAGAAACAATCATTATATTTTGCTAATTTTAAGGGGAAAACGGACGTAACATTGCGATACCGTAGATTTCTTTCTACCCGTAAACAAATATATGACCATGGTTCTGATAAGAGCCCACGTGAATTGCAATGAGTATTATGTTAAAACATGTTGTGCTATGTTAAAACACACCGAAAGTTGTTGCTGCTACCCATTTCTGTCCAGGAATGCGAAGGCAAATCTGCAACAGAAATGCGTTGCAAATCTCCCAACATAACATCCCTGGACATGCTTGAAGAAGGCAACGAGAACGCGACCTTTGGATTCATCATGGACGGGGTCACCCAGCTATTGACATGGTCTCAGGACAACGACGTCGACTTGGAGTATTTGGAAGATCCAGTGTATTACACGTTTGAGGATGGGTTGCAAGACAAAGAAGGAGAAACACTAACAATAATGGTGTGTATAGTTCAGGCTCTATCCAATTGTCTACATATTGTAGATGCATTTCATGTTACTTCAGTAAGTCTTACTAGGTCCAGTGGAGCGAGAATAATTCCTGGGGAAATTAAAGTTGAAACAAAATCAATTTGAAAGTCTTTTTCCACTTCTACATCTGATCTGAGACTCAGTACAAATCTGGTTTCTTAAGATTGGGTTAAAGCAAGCCAGCGGCCCTAGAAAATATATTATGAGTCATAATGAATGAAATTTTCACTTACCCTGTTTGGTGTTTGAAAATGGAAATTGTTTCAGGGCGAACGGATCAACAGTGCAATCACAGACGAAGAAATCCTAGTCAGGATAGGAAGTGACGTATGCACAGTCAGCTTGATTAGTGACAGCTCCTTAGTGTGTAGGTTGCCAACAGAGGATCCAGGGCCTGGGGACTTCATGGGTGAAGACACAAGCGAAGGTCTACCTGTGGTCTGGGTAAGTGAAGAGAAAATACATCAAAGACATGTATGCACTGTGCCCATGCATGTGTGTCATTATATCATAATAACAGCCAAGTTGTACAATATTTAGTAAGAAAACAGCATTTTTCAGTCTCTGGAAATCAAGAAGTTGCTGGTATAGTTACTTTTTATCACAATAGAAACGACCCAGTGAAAACGATCTCCCAAATGTATAGCTTATTGTGACAAGTTTTGAGTTTCAGATATTCCGTTCATATTGTATAGATTGCCATATTTGCCATTGTATAGATTGCCATCAATTTCAAAACAAATGGTTATTTTACTATTTGAAACTAGAAGCTGTTTTCCAATTTCAACTAAATGTTCCATTAATTTTTTTTTCAGGTCGTGCACAGCAACCTTAAATTTCGCATCGGTTACATTCGGTACCCGCCTGATGTGCCCCCATACATCATCATTGTCTCGTCAGTCTGTGGAGCTATCCTGGTGTGTATTCTCTTTGTAGTGATATGTTTTGGAGCTCAGGTGTATGGAGCTAAACGAGAGGCCAGACTGATCCTGGAAGACATGAGAGCTATGGAGGCAGATCTGGCTGATGAGGTCAGGCAAGGTAAGCAAGTTCTTAGGTTATATAATAAAGTGCTTAGGTTATAAGGGCAATTGTCTAGTCTATTACTCTCTAAATTCCAAAGAGTGACAATTCACTCCATTCGAGTGAAGATTCACTCCCACAGTTGGAAACTAGGGACTAGACTTTTTAGAGCGAAATTTCTTCAATCGTAAAGATCGAGTTTTCAATCGAGCTTCGATGAGAGTGGTTCTTTTTCAGACTTTTTCAATCGAAAATGAGAGTGATTTTTACTGTAAAACGTGTAGTCCCTAATTCCTCTCTGTGGAATTTAGAGAGTATGGATCTGTTGCTAACAATAAAATCATTTCAATTTTTCCTTCAATTGACTCACCCTGTATTGCAATTTAGCAAAAGGATGGCAAAACAAAACTGTGGATTTTTGTCTTGCAGCCTTTGCCGAGCTTCAGACCGACATGACCGATCTGACCAGCGACTTGGAAGGGATCGGCATGCCGTTTGTCAGTCATCGCGAGTATGCCACCAACATGCTGTTCATTGGCCAGGAAATCACACCAGATACTGAAGATGAAGAGGTATAGTAAAAAGTAAAATAATGTGGATATACTTCATCAAATTTTGCCTTTTTAACACTTTTCTTTTCATGGCAATGACAAAAAATAAAAGCACAAGGAAGTAGTGATTTCTAAAAGCAATTGCAAAGCACAGACCAATATCTATGGAGATTTTTTTTTTTTTAAGACTAATAGTACCGTACTTCTAGAACTACTAGTGGTGTCGAAACGAAAGGTTCACTCATTCCATGTATATAACAGCAATCACTGAAAAATTACCGATCTAATGAAGTTATAGATGCAGATATTAGTAATAGGTTTTCACGTAACATTTAAGCAGGTATTTTTTGCTTAGTACTAAACCTGTTTGCTCTCAGTTATATTATACACACAGCATTTTAAGCAGAGGTGCGCCAAGCGCTACATTTTAGGAACTATTAATTTTCGTGATGGATTGCGCCAACATAAATCAAAATGTATTTTAGGCTGTGGAGATATTATATCAATGTTTACAAACTTGTAGCCGGAAAATCAAAGTAATTTGATTCACTATTTTCCTTATAATTTGTATTTGATAATCGGTTTTTCATGACATTGTGATCCCACCTTATATCTGTCTGTCCAGTACCCCAATGAGCAAGTGGAGAGGGCCATGGTCAAGTTCTCTCAGCTGCTAAGCAACAAGAACTTCCTCCTGCTCTTCATCCAGACACTGGATGCAGAGAGTAATGCCAAGCTGTCCATCCGAGAAAAGTAAGACACTCTCCCTGTTAACAACATAGAAGATAAATTGTGAATTTGATGTGGCAACATCTTTTGCTGTCTTGTTTGGTAGATATATTGTCAATGTGTGGAAATTTGTATTGACTTTTAATTGTAAGATACTGTAGGGCCTATGCTCAGGATTGATCAAGTTCTTGCTTGCGTTAGTGAGACTCCAATAAAAAAAATCTTCTGCTAACCTTAAGTTAAGATGAACAAACAAACAGATTGTGCCTTAGCATTCACATATGAACCAGTTCCAAGTTCATTGCCACATTATGGGCAATAATTATCTGCACAATAAATGAAGTTACATAATAATTTTGATGAAATAAGGACTGAAATAATCTTTACATTCTTTAATACCGATTTCCTTTCATTTCAGGCAATCCATTGCATCTCTGCTGACCGTTGTGATGATTCTTGAGAATAAACTTGTCTACTTGACCGAGTAAGTGACTTCTGAGATTAAACTCTTTATTAAAAGCATCTATCAAAATGTCAAGAATTTTTTTCTCGGGCTTTAACTCTCCCTTTTCTTATGTATACTTTTCTTTTTCATGCTAATTAGTTTCAAGTTTTCTTTGTTTAAATCATTTTTTTTTCTCCGAACCTTTCTCTATGTTACAGTGTAATGGTAACACTGATGACCCAGTTGATTGAGGATGCAGCTGATTCTGACCGCACCCGTCAGCTGTTCTGCAGGTAAGAAAGTCATTGTCTTCTTCCCGTTCTTTGACTTATTGTTTTGTATTTGTTTGGATAAAACTGCAAACATTTGTTTAAACAATCCTAACATCTGTTTACTTGCACAGAACGGAGACTATCCTAGAGAAGGTGATGTCAAACTGGGTTGCTCTTTGCCTGTACGACCAGTTGAAGGTAAAATCTCAATTGTGAACATTCTTGTTAAGATGAAAAATTGCCATTTCTATAGACACTTTAACATTGTTTGTAAGTAACAGGTCCACAAAATGTGCAATAAATATGATTTGTAGAGCTGATCTGCATACTCCTAATTATTGCCATGTTGCAGAATATTCATATTGAAATGTTATTTTGCAGTTCGTTTGGGAAAACCAAAAGCCATGAAGTTGAATGTTTACTTGCATAGCAAATTGTCTTAAGTCCTCTCTCTCTCTTTGATAAAGACTCACACAGCCTATCCCCTGTTTGTGATGTACCGAGCCATCAAATATCGCAGTGAGAATGGTCCCATTGACGTCATCACTGGTCGCTCCCGCTTCTCCCTGAACTACGACAAACTTCTTCAAGAGGATGTGGAATTCAATGCTCTTGTAAGACACTTAATACCACACTTTTGTAATCGTGATTTGAACACTAGACTATAGGCTTACTCTAATTAAACCGTATTTGGCCAACATATAAGATTTGCAGGGATTTCAATCATCCAATTTTAAGAACAAAACTGGGGAGATCAAGTTTGAATTTGGTTTGGTTGTCCTTTTAGACTCTGGTGGTTCTTATCAATGAAGAAGGCGATATCATCAAAGAAGTCAAGGTGCTTGACGTGGACACCATCTCTCAAGTGAAGGAGAAGATCTTAGATGCCATCCATGGCAACCATCCCTACTCCGAGCGGCCCAGTGCCAACCAAGTCAGTCTTGGTATGTTCAATATCGCTCAATATCATAATTAATAAAGTAGGAGTAGTGAATGTATATTCAAGACACACTGACACAGAATCACAGTAAAACATATTTTAATGGTCTTGTCCTTTGAAATAAATCGCACCAGAAAGTGCATGACTACTTTGATCAATTGTCAAAGTGCCTAACCATACAGATTTTCTTAATCAAAAAGTACGTTGACAAAAGGGTCTCTCTCGTATGCCTAAAATGCAACAGATTTGTGACTCTATACCTTAGAGAGTAGGTGAACATTATTTTGTCTTCAAAGTCGATACACACAATTTGTATTAAAGTTATATTTTTTTTATTTATCATTCGATCTAGAGTGGCGTCATGGAAGAAGCGGTAAACTTGTCTTGACTGACACAGACATGAGGCCATTGACAGACAAGTGGCGTAGAATCAACATGCTTAAAGACTTTCATGTATGTATGATTAACAAGTACTTGTACATGATGAGTGACATGACGACTAACATAGACCATGAAAGTATCGGAAATTTAATCAAGCTCTTCATATTATTCAAGGCATGAAATACTGTATTAAACAGAAACTGCATTTTTTTCTTCAATTCACATCCATTAAATCAGTGGAGGTTTCGGTTGTACTGGTTCAATGCTGCACTGATACTCGCGCTGAAACTGATACTGTTCTTTTGTAATTGAAAGGTTGGAGACAATGCTCAAGTGACCTTGGTAGAGAAACAGGATGTCCCAAATGCCGCCCTCTCGGGAACAATCCTCAAGGTGCAGGGCTCGGCTTCTTATGGTAAGACTTGAATTTCAGTGAATTAATTATAGGATGATATAGGATACACACATAATATGTTCGTTTAGTCAAAGAGAAAAGTGGCCTAGTAAAAATTGCAATCATACACAGTTTTCATGTCGAGTCAAGTGTTGGTAACTATATAAAAGCTTTCTTTTGGGAGGAGTTGTATATAATGAAACTAATGAATTTGAAATCAAAGGAAGAAATTAAAAATATACACCAGATTAGGGATATTTTCAGGTGGCGGAAATACTTTGCTAAATTCTGAATTGCGTGCAACTGCATACAAGCTAATTGAAAACAAATTCCATACTTTTTCCATGCTGTTGGCATGTCTTTGTATCCCACCGTGGGATCGTCTGGCTCTGCTCTGAGTACAATACCACTAAGGTCAGAAGGTCAACTGAACCAGTGGATCGAATCAATATGCCATTGAGTTACGAAAATAGCACAAGGAAGTTCAGAAAAGTATTGCTTTCATTGCTTGATGCACGTATTTCCGTTTGTTGTCAATTTCCGTAGCATAAAGCGTGTGGCATGTTTCTTTGAATAAACCAAGGGGCCGTCCCGCACGAAATACCGAGTTTTTAGACTCCCTCCCCATATGCACATGACATGTACGCAGTGGTTTCAACCCCTTCCTGTACGCATGCGCATTCCAAATATACATGTACATGTATTTGGTTGTGTTTTGGATTTATGCCGAAGTTGATTTGGAATTATAAACACACTCTTGACTCTAAGTACATGTACTCGACCAAAACTAAATAGGAGCCCGTAGCATCACAATAACCTTGTTTATTATGTCGCAGTCTCGTTAAGTTGAATGACCTTAAAATCTAAATGGTGGGCATAAAAAGGGTATTAATAGTGTTATAACTATATTGATGCATAAAAGCTGGTCCTGGTAGGTTTTGAATATGAAAACGGACATTGATTTTTTTGGCAATTGATAACAAGCAAATAATCACTCTGCATACGTATGCATTGACTTGGGCCATATTCCCCCGTGTATGCGTGGTGTACGCAAGGGCGGATCAAGAGGAGGGGGGGGGGGGGCAATGGTGGCCTTGGCCCCCCTAAAAAAATTAACCATTTTTTTTTTAGTGACGTCGCTATAAAAGCAGACAATGCGTACACCACCATTTTTTACTCGAACAAAAATTGGTCAAAGTGATCGGAAATTGCCTCAGATCGCACCACGGAGCATTTAGAATCAAAAAAAAATTCGGGGCCCTAGTGGGCCCTAGTGGGCCCCCAAACCCCACGCCGTATTTTTTTGGACCCACTTTTTGGGGGACCGAATCCCCCCCCCCCAAAAAAACCCAACAACAACAACAAATTGTGTTCTTGATCCGCCCTTGGGTGTACGCGATGTTAACAACCCCCCCCCCCTTTTCGTTAGTCTTATTTTATAGTTTGGTCATGATTTCTCCTGAACGACATTAATCATACAGTTGAACAAGAAATAGGCCTACATATAACCACAAGAACAACTCCTGTGTTTAGAATGTTGTTGAAAATATAGCAGATAGGGAAAGTGTGGGGTGGGGCTCAATTTTGAAATCAACCTCACATTTTTAGAATCCACAGAAGGCTGTTAACTAAACTTACTTACCTGATCTTAGATACACTATTTGAAAAAAAAAAACCATAAACTGTTTCTAGGTATGGGTTGAAACATTTAAAAACATGAAACATGACACTACAAACAAACTCATGAAGATACCGGAAAGGCATAATGATTGATTCCTGAAGCAAATCAAACAACACCCCAACACTACACAACCTAATCAACAACATCAAAAGTTCAAGCTGGTATCAATTCTCTCTATGCCTTCTGCAGTAAACATCGGCTTTGATGATGAGAAGATCAAGCGCAGGATGAGTACCAAGCGACGATACACCATTGCTGAAGTCGAGGCTCAAGAAGGAATCAGAGACTGGCATCTTGTAAAAAAACAACTTCATCATTGTACTCAAAATAAACAGTGTCCTAAAGATCTGAAATGAACCTCGTCCTCTGATGTGGAGAAAAGATCCCAGCTTGGCTATAAGAATGTAGATTTTACTTTGTCCGATAATCAAACCTGTACAAGCATTTTGAAAAAGAGATCTGACCGTCATTACCTAGTCTTCAATTTAACGTTGCTTGTATTGCCAGGGAATATATAAGTATGACTCTTATAAATGACAGAAACTGTTTAAAACTGTAGCCATTCTAACGAGTTTAGCTGATTGCAGCTCTTATCGATCGGATGGCATGAATGAAAAATCAGTGATGCATTTCAAGAAACTGAAAGGTGTCTCTTGTTTGATTCGCCAGACCCAGGAGGAGGAGTGGCCTACAGATGAGGACGGACATAGGCGGAGAAAACGAGGAGGTTGCATCTCACTGGATGCTGTCACCTTCAGGAATAAGATTACTCGTCACAGGATCAGAGAGATCTCCTTCCCTAGACTTCTCTCCACCAAGGCAAGAAACAATTATGGTTCTTATGTTTAATGATGATGGGAAATGACCCAACTCTCTATTCTATATAGCTTAAGTGAATCAACTGTTCCTATAATGCAACTTTTACGAGCTGAATTAATTGAAATGATACGATTTTAATATTACATTTTGATGAAACACAGGGCATCGTGCAGGAATATGTGGATAACATGTTCCAGGCGATACTGTCAGCGAAGAGTGCCCCCAAGGCCATCAAGTACCTGTTTGATTTCTTCGACAGTCAAGCCTACCGACATGACTTGTCCACCGCGGATCCTGACCTGGTCCACATCTGGAAGAGTAACATGTAAGTGAGATGGATCGAAAGACAAGACTGCTCCATTTGTCATTGTAGGGAAACTTTGCATTGGTAGAGTGCAATAAACATGCAAGAAACCTATGTTAGCTTTGAGGTCATTACCCTTTTTTTAATGAACAAAATTATATATCTGACGTCTAGTCTGCAAGACATGTAAAGTAGAATTTAATCGTTCATATGTTTCTTCAGTCTGCCATTGCGTTTCTGGGCAAACGCCATCAAGCACCCAGACTACATCTTTGACATCCGCCCATCTCGCACCGTGGAGGCCAGCCTGGATGTCATCGCACAGTTGTTCCATGATGCACACGATACAAAGACCCACAAACTTGGCAGGGTAAGTTGAATTTCATTGATTTATGGTATGTGTATAACATTTCGTGTTGGTTGAGCTATCATGCAGTCATTAAGATTGTGGTAAAGAATTTTCTTCTGGACAGGTTTTGTTCTTATGAAAAGGAAAGATGACACGACGACAAATTGTTAATAAGATTTCTTTTAAACATTTGTACAAATGAAAATATTTGACAATAATCTCGGCATTTAAAGAGTGTATCATCAGCTCCATCAAACGGAGATTGTGCATGGAATTTTCAAATAATAAAACTGTCCTTCCTCACAAAATGTCCATTGCAGGAGACGTCTATCAACAAACTACTGTACGGCAGAGAGAAGACAAAGTTCCACAATGAAATCGTCTCCTTCTACGAAGAAGTTGAGCAGTTGCCTCCAGTTCCGACTCAAGAATTGAACAAGGAGCTGTACAAAGCATGCGAGGTAAACTCATTAACTAACAGGACACAGATTTAGATATGAGTTGCTTTCAACTTGTTATTTTGGTTGCCACTTTTTGCTGAGGAATCGAGTCATCCAAATTTTAACTTTTACAAAACCTGAAATATATATGTGAACCTCAGAATAATTCGTTAACACTGAATATAAACTGATAAAAGCTTGCATTTTTCACAATTTGTGTTGTCTGTTTAACAATCCTTGGGCAACCTTCACAAAAAATGTACGGATTTAGAAGCATAAGGAAAATATCTCAATCTTCATGCATCTTAAATCAATTATCGGATTGGAGATACCAATTAACTGATAATACAGGCTAAGTTTCTTTAAAGTCAATATAATATGCAACTTGAATAACTTTGGTTGGACTTTGTTTTTTTCCCAGAACTTCACTGGCTTGTTCAGTAAGCTGAGTACTCTGGATCAACTCTGGAAAATTGTGCGACGGTTCAAGCAGAAGGTGGGCTATACAGATTTTCCTTTTAGATAAATTCTGTGCTTGAAAATTTGAACTGGTGTTGTGGATTTGAGTGCAAGTCGGAATACTTATCATGCGAACTTTAAGCAAATGTTTTCCATCTGATTTAATGTACAGTATCAACATTATTCTAGTCACTCAATTTTGAATTTACTGACCACTTACAATGATATTCCCCTTCAAGATAAGTTAGCAAGGTTCTTATTTTGTAGATTCTGATTTATATTGATTTGCCATATGTTTTAACAGTTTAATTTTGATGATTGCAAGACATGACTCCTTCTAAGTCATATGACTCCTTTTTATTGTCTTTGCGTAGCTCTTGGATGAAATCGAAAACAATGAGCGATGCAAGGACGAGAATCTGGATGGATTGTTGGAGGAGATTGACAACATTCTGTCTGAGGAACCTGATGTTGCTGAAGAATGTGTGTAAGATGCTGACAGTTGGCAACAGATTAATCAGAAAATACTTGAACATAAGTACACTTTAAAAGACAGACTAAAAGAAATTCAAAACAAATTTAGCGATTCATTTCATAACAGATTTGACGTGTCAAACGATTTACAGGTTGTTTTTTTTTACCCCAAAGCACAAGTTTTTAATTTTGCAGGTGATCATCTTATGTCCAACAAATGATTGTGCCAACGATCTGAATGCAGTAATTATATGCTTTAAGAAATTGATAAGATGTCTTAATAAAAATATATTTTTTACGCAGATATGTTCAAATGAAGTTATGTTATTTTACGTAAAGTTGCCACCAGTTCTTGTTTAATGCTGTTATATTATGGATGCTTGCCTTGGTGTTTGAAATGTGGATATTAGCTTAATTGTAAAGCCATTAGATTAATAGTTTGTTATAACAGGTTGCAGGAAGGTCTTTATCTATACATAATTATATACAAAGTGCATTGACCTATAAAGGGTCGATGAAGTGAATTGTTCTGAGGAACATATTTTGTGCAACTTTCTGCTTCTAAAATGTATGAAAACTATTTGGCATTCTTTTTTGGTGAATTCTATTGAAAAGTTTACTTCTTTGTACATTTAAAATGGGTTTAGGGGTTTCTGTACAAAATGTGAACCCAAATATTTGCTTTTAAAAAATATTTGCGGAAAAAAATTACTCACTGGCTTACTGCCATGTACTGGCACAACAACCGATCTTCAAGGAAAAACAATTTACGACAGCGAAATACCAAAAATTCTGGAAAATAGTTCTGAAACTTTCATAAGCATAACAAGCCAAAAGGCCTTGAAAATAGGAAAACAAAAATCGAAAATGGGGTTAAAGGGACACAAAAGTAAATTTCAAAGGATTGTATAAAAGAAAGTTACATTGCATGGGCCCTTTAACCTTGTGTTTTTTTTCAAACGAATTCCCTCATTTTTTTACTGTCGGCTTGTTGTAAACAAGACGTATAGTAGTTAATATATTTGGATATGTATAGAATACTGAACCCTCCAAAAGAGATTTTACAAACAAGAATCTTGTGAGGGTCTCCAACATTTTGTTCAATGGGATCAAATGTACAACTTAGTTTTTCATAGTTTTTTTCAGAACCTTTGGAAAACGTGTATGTGAAATGTTTGTGCAACTCATGCAGTGGTGAAGTGGCCTTAAATTAAGCAATTTGTAAAAATATTTTGTGATTAATATATAGGCAGGTGTGAATATGGAACTCAGATTATATTTGTTAATAAGTATGTGCTTATTCGGAAAACGCTGTCATATTCAGAATATGATCAAGTAATTCGATGTTTGGCATCTGAAATGAAAAGTATATTGCAATAGAAAAATGGCTGTATCCAAGATTACCAGAGTTGGTTTACAAAATATTCTACTTTAAGCACCTATTTTTCTAAATACAATTTTTATTATACCTACATATGCTTTATTTTTTATACACAGAAGATTTGTATCGTCAGATAATGTATGGTACTTAAAAGGAATTTCTATAGAAGCATTTGCACGTCGTTTATAACAACACAGTGATTGATGAGTTTACTGTAATTGATGATATAAGCGTAACTGATGGTAATTGCTTTACTGATTATAAGGGTAATTAAACGAAACTTCCTATTTGACTAAGAATGCAAATTTCTGTATGCGCTGATAGAATACCAGATGCTATTTAAGCACAGTAAGAAGAGATCATCTGCTTCATGAGGGATTACCAGGATTAAACACACACAAAGAAATACCGCTTTTTAGTACTCTACAGTGATTATTGTTGCCTTTAGTTACTTTGACTCCGTTAATGTACATGTACAAGATGCATAGTTGACATGTACACGACGCATGTTTTCAGTTACAATTCGTCGAGTGAAAGTGGAAATGCAATAAAATATTAATTCGTGCAAAAACACTGGTGTTTGTTGTAATGCATTTATTAGATTTATTTGTTTTAATACGAAGATCAACACGTTGTCCCTACTACTGCATGTCTGATGATTAACTTATGTTCTAGCGAATGTCATTTTGACCTCATGTAATTCCTTTAGTGGAACCAGCCTATCAACTACCCACGATGACCAAACGGTAAGTTGATAGTATTAATATATAAGCCATTTATCAGGGCCCATCTACAAGTTCAAAAGATAACACAACTTATACGCTGCCACGGAGCTAGACTACTTCCACAAAATCTTATTGGCTCAATTTGTTTGGAAGGCGGGAACAAGATCGAGTCACCTACATGGTGAAGTAAATTTTGATTGGTTGATATGCTTGCCGCATGTATTACTGTGAATAAAATGTACATTGCTATCGTGCCCCTAGCTCACGCATATGAGTGCCAGGAGAGCGGGAAAATGAAGTCCTTTCCCCTCCTTGACCTTATGCAGTCGAAATGCCGTGAGTTGAAGTTAAACAGTGAAGAAGACGCAATGGTGCATGAAGTTCACTTAAAGATGGAGAGTGGACGACAAGACGTTTGGTTGACAGCACGCTGATCGAGATGTAAGTAGTAAAGTCGCATGCCGGCTGCATATGCCTTCGTCGACAACCCGGTTTCACGACGTCAGTCTCACTAGGGGGCGAGTTGCTGAACCTACAGTTGTTCACAATCATGGAGACCCTGATGATCTTGGCTTGCCTGGGGATATCGAACAGTCGAAACCGAATCGACATGAGTAGACCCTGCACTGGGATCAAGCTCGACTGAAGACGGCCATTCGAATTTCCACAGATAGGAACCGGCAAATACCACTGACGGCACTGTCTGGCAAAATAGGCCTGATACAGTGGCCAAGATGCCGACATGAAGCAACTTGGTGGAAGTATGGAAGCATGGTAAGTGTTATTGTATGATTCATAAGCACCTATTAACCTTCACGGGCATGATGCAGTCTGGAGAAGTAAAGGCGAAGTAGAGACGACAACAAAGTGGATATGACCACACCGGTAAGCTTGAAACGGCAAATGTTTCAAACCAGTTGTAGATGCCGTGGTGAATAGACAACTAAATAGACGAGGCAGTGTTATACAATGTTTTGATACAGTTATATATAAGCAACGTTCTCAGCAATTTAAGTCCAGTGCAGTTAATTTAATAACTGGTTACCACGAAGAAGAAGGCAAGCATTTCAGCAATCTGTTTGAAAAGTTAAGCATGTAAAATGTTATATTCTTTACAGGGTCTTGAGAGACGGCCAGGCGTAACTATGAGCAAGAAGGTGCAGACCAGGAAAACAGGTCTTAAATTAGGTAAATCGGTGAGGTTGACATGCAATGCGCACGCTGAATGATGTGGTAAATGATTGTCATAAATGTATTCAGACAGAACTTTCAGTGCTCATCCCTTGACAATAGTACCGGTATGTCGTTATTCAAAAGGTAAGTGTTGGAGAAAGAGTCTACACTATGAGTGGATGCAGACTGGCAGTGTCCAGAGCTGACTATAATTGAGATTTGAAATTATGAATCAAGCTAATGAAAAGAAATACATTATGACATTAAGTTGCTATATTTGTGTTTCACTATTTCATGTTTCAGAGTTTGCTTATGCATCGACCAAGTTGCAAGTATGGGAAAAGAATTAAAGGTAAGGGAAACGTGCCTTGAGATACCAAAGAAGCTTTCCGCATGGCAACAATGTATGTGGATATGCAGGCAACTGTATACCAAGCCGTTATAGACCAGACAAAAATGAAAGTCATTGGTTAGAAGAGGAAGCATGGTGATGACACTACGTCTTCAAGATGGAGTAATATCAACAAGATAAATTGCAAACAGTGAACAGCAGTTAATTAACCAGAATATATTGACAATAACCAGGAAAAATTAGACTCCGTAATTGATAGTCGAAGACGTTTTCCTGGGAATTATATATAACCGAAGAAAAGAAGGCGAAATCGTATTTGCCATCAAATTTAAACCTATGAAACAATAAAACAACGGATAACTTTATAGAACCATTGGCGTAACCATAGGTTATAAAGAACGAGGAACATTGCTTTCGATCAGTTTGAATCTTTTAACAATGATATCCATGTTGATTGAATCTTATCACAGCAAATATTTAAGGGATGGTATACATAGTGCTAGGTTTGTGAAATTGGCCAAGTAGGCCTTCATTATAAACGATGGGCCACCATATGCATTCTATTTCATCTCAAACCTACATTCGGGATACTAAACGTGAGACTACAAAGGGTAAAGCTTGGCTTCATTAACAAGTTCAAATAAATTGTACGGGTCCATTTTTGCCTATTCAAAGAAAAAGCCTATCGCTATGCTTATAGACAGAAGCAAACGTCCATTACCTCACCGGTCAGCAGCATACATTGGCTACATCAGATGTTTTGTTCTTTTACCTTTCTAATGAAGGTACTAACTTAGCAGATTAAACTTGTGAATAACAAGGGTTGACGGGTCCAAGCATCTATCACCTACTACAAAATCCTCCATAGCTACAGGTAGAGCAGACCAAGAGCCAAAGTCAGCCCAAAAAGGTAAACAGATATCGTCCAGTGACAGATGATAATACCCACTGGTAACTTCAATTATTCGACCGATAATGAAAGATTGTTCAAAGGTGCAAGTTGTGCCACCATCTGACCGGCTGTTTCACCGACTATCAACGCCGTGACTGATGAACATTTTGCCTGACTGATCAGAATGGTACATCATCAAATAGCAAGCCTCGTTGGGCGAATTGGCAGTGTGATTTGCGATCATGCACAGGTAAATTGAATTCTCTTTTTATCATACTTTTTGCTGTTTAGTTAAGTTTGGTTGTGCCGATAAAATGTTACAGTGGAATGAATGAAAGAGGGAACAAAAACTTAATATTTAACCTACCTATATCATTGGCCAGACATGTAGCAGAACTGCTCTTCGATTGCAGAAAACGAGTTCAACACTTTCCGTACATACAGCGTAAGCAGTATGGTCTAATGGCGAGAGATGTACTTCAGCGAAGAGCGTGCAACAAGGCAATACAGGTAGAATTATTTTTTAGATGGGTTATGACGTACTCCTAGCTCAATCACCAACAGCATATTTAAGGTTCCGATTGGCTCAAATCGTTCAGAAGGCGTGAACGATCTCTCTTAGTAGTATTACTCGTAAGTCACCTACATGGTAAATGTGGATTATGATTGGTTGAAGGACCAAATATATTTTATGCTAGACGTAGAGCCGTGCAAGTAAAGTTTCGTAGAGTGATCTAAAAATATATGTGTATAAAAGTAAACGCAGAATTTATTAAAATCCATTTCGTTTCCTTCTTGATTCAGTTCGGAAAGAAGCAACTGCATGATCGTGTTCATGTATTTTTCTTGTTACAAGAAGGTGATCAACTCGGATTCTAAATTGCAACGTAGGAATGAAGTGACATCGACCCACTCTGATATAGCAGTAGATAGTCAAACTAATCTTCGGGAGACACTGCTCAGTCTGCTCACTGGATTGACCTACTCTTTGGATCTGTGGTTGGCTCGTAGTTAATGTGTGACGCTTGTGATTTTGCCTCGCACTGGATTGGTGTATTTGAATAGTTTGCATCTGGACCAAAGAAGCTGCACGTTGGCTAACTGGTAAGTTTCTTTTCTGTGTGTAGAGCAAAAAATCGCATCGGTAGGTTGTTATGAAGAGGATGTAATTTTAGCTTTATATGAAATATTAGGTGTGCAACAATGCCTCTAAACATGTATATACATATTTTATTTTCAAATGAACCACACAGAGAAACTGACTAGGTGAATTATGACTAAGCCTCAATAAAAAAAAGAAGCTGTATCCTCTTTGAGTGGTCACGTTTGCTATTTCCCAGGTCTGCATCGTGACTCTGGCAAGGGCGGATCCAGAAAACAATGTTTTTTGGGGGGAGGGGGGAATTTGGTCCCCAAAAGGTGGGTAAAAAAAATTGACTGCGTGGGGTTTTGGGCCCGCTTAAGGGCCCCGATTTTTTTTTTTTGGGGGGGGGGATTCTAGATGCTCTGTGGTGCGATCTAAGGCAATTTATGACCACTTTAACCCATTTTTTTGGGAAAAAGATGGTGGTGTATGCAGTGCCTGTCTTTATTGCAACGTCACTTGAACTTTGACTTGATCCCTTGGCATACTGGTTTATGGCTTCTGACTAGCGCCCATTGAACAAAGATATGCACTGATTGGGGAACTGCCAACATAGGGCTGGATAGCTCACTTGGTAAGAGCACCGGAACGGTTATCCGGAGGTCGTATAGGTTCAAGCCCCGCTCCATCACTTTCTTTGTTCAACTTTTCAATTATACTTATCTTAAATCACACAAATTGGAAATTAAAAACGTCCAACCCATCAATACATGCAAATGAGATTGAACTGAGTTAGTCATAGGTCATCCTTGGTGCAATTTAAATGTATGTTTGTTCCCCTATCTGTGGATTGATCTACATTTTGTACCCTTAAGTTAAAACAGTGGGTCATCCTTACTTAATTGTAGGTTCATATATTGAGCGATTGGGATCTTGCTAGGTGACTAATACCTAGCAATTCCATTCATGCATCAACATACGAGAACCCACTCTATTAGATGCTTGCATGAACTATAAATACCGCTCGAGCCTATATCATATCATACATGATTGCACTACAACACCGAGCGGATAGCGGGTACACAACAATGTGAACGCGACCTCGAGGGGCTGAAATGTATAGTGTTCTTGAAAAGACACCTTTCCGTCGTTTATTCTTTCAATCGTATTGGTTCACATTAGTAAACGTTGTGGTTCACTTTAAATGATGCAGACCACGATTGAAGCATGATCTTTCAAGAACACCATGATAAGTGTAGGCCTATACAAAATGCACTCTTACGATTCCTGTCTGCCGCGCGATGTCATTAATGCTGATACACTTCTGTTCAGACGTTTGAAATGTACTGCCTTGCGATTTTTGAGTAGGACTATTACCCCCCGAAATCCATTTCCTTTCTTTTCTTCAATTTATTTTTTTTTTGGTGATGAAAACAAATAAGTTTACCTATTAATTTAGTACCCCACAAACGGCTTTAATACGCTAATGTTCGCTTGGATAGGCATGAATCAACATGTTCCGCAGTCATTTTTACCACATTAGAATGACAAAGAATGCGCACACGATGGTTGCTATGAATGAGATCTATTTGAATTATTTGCAACCCGACAATGAATCTGGAGGATTGTTTGGTCGTTAGAGGCGCAAAGGCAGCCCTGAATAAAACCTCTTTCTAGAAGGATGAAGACACCCCAAAACAGAAAATGTATATATTTTTTATTGTTTAAATGAAGCATAGGCCTATACATTTTGAAATTGTCAGAAAAAAATAAATCAGTACATTGAAGGGCACCGACATTATCTTTTATAATAATTATCAAACACGTAGATTACATTGCGTGGTATAACGATCAAGTTCAGACAAATTATTAATATGATATCTTTCGGAGCAATGACTCTATGGTGGCAGGGAGACCTGTCTGCGGCAGGCCAATTGCACTTTTTAAGGACATCGCACATAATTCGTCGCTTTGCTCACGAAGTGACAAAAACCTCCAAAATCGATAATTATTCGATTTTGAGTTTTACTAGCCATTTTATTATAGTTGTCTCAAGGAACAATTTGACCAAGTTTCAAGGCAAAATATTGTTTACTTTCTTAATTATTGTAAACAAACAATTGACAAAAAGCCTGAAATCGGTGATTTTCATTTTCACAAAGTGTAAAAAAGTGTAAAATGTTCTCACGAAGTGACAAAAAGTCACCTCGTGAGCAGGGCCAGAAATTATACAATGGTCTATACGCGGCAGGATGGAAGCATACACGCGCGCGCGAACGATGTTGAAAAAGAACAGACGCGCGCGCGCTCAACTGTCGTGACGCGCAAAAGTAACAAGTTTGTTGCGTCGAAAAAAAGATTCATGATCCCACGAAGTGACAAAAACTGTGTACAAAGTAATTGGCAAAATATGGGAGCCAAAGTTCTGATGTTCTCACGAAGTGCAAAAAAGTTGTATTAATGAATTACTGTTTAATTACGAACTATTTTTAACAAACAACTATGAACTAACAAAGAGCAAATCATATCCTATCGGACAATGTAAACAATTCCGAATTCTGTTACTGCAAAATGGTCGAAAATGTCCTTTGAAAAAATGAATAACTTCAAATGCGATTATCTCAGAATGAACTTTTGTCAAATTTTGAGGTTTTTGTCACTTCGTGAGCAAAGCGACGAATTATACCCCCGTGCGGACGACACGCTTTTCACATTGTAAATGTTTCGTCCGTTCACCTTCCCGTCCACCCGTCCGTCCGTTTGTGTTTATTTTTTCAAGACATTTGATTTTGTTGTTGTTGTAAGTTCATTTAATGCCTGCTGTCTGTATTAGGTAGTTTGTGTTGATAATCGTACAATTTAACCAAGTGAAATAAAATAAATATTCTTCACCCCTTCGTTTTATACAGACTGTTCAGGCATGGAATCTACCAGGGTCTAGTGCGTCGACTTCAACAAGAACATCTGTGAATTTTATAAGAATCATGGAGTCCCACAGGCTGAGACATAACGCCTTTCTCTTGGTAGTCAGTCTGTCTTTGAGCATCACCTGTATGAGTGTTTGTATGGTATCTGCTGATGAGTGGCTTGGCAATCTGTCAGACTATGAGTTGGCCAGCTTTGACAATCCGGACATTTTGGGTGAAAATGAAAGACGTGCATCAAAGTTAAACCATTTCACCTTGAGTGATCATGGTGATGTCTATGTTGGAGCTGTCAATTGGTTGTACAGGTTGAACGGTAGTTTGGAAGAGTTACAGAATGTTTCAACCTGTGATGACAGCAGGCCAGATAGTGTGATGCCCTGTCACCTTACAAACAACTACAACAAGATACTGGTAGTTGACAGTACTCGGCCAAACAGTCTGATAACCTGTGGTGGTGTGTATGAGGGTATCTGTCAGTCACGACAGTTACAGGATATAAATAATGTAATAAAAGAATCAGTTCCTTACATTGCAGGGTTTGGGGATGCATCTACCGTTGGTTTGATTGCTCCAGAAAGTGGTGGGGCGGAAATGTTTTATGTGGGTGTTACATATACTGGTAAAAATCTTGATGGCACAGGAAACGTTCTGCCAATCGCAAGAAGGAGCCTGAAACTAATACCACAAATGGATACCTTCTTATCAGCAGCACTACCTGACAATGGCATGGTTTTTAATACGTTTGCCAAGATGAGACAATTTCTCATCAAGTACGTTTTAGCATTTGGCTATAGGGGATTCACATACTTTGTTGCCTCCCAGAAAGAGGACTTGAATTCTGCTCGGTTTGTTTCAAAGATAAGCAGAGTCTGTCAGGATGGTCCCGGTCCCAACTTGAACCTAGACGCTTACACCGAAGTTACCCTACAGTGCAGTGGATCAGGTAGCAGTGTGTACAGCTTGGTGCAAGCAGCTCACTTTGGACCAGCAGGACCTGATCTAGCGGCATCATTGGGTCTCCATGCAGACGAGCAGGTGCTGTATGCTGTGTTTGCCAAGAACCAAGGAGCTCCGGGTACCAGTGATGTACCAATCGATAACTCAGCATTGTGTGTGTACAGGATGACGGATATCTTGGCTGCCTTCACAGAAGCAGTGCGGGGATGTATTCAGGATGGAAATACCTACGCTATTGAATATTTGGAGAATGCTGTCTGTAGTAACTTTGGGGTAAGTCAATAGGCTAAACATAATTTCTTTGTTGAATTCAAGTTATCACTTTAAGAGAGACAGAGAGTTGAAGTACACACCTTTTGTAATAAAAAACGTTGCCAAATTAGCCAATAGTTGAAAACCAGAAGTTCCAATTCAGATAATGAAGAGTATACATTACCTTGGTGCGATTGCCTCACTTTGTACCAGCACCGGCAGGATTGGAACTAATAGTATGAGTGTCCTCGCAGATAAATGGTTTATTGTGTTCACCCTAAGGGAAAGCGTGAATCTTGCACGGTAACAAATGAGGCTTATATTCGGGTAGAGTGTTTAAAGGAAATTCAAAAAGAGATTCTTTACACATTAAATTATTAACCAATGAAAATATCTATTTCAGCCCTAATCCTTCAGAAAATCCGTTTGCCTCTAAATAAGATATCCAAAGTTTCTTACTTTCGTCAGTGAATGGTAGTTCAAACCGACAAATGATTGTCATTATTATTCACAATCCACAGATTCCCATCTTAGACCGATACTTTTGCATCCCTACAACGAGTGATAATAACACACCACTGTTCAAGTATGCCAAGGGCATCGATCCTGTGCCCTCTACAGCTGTGCTGGAACTTCCAGGTAAACGCGTTTAGTAAATGTCTAATTATTAAAATGACCATAATTTACAATTGATCCAGGTATAAAAAAATTGCTAAGGTTGAAATACACGTGAGAAAACTTTGTTTATTCTTCAGGGAATCTGATGTCTTCAATCATCATCAGCATTGAAGTCAATCACACTGTGGCTTTCATTGGGACATCAAGTGGGAATCTACTTAAGGTGAAAATTGTATTTGATTAGAGTTGCGTAATGCCTTATACATTTGTCAAATTTGTGTACTCGGGGTATTCAGGAAATAAATGTAGACTGTCACGTGTGTGTGAATAAGGTCTAAAATTAGTAAGAAATCATTAAAAACACATTTAAGTAGGATTTAAGAAAGAAAAACTAAGCAAATGGTGATGCTTTGTTTTCATTATCAGATGGAACCAAATACAAAAGACAATGCATAATGACGTCGAGCTTGTAACTTTTGGCTCGTCAGTTCAAGCCATCACTATTTCAAGCCGATAAAACAGCGGGCTGTTAACAAAGAGTAATTGGAGAACTCCTTGTGTTTCAAGTTAGTTAATAGTAATCCATCCTGTCAATAGATGTATTGGCTATGCTTTGTCTTCCTAATTCAGGTTCACATTGAAAGTAGTACTGCTGCCAGATTGTATGAGAGAGTGCCTCTAGACACCAGTCCAGTACTGACAGATATCAAGATCAATGAGACAAATAAATTGATGCATGTACTCACTGAACAAAAGGTAGTGTGAACAACTATCTATGTGGAGTTTATTTCCAAAACGCGATCAACGCCAGTTTGTTACCTTTTAACATTCCACCATCTCCTGGTTGCTAAAAATCCGTTTAGTTACACACATATTAATACATTAATAAAACGAAAATCTCAGTTAAGAAACCGCTGTCACTGTTTTTATTCTTTAAAGTTCATAATCGTGGAAAACTTCCACTTTTTTCGAATAGATATGTCGCATTTTGGAAATGAACGCTTCTTTAACTAAATGTGTGGAAAACACAAACCAAGATAAAAGGCTCAAAGTGCAAAAGTCCAAAATTAACTTAATTTGTGTTCATTCACAAGTGAAATCACAGTAAAATAGCTGCTTACTTGAACTTTATCACATTATGATATAGTTTGTGCATGAATGGAGATGAAATAATGCGTCATGATGTGTTGTTGTTTTGTTCTAAGATGAAATATTTGCTATCCTCGGGATTTATTGTTTTCCCTTTCAGTTGATCAAGATGCGTGCTGAGAATTGTGGTCAGTACACAACCTGTGAGACGTGTATTGGGACTGATGCAGGGAATGATGGAGACCCATACTGTGGATGGTGCACTCTGAATCGAACGTAATATGTCATAAGGGATGTATATTTTTTGTTGTATAGCTGTCAGTTCATTATCAGTCAGTCAGCATTAAAGAAAGTTTATCTGTTAATGATTTGTGTGCATACCATTATCATCAGTCAGTATATGTCAGTGTGTTTATGCAGAAACATTGACCAACCACTGAATGATAAAAAAAATACAACTCGGTTATAAGCAGGTTCAATCCATAGTAGATAAAACTTGATTTCGATTTATATGAAAGTTTTGAATATCTAGCAACCTTGATATCATTGAATTATTCTCCTAGATGCACAAGATACGCTGATTGTCCTTCACCTGATGTGTCTACTCGGTGGTTGGCCTACAATGCTGCCCAGTGCATCAATATTACCGATGTAGCTCCTTATGACAACCTGCCGATTACCGTCACAGAGCAACAGGTGAGGGTTTTCCTATCAGGAAATCAGTTGTCTTGTTGGTGTCTGACTATGATTTATATAGATGAAAATAAGAGTTCCTAAGGCTAAGGCAAGGCTTTTGTATCTTGATTAAAATCGCACCCTGAAAGAGAAAATCCCTGTGAAGAAATATATGCATTTTCGTCTGTTAAGGTTGGCTTCCTTTGGCCAATTATTCGTTACAACAACAAAGTTTTCTATTATTTTTTTGTGCATTACGTTTTGTCCTTTCACTATTGTTGGAACTAGACTTTTCGGGGATTGATGAAAATTAAATTAAATCTTATTTCAATACTACTAATATTCACAATGTGGGCTGTCATTCACTCTTTGGTCATGGTGCTTATCCAAGGAATAAATGATAAGTACATTTTTTAATTTTTACTTTGTAGATAACCCTGACTGTACAGCAGTTACCTGATCTAGGAACTGGCCAGAGTTATGAGTGTTACTTTGGGTCGTTTGAATCACCAGCTACGAAGAATGGTGAAGTGCTTGAGTGTACGTCACCTCCGAGTGATGCCATACCAGCCATATCTCAAGATGGTTAGTATTCCACCAGAGGTTTTCAAGAATAGTTGTCACAGATGGAATCGGAATATGATCGAATTGAGGGAATTGAGTCCCAATTTCTCGGAGCTGCAGAATGATTTGCTTGGAAAAAAACAGGATTGGAAAACACAGGCTACTGATAAAACTATTATTTACTTATAATATATTGCTTGTTACTGGTTTTATCTAAGTAAAGCACCTTATTTAGAAAAAAGAGTGTTTGGTGCTTCGCGCCTCCATGAAATTTGATCCTTACGATAAGCAAGCCTCTTGCAACAAAAGTGCATCCTATCCCTTTAAGTTATGAGTTATAGGTTTAAAATAGGTTGCCATAGTACAAATTAAAATATCAATAGTTAATTCTTCATCACAATACATTTGTCCATTCAGAACACATTATTTAAACCCCATCTATTTTTTCCTTACCCAAATTAGATGATGCTGTCTTAGTTAATCTGGCTGTCTATTCATCAGAAACAATGGTCGGCTTCATTGATACCAGCTTTCACTTCTATGACTGCTCAAAGCATACCTCGTAAGTTATTTGTTTGAACTGAAGTTTTGATTTCAAATTTGATTAAGATCTGCTTATGCAGTAAAATTTTCAAATGTAAGTACACATTTTTTTTATCCTCACATTTAGTTCTTTTTTATCCTTAGCAATATTTTCAACAGGTTTTGAGTTTTTTAAAGTCTTTTAACGAGTATTTAGTTTCTCTTGTTGTTTTGCATAGTTGTGTGTCCTGTGTTGGTAGTCGCTGGGCCTGCGATTGGTGCGTGTTTGACAACAGATGTACTCATGAAAGCTCCACATGCGCAAGAGCCAATGAAATCATCATCTCTGGAGATAATGTACGGCCTTATAATTTTTAATTTATTGAAAACTGCCCGTATTGCAACTGTTTAATTAGAACAACTGAATATGTATTACATCTTTAAAATACCGGAAAATATGTGGCTGGGAGCTTGTTACTTTTATTCAAAATCTTTCATCAGTCCTGTTATTTTTTATTCATCCGTTTTTATCAAGTAAAATTGAGTAAAGAAAATCATCTCTGAAATGTGATGCACACTTTATAGAATCCAACTGCTGCTATGCCGAAGGGGCCCGGTTTTTGCCCACAGCTTCAAGCTCAAAGTGGTGAAGTTCTTCTGCCCAACGGAATCCAAAAGACTATTGCAATCATGACAGATAATCTGCCACATGCATCTGAGGTAGGTGAAATTGGATTACAAAAATCAATCCTGTGAAATCATTTTAACTGTATTATGAGCAATGAACGTCACATACTGAGGCGTCATCCTTGGGTCTAGATTTCTCGTCGGAGGGGGGGGGGGCTGGTCCCCCCCCCCCCTTGGCGACGGACTTGACTGTACCACAGGGCTTTGCATGAATGGACGTCTTGTGCTCTCATTGTTATAAATTAACCCCAAAAAACCCACGCGCATAAAGATGGCACCTGGCCGGGTGCATATTGTGTACAGTACATACATGGCTATTAGTGTTTTAATAACCAAAAAGTGACAAGAATCATTCACAAGAATGTGTGTAAGTTAATTGTATTTGACCTATACGATGGGTAGGTTAATAATCCTGATTATTTCTGGAACAGTTATCCGACTCGTTACAGTCTATTATTTTACGAAGCTGAAGTGAAAAAAAAAAAAGATCAGTAAAAAGGTTTTGTTTGGGTTTGTGTGTAGATTTCTAGGTACGGTTGCAGTGTAGACATTGAGGGAACACCTCAGACCGTAGCGGCACAACGCAATGGAGATAACATCACATGTACCGAGAGGAGTGTAAGTATAACAATCCGAAAATTATATCGTTCTTGTAATGCTTTTGTTTAAAACAATTCCAACCTGATGTGTTTTTAGAATTTGTAGAAAATCTGCATACTTATGATAGGGTTCAGCAATAAGACACAGTTGTTCCTTTTACTTAAAACTAAGAGGAATATTTTTGGTTACATTTAACAGTACATGTACGTTGATAATGATGATCCAGAGCTTGAAGTGCGAGTGACTTTAACATGGACCGATGAAAGTGATGTTGTGCACATCCTAGATGACACACATGGATTTAATGGTAAGAATCAAGGAGTGGTGAATGGAGAAATATATGAACAAGGGTCGTGTTGTTATTGCCCGATTACATTCAACGTTTTTTTAAATGAAGATATGTATGATGAACATTGACACCATCGATTTACTGCTGCAGTTTTTTCGATTCATGAGTGTGATTACTCGATTTACTACTGCGATGATTTCGATTTAAATTACTGCGATGATTTCAATTTACTACAGCGGTGATTTCAATTTACTCGTGCAATAATTTCAATTTACTTCTGTGATGTTTATCACAACTGTTGAGATGATGAAGTTCCATTTTTTTTTTGGTCTGACAGTGACGCTTTACAAGTGTGAAGTCCAGAAGCCAGACTGCAGTCGATGCGTTACTGCCCGCCCTGCGCTTGAGTGTGTCTGGTGTGGTGCCATGCCATCTGAGTCTGGTGTTTGCAAACTGAACGAAGTCTGCAGAGAAATCATGGTTACTTTGGACAATGGAGTGAACTGCCCTGATCCAGTTCTTAGCGAGGTGGGTGTGATGATTGATCCACACTTGCAAGTGCTTGATGGATTTTAAGCCTTTGGATAATCAAACGATTGCTTATATTATAGGTTTTCCCGTTTACAACTATTGTAATTAACGATAAAGCCAAACGATATTGATCGTTCTTGTAAAGTTTCCATGTCTATGATAAAATATAAGTGTTCACGGGAAAACCTTTAAATCAGGAGATTAATGAGTACACAGATTTCATGCGTTGGCAATGTTGCTTATCGATGTTTTGCTTGTTAACTTGAACTCATGTTGAAGATGTTTCCCTTGACTGGACCAACTGAAGGCAACACAGTCATAGATGTGATGGGAACTGACATCGGTCGGAGATTCGAGGATGTTGTGTCAGTGATGGTTGGCAATCAACCATGTGATCTAGCTGGATTGGACTCAGACTATAAAATTGGAGCAAGGTAAGAAATTAAATCAAGCTACTTTCTTTATTGACAAATACTATGGAATTGCTCTTGTTTATCAGTATTTGTGCTATCTCAATTTTCATATTAATTACTGTTGATCATTTTTTTGAACAATCCCAGTCCCGAAGCATTCATCAACTATGAGTTTTCAAAATAAACTATTCACTGTTTTTTAAAACTGTTTTGGTCATTTTCGATAATCATGTCATTTAAGATCAGATAATGGTTTTTAAAATGCACAGCTATGTTGAATTGTTATTTTAGTTTCGCCTCATTGCTACAAAAATATTCTGAGTGAGTGTTGATTTGGTAATAATCTGGAAATTTAAATGAAAGTCACACTTTTTTTCGCAGTGTCAGCTGCAGAACACGACCAGAGGTTAAAGGAGTTGAGTTGGTTACATTGACAGTCACAGGTGCAGATGGTACAATGCAGCACAGCTCAGGAACAGTCAACTTTAACTTTAAGGTCAGTGCATGTACTGATGATGGTGATAGTAAAATAGTAAAATAATTGTAAATGCGACCTGGCTAATAGGGTTGCAGACATCTGCTCTCAATTAAGGTGCTCCGTCAAAACGTTTTTCTTGATAGAATCCAGAGATAACATTCAAAGTCCACAGTAAATACTTAACATAATGTTTTTACGATAGGAAATTGATTGCACGGGTTAGCCATACTAGTCAAGCTACCTGATTCTTATGCAAGTATGTGTTGTTACCATTCAGGATCCAGCTATTACATCTTTCCAACCCCGCCTTGGCCCAGAAGCTGGTGGAACTGCAGTGAGTGTGAATGGTACAGCCCTCAACACAGGACGGGATATCGAAGCATTCATTGGTGACAAACCTTGCAATATAACGGGGTATCTTTGCTTCTCTTTTTTTCGGATCGGTTTTGTAATTTCTTGTATGCAAGTTTGGAAATCACGTCGCTATTTGGCAGTGATTATGTTTATTGGCTTTTATCCCTAGCTAGTTTGAAAGTGGATGAGAAATGTTTTTTCTTTTCTTCCGGAAAGCACATTTATTTTCGTGTCGGAAGGATATCGCCATATCTGGTACTATTATTGGTTGCATATAACTAATTGATATTCTTAGAAGTGATTATAATGGATATAACACTATGAACAACCTTGACTTTTTCGTTCGTGCCACAAAAGCCACGACATGACTTTGTGTTTAGAAATTATTGGGATGCCCGCGATCCTAGCCTTTATGTCCATTAATTGTGTTTTCATTTGTCTCCGTGATTTCCAAGCAAACCAGTTGAATCTATGTTAGAGTGCACGACCACTGCTGGCCAAGTTGGATATAAAGGTGTTGTGAAAGTCTCCTTTGATGGGGCCACGAGAACCTCATCAGATATGTACACCTACACTGAAAATCCTACCATCACCAAGGTGTCTCCTCTGAAAAGCATCATTTCGTGAGTCTACGTCATTTGCTATTTCCATTCCCCCCCTGAAATTGACACTGTCAGCATGAAGTGAATCACACTGTTTTAAATTCACCGAAAAAAGTAAGAAAAAATGCAATAATACTCATGAAATGCTTAAGTTAAGCAATCAAACTTTTTGTGTGACTTGTTTTTGTAGTCATGCTGTATACCTTTCGATATTTGCATGCTGTCTCTAATTTTGTGAGGTTGGATTGAATATTAGAATGAGTATGAAATATTTTGGCACTGAACTGTTCTCCCCTTTCTGTTAATTATGTACTGTGTTGTTACGTATTACATAAAGGGGTGGCCGAACACTGACTGTCATCGGGACATTCTTGAACACCTGCCAGAATCGTCAGATTTTGGTCGGAGACAGAAGCAAGACATATACAGAGGTAAAAGCAACATTGTCATCAAGAAACAATTATTATATTTTGCTAATTTAAAGGAGGAAAATGTAACATTGCGATGCCTTAGAGTTCATTCTACACGTAAACAGACTACGTACATGGTTCTGATAAGAGCCCGCGTGAATTGCAATAAGTATTATGTTAAAACACACCGAAAGTTGTTGCTGCTACCCATTTCTGTCCAGGAATGCGAAGGCGAATCTGCAACAGAAATGCGTTGCAAATCTCCCAACATAACAGCCCTGGACATGCTTGAAGAAGGCAACGAGAACGCGACCTTTGGCTTCATCATGGACGGGGTCACCCAGCTATTGACATGGTCTGAGGACAACGACGTCGACTTGGAGTATTTGGAAGATCCAGTGTATTACATGTTTGAGAATGGGTTGCAAGACAAAGAAGGAGAAACACTAACAATAATGGTGTGTATAGTTCAGGCTCTATTCAATTGTCTACATATTGTAGATGCATTTCATGTTACTTCAGTAAGTCTTACTAGGTCCAGTGGAGCGAGAATAATCCCTGGGGAAGTTAAAGTCGAAACAATATCAATTTGATAGTCTATTTCCACTTAGAACTACATCTGATCTGAGATTCAGTACAAATCTGGTTTCTTAGGATAGGGTAAAAGCAAGCCAGCGGCTTTCGAAAATGTATTATGAGTTTTAATGAATGAAATTTGTACTTACCCTTTTTGGTGTTTGAAAATGGAATTGTTTCAGGGCGAACGGATCAACAGTGCAATCACAGAGGAAGAAATCCTAGTCAGGATAGGAAGTGACGTATGTACAGTCAGCTTGATTAGTGAAACATCCTTAGTGTGTAGGTTGCCAACAGGGGATCCAGGGCCTGGGGACTTCATGGGTGAAGACACAAGCAAAGGTCTACCTGTGGTCTGGGTAAGTGTAGAGAAAAAAACATCAAAGACATGTATGCACTGTGCCCATGCATGTGTGTCATTATATCATATTCATAAATACCTCAGACAGTTTAGCTATTCCTATTGGTCGAGAGCCCGTCACGTGGCCGGTATTAAACGGATGATAAAGACATGGCTAGCTGGTCTTAAACACTTTTCCAGTGTCACAATAAAATGTGGACTCCTTAAAATCCAGTGCCTCTTACCGTTTCATTGGTTGAACGTTCACAATCCTCACGTAGGCATGCACAACACTACAAGCGAGTCAGAATTTTATAGTTCTAAATTCAAAACGCAACGCCCCAGGTGCGTTCTGCGTGACATCGCGCAGAACATGTTACGCGCGCGTCAATCTCCATAAAAGGGTTGTTTACATCTTACTCGCCAGCTGAACACTCCATTATTTTGCAAGAGGGATGTTTCAAAAAGCATGAAGTGAACTTGTTGAACAAAATCGGGATTTTTTGAACGAATTATTTGAAATTTTTTTTACGGATAAGGTATTTATGAATGGGAATAAATATGTGCTCGGTCGGTATTTATCACTCGTTTAATACCGCTTAGAGTCTGGGTGCTGATAATTACCCTCGCCTCCGGCTCTGGTAATTATCAGCACCCAGACTCTAAGCGGTATTAAACGAGTGATAAAAACCTCCGGAGCACACATTTATTCCCTTAATAACAGCCAAGTTGTACAATATTAAGTAAGTGAAAACGATCTCCCAAATGTATAGCTTATTGTGACAAATTGTGAGTTTCAGATATTCCGTTCATATTGTATAGATTGCCATATTAGTACTTTGAATAATATGAAGCTTTTGACATAAATTTCAATACAAATGGTTATTTTACTATTTGAAACTAGAAGCTGTTTTCCAATTTTCAACTAAATGTTTCATTAATTTTTTTTTTCAGGTCGTGCACAGCAACCTTAAAGTTCGCATCGGTTACATTCGGTACCCGCCTGATGTGCCCCCATACATCATCATTGTCTCGTCAGTCTGTGGAGCTATCCTGGTGTGTATTCTCTTTGTAGTGATATGTTTTGGAGCTCAGGTGTATGGAGCTAAACGAGAGGCCAGACTGATCCTGGAAGACATGAGAGCTATGGAGGCAGATCTGGCTGATGAGGTCAGGCAAGGTAAGCAAGTTCTTAGGTTATATAATAAAGTGCTTAGGTAATAGGGCAATTGTCTAGTCTATTACTCTCTAAATTCCAAAGAGTGAAAATTCACTCCATTCGAGTGAAGATTCACTCCCACAGTCGGAAACTAGGGACTAGACGTTTTAGAGTGAAATTTCTTCAATCGTAAAGATCGAGTTTTCAATCGAGCTTCGATGAGAGTGGTTCTTTTTCAGACTTTTTCAATCGAAAATGAGAGTGATTTTCACTCTAAAACGTGTAGTCCTTTATTCCACTTTTTGGAATTTAGAGAGTATGGATCTGTTGCTAACAATAAAATCATTGGCTCGGCAAAGTCTACTGTAAGTAACTTCATCTTGTTTTTTTCCCCTTAAATTGATTCACCCTGTATTGCAATTTAGCAATAGGATGGCAAAACAAAACTGTGGATTTTTTGTCTTGCAGCCTTTGCCGAGCTTCAGACCGACATGACCGATCTGACCAGTGACCTGGAAGGGATCGGCATGCCGTTTGTCAGTCATCGCGAGTATGCCACCAACATGCTGTTCATTGGCCAGGAAATCACACCAGATACCGAGGATGAAGAGGTATATTAAAAAGAAAAATAATGTGGATATACTTCATCAAATTTCAAAGCACAGACCAATATTTATGGAGAATTTTTTTTAAGACTAATAGTACCGCACTACTAGAACTACTAGTGGTGTCGAAACGAAAGGTTCACTCATTCCATGTATATAACAGCAATCACTGAAAAATTACCGATCTAATGAAATTATAGATGCAGATATTAGTAATAGGTTTTCACGTAATATTTAAGCAGGTACTTTTTTGTTTAGTATTAAAGCTGTTTGCTCACAAAACGTCAATGTAGCTTCAAAACGCTACATTTTAGGAACTAATAATATTCGTGATGGATTGCGCCAACATCACTCAAAACATATTTTAGGCAGTTGAGATAACAATGTTTACAAACTTGTAGCCGGAAAATCAAAGTAATTTTATTCCCTAATTTCCTAATATTTTGCAATTGATAATCTGTTGCCATTACATTGTGACCTTACCTTATATCTGTCTGTCCAGTACCCCAATGAGCAAGTGGAGAGGGCCATGGTCAAGTTCTCTCAGCTGCTTAGCAACAAGAACTTCCTCCTGCTCTTCATCCAGACACTGGATGCAGAGAGTAATGCCAAGCTGTCCATCCGAGAAAAGTAAGACACTCTCCCTGTTAAAAACATAGAAGATAAATAATGAATTTGATGTGGCAACCTCTTCGGTTTTTTTTTAGTAAATATTTTATAAATGTGTGGAAATTTGTATTGATTTTTAATTGTAAGATACTGTATGCTCAGGATTGATCAAGTCCTTGCTTGCGTAAGTGAGACTCCAATCAAAAAAATCCTTCTGCTAATCTTAGGTTAAGGTGTACAAAACTGACCACCAAAACAAACAGATTGTGCCTTGGCATTTACATATTAACCAGTTCCCAGTTGATTGCCACAGTATGGGCGATTATTCCCTGCTCAAAACAAGAAGTTATTTTTTTTTAAATAATGACTGAAAATGTACTGACATTAGTGTTTCATTCTTATTGCATATCGATTTCTTTTCATTTCAGGCAATCCATTGCATCTCTGCTGACCGTTGTGATGATTCTTGAGAATAAACTGGTCTACTTGACCGAGTAAGTGACTTCTGAGATTGAACTCTGTATTAAAAGCATCCATCGAATTTCAAGACAATGGTTTCAGGAGCTTTGCCTCCCTTTTCCCTTCTATTATTCTTGTCCTTCCCATTCTTGGGCCGGGAAGGCACATCTTTTGATGACAGTTTTTTAACTTTTGCTTTTCCCTGGGCAGCCCCTGTCAATGAGTTATTTGTTACTTCTTTGTTGTCAAGAGATGTAAAATACAATAAATAAATAAGATTCTAATTCTTTTCAAGATTTCTTTAATTCAATAAAATACATCTAATTATTGTATTTTGTGAACCTTTCTCCATGTTACAGTGTGATGATAACACTGATGACCCAGTTGATTGAGGATGCAGCTGATTCTGATCGCACCCGTCAGCTGTTCTGTCGGTAAGAAAGTCTTCTTTCTGACTGTTTTTTTTTTAATTATGTGAATAAAACTGACATAATTTGTCAATAAAATCCTCACATCTGTTTACTTGCACAGAACGGAGACTATCCTAGAGAAGGTGATGTCAAACTGGGTTGCTCTTTGCCTGTATGACCAGTTGAAGGTAAAATCTCAATTGTGAACATTCTTGTTAAGATGAAAAATTGCAATTTCTATAGACACTTTAACATTGTTTGTAAGTAACAGGTCCACAAAATGTGCAATAAATATGATTGCTAGAGCTGATCTGCATACTCCTAATTATTGCCATGTTGCAGAATATTCATATTGAAATGTCATTTTGCAGTTCGTTTGGGAAAACCAAAAGCCATGAAGTTGAATGTTCACTTGCATAGCAAATTGTCTTAAGTCCTCTCTCTCTCTTTGATAAAGACTCACACAGCCTATCCCCTGTTTGTGATGTACCGAGCCATCAAGTATCGCAGTGAGAATGGTCCCATTGACGTCATCACTGGTCGCTCCCGCTTCTCCTTGAACTACGACAAACTTCTCCAAGAGGATGTGGAATTCAGTGCTCTTGTAAGACACTTACTACCTCACTTTTGTACATGGCAAAATGTATATAAATCGTTCTTTGAACACTAAACTATACGCTTACTCTAATTAAACCAACATATAAGATTTGCAGGGATTTCAATCATCCAATTTTAAGAACAAAACTGGGGAGATCAAGTTTGAATTTGGTTTGGTTGTCTTTTTAGACTCTGGTGGTTCTTATCAATGAAGAAGGGGATATCATCAAAGAAGTCAAGGTGCTTGACGTGGACACCATCTCCCAAGTGAAGGAGAAGATCTTAGATGCCATCCATGGCAACCATCCCTACTCCGAGCGGCCCAGTGCCAACCAAGTCAGTCTTGGTATGTTCAATGTCGCTTAATATCATAATTAATAAAGTAGGAGTAGTGAATGTATATTCAAGACACACTGACACAGAATCACAGTAAAACATATTTTAATGGTCTTGTCCTTTGAAATAAATCGCACCAGAAAGCGCATGACTACTTTGATCAACTGTCAAAGTGCCTAACCATACAGATTTTCTAAATCAAAAAGTACGTTGACAAAAGGGTCTCTCTCGTATGCCTGAAATGCAAAAGATTTGTGACTCTATAACTCAGAGAGTAGGTGAACATTATTTTGTCTTCAAAGTCGATACACACAATTTGTATTAAAGTTTTATTTTTTTAATTTATCATTCGATCTAGAGTGGCGTCATGGAAGAAGCGGTAAACTTGTCTTGACTGACACAGACATGAGGCCATTGACAGACAAGTGGCGTAGAATCAACATGCTCAAAGACTTTCATGTATGTATGATTAACAAGTACTTGTACATGATGAGTGACATGACGACTAACATAGACCATGAATCGGAAATTTAATCAAGCTCTTCATATTATTCAAGGCATGAAATACTGTATTAAACAGAAACTGCATTTTTTTCTTCCATTCACATCCATTAAATCAGTGGAGGTTTCGGTTGTACTGGTTCAATGCTGCACTGATACTCGCGCTGAAACTGATACTGTTCCTTTGTAATTGAAAGGTTGGAGACAATGCTCAAGTGACCTTGGTAGAGAAACAGGATGTCCCAAATGCCGCTCTCTCAGGAACAATCCTCAAGGTGCAGGGCTCGGCTTCTTATGGTGAGACTTGAATTTCAGTGAATTAATTATAGGATGATATAGGATACACACATACTATGTTCGTTTAGTCAAAGAGAAAAGTGGCCTTGTAAAAATTGCAATCATACACAATTTTCATGTCGATTAAAGTGTTGGTAACTATATAAAAGCTTTCTTTTTGGAAGGATGTATATAATGAAACTAATGAATTTGAAATCAAAGGAAGAAATTTAAAATATACACCAGATTAGGGATATATTTTTCAGGTGGCGGAAATACTTTGCTAAATTCTGAATTGCGTGCAACTGCATACACAAGTTAATTGAAAACAAATTCCTTACTTTATCCATGCTGTTGGCATGTCTTTGTATCCCACCGTGGGATCGTCTGGCTCTGCTCTGACTACAATACCACTAAAGTCAATAGGTCAACTGAACCAATGGATCGAATCAATATGCCATTGAGTTACGAAAATAGCACAAGGAAGTTCAGAAAAGTATTGCTTTCATTGCTTGATGCACGTATTTCCTTTTGTCGTCAATTTCAGTAGCATAAAGCGTGTGGCATGTTTCTCTGAATAAAGCAAGGGGCCGTCCCGCACGAAATACCGAGTTTTTAGACTCCTCCCCATATGCACATGACATATACGCAGTGGTTTCAACCCCCTCCTGTACGCATGCGCATTCCAAATGTACAATATACATGTACGTGTATGAAGTTGTTTTGGAATTATAAACACACTCTTGACTCTAAGTACATGTACATGTACATGACCAAAACTAAATAGGAGCCCGTATAATCACAGTGATCGCCATTTTATTATGTCGCGGTTTCGTTAAGTTGAATGACCTTAAATCTAAATGGTGGGCCTGAATAGGGTTAGGGTTATTTGATGCATAAAAGCTGGTCCCGGTAGGTTTTAAATATGAAAACGGACTTTGATTTTTTTGGCAATTGATGAAAAGCAAATTATCATTCTGCATACGTATGCATTGACTTGGGCCATATTCCCCCGTGTATGCGTGGTGTACGCAAGGGCGGATCGGGGGGGGGGGGGGGGGCAACGGGGGCCATGCTCCCCCCAAACAAAAATTAACCAATTGTTTTAAATTTTTTTTTTAGTGACGTCGTTGTAAAGGCAGGCACTTCGTACACCACCATTTTTTCCTCCAACAAAAATTGGTCAAAGTGATCGGAAATTGCCTCAGATTGCACCGCAGAGCATTAAGAATCGCAAAAAAATGTCGGGGCCCTAGTGGGCCCCCAACCCTACGCCGTATTTTTTTTATCCACTTTTTGGGGAACCAAATTCCCACCCAAACGAATTGTGTTCTGGATCCGCCCTTGGGTGTACACGCTGTTAACACCCCCCCCCCCCCACGTGCGTTAGTCTTGTTTTATAGTTTTGACGTGATTTTGCCTGAACGACATTAATCATTCAGTTGATAAAGAAATAAGCCTACATATAACTACTAGAACAACTCCTGAGTTTTGAAATGTTGGGAAAATATAGGAGAAAGGGAACATGTGGGGTTCAATTTTGAAATCAACCTCCAATTTGTGGAATCCACAGAAGGCTGTTAGGTGAACTTACCAATTCACGATTTGATTTCATACCTGATGTTAGATACACTATTTGAAGAAAAAAAACATAAACCGTTTCTAGGTATGAGTTGAAACATTTAAAAACATGAAACATGACACTACAAATAAACTCATGAAGATACCGGAAAGGCATAATAATTGATTTCTTGAGCAAATCATACAACACCCCAACAGTTTCACAACCTAATCAACAACATCAAAAGCTCAAGCTGGTATCATTTCTCTCTATGTCTTCTGCAGTGAACATCGGCTTTGATGATGAGAAGATCAAGCGCAGGATGAGTACCAAGCGACGATACACCATTGCTGAAGTCGAGGCTCAAGAAGGAATCAGAGACTGGCATCTTGTAAGGAAACAACTTCATCATTGTACTCAAAATAAATAAACTCCTAAAGATCTTAAATGAATCTCGTCCTCTGATGTGGAGAAAAGGTCCCAGCTTGTTTATAAGTGTAGATTTTACTTTGTCCGATAGTCAACCTGTACAAGCATTTTGAAAAAAAAGATCTGACCGTCATTACCCCGTCATCAATTTAATGTTGCTTGTATTGCCACGGAATGTAAAAGTACGACTCTTATATGAATGACAGAAAACTGTTTAAAACTTTAGCCGTTCCAACTAGTTTAGCTGATTGCAGCTCTTATCGATCTGATGGCATGAATAAACAAATCAGTGATGCATTTCAAGAAACCACAGTTGTCTTTTGTTTGATTCGCCAGACCCAGGAGGAGGAGTGGCCTACAGATGAGGACGGACATAGACGGAGAAAACGAGGAGGTTGCATCTCACTGGATGCTGTCACCTTCAGGAATAAGATTACTCGTCACAGGATCAGAGAGATCTCCTTCCCTAGACTTCTCTCCACAAAGGCAAGAAACAATTATGGTTCTTATGTTTAATGATGATGTGAAATGACCCAACTCTCTATTCTATATAGCTTAAGTGAATCAACTGTTCCTATAATGCAACTTTTACGAGCTGAATTAATTGAAATGATACGATTTTAATATTACATTTTGATGAAACACAGGGCATCGTGCAGGAATATGTGGATAACATGTTCCAGGCGATACTGTCAGCGAAGAGCGCACCCAAGGCCATCAAGTACCTGTTTGATTTCTTTGACAGTCAAGCCTACCGACATGAATTGTCCACCGCGGATCCTGACCTGGTCCACATCTGGAAGAGTAACATGTAAGTGAGATGGATCGAAAGACAAAGCTGCTCCGTTTGTCATTGTAGGGAAACTTTGCATTGGTGGAGTGCAATAAACATGCAAGGAACCCATGTTAGGTTCGGGGTCATTACCATTTTTTTTTTAAACAAAGTATATATCTGACGTCTATAGTCTGCAAGACATGTAAAGTAGAATTTAATCGTTAATGTTTCTTCAGTCTGCCACTGCGTTTCTGGGCAAACGCCATCAAGCACCCAGACTACATCTTTGACATCCGCCCATCTCGCACCGTGGAGGCCAGCCTGGATGTCATCGCACAGTTGTTCCATGATGCACACGACACCAAGACACACAAACTTGGCAGGGTAAGTTGAATTTCATTGAGTTATGGTAAGTGTATAACATTTCGTGTTGGTTGAGCTATCATGCAGTCATTGAGATTGTGGAAAAGAATTTTCTTCTGGACAGGTTTTGTTCTTATGAAATGGAAAGATGACACGACGACAAATTTTTAACAAGATTTATTTTAAACATTTGTACAAATGAAAATATTTGACAATAATCTCGGCATTTTAAAGAGTGTTTCATCAGCTCCATCAAACGGAGATTGTGTATGGAATCTTCAAATGATAAAACTGTCCTTCCTCACAAAATGTCCATTGCAGGAGACATCTATCAACAAGCTACTGTATGGCAGAGAGAAGACAAAGTTCCACAATGAAATCGTCTCCTTCTACGAAGAAGTTGAGCAGCTGCCCCCAGTCCCGACTCAAGAACTGAACAAGGAGCTGTACAAAGCATGCGAGGTAAAACTCATTTACTAACAAGACACGAATTCAGATATGAGTTCCTTTCAACTTGCTGTTTCGCTTGCCACTTTTTGCTGAGGAATTGAGTCATCCAAATTTAAACTTTTATAAAATCTTGAAATATATATGTGAACCTCAGAATAATTCGTTAACACTGAATATAAACTAATATAAGCTTGCATTTTTCACAAAAGCTTGCATTTTTTCAGAAAAAATGTACGGATTTAAAAGCATAAGGAAAATATCTCAATCTTCATGCTTCTAAAATCAATCATCGGATTGGAGATACCAATTAACTGATATTACAGGCTAAGTTTCTTTAAAGTCAATACAAACTGCAACTTGAATAACTTTGGTCGGACTTTGTTTTTTCTAGAACTTCACTGGTTTGTTCAGTAAGCTGAGTACTCTGGATCAACTCTGGAAAATTGTGCGACGGTTCAAGCAGAAGGTGGGATATACAGATTTTCCTTTTAGATGAATTCTGTGCTTGGAAATTGGAACTGGTTTTGTGGATTTGAGTGCAAGTCTGAATATTAATCATGCAACGTTTAAGCAAATGTTGTCCATCTGATTTAATGTACAGAATCAACATCATTCTAGTCATTCAATTTTGAATTTACTGACCACTTACAATGATATTAACCTTCAAGATAAGTTAGCAAGGTTCTTATGTTGTAGATTCTGATTGATATTGATTTGCCATATTTTTTAACAGTTCATGATAATTTTGATGTTGGCAAGACATGACTCCTTCTAAGCCATGACCCTTTTATTGTCTTATCATAGCTCCTGGATGAAATCGAAAACAATGAGCGATGCAAGGACGAGAATCTGGATGGATTGTTGGAGGAGATTGACAACATTCTGTCTGAGGAACCTGATGTTGCTGAAGAATGTGTGTAAGATGCTGACAGTCGGCGACAGATTAAATAATGAATGGCAGCAAATACTTGAACATAAGTACACTATACAAGACAGCCGTAAATAATTCAAACAAATTAAGCGATTCATTTCATAACAGATTTGACGTGTCAAACGATTTACAGGTTGTTTTTTTTTACCCCAAAGCACAAGTTTATAATTTTGCAGGTGATCATCTTATGTCCAACAAATGATTGTGCCAGCGATCTGACTGCAGTAATGATATTCTTTAAGAAATTGATAAGATGTCTTGATAAAAATATATTTTTTTTGTACGCAGATATGTTCAAATGAAGTTATGTTGATTTACGTAAAGTTGCCACAAGTTCTTGTTTAATGCTGGTATATTATGGATGCTTGCCTTGGTGTTTGAAATGTGGATATTTGCTAAATTGTAAAGCCATTAGATTAATAGTTTGTTATAACAGGTTGCAGGAAGGTCTTTATCTATACATAATTATATACAAAGTGCATTGACCTTTGAAGGGTCGATGAAGTGAATTGTTCTGAGGAACATATTTTGTGCAACTTCCTACTTCTAAAATGTATAAAAAGTATTTGGCATTCTTTTTTGGTGAATTCTATTGAAAAGTTTACTTCTATATACATTTAAAATGGGTTTCCAAAATGTGAACCGAAATATTTGCTTTTAAAAAATATTTGCGAAAACAATTTACTCAGTGGCTTACTGCCATGTACTGGCACAACAACCAATCACCAAGGAAACGAAAATCTACGACAGCGAGATATCAAAAATTCTGGCAAATAGTTCTGAAAGTATAACATTGAGATTTCTGCCTGAAATGACATTACACTTTTGCTCATGAATATGGACATTTTCATAATCATAACAATCCAAAAGGCACCAAAATGACCTTGAAAATGGGAAAACAAAAAATCGAAAATGGGGTTAAAGGGACACAAAAGTAAATTTCAAAGGATTGTATAAAAGAAAGTTACATTGCATGGGCCCTTTAACCTTGTGTTTTTTTTTTCAAACGAATTCCCTCATTTTTTTACTGTCGGCTTGTTGTAAACAAGACGTATAGTAGTTAATATATTTGGATATGTATAGAATACTGAACCCTCCAAAAGAGATTTTACAAACAAGAATCTTATGAGGGTCTCCAACATTTTGTTCAATGTGATCAAATGTACAACTTAGTTTTTCATAGTTTTTTTTTCAGAACCTTTGGAAAACGTGTATGTGAAATGTTTGTGCAACTCATGCAGTGGTGAAGTGGCCTTAAATTAAGCAATTTGTAAAAATATTTTGTGATTAATATATTGGCAGGTGTGAATATGGAACTTAGATTATATTTGTTAACAAGTATGTGCTTATTCGGAAAACGCTGTCATATTTAGAATATGATCAAGTAATTCGATATTTGGCATCTGAAATGAAAAGTATATTGCAATAGAAAAATGGCTGTATCCAAGATTACCAGAGTTGGTTTACAAAATATTCTACTTTAACCACCTATTTTTCTAAATACAATTTTTATTATACCTACATATGCTTTATTTTTTATACACAGAAGATTTGTATCGTCAGATAATTATGGTACTTAAAAGGAATTTCTATTGAAGCATTTGCACGTCGTTTATAACAAAACAGTGATTGATGATTTTACTGTAATTGATGATATAAGCGTAACTGATGGTAATTGCATTATTGGTTATAAGGGTAATTAAACGAAACTTCCTATTTGACTAAGAATGCGACTTTCTTTATGCGCTGATAGAATACCACGTGCTTTCTAAACACGATAAGAAATGAGGGATTACCAGGAGTAAACACATACACAAAGAAATGCCGCTTTTTAGTACTATACAGTGATTATTGTAGCCTTTAGTTACTTTGACTCCGTTAATGTACACGTACAAAATGCATATTTGACATGTACACGACGCATGCTTTTTATTTACAATTCGTCGAGTGAAAGTGGAAATGCAATAAAGAATTAATTTGTGCTAAAAAAGTGGTGTTTGTTGTAATGCATTTATTTAATTTATTTGTTTTAATACGAAGATCAATACTTTGTCCTTACTACTGCATGTCTGATGATTAACGTATGCTCCAGCGAATCTCATTTTGACCTCCAAAATTTTTTTTTTCTGACATGTAATTTCTTTAGTGCAAGCTGCCCATCAACTACCCATGATGACCAAACGGTAAGTTGATAATAGTTTTACTATATAAGCCATTTATCAGGGCCTAGCTACAAGTTCAAAAGATATGCTGCCACGGAGCTAGACTACTTCCACACAATCTTATTGGCTCAATTTGTTTGGAGGGCGGGTACAAAATCGAGTCACCAACATGTTGAAGTCAATTTTGATTGGTTGATAAGCTTGCCACATGTATTACGGTGAATAAAATGTGCATTGCTATCGTGCCCCCAGCTCACGCATATGAGTGCCAGGAGAGCGGGAAAATGAAGTCCTTTTCCCCTCCTTGACCTTATGCAGTCGAAATGCCGCGAGTTGAAGAAGACGCAATGGTGCATGAAGTTGACCTAAAGATGGAGAGTGGACGACAAGGAGTTTGGTTGACAGCACGCTGCCCGAGATGCAAGTAGTAAAGACGCGTGTCAGGTGCTCACCGCAGTCATCCTTCAAACATTGATATGTGGTATGCCACGCTGCATGATTCCTGTGTCTGCGTCGACAACCCGGTCTCACGATGTCAATCTTACCAGGCCGGGCCAGTTGCTGAGTGCACAATCTTTCACAATCATGGAGAGCCTGATGATGTTGGCTTGCCTCGGGATATTAAACAGTCGAAACCGACGGAATCGACATGAGTAGACCCTGCACGGGGATCAAGCTCGACAGAAGATTCCGCCAATCAAGTATCCACAGATTGGAAGCGGCAAATAAGTATCGCCAACGGCAATGCCTGGCAAAATAGACCGACACAGTAGCCAAGATGTCGATATGAAGCAACACTTGGTGGAAGTGCGGAGGCATGGTTAGTGTAATTGTATGTTTCCTGAGCACCTATAAATTTTCACGGAATAAGATGCAGTCTGGAAATGCAGTGATTAATTTGAGACGACAGCAAAATGGACATAAGTGTAACGGTGAGCTTGGGGTGACAGATGTTTCAAACCAGTTGTTGGATGAATAGACAACTAAACACTTGAGACAGTGTGGTAGAGTGTTTTGATACAGTTATACTGTGCTCCCATCATTGTCAAGAATGTACAGTCGTGTGCAATGAACAATGTGTTACCAAGTATCTGTATCTGCATCATTATAGTCGGTAAAGCATCCCAGGGGAAACATCACACCAACTTAGAGAGAAGACAATGAGAAGAAATTACAGTTTTAGAGGTGGGAGGAAAATCAGGCAGGGACTGAAAATCCAATCCACATATTGACCCAGTAGCCAGGAATTTTTCAGTGTGTGTGTGTGTGTGTGTGGGGGGGGGGGGGGGGGGGGGCTGGAACATTTCATGGGGGGGGGGGGCGTCATGTAGATCAATGATAATTTTTTTAGAAACTCAAAATCTCAGTGGGGGGGGGGGGCTGTCGTCCCCCCCCCGTGGCTACGCCACTGCATTGACCCAGGCGGGATTCGAACCCGAGTAACAGCAGTGGAAGGTGAGGAAAGTACCGCTACGCCAACCTGACTCCCTGACAAGTAGAAGAAGACCTATTTTCAGCAGTCTGGATAACATGTTAAAACCATAGCAGGATCTTTGCAGGATCTTCAAAGATGGCTAGGCTTATTTATGAGCTAGAAGGTGCAGACCAGGAAAACAGGTCTTATACAAGCGAGTGAGGTGCAGACAATGCGCACACTGACTGAGAGGGTAAGTGGTTGACATAGGACCTAACTTAAAACTGTACTCGGACAGAGCGTTATCGGTGTCGTTATTGATGTAGTAAGTGTTGGAGTGTCTGCTTTGGCAGTGCCGACCAACTGAAATTTTTAATCAAATATCAAGCTAATAAGTGTTCAAAAATACTTGATGAAACAAACCCGAACCAACGTTGACATTAATTTTCAATATCTGTGTTTAATTATTTAGTGTTTCAGTGGTTGCCTTAGTTGCAAGTATGGAAAAGAATTTAAGAGCAAGGAAAAATCTGCCCTGAGGCACAAGAGAACGTTTCCAGATGGTTAAGATGCTATGTAGCTGCATGGAATTCCTCACCGAACCCTATAGACCAGGCACAGATGAGAAAGCATGGCGATGACATTCTTCCAGATGGATCTTTTCAAACAAGATGATATAGAAGTTGTCCAGACTCTATTATCAAATACAAGGTAAAAGTATGAACTTCGTAATGTAGTTGGAGCGTTTTATCCGGGGATTACGAATGACCCAAGTAAAGTAAATATGCTTTGAATCAAATTTAAACCAGATATCAAGGAGCGCAACCATTTTTTTTGAAGAACGAGGCACATTGTTCTCGATCAGTTTGAATCTTTTAACAACGTAAATCATGTTAATGACATTAACAAGTTCAAATTAATTGTATGGGGTAACTTCTTGCTACGTTAGAGGAAGTCAATCTCTATGCTTAGACAGGCCATCCTTAAATGGAAGCAAAATTCTAGTTTCCCTCAGCTGTCACCAGAATATTGGCTACATCAGAAGCCTTTCCTCTTTTTACCTTTCTAGTGAAAGCACTATCTTTGCCGATTAACCCTGTGATTTACCAGGGTTAACGGCTGCAAGCATCTAGCACTTACAATGGATTACGAAATATTCCATACCTACAGGTGTAGCATATACACCAAGAGCCACAGTCAGCCCAACAAGGTCAAAAGATATTGTCCAGTAACAGGAGATGACACAATACCCACTGGTAACTTCCATTATTCGACCTATAATAAAAGACCATTCAAACGTGCAAGTTGTGCCACCATTTGACCGGCTATTTGACTGACTATCAACGCCGTGACTGATGGAAATCCCGCCTGACTGGTCATAAAATGATATTAGAATAAAATAGCAGGCATCGATGGTAAATTTGCAGTGGGATTCGCGATCATGTACGCTCACAGGTAACTTGAATTCTCCTTGTATTATACGCTTTTGCTGTCAGTGTTTGCTAAATATTGTCGATGAAATGTTTAAGTGGAGTTTAATGTTAGAGGTAAAATATTACCTACCTTATGTTTGGTCAGGCACTTAGCAAATCTGCTCGTCGAATGCAGAAAACGGGTTCAACACTTCTCCGTGCAGAGAGCAGGTTTAGTATGGTCAAGGGACGAGAGATACACTTCAGTGAAAATCATGCTACAAAATAATATAGGCGCAATTATTAGATGCATTATGGCGTACTCCTAGCTAAATCACCAACACCGTGACCTAAATAAAAGGCTCCGATTGGCTCAAATTGATGAGAAGGCGTGAAAGGTAGTAGTAGTACTACTAGTAAGTCACCTACGTTGTAAAAGTGGATTATGATTGGTTGATGGACCTGATGCATTTTGTTGCTGGATGTAGATCCGTGCACGATACATAGAGTGATCTAGAAATACATGTCTATAAAGGTAAACGTAGAATTGATTAAAATCCACTTCGTTTCCTTCTTGATTCAGTTCAGGAAAAATCATAGGAATCGCTCGTGTTCAGAGTGTTAACAACTCGGACTCCAAAACCTACGTTTTTATACCTTTCCAAATGAAATGAAGTCTAATCGACCCTCTCTGATATCGCAGTAGTCGGAGTAATCTTTGGAAGTCACTGCCAATTGATTGATATACATGTACTCTTTTGGCTCGCAACTAATGTGTGAACGCTTCTGATCTTGACTGTAGCTGAATGGTTTACATCTGGACCAAAGAAGCTGCATGTTGGCCAACTGGCAACGTACCAAAACCTGGTAAGTTTCTCTTCAAGGGGTAGAACACAAATCGTATCAGTAGTTCGTCATTTGAGAGGAAGACATTTTAGGCTTTTAGGATTAAAATCAGGTGCAACAATTATCCTAAATATGTAAATACTAAATCACAAAACAGGATTGGGTTCATCAAAAATGGCCAATCCATGCGAATGACATTTAAGCGAGTTAGTTCTACATGCATTGGTCATCTGTGGTGTAATTTAAGTGTATTATATATCGGGTCGATATAATAGCCAGAGGCCACCAATACCAAGCAATTGAATCAATGCAGACCTACGAGCACAATTATTTATTTGATCGTTTCCGCCTTTCGTGAACTGTAGATGGCGCTCTAGCCTTTATCAATGGATTGATCTATGCGTGGGTCATCCTTACAAAAAAGTACAGGTTCATGTAATAAACAGTTGAGATCTTGCTAGTTCACTAGTACCCGGAAACCCCATTCATTGAGCAATATACGAGAACGCATCCTATGAAATGCTTGCATAAATTATGGAGGCCACTATAGCCCATAATAATGTTATACAATGTAGCATAATACTGACCGGATAGCGGGTAGAGAACACAGGCCAAAATGATCTGAACGCGATCTCGAGGGGCTTATCATGTTGTTGAACAGACAATTTTTCGTCGTTTTTCTTTCAATCGTCGTAGTTTACTTTGTTAAACGTTGTGGTTCACTTTAAACGATGAAAAAAAAACCAACGATGGGAGCATGAACTTTCTAAAACACCATGATACGTGTAGGCAGGCCTATAAAAACAGTCTTGCAAATCTATAGAGATGTATTTAAATTTCTAGAGTGTTCTTGCTGTACAGTGTAACATGCTAGGCGCATCCAAATCGATGGACAGCTCGGAAATTTCGCAGTTTTGTGCGGCAGTTTGTAAATCTACTCCATTTTTAGTGAGAATCGATGCATAAATGAAGCCGATATGCCAAAAACGAAACCGCGCACAATCAGTAACGCACATTTAGTTTTACACACTTAAGAAACCGCGCCTAATTGTCGGGTTTGTTCACTCTTATTTTCCATTTAGAGACCAAGGGTGAAATTCAGGGCAATTGTCAGGGCTACAGCCTGACGATTTCCGCGTGATAGCATTCATGCTGATACATTTTTAACGAGACTTTTGAATGTGCTGTCGTGCTACTTTCCAGTATGCATATTACCCCGAAAATCGTTACCTTTCTTTTTCTTGAATTTAACTTTTTTGGTGATAAAAAAAGAAAAGAATCCGCCTAACTTTACATATGGATTTGTTACAAACGGCCTTATTCGCTTTTGTTTTGCCTTGGATAGGCATGAGTAAACATATTCTGCAGTCATTTTACTACGTTACAAAGAATGCACCCCAATATGGCCGCTACGCATGAGATCTATTCGAAATATTTTTAACCTGACAATAGCTATGGTGAATAGTTTGGTCTTAAGAGGCGCAAGGGCAGCCCTGAATGAAACCTCTTTGATGGATTGAGGACACCAAACCAGAATTTTGTTTTGTGTTATTGTTAATACAAAACATACATATTTTGAAATCGTCAGATGAAAAATCAATACATTGACGAGCACGTACATATCTTTTTATAATTATCAAACACGCAAATTACTTTGTGCGGTAACGATCATGTTCAAATCGTGGTAACGATCAGACAAATTTAAACACAATGTTTTCCGGATATTAACTCTGGTGGCAGGGAGATCTGTCTGCGGTGGGCATAGTCGCACTTTTTTTTTTTTAGGACATTGTACATAATTATAACCCTATGCGGACGGCACACTTCCCGCTCGCCCGTCAGTTTTGTGTTTATTTTTCAAGGCATTTGATTTTTGTTGTAGTAAGTTCATGTCTAAACGCATGCCTCTGTATTTTGGGTAGTCATATGTCAATAATCGTATAGGCCTAGTTTAACCAAGTGGAGTAAAAATAATGTTTCGTCTCCCCTTCGTTTGATACAGATTGTTCAGGCATAGAATCTACCAGGGTCAAGCTCGTCGACTCCAACAAGAACATCTGTGAATTTTATGAGAATCATGGAGTCCCATGGGCTGAGACATAACGCCTTTCTGCTGTTAGTCTGTCTGTCTTTGAGCATCACCTGTATGAGTGTTTGTATGGTATCTGCTGAGTGGTCTGGGGATCTGTCAGACTATGAGTTGGCAAGCTTTGACAATCCGGACATTTTGGGTGAAAATGAAAGACGTGCATCAAAGTTCAACCACTTCACCTTGAGTGATCATGGCGATGTCTATGTTGGAGCTGTCAATTGGTTGTACAGGTTGAGTGGTAGTTTGGAAGAGATACAGAATGTTACAACCTGTGATGACAGCAGGCAAGATAGTGTGATGCCCTGCCACCTTACAAACAACTACAACAAGATACTGGTAGTTGACAGTACTCGGCCAAACAGTTTGATAACCTGTGGTGGTGTGTATGAGGGTATTTGTCAGTTACGACAGTTACAGGATATTGGTGTCGAAGTGCAAGAATCAATTGAAAAAGTTGCGGGGTTTGAGGATTTAACTACTGTTAGTTTGATTGCTCCAGGAAGAGGTAACAATCAGATGCTTTATGCTGCTGTTACTTATACTGCAGTTAATAATAATGGAATGGGAATCTTTCCAGCAATCACAAGAAGGAGCCTCCTTTTGGGAGGAACATATTTAAGTGCACCTGACGATACAGATACAGTTCCTTTCATCGCAGCCGCTCAAAATGTTCTCATCAAGTATGTTTTAGCTTTTGGCTACAACGGCTTCACATACTTTGTCGCCTCCCAGAAAGAGGACTTGAATTCTGCCCAGTATGTTTCTAAGATAAGCAGAGTCTGTCAGCGTGGTCCCAACCTAGACGCATACACAGAAATTACCCTACAGTGCAGTGGATCAGATGGCAGTGTGTACAGCTTGGTGCAAGCAGCTCACTTTGGACCAGCAGGACCTGATCTAGCGGTATCATTCGGTCTCACTGCAGACGAGCAGGTGCTGTATGCTGTGTTTGCCAAGAACCAAGGAGCTCCGGGTACCAGTGATGTACCCATCGATCACTCAGCATTGTGTGTGTACAGGATGACGGATATCTTGGCTGCCTTCAGAGAAGCAGTGCGGGGATGTATTCAGGATGGAATTACCTACTCTGTTAACTATTTGGAGAGTTCTTTCTGTAATAGCTTTCCGGTAAGTCAATAGACTGAATATATTTTCTTTGTTAGATTCACATTATCACTTTGCAAAGAGAGCGAGTTGTAGTACATACATTTTGTAATTAACAAAAGTTACCAAATAAACCAATAGATGGCATCCAGAGATGCCAATACAGTGCATTAATTATATCATAACGTGTATACCCGCCTTGGTGCGATTGCCTCACTGTGTACCAGCACCGGCAGGATTGAAACTAATGAGATTCTCGCAGATAACCTGTTATCTTGTGTTCAACCTTAAGGGAAAGCGTGAATCCTGCATAGTCAAAAACAAATAAAGTTTATGTTCGGGTGGGGTGTCAAAAGTAAATTCCAAAAGAGAGTCTTTACACATTAAATAATTAATAAATGATAACATTTATTTCAGCCGTGTGACCCTTCAGAAAAGTATTTGTCATAAAATCAAAATATCCAAACTTTTCGACTTTTATCAGTGAATGGGAGTTAAAACTGACACATAATTGGCATTTTTATTCACAATCCACAGACTGTTAGGATCGAAGACCGATACTTTTGCATTCCTGTAACGGCAGATGTTAATCAGGTGTCACTGTTCAAGTCTGCCAAGGGCATCGATCCAGTGCCATCTACAGCTGTGCTGGAACTTCCAGGTAAACACGTTTAGCAAATGCCTTAGTCAATGACTATAATTTACAATTTGTCCGGACATTACAAACTTGCTTCATTTGAAATACACGTATGAACGTAATACACGTATGTTCTTTAGGTACTCTGATGTCATCCATCATCACCAGCATTGAAGTCAACCACACCGTGGCTTTCATTGGAACATCAAGGGGACATCTACTGAAGGTAAGAATTGCATGAAAATCTTGGCTTAGAGTTGTGTAAGTCATACATTTGAACATCCAATTCCTGTAGATACGTCAAACTCAAATACTGAGAATACTCAGGAAATATATGTTCATTAGGCTGTCACGTGTGTCTGCGTATAAAGGTCAACATTTAGTGAGAAATCATTAAAATGCACCACAAACATGCACAATAAGGTAGGATGAAAGAAATGCCTAAACGCGTGTTAACTCTTTGCTTTTAGAATGTGCTGGAGCCATTTACAACTAAGACAATGCACAATGACGTCGAGTCTGTACATAATTACATTTTGGCTTATCAATTCAAGCGGGCACTATATGTCAAGCCGATCAACACTTGACTGTACGAGTAACTTGTTATATTTCAAGCTAGTTAATAGTAATCCATCCTGTCAATAAACATATTGGGTATGTCTTGTCTTCCTAATTCAGGTTCAAATTGAAAGTAATACTACAGGAAGATTGTATGAAAGAGTTTCTCTAGACACCAGTCCAGTACTGACTGACATCAAGATCAATGACACAACTAGAGTGATGCATGTGCTCACCGAACAAAAGGTATGCTCAAAAAGTATATTGTGCATACTATTGTCTTAGAAAATATTGGACAAAAAGTTTTCGGGCTAAACTAAAATTGTGAAAGTCTGATTTGAAAATGCAGTCAATCGCAAAAAAAAACATAGCCTAACCAAATTGCTGTTGAAGGCAATGCTAATGAGTTATGAATGGAGCGGATGACAATGCTTTGTTTGCACGTAAATATATGGTCATTTTGTTCTAGTAATAGTATTTGCGCTCCTCGGATTCATTGTTTTCCCTTTCAGATAATCAAGATGCGTGCTGAGAATTGTGGTCGGTACACAACCTGTGAGACGTGTATTGGGACTGATGCAGGGAATGATGGAGACCCATACTGTGGATGGTGCACTCTGGAAAGGAGGTCAGTCAAACTCTATGTCTCGCTCAGAAATGGCTGGTTAGTGGTTCAGCATATTGATTGTCAGCATACAAAAAATACGTATATGGATTGTCCAAATAAATTCATTGTTTGCCCAGATAATTATATTATCTTTTGTAAAGTGCGGGTGTTTTAACCGCGAAATTTGTGCTATTCGTAGGAAAATTAATGTTTCGTTAACTGCAAATGTTATTCCAGAATAAAACAACTTGAAGGCAATGACTAAAACGATGTAAAATGGATCAAACTCATTAACTTTCTTTCATCTGAATTTGTTTCAATATCTCACCACCTTTTTAACTTTATATTATTCTCCTAGATGCACAAGATATTCAGACTGTCCATCACCTGATGTGTCTACTCGTTGGTTGGCCTACAATGCTGCTCAGTGCATCAATATTACCAATGTAGCTCCTTACGACAACCTGCCAATTACCGTCACAGAGCAACAGGTGAGAGTCGGTGTTTTCCGGTATTACTGAAGGCATGAATAAGGTTTTCTTTTTTGACACTGCTGTATTAGTTTCAGTCAAAATGTGCGTCTTGCTTATTTTTTTTTTTAATTGTTACCGAAAGTAATTCATTTAAACTGTATGTAAAAACATCCTTTTCTGGTGTTATGTTCGTGCGATCTTTTTAATAATTTGGTCTGTGTCATGTAATGATGGCTTGATTTGTTCAAGATATAACTTCAATGTTGAGAGAAAATTCTAAAACTCAATGTTTCTGTTGATCTTTCTTATAGATAACCCTGACTGTGCAGCAACTACCCGATCTAGGGACCGGTCAGAGTTATGAGTGTCACTTTGGGTCGTTTGAATCTCCAGCTACAAAGAATGGTGAAGTGCTTGAGTGTACGTCACCTCCTAGTGATGGCATACCAGCCATTCCGCAAGGAGGTATGTACCAAAAACACGTGTATTATAGTCATAATGTGAACATAAATCAAACATTAGCTAACCCTCCTACTATTTAAGAGGTCACAAACGGTCAAAATTTTCTTCCTCACCTCCTGGCATACCGTGTACAAACCAATGGGGGTCGTGACCAATATTGACCCAAGTAATAACAAGGCTCACACGGCATGTTTCCATAGGAGAGATGAATTGTATGTTTCATTGTTAATTCATGATAACAAACAAACGAATAAGTAGGTGTGTTCTGAATTATAGTGCCCTTCAACGTTTTGTGTTACAATTGTATGTGATCAATCGGAGCAAACTTTGTTATGTAGTCGGTCATTATAATGTGATCAACTCGTGATTAATTGATTACTAGGCATGTCTGACATACTCACGCGCACTAACGAGAACCTTTAAATTCAATATAATTTTATATCTTTTGCTTAGATGATGCAGTGCACGTTGATTTGAGTGTTGAGTCGTCTGAAACTTTAGTTCAGTTTACTGACACTGACTTTTACTTCTACGAGTGTTCAACTCATACCTCGTGAGTATATATGCTAATTTTTCTTTGATGTTTTTCGACTTGGGTTTCCTTTTGTTTAATGGATTTAAAATGCATTGTTTCCCCCTTACCATTGTGTGCCGTTTGTTGTTTTGCATAGTTGTGTGTCCTGCGTTGGCAGTCGCTGGGCCTGTGATTGGTGCGTGTTTGAGAACAGATGTACTCATGAAAGCTCCACATGCACAAGACCTGACGAAATCATCATAACTGGAAATAATGTAAGAACAAACAAATGAAGTAAAACAAGACAGTATGAGAAGAAAATGTAAAGTTTTACGCTTATTTCCATTGAATCTCAGTTAATCGTAAAACTCCAGGTTAAGAACCTACTCTTCATAACTGCTCTGAAAATTGGAAAACAAACAAACACCAATTGTGATATAGCCCCCCAGCACCACTGTCGCATAGGTATAGGTAATACCTGGAAATTAATCAGCACTTAAACAATGTGACCATCATAACTTTGAATGGGCCTTATTCCCGAGTCGGCCATATTGGATTGAGAGTGAGGTAAAATCTTCATTTTTGGGAACCTGTGTATAGTGAAATATAAGCAAGTTAATTACTAATTAATTCCAGTCTGCTTCAGTGAATAATTTTAGATTTAAACGTTCCCGAATGTTTAAAGCCACATTAAAAAAAATACATTAAAAAAGGCTGCATTATGCCTGCAAAAATAGTCTGGCGCCATCCCATTCAACAGTTAAGAATTAATTATATATATTGAGGGAACTCAACAAAAATGGCCAACTCGTGAATAAGGCCCATTGGAGAACACGTAAATGTTTGTCCTCTCTTTTCAATTACAGAATCCAACTGCTGCTGCTGTGAAAGGACCTGAGTTTTGCCCTCAGCTGCTGAATCAGACTGCTGAAGAGTTGCTTCCTAATGGCATTATGAGGAGAATCACTGTCATGACTACAAACCTGCCAAACGTAGCTGAGGTAGGTGTATCTGCAATGCGCTTAAAAAACTTACTGATCTCTTTAAATGAAGTACCACTACTGTGCTTCAGTGAGATAAAGATTTTCTTCGTCTTTCTTTCTAGAGATATAGAGATTTTCTTGCGTTATCGTCATGAGAGTGCATTTGCACCTGTTGTTTCAAATTGCTTGATGAACGTACTTCCCTCACCGTCTATCCATGAGTGGGTCAGAGTCAAGCTAAAAGCCATATATGTAATTATATTATGTGAAAGGTTCAGTCTGAAATCACGTAAGGTATAAAAAAAATGGAACAAATTGAAGAACTTCCTAATGCCTAACCTCATGACCCGTTTGCAGATGTTAAGCTATCAGTGCAGCTTGGATGTAGAGGGATCACCACAGGCTGTAAATGCAGATCGTAATGGAGATATAATCACATGCCGAGAGAAGGCTGTAAGTATTTGTTTGTTTTTGATTTTGTATATATGCTTTAATGATCAAGCTATTTTTTTTTTAAGAATAAAAAATGAAATGGGAAATTGAAGTGGTGTGTAGTTTTTGGTGAGGAAGTGCTGAAAGATTACCAATATATTTTTTTCTGTTCAACAGTACACGTATCTTTCGAATGATGAGCCTGAACTTGAAGTGAAACTGAGTGTTTCATGGACGGACACGATCAGTGGTGTTGTGCACATCCTGGACGACATACATGGATTCGATGGTAATTAGAATCAGGACCCTTGCTAAATAATACATTGCCAAGGGTTATGTTTATCATCCAATTACATTCAAATTTAGCAAAATTGCAATGTTTATCAGCAACACCTTCTTTATCAATTTACAAATGATGATGATTTTAAATTTCCGCCTTTCCCCTTTTAGTGACCCTTTACAAGTGTGAAGTCCAGAAGCCAGACTGCAGTCGATGCGTTACTGCCCGCCCTGTGCTTGAGTGTGTCTGGTGTGGTGCCGTGCCATCTGAGTCTGGTGTTTGCAAACTGAACGAAATCTGCAGTGAAAACATGGTTACTTTGGACAATGGATTGAACTGCCCTGATCCAGTCCTTAGCGAGGTGGGTGTGACGATTGATCTACACTTGGTAAACTTTAGGAATAAAAGTGGACAGTCGACACTAATAGGCCTATAGCTTCGAAGATTCCTATAACTAAACAGTATGTGGATACTCAACCGATATTCAATTCAATTCAATTCAATTCAATTCAATTCAATTCAATTCAATTCAATTCAACATTTATTTCCAATTCATACAGACACTTTATGGTAATAAATATGTGAAAATTATCTTTTATAGGTCTAAGTTTGTAGTTTACAATTGGAATTAACAACATCGCTCAACAATATTTAATGTTATTACACTGAAAGTGGGCATTTCGCTCAACTTGTGTTGTACAAATATTTGAGCAAACGTTGGACCTTAAATTTAAATCATCTTCCCGGACTCAAAGGATTCCATGGACTCCAAGCAATTCATGCCAATACAATGTTGCTTACTAACATGTTGCTTGTCAACGTGAACTCATGTTGAAGGTGTTTCCCTTGACTGGACCGATTGAAGGCAACACAGTCATAGATGTGATGGGAACTGACATCGGTCGGAGATTCGAGGATGTCGTGTCAGTAACGGTTGGGGATAAACCTTGTGATCTAGCTGGATTGAACTCAGACTATGAAATTGGAGCAAGGTAAGAATATGGATTACTCTTGTTTATCAGTGTATGTTTTATCAGTCAATTTTCATGTCAAATACTGTTTATAATTTTGTATGAACAATTCCAATCCCGAAGCATTTATCAACTATGAGTTTACAAAATAAACCATTCACTTTTTAAAAACTGTTTTGGTCATTTTCGATTTTAATCGGTAAGTTTTACTGGGAGAAATTATATCATGTCATTTTAGATCAGATAATGTTTTGTTAAATGCAAAGCAATGTTGAATTGCTATTTTAACTTCGCCTCATTGCTACAGTAAATCTTCTGTGTGAGAGTTGATTTGGTAATAATCTGGAAATTGAAATGAAAGTTACACTTTTCGTGCAGTGTCAGCTGCAGAGCACGAGCAGAGAGTGAAGGAGCTGAGTTGGTGACATTGACAGTCACAGGTGCAGATGGTACGATGCAGCACAGCTCAGGAACAGTCAACTTCAACTTTAAGGTCAATATTGATAATGATGATTTTCCCCAATGGTAAATAATCTATGCTACCTGCTGGTTATTGGGCTCCGTGCACAAGTATTCCTTCAACGGCCAGGGAAAGGGAGAGTTGGGGAGACTGGTTCCCGGTCCATCCACTGCGTATTTCGAATAATCCAAAGTTATTGGGGCGAGGATTAGTGTGGGAGACCATCGCCTAAAGGCTGCATCCGAATCAGCTGTCTAGAGCTAGGTCTAGGTCTGCGCCATGCGCCCATTGAAAATACGCGGCGGTGACGCGCTGACAAGACGTAGCCTTAGCTCCGGAAGCCCGTTTCGGACACGGCCTAACTAAATTCTCACGTGCGAAGACGCTATGGCTTAGCTTTGTGCACATTCAGGATAAATAAGTCGTGTGTACGTCTCGCGCAAATCAGTACAGAACGCACACGCGTTGTCCCGGCCAAGACTTTTTTCAAGTTGCGAAATTGATTGCACGGTTTAGCCATTCTAGTCAAGATTACTTTATTCTCACCAAATTGTGTTTTGTTGCCAGCATCCAGCGATTACAGCTTTCCAACCCAGCCTTGGCCCAGAAGCTGGTGGAACTGCAGTGAGTGTGAATGGTACAGCCCTCAACACAGGACGGGATATCGAAGCATTCATTGGTGACAATCCTTGCAATATAACGGGGTATCTTTGCTTCTCTTTTGGTTTTCTTATCTTAAAGGTTTCGTAAATTTTGTCTGCAACATTCAAAACGTCTCAATATTGGACAGTGATTATGTTGATTGCCTCGCCGCCATGGCTTGTTTGAAACTGGTCCGAAAAGCAAGTTTATTTTGGTGTCAGATATCGCCGTATCCAGTATTATTATTGGTGGCATTAACTGATCTTCTTAGAATTCTTACAAATGCGTTTTTGAATAAACACAATTGTAATATCGGTTGGCATATAGAAATTAAATCACGAATATAACACTGTAAATAAAATCGACCTTTTCATCTGTGCCAAAATAGCTACGACATGAATTTGTGTTTTAAGAAATATTGGGATGTCAGACAACTTAGCGTTTGTGTTTCACGAAGAGCTTTCAATTCTTTCCATGATTTCCCAGCCAACCAGTTGAATCTATGTTAGAGTGCACGACCACTGCTGCCCAAGTTGGATATAAAGGTGTTGTGAAAGTCTCCTTCGATGGGGCCATGAGAACCTCATCAGATATGTACACCTACACTGAAAATCCTACCATCACCGAGGTGTCTCCTCTGAAAAGCATCATTTCGTGAGTCTCGTAACTGCTGTCTTAGTAAAGCTATTTGAAAAGCTTGCACCATTCCAAACTTATTGGACAAGAGTTAGTTGAAACTGTCAAAATTGTACAACGGAAATCACAATCTTCCGATTTACAAGGACAAATGAATGAAATTAAATGAAATGAAATTCATGCCACGGCATTAGTAAAATTTGTCCACTTTTGTGCTCAGTGACTCGGTGCTTTTTCTGAATTTCCGAAGTCTTGCAACCTCCAGGGACATTGTTTCATTTAAAAGAAATTTAATAAACGGTATTTGTTGTTTTAGAAATGCGAGTTAAACAATGCAACTTGAGCATAATTTGCAAAGTGCAATGTAATGCATTATTTTCTTCGGTGGTTAAGGTTGTGATGTTGGAATGAATAGCAAAGTAGCAATATAACTTATGGCACCGAACTGCTGTCGACTTTCTCTTTATTCTTTGTTGTTTTATTATCATAAAATATATTGTATTTCTCAATTATAAGGGGCGGCCGAACACTGACTGTCACTGGGACATTCCTGGACACCTGCCAGAATCGTCAGATTTTTGTTGGAGACAGCAGTAATAAGGAGGTACAAGCAGCACTGACATCAAGACACATAAGTTATCTTTTGCTTATTATTACAAAAAAAGCCTTAAAATTGCAATACCTCTGAGTACTTTCTGCACTAACAGTGACCAAGGCCATGGTCATAATAAGAGCCTGCACGTGAAATGCAACAACAAATTCGGTAAACATAGACCAATCATTTATATATAAACACTATTCAAAGGTCGTCTTTGCTCTCCATTATTTTCTAGGAATGCAAAGGAGAATCTGCAACAGAAATGAGTTGCATATCTCCCAACATAACAGCCCTGAGAAGCATCACAGAAGTCAACGCGACCTTTGGATTCATCATGGACGGGGTCACCAAGCTATTGACATGGTCTGAGGTCAACGACGTCGACTTGGAGTATTTTCAAGATCCAGTGTATGACGAATTTGAGAATGGGATGCAGGAAAAAGTAGGAGAAACGCTAACAATAAAGGTGTGTAGTTAAGGCTCCATGCGTTTGCCCACATATTGTAGCCGGTGAAATTAAAATCGAAACAAAATCAAGTTGATGCTCAACTTCCATTTCTACACCTGATCGGGGACTCAATACAAGTCTGGTATGTTAGGATTGGGTTAAAGGGAAAACAACATTTACAAACATATAAAAGCTGCCAAATTATAACGAAATACCTTACTGGACTGTTAATGAATGACAGTCTAAATATCCTGTAAAATTCTGGCACCTGGCATGCTGTCATTTTCAAGAAACTTGTATTTTTGAAGCAATTTCCAAGTTAATCCATATTTTGTTTGCAATTGATTATAAACACCTATATGAACGGGTACAAGCCAGCTAGACTGGTTCCCTGACACTACATTTCCCCGACGTCTTTAAATCACCCCGTTTCATCATAAGTGGGGTCAGTGAACCAGCCTACAGGAACAAGATTGCTTTTCTTGGTTTTTCCAGCATCTACGAACCCAAAACTTCGAACAAGTCATTGTAACAGTATTTGCTATAAAAACTCGCAAAACAAGTCATAACGAGATGTAATGAATGAACTTTTCACTTGCCGTTTTTGGTGTTTGAAATTCGAAATTGTTTCAGGGCGAACGGATCAACAGTGCAATCACAGAAGAAGAAATCATAGTCAGGATAGGAAGTGACGTATGTACAGTCAGCTTGATTAGTGAAACAGCCTTAGTGTGTACGCTACCAGAAAAAGATCCTGGGCCTGGGGACTTCATGGGTGAAGACGATGAGAAAGGCCTACCTGTGGTGTGGGTAAGTGTAAAGAAAACACATCAAAGGCATGTGCCCATGGCAGTGTTTAGTAGAATATAAGCCATTATATCAGAATAACAGCCAAGTTGTTAACTATTTTTGTGAGTATATAAGCAACATGTTTTCAGTCTCTGAAAGTCAAAATGTTGCCGACATAGTTACTTATTATAAGATTTGAGGCTTTGCATGGTGGGGTATCGGTATCGTTTCGGTTTGCGGTAATACCATGTGGTAATAACTACTGCTTAGAAGATATTAGTTCTGAGAAGAACTTGTCCTGCTTATTATCAACTTTGCTCAGTAGTTTTTGTTCTGTTAAGAACAGTCCTGCTGTAAGTTCTATAGCTGTAAGTTTTGAGACCAATGACAAGTTCGTATAGAACTTACAGCAGGACTGTTCTTAACAGAACAAAAACTACCGAGCAAAGTTGATAATAAGCAGGACAAGTTCTTCTCAGAACTACTATCTTCTAAGCAGTAGTTATTACCACATGGTGTTACCGCAAACCGAAACGATATAGTTACTTATTATCCGAATAGAAACAACCCAAAGTGAAAACGGTCTCCTAAAAATGATACCTCAAGCTAATTGTGACAAGATTTGAGTTTGTGATATTCTGTCTAAGATTTCCATATTAATACCTTCAATATTTTGAGGCTTTTACACCGGAGGCTGTTATAATATTTGAAACTAGCAATTTTTCAATGTTCAACTAAGCGCTCATCTATTTATCTCCATTCAGGTCCAGCACAGTAACCTTAAAGTCCGCATCGGTTACATTCAGTACCCGCCTGATGTGCCCCCATTCGTCATTATTGTCTCGTCAATCTGTGGAGCTATCCTGGTGTGTATTCTCTTTGTAGTGATATGTTTCGGAGCTCAGGTGTATGGAGCTAAACGAGAGGCCAGACTGATCGTGGAAGACATGAGAGCTTTAGAAGCAGATCTGGCTGATGAGGTCAGGCAAGGTAAACAGGTCATAATCAAAAATAATATCAAGTATATGCAATTATTGGATCCGCTCTTACATTAAAACCAATTGGCTTGGCAAAGTCTGTTGTAAATAAAGTACAAGACTTCATCCTGCTTTGGTGGTTTTTTTTAATTGACTCGCAAATATAACCTGTTTTTTAGAATTCTTTTGCCAAAGAACATCTTTTATATTGAAGTTAACTTCATGTACAAGCGAAATATGTAAGTTTCCTAGACCGTTTTTTTGCAGTTACTTTTCAGCCTAAACCTCAACCGTCTTAAGTGATATTAATTAAGTTGTCGTAAGTTACAAGAATCTGCAGGACAAGTCCTTGCAAATATTTAATATATCACTGTTTGTCTTTATATCAGTTGAATTCCAACCATCATTTTAGCTATATATTGCACGTTAGCAAAAGGCAAATAAAAAACGTGTGAACTTTGTCTTGCAGCCTTTGCTGAGCTTCAGACCGACATGACAGATCTGACCAGTGACCTGGAAGGGATCGGCATGCCGTTTGTCAGTCATCGCGAGTATGCCACCAACATGCTGTTCATTGGCCAGGAAATCACACCAGATACCGAAGATGAAGAGGTATGCAAATAGAGAGGACATTGAATTGAATATTACGCACTTTGAATGTTTCCATTCGTGGCAATAATGGACAGATTAAATGCCAGAGGAGGTATAGTAATACCTAAAAGGTTAATTTCCTGTGAGGAATGTCACCACAAAGGACAGACAACAATTTCAAAGAAAGAACAACAATTGCGGAGGAAACGTTTTGACTATCACGTAGATTTAGATGACTACAATGACGTTAACTACTTTTAATAACAATCACTTAAAATGAACACAGCTAAAACAGCAGTGTTTACTGAAATGTCAGAAACATGAACGTGGTGTAACTTTGTTATATTGAGGTAATTAGTTTTCTGGAAGAAATCGACTGTTAAATCCAATTTTTATATTAACTTGTCATCAAATGTTGCCCTTACGTTGTGACCTCACCTTATATCTGTCTGTCCAGTACCCCAATGAGCAAGTGGAGAGGGCCATGGTCAAGTTCTCTCAGCTGCTTAGCAACAAGAACTTCCTCCTGCTCTTCATCCAGACACTGGATGCAGAAAGTAGTGCCAAGCTCTCCATCCGAGAAAAGTAAGATGAATTCAATAACCTTTCAAATTGATATTTTTTGTATTCTTCTTCTTGCAACGACCTACTAAATTGACGGGTTTTGGAATGTACACATTTGGGATGACTCTAAAATTCAGACGTATGGTTTTCTTTTCAGGCAATCCATTGCATCTCTGCTGACGGTCTTGATGGTTCTTGAGAATAAACTTGTCTACTTGACCGAGTAAGAGACTTGAAATTGTCCATAAATGTTGAAAACTCTTCAAAGATATTACTTCAAGAATAGTACAGGAAAAAAATGATACAACTAGAAAATGGGATTTTTAAAAAAAAATTGTTTCCCTCTTTTATCGTGTTTTTGCTTCGTTTCCCCTAAACACCTCGCAGACTAGTGTGTGCTTTTTTGGTTTAATTCAAGTCGGGACTACAGTACATCTAAATACTTGTTTTGCCAAATTCTCTCCATTTTACAGTGTGATGATAACACTGATGACCCAGTTGATTGAGGACGCAGCTGATTCTGATCGCACCCGTCAGCTGTTCTGCCGGTAAGAAGTAGACCATCAGCCTGGGGGTTTGGTCGGTATCAAAAGAGGGGAATAATGCTCATTGTGATTTTTGGCAAGGTGTCACCCTTGTAGTTGGAAAATACGTATGATAGCTTGCAGCAGTGGATGCTGTTTTTTTTGGAAAAAACGGCGGCCAAAATATGCTTGTTGCCAATATATTAATCCGGTAATAAGCATATGGCGGCCATTTTGAAGAAAAAAAGTGATAACACCCAAAAAAATGCCATCGCTCACACTGCAAAGCTATCACACATTTTCCAACTCTAGATGTGCATACCTTGCCAAAAATCGCTATGAGCATTGCTCCTTTCGATCATTTGATACCGGTGGCCCACTTTGTGGATCGAAGCTGATAGCCTAAAAGTCATGCTCATCTTTCTGTTCTTTGACTGATTGTTGAAAATTGTGCGAATAAAACTGAAATAATTTGTTCATAAAATCCTCACATATTTTTGTTTTGACTTTACAGAACGGAGACCATGCTGGAGAAGCTGATGTCAAACTGGGTTGCTCTGTGTCTGTATGACCAGTTGAAGGTAAGATTTCGATTGTGAGTTTTAAGAAGACTTAAAAGTTGTCATTTCTACCGACCAGACAAAATACACTGATCAGTTAAGATACAAAAACAGAAAAGCTGAGCAAAGCAATGACGATAATTTCGTGGGCTGACGGGAAGATTCGTATTGGTTAACCAGATCACGAATACACTCAGTTCAAAATTATGCGATCCGTTTGGAACACTAAATACAATATCGAATACCTGCCTCCTTGGCTGATTTCTTATCGATCTCCTGTTCATTTTTATCTTCATAGACTGACACAGCCTACCCCCTGTTTGTGATGTACCGAGCTATCAAGTATCGCAGTGAGAATGGTCCCATTGACGTCATCACTGGTCGCTCCCGCTTCTCCTTGAACTATGACAAACTTCTTCAAGAAGATGTGGAATTCAATGCTCTTGTAAGTGCTAGATTTTCATGTCACACATTTTTATCTAGAAATGTACGGAAAGCAAATTCCGAGTTTAGTTTGGTTGTCTTTTTAGACTCTGACGGTTGCTATCGATGAAGAAGGGGATGTCATCAAAGAAGTCAAGGTGCTTGACGTGGACACCATCTCCCAAGTCAAGGAGAAGATCTTAGATGCCATCCATCGCAATCATCCCTTCTCCGAGCGGCCCAGTGCCAGCCAAGTCAGTCTTGGTATGTTAAAACCGCTCAGTATTCGATAATCAATAAAGTTGGAATATACAAGTGAAGAACATGAATTCTATTCGTGGTCCTGTACTTTGAAAGAATGGGCAAAACATTTGTGAGCGTTAGATTAGTTTGATTAATTATCTGCCTAACTATGAGGATTTCTTGAATCGTTTTTGATTTGACGTTGAGAAGAGGGTGTCTTTCGTTTGCCTAAAATCCAAAATATTTGTGACTCTTTCCTTCATACAATAATTGACTTGAATCATTGACTTTGAAGTCGATATTTTCAGAAATGTTTTTTTCCCATTAACCATCCTAGAGTGGCGTCATGGAAGAAGCGGTAAACTTGTCTTGACTGACACAGACATGAGGCCATTGACAGACAAATGGCGTAGAATCAACATGCTCAAAGACTTTCATGTATGTATGATGTGACAAGCATATTTATTAACATGAATATATACCGATCCCGCAAGCTCGGTGGCCGAGTGGTAAGACGGCTGCACTAGAAAACAGGACGTCGTGGGTTGAGTCTCACCCAAGTGATTTTTTCCAACTTTCACTTGGGAAGATAGGCCTTGTGCATTGAGTATACAGTGTTTATACGTCCGAGAAGTGCAAGACCTAATATTGATGAATATAAACTCTCTGATCATAAGTCATTTGACCGATCTTATCCGGTAACTACAGGCGGCAGTAATAACAAAAAAATGAAACAGGACAATGGGAAATAATTCACTTGAATCAGATTATCCTCTCTTTTTGTGGGTCTATTTATGCGTAAGTTAATTGAAATAAAGATAATCTGATATCCGAGTCTCTTGTGCACATTTCCTCCTCTCAGAATTTGAGATTGACTAGAAACAAAGATATTTATACAAGTTGGAAAAGGCTCTGCTTGCTCAAGGCAAGGGCGGATCGGGGGGGGCCCCCCCCCCAAAAAGAAACCAACCCAATGTATTATTTGAAGTGACGTAGTCATAAAGTCAGGCACTGCACACACCATCATCTTTTCCTCAAAAAAAATTGGTTAAAGTGGTCAGAAATTGCCTCGGATCGCACTACAGAGCATCTAGAATCCACAAATTTCTAGAAACCAAAAGTTTGGACCCAATTTTTGTGGGACCAAACATTTGTTTTTGCCCCCCCCCCCCATAACAAATTGTGTTCTGGATCCGCCTTTGGTTCAAGGCATGTGTCACTGAAATGAAAAGTTCGTGGTTGGCATTCTCGATTCAATTCAATCTTGTTTTCAACTTTACAGTCTTTGCAGTATTGCTCATGCCAATTTAATATTTAAAAGAGTTGCTTTGTTAGGTTGCGTTCAAGTCTTGCATTAGAAGATATTGTTATAATCTTTGTTTCTTGGTAATTAAAAAGGTTGGAGACCATGCTCTGGTGACTCTGGTCGAGAAGCAGGACGTCCCGAATGCCACACTCTCAGGATCAATCCTCAAGGTGCAGGGCTCGGCTTCTTATGGTAAGACTTGAATCTCAGTCAATCATTGAATGATAGGATGCACACCTAATGGGATTTTAGTCCAAGAAAAAGGTGGCCTCGAAAAATTGCGATCATAACACAATTTCCATTTGTGTTAAAGTGTTTGAAAGTGTACTGATAATACCCTCTTTTTGGAAGACTTTAAAATTAATATCAAATGAAGACAGTGAAATCATGTACACTGTAAAAAATGTTGGATAAAACACTGTTGGACAATGTAATTTACCCAGCATTGGCAAGAAATGCCTCATATTGGGTTGAAATGGGTAAAAACTGTCAAACTATTGGGAAGAATATGCCCAAGAGTGTAGGCAGTTGATAATTCGACCAGTGTTGGTCGAATTATCAACCCATTTTGCCCAATTTTTTTTTACAGTGTACCCGGTTAGGATTATATAAAATGGCGGAAATACTTTGTTAAATTCTGAATTGCGTGCAACTGCATACAAGTTAATTGAAAACAAATTCCATACTTTGTCTATGCTGTTGGCATGCCTTTGTATCCCACCGTGGGAACGTCTGACTCAGCTCTGAGTACAATACCACTAAGGTCAGAATGCCAACTGAACCAATGGATCGAATCAGTATGCCCTTGTGTTACGAAAATAGCACAAGGAAGTTGAGAAAAATATTGCATCCATGGCTGGATGCACGTATTTTCATCCGTCGGTAAATTCATAAGCGATACATGTATTTGCTATATGGTAAATCCAGAGGGATATTATTTTTTATTATTTTGAATCTTTGACATGAACTAAATTTTGAAATTCAGATCATGTCGACTGTACAATCTGAATACATGTAACCACTAAAACAACTCGAGCTAGCTTGTGAAATAAAAAGGGGCAAAACTTTTGGTTCCAACTCTGAAATCAACAAAAAAATGATAAGCAGAGAAGGCTGCTTACTAAACTGCTAACTAAACTTACCCATTCACGATTCTATTTCTTGCCCGATTCTAGACCATAGGCGTAGCCAGCGGGGGTGGGGGGATGGTGGTGGTGGGATGGGGGTAAGGGGGTATTTATCCCTCCCCCAATATTTGGTGTAAACTGCCCTTGCCATTCATATGCCCTTTTTTTCACCAGCACCTCCCCCCCCAAATAATTTGTAAAGAGTGCCCTTTTTTTTTTTAAAGAAGTGCCTTTTTTCTGAACAAGTGCCCTTTTTAAAAAGAAGTGGTGCCCTTTTTTGTGCCATCAGCCATACAAGGTGATTTTTTTTTAAATTTCACGCATGTAGCACCCTGAAAAGCACCATATATTGTCCGTTAGTGTGCATAATCGTCGGCTTTGAACAGCGCCCCCATCGACAGATGGTACCAGCCCCCATCCTATTTCAAAGGATTGATTACAACATTTATATCAGGCCTACAAATCTGGAATATGACATTGCAAAACAAAATCAAGATGATACCAGTAAGGCTTCTTTGATAGAATCCCTGAACAGATTGTCTACAAGTTTGCCAAATATTAGGATGTTAATACCACTTTTTTTTGTCTTCTGCAGTAAACATTAGCTTTGATGAAGATAAGCTCAGGCGCAGGATGAGTGCCAAGCGACGTTACACCATTGCTGAAGTTGAGGCTCAAGAAGGAATCAGAGACTGGCATCTTGTAAGGAAACAACTTCATCCTTGTACTCCAAATAAATAAAGTCTTAAAGATCTTAAATGTTCCTTATTATTCGATATGAAGAAAGGTTCAAACATTGTCTAAGGGAATTTAGCTTTTCCATTTTCACAGAGCTGACCGAGGGAGTCATTACACAATTGTCTTCATTTTGGCACTTTTTTGTAATTTGTAGGCATGGTTCTTAACGATGAAAGAAAACTGTTCAAAGGGTATACTTTGAATTAGTGATGCATTTCCAGATCTAATTGCTTGATTCAACAGACCCAGGAGGAGGAGTGGCCTACAGATGAGGATGGACATCCTAGGAGAAAACGAGGAGGTTGCATCTCACTGGATGCTGTCACCTTCAGGAATAAGGTTTCTCGTCACAGGATCAAAGAGATCTCCTTCCCTAGACTTCTCTCCACAAAGGTAGGAAAGGAGGGAGCGGGAAAGACCAAATACCTTCTTATTCTATACCTTAAGGGATTAAACATTTCTTCTACAAAGTAAAACTTATTTGAAATGATTGTATTGTCATCAGATTAACAGTGGCTTAAAGGGAATATTGATCGGTGCATGACTGTATTTGATCACCCCCTATAAAATTTGAGCTCAATTATGCTGCTTCTGCTTTATCTTGTTACTTTGAGGAATTTATGATTATGATTTTCTTCGTACACGTACTGACTTAAAATTCTCTCCATTGCAATTAGTGTCAAGAGGAAGCCTAGGCAGCATTATGTGAGTTAACTATTGGTTTTGCTTTAATACAGGGCATCGTGCAGGAATATGTGGATAACATGTTCCAGGCGATACTGTCAGCGAAGAGCGCCCCCAAGGCCATCAAGTACCTGTTTGATTTCTTTGACAGTCAAGCCTACCGACATGACTTGTCCACCGCGGATCCTGACCTGGTCCACATCTGGAAGAGTAACATGTAAGTGAGATGGATCGAAAGACAAGACTGCCCAATGTGTCATTGAGGGGAAGCTTTGTATTGGTATAGTGCAATAAATATGCAAGGAACCCATGTAATCTTGAATGTCATTACCCAGCACGGCTGCACAATGTTTTGTTTAATTCAATATTCAGATAAGTAGAATTGAGTCTTCGATGTGCTTTTTTACAGTTTGCCATTGCGTTTCTGGGCAAACGCCATCAAGCACCCAGACTACATCTTTGACATCCGCCCATCTCGCACCGTAGAGGCCAGCCTGGATGTCATCGCACAGTTGTTCCATGATGCGCACGATACCAAGACCCACAGACTTGGCAGGGTAATGATAGAAATATCAATGAAGCAATCAGGGAAACATCGGGACCTGCTATTATGCAGAGCTTGTTGGCCATAAATAGACTATTAAACCTTTGAGGATACTTTGCTGATTATCTGAATTAAATTTACCCCCCCCCCCCCACGCGAATTAGTCCCCCCCCCCGCCCTTCGACGCGAATTAGTTTTTCCCAAACAACTTGGTATGGATGGTTGTTTAACGCCCTCTACGATGCTTTTATATACGTACTCCAGTATAAATGCCAAGAATGACTGTTTACTGTCGAGCCCTTCAGTGTCTCAGTGGGATAATGCCATGGTTTTGAGATCGGAGGATGCGAATTCAAAACCACATTTTCCCATTTTTTTCTTTTCAAGAAGGAATCAAGAAGGCTCAAGAAGGAATCAGAGACTGGCATCTTGTAAGGAAACAACTTCATCCTTGTACTCCAAATAAATAACATCGGGACCTGCTATTATGCAGAGCTTGTTGGCCATAAATAGACTATTAAACCTTTGAGGATACTTTGCTGATTATCTGAATTAAATTTACCCCCCCCCACGCGAATTAGTCCCCCCCCCCCCCGCCCTTCGACGCGAATTAGTTTTTCCCAAACAACTTGGTATGGATGGTTGTTTAACGCCCTCTACGATGCTTTTATATACGTACTCCAGTATAAATGCCAAGAATGACTGTTTACTGTCGAGCCCTTCAGTGTCTCAGTGGGATAATGCCATGGTTTTGAGATCGGAGGATGCGAATTCAAAACCACATTTTCCCATTTTTTTTCTTTTCTAATATGCGGCGTTGGATATTTTATTTTAAAAAGGGAAATAAAGTCCGAATTTCATTAGGTCTGAATTCATTCTTTTTTTCTTTTCTTTTATGTATGTTTTTTTCGTACTTTCCGGGAAGTCAGTCCAAAACAATAACTACGGGAAACATATGTAGGGACCTGCTACTATGCAGAATTTGATTTACCCCCTCCCCGACGAGGGCTATATTTTGTGGTATTAATCTTTGTTGAGTTTTATGAGTAAGTTTAGAAGATTGGCATTTACCTCAAAAATATGCGACAAGTGCCCAGCTTGTGACAATTACTAGCAGGAGAAAAAGTAATATCTCAGCAAACAAATGTTGAATTACCTTCACAAATACTTATCGTGGGAATTGGGAAAGCAGAACTGATCAGATGCTCTTTGCATAAAAACAGGAGACGTCTATCAACAAGCTACTGTACGGCAGAGAGAAGACCAAGTACCACAATGACGTCGTCTCCTTCTTCGAAGAAGTTGAGCAGTTGCCTCCAGTTCCCACCCAAGAACTGAACAAGGAGCTGTACAAAGCATGCGAGGTAAATATTCTCCAAAACATACAGTCGTAGTCGGTAGTAAATAAAATGCTCAATATCCAGATGAACTTATGTCATGACAGACTATACATCGGCAATGACATGCATGTCTCGTGTTCGTTGCAAAGTAGTTGTACGACTTTAAAATAACAATAAGGAGTGGATCTATGTTTGCTCGTCAATCTGTTTTGATTGTAATTACCAGTTAGTAGTGTCTTGATGTTGTTAATGACAGAGGATCAAATTGTTTTTGCACGTAGAATTTCACTGGTCTGTTCAGCAAGCTGAGCACCCTGGATCAACTGTGGAAACTCGTGCGAAGATTCAAGCAGAAGGTATTTCCTTTCCCTCATAAATGCTGATCACCAGATTCCAACATTCTTATTTTTAAATAATGCACAGAAATATGTGGCAATCCAAAACCAGTCAGATACTTATAGTCACATTCACAGCGATTGAGTTGATTTCCTCATTAAAAAGGTCCTGCTGTTTTAATGTTTTCCCAAGAATTTGTTAAAATTTAACAGAACCTTACAAAATGTAATAACACTTTAAAGCATTTTTTTTTCAAAATGTCAACTCTAAATTGATATTGAGTCTGTTTTATTCGTCTTGCATGCAGCTCCTGGATGAGATCGAAAACAATGAGCGATGCAAGGACGAGAATCTGGATGGATTGTTGGAGGAGATTGACAACATTCTGTCTGAGGAGCCTGATGTTGCTGACGCAGCTGTGTAGATCGAGGGATTGTCAAGCTAAAAGTCTAGCTTCCCTGATGAATATAGTGAAAATCAAATCACATCTTCAGTTAGAAATAATGCAAAATGCAGGATTCTCCAAACTTTTGTACCTATGATATAATTACCGCATCTTCTTTGCTTCCAATTCTGTAATATTTAACTTTTGTACTTACCTCATTTAAGTACAAATTTTAAAACCACTTTCTTCTCATGATTCGATGATACAATCATTAGAATCTCGTGGAAATAACTCCGTACGATGTAGACTTTTTCAATAAGGTAATCTAAAAGTGAAACGCTCAAGGAAGCATAAAGCATGTATTAACATATAACCAGGTTTAATTAGTGATTGGTGTCGGGGAAAAACATTGATTTTTCTTACTCGTAATATCCTCATGTATTTGAAAGCAAATTAATGATCCAATTGACTTTAAATGTATCATTTTACACAGACATTATAATACGTTTTCAGAGCAAGAATTCGTATTCCGTACGTTACGATTACAAATTGCTCTTAGATGATGAATTATGGAATTTGTTTGATATATTAACATATTTTAAGAAAAAGGATTTTGTTGTAACAAACCAATCCTGTACACATTGTTCATGTATGTTTAGATGCAGACATTTTGTGTGTACAAATGCCAAAACCAATCGAAATGTAATTGATGATAAAACATACCATTTTTTTCAGATTTAGCGTAACCACTAAAATGCAATGAAATGCCGATCTCTTTTGACAATGCATAATAGATTATGTTATAATGAAAGCTTTTTTTTATAAGGAAAGAGTGTTGACTCAATGAAAGACTTAGAAAACAGTAATGAAGTTGTACATGAAGATATCTGCATTGTATCACGAAGTAAAGTAATTTTTTTAGTTTATCAATTTATTGTACAATTTGAAATATTACACAGTTAATTTGCATAGCAAGAAATTGTTATTGAACATATTGTAGATGAATATACCCGGTTTTCAAAACAACAGAGGAATTTGTTAGAGGAAATTAATTTTCCACACATTTAATATTTCATGTATGGTTAAAATTCAGACATTTGTGACAGTGAGCAATCTCTCTAAAAATCTATCGATCGTAATTACATGATTTACTGTGGAGTGTCTTGATGGAGGAAAAGTGTTGAACGGAAAGCTTTCAAAGTAATGAAAATGAATAAGACTGATGTCAATTCATTTTATTTTGTACTTGGGGTAAACTTTAACATTTATTTTGTTAACTGATACATATTCTAGGAATAATATATGGTGATTTGATTTGGCAGTTTTAATGAACATGTAGCTGGGACCCATAAAATCTTCCACATTTCGTCATTTCAACAGTGGTTTTTGGTGTTTTTTTAAGGATGTATATTTACATAGAATAAACGATAGTTGTATATGTACGCAGGGTGATCGATATAATCGTTTTACAATTTATCAATTTACACAGTGAACTCAAATATTATTTGGTTGTCAGTTGGTTTATTTGTTTGTTTGTTGGTTTTTTGTTTGTTGGTCGGTTGGCTGACGTGTTGGTTGGCCCACTGGCTGACTGAATGGATGATTCGAGGGTTGAATGGTTGTTAATTTTACAGATTACTCAGTATATTCCGGTGCGTTCCTTTTTTTTTTGCATTTTTATATATAACGTGTTATGTAATAATATTTCGTTAGACATATCGAAGTTCATAATGCCATTCCATCGCGTGAAGTTCGTCCATGTTACAGACCTACGTAGTTAGAGCCTACATTCCAAAACCTACAAAGAATAATCAATGATGTACACAGAATAATTAAAAGAGCCGTTTTAAAATTTATAAATGTACACAGTGAACTTATATATGATTTGGTTGTAAGTTGGTTTGTTTGTTTGTAGTTGGTCGGTTGGTCGGTTGGTTGACTTGTTGGTTGGCCCACTGGCTGGCTAAATGGATGATTCGAGGGTTGGTCAGTTGAATGTTTCGGGAATGAGGTAATATTACAGATTACTCAGAAGTATATTCAAGTGCGTTCATTTATTTTGCATTTTGGGGTATTATGTGTTATAAGATATTATTCTATTAGGATTGTCGAAGTTCATTATGCCAAAACCGTCGCGTGATGTTCGTCCATGTTACGGGCCTATTTAGTGACATTCCATGCACTCAACAATAACGTGTTACTTGTTATTGTCATCATAAAGGAAATGAACAAAACCGTATAACACTGTGGGTTTTTTTTTCGTGATCTGCTGATTTTTTTCTGCAATAAACGTCTGCTTGAAATTGCTTGAACTCTGCTCTGTGGCTTCCTTTACTCGAATCACAATACGTGTACATGTAGTACCAATTCATTTAATTGTTATTTGTGAATTCTTTCCTGTTTGGCAATTAAACAACCACCCTGCATATGTTGATTTTTTTCCACTCTTTCATTTCCGTCTCAGTATAAAAGTTCATGTGGGGGTGTGAAGTGTTAGGTCTACGTCAGTCTGGTTTTGAAAAAGAGCTCCGGGTCAAAGGTTTGTACGCTTGATGACACAAGTTCAAAGTACATTGTAGATTGCAGCTCCTATGCGGGAATGCTAGCTTTCTAAATGTGCATACCAATGCCTATTCATACCAAGGGCTGCTTTCACCCTGTTGGATTTGTGCGGATGTGAGTACTCCGTGTGGGTGACAAATATTTCTTCTTGTACTGGCGGGAACCGAGTGCGGTGAGAATACAGGTAAGCATATGGAAGGCATACAATAGCATTATATGGGAGGCGTACGATAGCTTTACAGAGTTGGGTTCAAACATTTCGTGAAGGGGAGTTTGGAAGAGAAAAATACATTTTCCACCAATTTTGTATTGAAATTGAAGTTTATTCAATTGTGTTAAGATTTAAATAATTTAAAATATATTAAAACCAAGCAGAATCTGTGGGTGAAGTGTTATAAAACAAATATTGAATGCTTTATCTCGTGGTGAAGTTCGCCTCGGGAAAATAGAATGTCCATGGATCACCTCGGGAGGCTAGTTTTATTCACTACTCGAAGCAGTCAATATTTGTATACTAGCACTCCCTATCAATAAGCCTTTTCGGAGTTCCAACTGCGCGCATTCGTAACCTGTGACAACGCACATTGTTTGTGTCAACAAAGGCCATTTGAGACAAGTAATGCGCGTTGTCACAGGTTACGATTGCGCAGTTGGAACTCCGAAAAGGCTTATTGCTGCACGCACATTTTAACTGGCGTGCTCTGCATGCAACTTTTGACCGGCGTGGCATGCAGTTGCAACTGGCAGTGTCTAATATCCGAATATTCAAATAGTAAATTATTTGAAAATGGACAGCCCTAAGCCCAGCCAATCTCATCCGGACTCAGAAGTCAGAAGTCTACAACTTGCATATCCCGTAGCGGAGATTGCTGCAGCTTTTTCTAGTATCCAGCAGATGCAGAATGTACCGTTATTTGCCCTTCCATTGGATACAATACATTAGTAAAGCCAGTTACCTGTCGTTGGCACCGCTTAAGATGCAAGGCTTGTACAAGAAATATTTAGCAAGTGCAAACCAGCAGTGCTTTGGGACACCTGTTTCTGTGAACGGAATCTGCAGTCACCAACACTCTTGGATAGAGGGACAGGCTGGATGTTAACTGCTCCTTTAACTGCCTCCATTTGGAATGTGAGATATTTGAGATGCTTGATGGAAGCAAATACTGCACCTTTTCAATTGTTTGTGTCATATGGTGTTTAAACTAATGTGCGCATATTCAAAATGATCCAAACAATAGAAAAGGTCGAGGTTTTTGCAGCCACCAAGCGTCCCAAATGTCTCCCATTGAAGTATGATTTTTGTCATTGAACCTCTTGGTCATTGGTCAAGTTTGCTTGTAAATGCTTTAGTAGCAGTGGCATAAATCTGTGACGGCGAGATGGGGGGGGGGGGGGGTAATGGGGGATGACCAAAATTAAAACAAAAATTGCCTTGCTGTGCAAATCCAAAAAGGGGGAGGGAGCTGGAGACCACATTGCACAAGTGGGTGCTGTTCATGATACAGATGAACATCTTTACTTACGTCAAAGTGCTAACATAAAAATGCCACATTTTAAGCTTTTCTTTTTTTTCTGACATTATTCAGCGCTATTATAAATTTAGGTGGAACTTACTAACCTGCTTACAAGTCGTCTTACGGTGGTTTTGCTTTGACAATTAGCACCAGTGTGTATTACTTTTGAATTTTGGCAAGAATAGAACAAAGTTGAAAGGAAAGGTAAAAGTGCAGTTGTAAGAGATACTACAAGACTTCATGTGTACATGTACCTTAACCAATTAAACAGCGCCACCCTTCAAAAATATATTTTGGCTATTTTTTTAACGAAACCTGTTTGTTCTCATTAATTATGAATTGGTTTATACTGTATTCTTCCGTTACTGCAGAGACTACCGTCTGCCATTGGATTCTGTAATTAAAGTGCCTTTGCCATCTGAGACATTTTATGAGCACTATGGAGTCCTGTAGGAGACACACCACCCTGTTGTGGGCAGTATGTCTGATTTTGAGCATCATCTGCGTTAATGTTCGTATAGGATCAGCAGAGTGGCTTGGCGATCTGTCAGACTATGAGTTAACCAGCTTTGACAATCCGGACATTTTGGGTGAAAATGAAAGACGTGCATCAAAGTTCAACCATTTCACCTTGAGTGATCATGGTGATGTCCATGTTGGAGCTGTCAATTGGTTGTACAGGTTGAATGGTAGTTTGGGAGAGATACAGAATGTTACAACCTGTGATGACAGCAGGCCAGATAGTGTGATGCCCTGCCACCTTACAAACAACTACAACAAGATACTGGTGGTTGACAGTACTAGGCCAAGCAGTTTGATAACCTGTGGTGGTGTGTACGATGGTATTTGTCAGCTACGACAATTAGAGGATATTCATGACGTGGTGATGGAGTCAGTTCCTTACGTTGCGGGATTTGAGGATGCATCTACTGTTAGTGTGATTGCACAAGGAATAGGTGGAAATCAAACGCTTTATGTCGGAGTTACATATACTGGTCAAAATCTTGAAAGCGGAGGAGTCTTTCCGGCAATCACAAGAAGGAGCCTGGAAATGGCTAATTTCTTATCAGCAGTGCAAAATGACAATAGCATTGTTTTCACAGCAGCTGCTGGGATAAACAATCTTCTCATCAAGTATGTCTTAGCATTTGGTTATAAGGGATTCACATACTTTGTCACCTCGCAGAAGGAAGATTTGACGAATTCTGCCCAGTTTGTTTCTAAGATGAGCAGAGTCTGTCAAGGTGGTCCCAACCTAGACGCATACACAGAAATTACCCTACAGTGCAGTGGATCAGATGGCAGTGTGTACAGCTTGGTGCAAGCAGCTCACTTTGGACCAGCAGGACCTGATCTAGCGGCATCATGGGGTCTCACTGCAGACGAGCAGGTGCTGTATGCTGTGTTTGCCAAGAACCAAGGAGCTCCGGGTACCAGTGATGTACCCATCGATCACTCAGCATTGTGTGTGTACAGGATGACGGATATCTGGGCTGCCTTCAGAGAAGCAGTGCGGGGATGTATTCAGAATGGAAATTCCTTCTCTGTTGACTATTTGGAGGGTTCTTTCTGTAGTAGCTTTGGGGTAAGTCAACAGGCTAAACCTATTTCCTTTGTTGGATTCACATTGTAACTTTCCCAAGAGAGAAATGACATTACAACACCTCTCATTGTAACAACTTAGCCAGTATTGCACCCAGCAATTCCCACTCATAGTAAGGTGAATTAGATGATATAGGCCACTATGCCTACATTTCTTGATGCAATCATATCTCTTTGAACCAGCACCAACAGGACTGGAACTACTGACATGGTTCTCCTTGTAGATTGTGTTTGCCCAAAGAGGAAGCTCAAACATAAATGAACATCATTTATGTTTGAGGCAGAAATTAAATACCTTGTCTGGATTCAAAGTGACTCAAGGGAGCACTGTTGCACATCAAATTATTGCAAAAATAATGATAATTTTTTTTCTCAGCCTGTATACCTGTACTGTAAGACCAACATATCCAACCTTGCACATATAAATGGAACTTAAAAATAAAACAGACTAAAATTCCTGCAAACATAACATTTAATAGCAAGTTGTGCTTGTTTACAATCCACAGATTCCCATTTTAGACCGATACTTTTGCATCCCGGTAACGAATGATCAAAATCAGCTGCAACTATTCCAGTATGCCAAGGGCATCGATCCAGTGCCATCTACAGCTGTGCTGGAATTACCAGGTAAACTTTGATTCAATTATTTGTTTTCACCATTCTTACAGTTGGTCATCAATTGATGAAATATATGTAAAAAAAAAGTTTTAATATTCTCCAGGTACTCTGATGTCGTCCATCATCACCAGCATTGAAGTCAACCACACCGTGGCTTTCATTGGGACATCAAGTGGAGATCTACTGAAGGTAAAATATTTTTAAAATGGTGGCTTGTGGTACACATGATAAATATGAGACTTTCTTAAAGTTTTGGGATAAATATGGGGGATGTTCAGATGTTCTTATATAAATGAAGTCCCTGTATGTGCCAAAGGTAAAAATATTAGGGACTAGGAGGCACTCAGAGCGCGTAAACCTCCACTAAGGCTAAACAATTCCCCGCCATATTGTCAGCACACCCAAAAGAAATACTGGCATATCCAGTGGACTGCCATATATTATTGCACATTTAAAATGTTAACAGGGTTGCTCATATGATAATACTTCTATTTCAATATTAAAAAGTAGAAACTAGCAGATTTTTGCATCTAGCAACATTGTGCTATTTTCATACGGTCACCCTGGTTGACTGTGAGTTTTTACATTAAAAGGGTCGTAAAACAGAGGCTCCAAATTCGCACATAAAAATGGTAAAGAATCCTTAAAAAAAAGCCCCATATCGGGATCACTTCCAAAATCTAATTTCGATTTGTATTTGTACCAAGGACCACCTCCCATAAATTTTTCATGAAAATCCGTCCATACCTTTTTGAGTTGTCTTGTTCACAGGCAAACCAATCACCCAACCAACCAACGTGGATGAAAACATAACCTCCTTGGCGAAAGTAATTGAACAAGTGCATGTATGACAAATCTTTGAAGAAAAACCAAAACTACCAAAAACACAATTAATTTTGAGTGTGGAATGTTTGTTAATATCAAGCCAACTCATCAATTCAAGCAGATACTACACTGTGTACTTTTAGGCGGAATATCAGCTGTCTGTACACAAAGAGTGTTTAGGAAAACCCTTTTTGTTTCAAGTTGGTTGATGGTTATTCATCCTGTGAGTAAATGTCGTGAATATTTCTTGTGTGCATGTTTTAGGTTTACATGGAAAGTAATATTGCAGCCAGATTGAGTGAGAGAGTTTCTTTAGACACCAGTCCAGTACTGACAGACATCAAGATCAATGAGACAAGTGGAGTGATTTATGTGCTCACTGAACAAAAGGTATCTTTATATGCTCAAAAAATTGATATATATTTTCCAAATGTCTGGGGGAAAGGAAACAACATGATCCCTCTTCCTTTGATTTAACGCTTAGCTCAAACTGACAAAGGGCGAATTTGAAATTTATTCAGAAATCCAATAAACAGTTGTTCTCAGCTTACCAAATGATAGCCAATTTTTTTTTTCTAATTCTGTGACTGTGAATGAAGATAAAAATAATGCTTGTTTGTAAAGACCAAAATTTGATCCTGTGGTCATGTGATACTGACTTTTAGCAACCTGTTCTATTCTTTAGTACATGGATTTCTCTGAAAAATTTAGTGGTGTAAAAAAAGTGTTGACATAAGTGTTTAATGTTGGCAAAATGATGTGAGAGAGATGCTTGGTTGTCTGTTTTGCCTGTTGATTGCCTCTCGGCATGTCATCACGGGCGGCAGTTGGGGTCAACAGTCGTAAGTCTTTAAGCAAAGACGTCTCAGATTTCAGGGTGCGATTATTCCTTGCACAGTTGGTCAAGATGCAACCTGAGAATTGTGATCGGTACACAACCTGCGAGGCGTGTATTGGGACTAATGCAGGGAATGATGGAGACCCATACTGTGGATGGTGCACTCTGGAAAGAAGGTTAGTCACAGGCGATGTTTCTCTATACAGCTATGTATGCGTATGTCGTCTCATTACAGGGTGTGTCAAAAAAAAACCAGATGTAAAATATAAATTATAAAAAAATGTAATGCATATTTTCAAATAAGTTTAGATCATGTGAAACACACATACTGAAATGCGTATCTTTGTGGAGTCATTTCTTTGCTCTCGTGTACTAAAATTTTGAGTTTGAAAATCTAGTTTTAAAAGGCTCCTATTTTAACCAGAATTATTTCCTGGGCTGCACTGAAATTCGGAATTAACATCGCTTGGGGATAATCTTTAAAAGCTTTTTTTCCGGAAGTTACAATTTTTACATTTTTCTTAGATCAACAGTACACTGTTGATGTACTGGAAATATTTGAAATTCTGAAATAATATAGTAACACCTTATTTGTTTTGATCCCATTCCATCAAGGTGCACCCGATACCATGACTGTCCACTGCAGGATGTGTCGACTCGTTGGTTGGCCTACAACGATTCACAGTGCATTGAAATCAGTCAAGTCCTTCCCCATAACAGCCTGCCAATCACGCTGACTGATCAGCAGGTACAGTCACCGAATGTATTGAGGAATTTTCCTGTTCTAATTTCCCCAACTTAAGTTGAACACTTACAGGAAGAAAAATGTGTATATGGTATCAGGGCTATATTTTTTTCCCCGCTGAAGTGGAATCCTACTCGGAAAAAAATATTCTCTGAAAGCAAAACACAGACCACTTGAAGTGATTCTAAACCAGTAGCAAGATCCAGCAAGGGCCATTAGTCGACTAGTTGTCGGTTTGTGACGTAACTTATGTCTGCAAATAACATGCAGTGTTCAGGCGTCTCTAGTTGAACTGTTATCATAAAACTTCTGGTACTGGCTCCCTGCTGTGCATTGTGATGCTTGCAGCTGTTGTAACCAGTGATGCTGCCAAGCTCATTTGGTTGCAAACTGTCGACTAGATTAGTCCAGATATGCATCGTTGACAACCAGCATTGGATCAGATTCAGATGAACTGAGGTCATAGCTACAGATCACATTCAAACCTGCTCCAAAATTCCTGTTTCTGGCTCTGTTGTATTTCTTCGCTCTGTACACATAGATAATGTTGACAGTGCAGCAGTTACCAGATCTGCTTGATGGCGAGCATTATGTGTGTAGGTTTGGTGATCAGTTCAGCAGCCAAGCAACCAACTACAATGGAGATAGCTTCGATTGCAGGACACCACCAGCAAACAACATACCTGCAATACCAAGTGGAGGTAAGTAATAAACACAAGACATTTAATGTCGCACTGTGCAGCTTTAAACTGCCAGTGTTGCCTTCACAATACACGCCTTCATAATTTACTCATCACTACACCATGTATTGGATTTTATTTGCTTTCTTGGTCATTCAGAAGACCATGTGACAGTTACACTGAGCGTCATGTCTTCAGAGACAAGTGTGGACTTTGTCCATATCGACTTCGGCTTCTACGAGTGTGACACCCACAAAAGGTAAGTCTTTATGTTGTACATATTGGTCATTCTTCAGTAAGTGTCTACATTCATGTCCCGCCACTTAAAGGCACTATAAGTCGAACAATTTTAGGATGAAAATTTGATTATTATAAGCGGTAAACATTTACTTTAACATGATTCTGATGATATGCAGTGTTATAAACTCTTTAAAATAAAGGACAAGATGCTCAATCTTTACAATACCCCCCTCAAAAACCACTCAACACGCATGTCCTACGGTATTCTTTAAAATGTCCCTATGTACAATAATTTAAGTAAACAACTGAAAAGGTTGATTAAACTACGAAAAGTCAAGTAATATTAGTCTCCTTCAAATGTGAAATTAAAAGTTGCATCAATTAATTGCATGAAGTATGAGCTATTAATGATGAAAAACCAAAACGACCGTGTGCCTGCATTTTTGGTTATCTCCGTCACAATATTTTGGAGCACCATATCTGGTAGAACAAAGACGTAAACAATACTTTCATTTGTCATTTTTGGGGTTTCTTTTTCAGCTGTGTGACCTGTGTTGGTAGTCGCTGGGCCTGTAATTGGTGTTTGTTTGAAAACACATGTACACATGACAACTCCACGTGCTCCAATCCGAATGAAATCATCATGACGGGACAATATGTAAGTCCAGGTTATGGTAAAATTGTTTAAGCTATTTGATATCATCAATAAGTATTGGTAATATAATTTCATTTTGTGGGAATGCAACCAAGGATTCCTAAAACGCTCTCAATGCAGTAAGTCTGAAGCCACTACACAAGATGCAGTCATCATGGTGTACATTTGTCTATTTTCTTCCGTTTTCTCACATAGGCTATTCTTAGCATGTTCAAATGTAGTTTAAAGACAAGCTTTACCTACAATAAACAAGCATAATGATGAAGTCTTCCGATAATATTCTCCAAAAGTTGGTTCTGTCCGATTTGATCAAATATCTGTATCGATCATAGAGGTACGTATGTTGAGTGTTAGGAAAATACAAGGTTCATATTGAAAAGGTAAACATTAAAAAGTCGTTCCTGGACCATCGTAATTTCAGTGTAAGGTTCTAAAAGCCACCACCTTTCCAAGACATATATTTTCTTTTGATTTCGCCAGAGTCGAGGAACTGCAATGCAAGGACCAAACTCATGCCAGCCTCAGCTCCAACCCCAACGTGGTGAAGTGCTGGTCCCTAGTGACATCAATAGGCAGATTGTTGTGGCTGTTGACAACCCTCCAGATACAGCAGAGGTAAGTGCAACTCGGTCAAAAAAGGAAAAATTCTGTAAAAATAAAGCAAATGATTACCAAGACACGTGGTACATATTTGTTGCTAAAGCTGTAAGGTTATGAAGAAAGTTGTGCCTACTACATAGCGAAAACGATTTGCTTACTTTTAGCTTAATAAGCACGTGGACATTTATGTAATGGTGGACATTTCTATCATGGTATCACGGTTTTAAGCAAATTATGCTTCTTCTAAAAAAAACCATACTTTTTGCTTTACATACTGCTTACAGACGTGAAATGAAAAAAACTGCATAAACTGAAAATCAAGTGCATGGAAGCGCAATACAAACCCTAACAATTGGCAACATGCTTGCTGGTTCGTCCACGCGGAGCTACTCAGCCTTGGAATTGAGTTCTTGATGAAGACACCAGGGAGTTATTCCTACAATGTTGTGCATTACTTAAGATAGAGAAATGGATTTTCAGCCTTGAAATCAAGCTCGTGAAGGAATCATAATGTTGTATTTTGTTTTCTTGCAGAGCTTTCAGTGCAGTCTTGATGTAGAGGGATCTACCCAGAGTGTAGCTGCAACTCGTGTTCATTCAAGTTTGATCTGTGGCATGAAAGCTGTGAGGACGTTTTGCTCTCTCTCATTTTTCTTGAGCACAGTGTTGTAGCCAAGTTGTAGTCCATTTCCCGATCAGTTACATGAAAACGAAAGGTTTTATGAGGTCTGCACCTCATAAAACTGACCGGATTAAATGGATCAACTACAGATTTGACTTGTGCTCTGGTTCAAACTAGTCAAACTTGATCCTGAATCTTATCAGACCCTTTTCAGTTAAAAACAAGAGGGCTTGATGTTTGAATACTATTATTGTCTTTCTGAAAGAAACATTTAGGTAGGAGACACGCAAACATGATTTGTATTTGTGCTCTGGCTCACTGAGTCAAACTTGATTTTTTTTTATATATAAGATCTTTACGGTCCTAAAAATTTTGTCTTGGGAGTTAGTACTCTAACGAATGTCATATATACATGTGCCATATTGCTGAAATTCTTTATATTTTTCCCGTTGTTTACTACTGCAGTACACTTTCACAGCCGCTGAGCAAGAATTGAATGCATCTCTGACACTACAGTGGACAGACAGCAATAACGTCATGCACACCGTGGATGATAGATATAATTTCACAGGTCAGAGTTCAGAGGGTCAACATGTGACCTATCACTGATCTTGATTTATAAATGATCCATGGTACATTACTGAACCCCAATCTCATTTGTTTGAACTGATAACCCATCCGAAATACATGAACAGTCTGATCGAAGCCTAGATCGGTAAGGAAACACATGGGCCTAACGTACATAGTTTACAATTCTCGATTTTGAGATTGAATTGTTGTTTGAGAACCGCAGTGGGTTTTATCTCCGGACCTTTGTTGTTGTGTTTCTAGTGACGCTGTACAAGTGTGAGGTCTTGCGTCCTGACTGTAGCCGTTGCATTTCTAACGAAACTACCCGTGCTGAGCTGGGATGCATGTGGTGTGGGGATACCTGTGGGGTGATAGACAGCACTGTGTGCATGACAGCTGATGAGAAGGTCACTCGGAATAATACCATCAACTGCCCTGATCCTTTACTGAAACAGGTACGTCTGTGGACCAGTGGAAATCAATATGCAGTTGACATTGCCTGGTGGGAAATATGAGCACAGGTAATTAATAGAGTTTTAACTCCTGAATTCTCAGAAATCTTTTGGACTGGGTGCAGTCATTATGATCTTACTGGTAAATGCAATGAAATTTCGGCCATGAGTTCTAAATGCATAGCATGAAAAGAGATCATGAGAATAAGCAAATGATTTTTGTTTTCTTTCGTGTCAATTTCTGTAGGTGTATCCGCTATTTGGACCCACCGAAGGGAACACTCTACTGACTGTGTCTGGGACTGACATAGGACTGCGATACAGTGACATCCTAGAAGTGAAAGTCGGGGGTCAAGATTGTGCTTTGGATGATTACCAGTACAGAACTGGGAGCAGGTAATTAGTTTCTTGAAGAAATTATCAGCAGCAGTTGATAGAAGCTTAGGGAATCAAAAAGATAGAAGCAAAAGTACCTGGTGTTGCTAGAGTTAGCGTTGTTTAAGACGAACCTAATGTGGGACCTTAAAAAGAGGATATTTCCTTTGCAAGGTTTCAAAATTATAGCGTGACACCAAATTAATTTAAGATAATTTTTACCAACCAAACCTTAACTTGAAGTAAAATCAAGGAATCGTTTGATAATTTGACCCGCAGATGAATGGAAACTTGTCCATATTTAATGATTTGAAATCAAAGCTGTTTAACGTAGTAAACTATGGTAGGCTTCAAAACTTCGTATGGTATATTGATACTGCTGGCATCAAAGTTGCCAGCAATCTCCCATCAGCTGTGCAGGAAAGCTTGCCAATGTTCCAAATGTTTGCTGGAATGGAATGCACCAAATATCAGGTATATAAGGCTTCCCCTAGTTTCTAGTTCATTTCCACATCCATCACACTCATAGTTTATTCCTTGAATATTTAATGCAGTGTCAGCTGTCGTACGCTAGGAGAGACTGCAACACGCAGGCGACGCGATGTGACACCACCATCCCTGCAAATGACAGTTACTGGAAGAGATGGATCAATGCAGGCTAGCCAGGGAAACGTGACCTTTGAATACAAGGTAAAATAATATGACTCGACTTCTTCTTCACAGTTGCCAGATTTTGCCTCACAAAGTCATATCTTTTACCAGTCTGAGACAAATAAGGACTTGAAATAATAAGCATATTTGGGCTCATACATGTTCAAAGATTTTGCCTTCCACAGTTTGATTAAAAAAAGCAAGGCGGTCTGATTTTAAAATTTCACGGGCCTTAACCCTGCGCAGCGTTTACAAAAAAACTTTGCAACAACTCGTCAACTGCTGCCCTTTGGGCAGCAGGTACTTTCCCGCACTACGCATGATCCTATTCATAGCAATACAACAAAAAGCCACGTGCCAGACAGCCTCCAGACAGTTGCCAGACAGTGCGCTGGAAAGATAATTGACTGGCGGCTGTGGTATGCAGTTATGAAGGGAGATGACTGTGTCAAGTTACAGGTCTTTGTTGCTGTTTCAATTAGACTTGGCAGGAGGTCTGGTCAAAAGTTTGCTGAGACGGCCTGGGTGTAGCCCGGCTGCAAAGTTCATTGAATGAGCTGATTTGGTAAGGGTTGAATGAGGATTAGATAGGAGGTGAACATTATTGGCCCTATTTCTTTATTTTTATTCCAAAAAGTCGGTTACCTGGTTCCCAAAGGGCAGCAGGTCACTCTGCGCAGGGTTAAAATAAATGCTGGATGGGTCCCAGTGTTTCAATATCATCACCCCACCAAAGAAGAAGTTTCTTTCCATGCGTATAAGCCTGCCTTACTCTATCCGTCACAGTTGGTGGGAAGGACTGGGGGACATGACGGTAAATAGTTCCGAGGGTTCTTACATCTGATGAGTCCTTCAAGGACATGGGGAGTCTATTGTCTTGGGGAGTCAGGTTGGCGTAGCAGTACTTTACACGCTTTCCACCGCTGTGATCATGGTTCGAATCCTGCCCGGGCCAATTTTTTGTTTGGGTTTTCAGTCCCTACCTGATTCCGTTGGTTTTCCTCAGAATATTCCTCTGGGCTTTTCCTCCCACTTCTAATACTGTAGTTTCTTCTCATTGTCTTCTCTCTTCAGGTTTCTTCAGGCTTTTGAGCTACTGTGCTTAGGGCACTTTTGAGGAATCCTTAGTTTCATTACCAGAAATAAATAAAAAAGAATATCTGTTTTCCTGTGTGGTAGACTTGACATTTGAGGCCTTATACACCATTTTTTGACAATTTGTTGACTCCCAGAATCCAATGCTCGATGACATCAATCCCAAGATGGGTCCACAATCTGGTGGCACTAGGCTGACAATCTCCGGCCAATCTCTGGATGCTTGGAGGAACATTGAAGTGTTTATAGATGATATACCATGTGTTGTTGACAGGCGAGTAAAACTCATACTTTAGCCGTATCTGTGATTTTTCTCATTTTTCCTTGACCAACTTGCACAAGTAAGTGAACATTTTCAAAGGAATCTGACGGCTAAAATAATGGTGGGGCTTAGACAAATTTTCAGATAAGATCTTTAGCTTAAGAAGGGACTAATTCGGGAGCTCTATTTCCAATTTTTGACTGACGAGTGTTGTTGTTTTACTTGAACAAGATCCCAACTTTCGTCTTTCCAAAGACATACCGTCTTTGGCCTTCATTATGTCTTGATTCCAACACTTAAGCATACGGCTCTTTTGACATTTGGTTTTCTTTGCACGGAGAGTTTTAAAAGATTTAAACATTACATTTTCCCCACTGCTTGATACAGAGCGAGAGTCACTGATGACAGTATAACCTGTATCACATCCCGTACTGACAGTCTCGGTTCTTGGATAGTGAATGTCTCATTTGATGGAGTAGAAAGATTCTCAATGGCCAACTATACATACACCGTGGATCCAGATGTGGAGGAAATCAATCCCTCTACCAGTGTCTTAGCGTAGGTTTCAGTTTATTTTCCATTTTCACCTCAAAGCAAAACAAAAAAGAGAAGAATTAATTAAATTTGCCATATGTTTGTGCTTGTGCTTGTGCTTTGTTTATTGTATTTATTCTTAAGGAAGTGAAAGATTTCCAGTCTGATTTATAATTATTCAGTCATTAATATTTCTTATATCTGGAATGAATCGAATCAGTGGTGGTCGAGAGCTGACAGTCAACGGATCTGGTTTCTCAATCATTCAACAACCGCAGATAGTCATCATCTACGGGGATAATGAACAAGAGTTTGTCGGGGTAAGCAACTGGTGTATAAAAAATACAAACCCAAATGTGAAGTTTGCTTGATGGAAAATTACAACTGAAAATGTACTGATTGTGAAGTTTGCAGTGTTTAGATGTGTCAATTTATTTTGTGTAGAATTACATTTCCCGAGTACTATTTCTGACACTGACAGAAAAGTGTATCACAGCGAGATTAATTTTATAAAACAAATGTGTACTTGATTTCAGAACTGTAGCGTGACAAGTGATGACAAAATGATCTGCACTTCACCAGAAATCAATATTCCAAATCTGGTCCTGGATGCGGACACCAGCGTGAACGTAACCACTGGGTTTATCATGGATGCCGTGGAAGCCCTCCGAACCTGGTGCTCTGTCGACCAAAATGATGGCTGTACACCTCTGGAGTACTTCCAGAATCCTGAATACTACCCCTTCAATGATCCTGCGTATGGAAATGTGGATGGCATTGAGCAGCAAGCAGGGCCTGATCTGACTATTAAGGTCAGTTGCATTTTGTGAAAGTGTGCTTCTAACCTCATATGCATGCTGCTGGAGATTTTGCAGATCAATATGAATCAATTAATATTGTATAAATTTCCACTCAGGGAGTGAGACTGAATCTAGCGATAACAAATGAAGAGGTAACGGTCCACATTGGGAAGTCCCTGTGTACCGCTGTGACTGTGGGTGCGGGTGCTCTGTCATGCAGATTACCTGAAGAGGGACCAGCTGCTGGCGATTACCTTGGCATGAATACAACGAAGGGTCTACCTGTTGTTTGGGTAATGTTTAATTGTTTGCCGTGACACAACATGTGAAGGATTGCTGTTGTTTGCTTAAAGCATTTTTGTAATCTAGTCCATCTCAAGTCCAATCATCCAGCCAAAAGTCGTCAAAAACCATTTGAATTAACAGTTTGCACTGTGGCTTCACCAGCATAAGGGCACAGAAAGCCAGCTGTTCTTTATATATGACTTGACTTCAAAACCTTAACTGACTGAATTCAAATCTCCCGCACTCTGCAGGGGAGTTGTGTGAATGGAATGTGAGGTCATAGGTCAACTGCCAAATATCCAAAGAACTAACCAAAACGTGGTGTACATTTGGTGCCATGCTTGACTACCGACTTTATCTGGTGCATACTTTGGTGCAGTGTCCAAAGAACTAACCAAACGTGGTGTACATGTGGTACCATGCTTGACAACCAACTTTATCTGGTGCATGTTTGGTGCAGTGTTCAAAGAACTAACAAAATGTGGTTTATATTTGGTGCCTTGCTTTGAGAACCAACTAAATGTGGTGTACTTTTGGTGTATGTACATTATGGCTAAGATTTTGGGGTGTATGTTTGGTGTAGCCACATCATTTGCGTAAAGCTGGTGCACAATTGGTGGACACCACATGTGCACCAAAACTACACCAAATAAAGAGGTGCACACCACAATTGGTCGAGGGCTCACAAACTGGTTTGTACACAAACATGAGGACAGTAACATACACTCATCATGTAACTCATTTAACAATACTATAATATAATTACGTAACTTATTTAAGAAGACTATGCCGTCCACTGCTCTTCAGTTATCTGGAGCGCTAGCGCCTCGACCCCATGCATGGTCTGGAGCATCGAACTCGTAAAGTAGCCTGTTAGTAATTCTGCAGGTTGCTGGTTCGAGTCCAGCCTGGGGTTGAGGTGTGTGTGTCCTTGGGCAAGGCACTTTGTCAGTCATTGCTTCTGCCCGCCCAGGGGTAAATTGGATACCTGTGAGAGTAGAGGTAGTTAATGTGATTGATAGTAGCTGCTTTGCGTCGAAAAGGCAGCAGCATCTCATGGTCAGTTGTGGTCAATGGCGCTGACATGGGGGTCCTTTACACCCCATTCCCCTTCCACTCTTCCACATGAGGCATAGAAAGGGATGGGCAATCAAGGGCCATTTCCATGAATTTTATGCCATAATCAGGCAATGATGATCAGGCAATTGGGATAACTAAGCCTTATTCTTACTATTGTGGTTTTTTAACATCACTGTCCGATCTCTTCCTTTATTTTTGTCTGTAAATTTCAACCAGGTGATTCATGGAAACACACTATCCTTCAACATTGGTTACTTCCAGTACGCCTACAACGGCGAACCTTCTCTACTTATACCACTTGTATGCTCAGTCAGTGCTTGTGTGCTGTTGTTGGTCGTGTTGCTAGCTGCGGTCCTGTACAAGAAGCACAAGCGATCACAGAAAGTGGCAGACTTGCCAATAGAAGAAAGCGGCAACCAGCAGAAACAAGTAGCTGATGATATGAAAACAGGTATTTTGATATTCAAGAAAGAATGCGATTTTGTTGTAAATGTGGCTGGGATTTTTGTTTTAGTCTTTTGGGAGGATATTGCAAAATGTATTCATTATTGCCACTTGTCTGAATTCCGTCATTGAGGTGAAGTAATTTTAAATATGCCGTGACAGAAAAAAAAATGTATGTGAGTTTGTTTCTGCATTCAATAGGGGACGTTGAACAATAGATGACAATATGGTTCCCAATTCCGAAAAGGTTCCCAATTTAAAATCGTGTACAAAACATATGGGAAGTCTTCCTAAAAAGTACAAACAAAAGAGGGAAAATAGGGGGTCCCCGATTGCAGGCAAATACAGACATCTATGTGCGTGTGTTATATAAGATAATTTTACCCCCCCCTCCAAAAAAATGACCTTTAAATTAAGTGAAATTTTTATAATCACACAAAATTGAAATTTTCGACAAGGTGTACAAACAAATTTATTTGAAATTTAGCCGGTCGAAACTTGCGAACCTTCAGAATTTTTCCAAATTATTAACAAGATATATCTTGTTGAAGCTTAACTGTTCATTTACTATTTAAACAATATACCGCTTTAGCGAAACTTTTCATACACTATTTAGACATAAAGCCAAATGGTGAGTTTATTGTCCATGTATTTGACTTTTAGAAATCGAGCGTGTCTTTATTCTCAGAGGCAAATGTTTTAATTAATCGCATTATTAAAGGCTCTGTGTGGCCTATTTATGAAAGTCAAGCCAGAAAACTTGCATTGTGCTGATGGCAGAAATGAATATTGTTGGAATTGGTAAATTTGACTTATGGTTTTTTTTATATGCATTCTTTGTTCACAGATAGTGGAAGCCTGTAAAAATGACGAGGCTTGTCACGATGAGCATCTTCCCTACAAGCTGGTTGAGGTGGAGACTATCCTTGACAATCAAGACTGCGACGCAGAGGAAGTTGGTAAAATGACTCACAAAGCCTAACCATGGCGATTGATACATGATTTTGGAGACAACAGTATAAAGACCTGAAAGAAGGAGTTTTTATTACACATCATATTTACCCAGAATTTAGACCTGAAATGTGTTATTTTCTATTAACGAGTATACTTACCCAGAATGTTTTTTAATGTAAGATTAACATATTTTTGATCTGCTCTTTGAATTGTAATGTTGATGACCAAACACAAAAAGGTTCATTGTTGCTTTTTGGCAGAGAATTTTTTATTTTTTATTGCCATGTTAGTTATGCAGACAATAGAAGATTCATGTCTATATATTGCATTAGTATTCGGATATATGCATCAGTATTCAGATATTTACTTTACACAGGAACATTATCGAGCCTAATTTGAGAACTTACATGCCAAGTTATTCAAAAGCCTTAAATTGATGATATCTAAGGCAACAAACATTGACAATATATGAATACATTTTCATAGGTTTTCTCCTTATCATTTAACTAGCAATTAATTATGCGTGCTTGTCTTGCTGTTTGAAATATATATATTTGCAAACTATTATATGGTATAAATAATATTGTGAAAGACACATGCCATTCAATTTATGTCCTGGTCCTTTATACTTAAAACAAACCATCTCTGATAAAACTGAAATTTAAATGTTAAATTTATGTCGTTATTAACTAGAATGAACTCCCCTTATTTTACTGCCAGCTTATTGTTATGGTGAAGTACAATCCACATTTCGAAATGTATAGTATATTTCACCTTCCAAAAAAATGTTTAAAACAAGAGTCTATGTGGGGGGTCTCATACTATTATAATTTGATGAGATAACTTTTGACACTTTTTACAAACATCTTAGAGAACATGTATGTGAAATGGTTATAGAATGCAACGTATCGTGTGGTGATAAGACGTCATTCAAATAAGTAATTTACATATTCATTTATTTAAATAAATTAATTATATTTAGCATATTTAATGAAATGTATATTTTTGCATTGGAAAAATGAGGTCTTTTTACTAAAATATTATTCAATTCCTTGTATAAATACATCTGCTCTATTTTTATAATACACAGAATATTTGTATTTTTAGAACCTGCATGGATACTTCAAATTTATGATGACTTAATGGTGACTTCATCCAAAGGCAGTTTATTTGGAATTTGTATGTAAATGGCAAAAAGATAATGGTTGAAATTACAATCAATGTCGCTGCTTTACTATTGATGAAGATAATTGAAAACCTTGTTTTTTTTTCATGTTTATGAAGTGCCACTTTGTAGCATAATGATGACCTGTGATCATGATGACTCCCTGAACAAGATGAATTGATATTTTCATTCAGATACAATTTGTCCAGTCAAATTGATGAACATTTTTTTTCATTTGCGCCAAAAGTCCCCTGTTCTTGCACCGGCCCATTATTCAGATACGCATGAGCCATACTTAATTGCGGCGAGGTTCCAACGTTCATACCGAAAAGTACAATCTTGTATATTGTGTAAGACAATTCACGCTGAAAATTAAATTTGAAGAATGACCAGAAGTGATTTATGTAACAAACACATCCTGACTATGACTCGGCATTGGGCGCCTGTGCCAGACCAGGATAGGCTGAGAGTAATGTTTGAAACAAATGTGGGCCAAACTTTATTCGGTATCGATACCATATTAATGTTTGAAGCCCTTTGGGATCGATTTTCACTGCACTAGTACTTTTGACCAATCAGCACCAACGTGTCTTGTAGTTTACGTCACCAAAATGTCGTGCGTGTACAGTTTATTTCAACCTCGTTCCCAGTAGCAGGAAAGCAGTCAGTGGTTCGCTCGTCCTCATCGCACTAACCAAGGGCGCTAGGATCTCCCCTTTTTGACCACTCATCAGAAAGATTAATTGACTGGAATCAGTGACCAGAGGTCAACACTTCCGCGTGCACACGATGTCTAAATTATCCCTGTATTAAGCATGGCGGTAACACTGCTTGTGAAGTACTAGCCTATCCACAATGCTTGCGAAGTCATCATTTCCTTCCCACAAGTGTCAATGAGCAGTGGATAGAACCAAAGATAGTATAATTATGTAGGAGAAGATCAGATAGTCCGCTGAAAAAAAGGTGTAACAGGAAGTAGCTGCTCATAGGGAAGGGCGCCCCTAGCGTTGTAGGTAGAAAACATATTTGCATCATGCACGCATTCTCTACATAGTACAATTATTTGAAATGATTCAATTGACATCAGATTAACAGTAGCTGACGAGGAATATTGATTCGTGTGTGACTCTATTTTATCACACCCTATAAAAAAAACTGAACTAAATTATCCTGCTTCTTCTATGTATCTTTTTACTATGAGGAATCTGTATGCATTCTGATTTTATCTTACACTTACTGCCTTAAAATTCATTCGATTCAGTTTATTCCGGTGCGTTAATTTTTGGTATTTTTTTTACATTTTTATATATTACGTGTTATGTAAAATATTTCGTTAGACATATCGAAGTTCATAATGCCATTACATCGCGTAAAGTTCGTCCATGTTACAGACCTACGTAGTTAGGGCCTACAATCCAAAACCTACACAGAATAATCAATAATGTGCACAGAATAATTAATAAGCCGTTTTAAAATGTATAAATGTACACGGTGAACTTATATATGATTTGGTTGTAAGTTGGTTTGTTTGTTTGTCGTTGGTCGGTTGGTCGGTTGGTTGACTTGTTGGTTGGCCAACTGGCTGGCTAAATGGATGATTCGAGGGTTGGTCGGTTGAATGGTTGAGGAACGATGAGGTAATATTACAGATTACTCAGAAGTATATTCACGTGCTTTCATATATTTTGGATTTTTGGGTATTATGTGTTATTAGATAATATTTCATTAGGATTGTCGAAGTTGATAATGCCAATACCGTCGCGTGAAGTTCGTTCATGTTACGGGCCTATTTAGTGACATTCCATGCGCTCAAACGTTAACGTGTTACATGCAATTGTTATCATAAAGGAAATGAACAAAAGACCTGACAAAATCTTGTAACACTCTGGTATTTCTCTTTGTGATCTGCTGATTCGTTTTTGCAATAAACCTCTGCTTAACATTGCTTGAACTTTGCTCTGTGGCTTTCTTTACTCGAATCACAATACATGTACGTGTAGTACCAATTCATTTCATTGTTATTTGTGAATTCTTTCCTGTTCACCTCAGTGTGTGGGGTCATGAAGGGTGTAAAGTGTAAGGTCTACGTTAGTCTGGTTTTGGAAAAGAGCTCCGGGTCATAGGTTTGTAAGCTTCATGACGCAAATTCAAAATAGCTTCTAGCTCCCGTGGCGTGAGGGAACAATAGCTTTCTAAATTTGCATACCAATTAATGCTTATCAAGGGCTGCTTTCGCCCTGTTGTATTTGTGCGGATGTGAGTACTGGTGGGAACCGAGTACGGTGAGAATACAGGTAAGTATATGGGAGGCGTACACATGCATCATATTCATGGAATCTAAACTTATATTTTTTTTATATATCAAGATTTTTTAGACGCTAAATTTTAAATAACGAGCTCACTTTTATTAGTAATTATTTGTCTTTGTTGAAGTCTGTAGCCAATATGGCATTATGCAATCCTTGTTCGGTGTTTTGTAACAATTTCATTGAACTGGAGGATTCCCGAAATACATGGCCTGATTGTATACCGCTAAGTGTGAAATCAAATGTTTCCTTCTGTACTTAGGGACATGATGAATGTTAGAGTCGGCGTTGCTCAATGTGCAGTTTTTAATGACAATGATGTCTCTGAAATAATTAATTGCGTCTGTGTCAATTGACCAAATTTTTGGTTCTTTGTATCTTTGTATGTCTTTCATTCTTAAATGGATGTGTTTACCTTTTACTATATCTGTTTTGTATCTTGTGCCATTAATTTGTGAGAATGAAGATATTATAATTATAAGTTAATTGGCAATGCCAATAAAAGGATTTGCATTTAATTGTAAAACATTCTTGTCAGTCTGTGTATATCCACATGTGTATGGGCATGACAGAAGAACTTGATTGGATTTAACATTATTGATTTTTGATTAAAAGATATCTTATTCCACTTTACTATATCCGATACAGACCTCCACTTAAACAAAGTTATCGTTTTTTTAACAGTCTTAGGAAAAGATGACTTTGGTTGAATAAAATGTTCTTTCTTTTGTGCTTCTTTTATTGATGTCACAGAATTCAACGCAAGAACTGCGGATCCTCACTCTGTCTGGTGATTTAAATCAAGTTCAGATCAGGAGACAAGAGCCATGGCAACCAGAGGCAGAGCTAAACCAATCTTGATCTTGGCATTTCAACTGCTTCTCATTGGTGGCTTAGTCCCGTCTGTTTGTATGGAGTGGAGTGGAAGAGCAACGCTTGCCGACTATGAAGTAGCCTCCTTTGATAATCCCATCGAGGAAACAGCGACAACTCAGCTGGATCATTTTGCTGTGCACCCAGAAACGGGAGACGTGTACGTCGGCGCAGTGAATTACCTGTATAAACTGAACAAGGAGTTGAAACAGGTCACTAATGTTAGCACATGCTCGGAAGACACTTGCTTGAGTTACAATAAGGTTCTGGCGTTGCATGCTGGTATGCTTATCACTTGTGGCACTGAGCGTCCCAGTACAGATCAGTGCCAGTTGAGAAGGCTGGATGATCTAGAAGGTGATGGAAGAAGCAGGAGAGGCCAAGTTGTAGCATTTGGTACGAAATCAACAGCAAGTATCATTGTGGATAGCCCAAGCCCTCCAAGACTGTATATCGCAAATACTTATTCTACTGAGGGAGACTATCAGGACATTCAACCTATTGCAAGACGCGGGGTTCCAAGTGGCCCAGGGTTCATGTTTGCCGATACTGGGACAGATGCAGTTCAATTCACAAGTGGCTATACAGATGGTAGCAATCCATTTCCCATCAGTTATGTCAGTGTGTTTAATTGGAAAGGGTACACCTACTTTGCCACTTTCCAAAAGAAAGATTTGGCACCATTAAGTGCTCACGTTTCAAAACTAACTCGCCTCTGCCACAATACTAACAATGTTCGCTCTTACACAGAGATTATCATTGAGTGTAGAGGACCCAGTGGACTGTTCGGTTTGATACAGGCTGCTCATGTTGGACCAGCAGGCCCACATTTGAATGAGTCATTGCCATTGGATGAAGATGATCAGGTGTTATATACTGTGTTTGCAAGGGACCAACAAGCTGGAACCAGTAATAATCCAGTTCCCACGGCTGACTCTGCACTGTGTGTTTACAAGATGAGAGACATTGAAGCTGCATTCAGCGAGGCTGTCAGGGGATGAATTCAGGATGGTAATGCCTATAAAATAGGCATATTCACGTCATCAAGCTGTGGTACTCAGGTACATTATTTAATTGAGGTTTATTGCAATATTAGTTATCCTGCAAGCACGAGAGGAACACGGAATAATGTAGTGCACCGTTGAGTGGTAAGTGGGACACAAGATGCACTACAATTTTCGTGTTCCACAAGCGCGAGTGGGATAACGAATTAATATCAAGCAAACTTGAACAGTGTTGGAGGTCTCGAGGCCGGCCTCGAGGCCGATTTCTAATAATAGGAGTCAGTATTCCTCGTGTTACCAGGATACTTTTTTGTATTTTTAGAGCCATGTTGATACTTATTACATGTATAAGCACGGTTTGAAATTGAATAATTTTGCGTGGTTACAGATATACGGCCAAAACCTCTGGACTCCCTACCTCTTGCCATGATCTTAAAATTCTTCGAAGCCATTGGATTCAAATCGGATGATCCGAGAATTCATGGTCATTTTGATGAACTGAGTGATATCATGCACGCATGTTCCGTGTTGCCGTGTTGTTTGGAGCGGGATTGGCCATTGCCAGACTTTGTCTGGTACCGCGGTATTAACAGTGATAATGCGTGGACACTTATCCCGTTGTGTGGAGCGGGATTGGAACTATGCTCTGCCCGTGCGTAACGGCGGGCCGTCTGGCATTGTCTGGTCGCATCGCAGTGTTTGCTCGGCGCGCGCCTGGACAGTGCGAAGGTCGGGGGGGGGGGGGGGGGGGTTCGTAACTTTTTGGTTATGAGTGGTAAAAACCTGATTCAAAAATCAAGTTGTTGTTTATTTAATGGGGATTCCTATGATATTAAGCATTTTGATAGGTTTTGAAAATAAGATTTATAAAACATGCTAAAAGTAAATGATGTAAATCTTACAGAATAGAAACTCAAAATTTGGCCATTAATTTGGTTTTGGTCGTATCTCCAAAGGGCAAATACCTATGAGCCTGATTCAAACGCCATCGATTTTGTTGTGTAATTTGCTTTCAGTGATACAAAACTTGAGATTTCTTTCTTTAAAAATAAAATTCGCCGGACTCCCTACAAGAGGAAACCCATTGCAAGCTGTAAATTTGTAAGCCAGGCACTCCAAAACTCAGTGAATTCAACTAAAAAGATGTTAAAACACTAACATAATCTTAGCCTTGTTTTAGTGATTTATATTTTATTAAGTGATTTGATAGCTCGCCTCGGCCTTGGCCTCGGAGGTGGTGGCCTCGGCCTTGGCCTTGGCCTCGCGGTTGTGGCCTCGGCCTTGGCCTCAGAGGTTGTGGCCTCGGCCTTGGCCTCGGCTTTGGCCTCGGCCTCGGAGGTTGTGGACTCGACTACAACACTGAACTTGACACCAGTAACGATGGAACATGCACGTAGTACACAAACTTTTTGGCGGTTATTCTATTACAAGTGCATGCAGAAGGAACGGAGTGCTCATATTAGAATAGCGCAATACACAGTGTGCGATACGGACCCGGCCGTTAGGTGTAATATCACACTGTTGTTGCCATTGATCAACTCAACAGGATCAAGGAGTCAAGTTTGTTGAAGATAACAATTCATATAAAATTTCATTTTGATATTGGCAAAGGTTTTTTTCTAAATACATGAGTCTAGCTTACATAAAGCAAACAAAGCTTTAATTTTCTTCACTGAGTGCACAAATGTGTGTGAGTGTAAGAAAATATGGAAAGGTAATTCAGTTCTGTTTATTTTCTAGCCAAGTGTCAGCCCTGAGCCGTATCTCTGCAATACTGGGAACCATTACCGATATGCCACTGGGATAACTGCAGCTCCTGGCACATCAGTCGTACATCTGCCAGGCCATTTAGCGTCGTCCATTATCACCAGCACTGAATACAACCACACTGTGGCTTTCATCGGAACAACAGAAGGGCAACTTTTGAAGGTAATAAAAGTGTCAACAATATGTTCTAATTTTTTTGGCAACAAGGTGTAAATGTGTAATTCTAACCCTGAAGATGGCCTTGTTTGTTGCATAAGTTTTCTAGCAGTAAACCAGTCAGTCTCCGGTTGGGAATAGTGATGATTGAAAGACAAATCTATCTCTTCCTATATTTAAAAAAACCCCAAAAACTGAAATATCCCCAAGTAAATTGTAATGTGCTTGTGAGTAAAACCTTGAATTCATTTTTGATCCTTTGGTAAATTGTGGCTTATTTGAAAATTCACTTATGTCATTGACTTATACATGTATTCCCTACACCTTTCACAGCAATTGCACTCAATGATGCCATTTGTATCAGTTTCTGTTCCATTTGTATTTATTTTATGGGCATAAATTCAATAAAATCCAAATGTTGCCATTATGGAAAAGGATTGTCTTTTTCCCCAGGTGCACATTGAGAATCTACGAGAATGTAACACTTGATGGAGAACCAGTTATGAAAGATACAATGTTGAATGAAACTAAGGAAGAGGTGTTTGTACTCACAGAACAAAAGGTATGTGCTAAGGGATATGCATGGAGCATATTACATGTACATGTTGGAGGAGGGGTTCTACATTGAGCATCAATTTGAATCATCCTTAGTAATGGAGAACTTGATGTCTTCTGCCCGTGTAGGCGTAGTGTAGTGATAGGGACAGAATTGTGCATTTTGTAATGAAATCATGAAACTTGGCATGTGAGGTCTTCATACCATGACAACAATTTTCAGATATGGAGGCATTTCATATCTGACCCCTGGTGACCTTTGAGGGGTCAATGACCTTTGAATACTCTATTTATACCCATTGTTCTTGAAAACATCACTTTCCTATGACCTAAGTCTATGTATAGTCTT